AACGCGTCGCTGCGTGCATTAGTGTTGTAGGCGTCCTCTATCGTCGCTAACCACTCTTCTATCTTTATAGCAAAGGCACTAATTTCTAGCCTCTTAATACTATATTATTTACAGTAGCTTGTTGTTACGGTGGCGACTACTAGGCGGTAGCCTTATAACCCTTACGGCTATAATGTTAGTCAGTGCCTCTAGCGTCTATATAATGCAAGTGTATTTATTGCTTTGCAGCTGCTTTTTTAGCCGGGCAAGGTGTTATTAAGCGGCAAGGTGTTGTTAAGCGGCACGTATACCGGTCTTGTTTCTAATTTAACAGACAGGGTTAGGGTGCCTGCAGATGCTGCGCGCAAGGTGTAGCTGCCGTGCATTAGCGTAAGGGGTGGCATTAGCACGTCTTTAGCTTCTAATAGTTCGCATGCTAATCGCGGAGTAGCCGCCCTATAATCGGACATTGCTCCTTATAGAAAAGAAGTTAAAGAATGTAAGGGGCTAGTGTATAATGCGTAGTTATAAAGGCTTAACTAGTTTATACTATTGTATTAAGACTTTAACTTAACAAACTATAAGAGATTAATAGGCAAAGGCCTGCCAGCTAATATATACGTAGCTAGAAGATACGGTGTAGCGCAAACCTAGTAGGGCGTAGCGCAGCTAAGTAGCTATGCTAGTTTTATGCAACGTATTAAGATAGTTCGTTAAGTCCGCTGCTTAGTAAGCAGCTAGTTGCTAAACTAGTGCGTAGGGACGCGTGTATAGAATACCCTTATAATAAGGTAATAGCTAGCTATATGCTAACTAATTGTTAGTTAACTACTCTAGCTATTTTTTATGTAATTACGCACTATAAACTACTTGTTTTAGCTTTAAAGGCGCCTTTTAGAGCTATAAACTTAAAACATACTATTAAAAGGCTATTGCTTAGCTACTAGCTACTTATTGCTATCCTTCTTCTTTAAGGACGTTTTCTTAACCTCTTTATCCTTTTTCTTACTACTAGGCAGGCTTTTACTAACTAGTATATAGTTCTTACTAGCTGCTAACTAGCCGCCTACTAGCGCTCTTTTACTAGACGCTACTACACTACTACTACTAGCTGCTACAACCGCCTTATTACTATAAGCTACGGCACTAGGAATAGTCTTAGCGCCTTGCTAACGCTTAGCTAAGGTTAGCAACTAGCTGTAGGCTTATTGCTTGCTAGGCGCTGCTAAAGGCAACGGCTAGGGAAAGACTATAGCCTAGTTAGCCTAGGCTAGTTTAACTAGGGCCGCTATAGTCTATGCAATCCACTTAGGCGGATCCTTTACTCTTACTATATAGTGCAACGTGCTATTACGTTTAGCCTAAATAGCTGCTGCGCGCTAGGCTAGGGTAAGTATAATAGAATAAGGATTAGCGTAGGTAATAGGTTAGTAATAACTTGCTAATAAGGATAAAGAGACATGCTATTACTTTAAGGGTAGTAGTAACTTAGGTTTACGCCTATAATAGCGTGCCTACGTCTAGGAACGTTAGCGGCAAAAGCTAGGCAACTTTTGCTGCCTACTAGGCAAGCGTTAAGGTTAGCTCTAGCTCTTGCTAGTACTAGTAAAGAATGCTAAGGCGCAAGGCAGCCTACTACGCTATCTTAAACTGCTTACGCTAAGAGCGCTAGTTAGTTGCTAAAGGCTCTAGCTTGTCTTCTTTTAAGGCGTAGCTAAGCTTCTTAGCTACTACTATTAATGCTATTACTTGCTAGGCGACTACTATGCAATTGCCTAGCGCTATAATAACGTTATTAGCTGTTATTTGCTAGAGTAGTAACTTGTTTATACTAGCTAGAAACTCCTAAAGGTAGTAGGCAAGGCCTTTAATCTTCTTAAAGAGCTATTAGTTAGCGTCTAGCTACTAGTATATATAAGAAGAGCACTTATAGGCAAGTAGGACGCGTTGTTAGCTATATAGCTAGCGTAGCGCCTTAGGTTCTTAGGCGTTGCTACGCATAAGAATTTATAGTAGACGTTTAAGTAAGCTTTAAGAACGCAATTTAAGCATAAGGCCTACTATAGGGTTAGCTATTGCATAGCGAACGCTATGCCGGCAAAGACCTACGCTTTTAAGAGATAGTGTATATGCCTAAAGAGGGCGTTTCGCAGGATCCGCCTTTATAAGGAAGTTTATAAGGACTTAGAAACAGCTTTAGTTTAACATTGCCTATAAGCGATTATTAGCTAGCTATTATATAAAGACGTAGACTATTATACTAACTTACTACGCTAGTAGGTTAAAAAGAACTAAAGAAGTAGAAGTAGTCTTATAAAGTATAAACAAAATTGTTTAAAAAATATAGGATGCACTTGCTTTTAGTACCCTTAAGTAATAAAGAAGCCGCGTTATTAGACGCTTAAATGCGTCTTAAAAACTCGCTTAACCTTGCTTTAACAGCAAGGTAAGAAACGTCTAAAATTAGACAAAGGAACGTCTTAGCGGCAGACCGCCTTTGCTGTCTAGTAGGCGATAGTTCTACAATCGGGGCAACAAACGGCCGCTGTTGCCTTTGTCTTGCCCTACTAGTAGTCGGAAGTCGCAAGCCTTGCGCCGCCGTTTTCAGTTGGCGCGCACTGCACCCTAGTGCCCCTAGTGTCCGAGGCCGGCCCCCTCTTAACACCTATTAGCGGCAACCTAAGCGTTCCCTAACTAGGATCCAAGCCGCACGCCTCCTAGGGAGCTCCTACAAACCGGACGACCCTTGCATTAAGCAGGATCCGGCGTCTACTGCCGCCATAGACCAAGCAGTACGTATGCGCTTCCACGTCACCCGAATGCAGTCGCACCAGCGAGCGGTCCGCGACCGCTCGGCGACAGCCAATAACCCGGGGCACTTAACTCTTTTTCCCACCTTATACGGGAGGTTTTTTAACGAGCAAGTAGCTACCGCGTGTGCACCTCCAAGCTGACGAGGGCGTTACCTAGGGAGGGGGGGGATAGTGTAAGGGTATTCTACACACGTGACCCTACGCACCGGTTCGGCAACTAGTCGCTTACCAAGCGTCGGACTTAACGAACTATCTTGACGTGTTGCACGGGACTAGCACAGCCACTAAGCTGCGCTACGCCCTACTAGGGTTGCGCTACACCGCATTTTCTAGCCACGTATAAATTAACTGGCAGGCCTTCGCCTACTAGTCCCCTATAGTTCGTTAAGTTAAAGTCTTAATACAACAGTACAAACTAGTTAAGCCTTTGTGACTATGCATTGCATACTAGCCTCTTATAATAACTTCTTTAATTTTAGTAAAGAAGTTCTTTATCTTTTTACTATTATACTAGTATATTATTATTTAAAATTTAGTGCTATAATTAATAGTTAGATTAGCTTCTTATAGTTTTAAGAGCTATTTTAAGCGTTTTACAAATAATCTTAATATTATTTTCTTTAGTTTACTTAAGCAAGCTATTATTAACTTATAAGGTTATACTATATTAAATTAATTAACGGTTGTTAAACAGCTTAATATATATTAAGTTAACTTAAATTAGATTAAACGCTATAATACTAGCTTATAATATAGTAAAAGATTTAGGTTTTGGTTTTAAATTATAAAAGAATTTAAAAGCTTATAACTACTAATTAAGTTCTTTCCTACTAACGTTATTTTTATTATTTTAAGTGTCTTTATTAAGCTTAGCCTTATAAATGCTATTCTTATTAGCTACGTAACTACTGCTTTTAATGCTTAACTTAAACTTAGCGTTTAATTATAATTTAATAATTAAAAGGTTGCTACTTAGTTTACTACTAAAAGTTTTATTCTAGCTAGGCAAGGTTATAAATATAACCCTAGTAATTTTAATAAGGCTCTTTTTGTCTATTAAATTAGTGTCTAAAGCACTAGATACTTTATAAAGCGTATTATAAAGGCTTTTTAGTTATTTGTTTAGCTTTTTCTAGTTCTGTTAGGCCGGGCTTATAACCTATAAAGGTTAAAAGAGGCTATACGTAGCGGTTATATAACGTAATGCACTATAAGAAGCAAGAGGCTAAATAGGGTCTAGTATAGGCGAAAGATTGTTGTGTACTAAGGAGGAAATAGATACATCGCAACCTTTCTAGGGATCCGTATTAATACTAGTGCTAGGCCCTGCTTTTGTGCCTTCTAACCAATCATAGGCCTGTACGGCCAAGTGGGGCGGAAGGGCTATAGTGTGGCGGATTCTAATGCTTAACATAAGGCCTCTAAACTGTTTTAACTAATAGATTTATATTTATATAAAGGTTAAAGGAGGCTATACGTAGCGGTCATATAACGTAATGCACTGTAAGGAGCAGGAGGCTGAATAGGGTCTAGTGTGGGCGAAAGAGTGTTGTGTACTTAGGAAGAAATAGATACATCGCGACCCTTCTGGGGATCCGTATTGATACTAGTGCCAGGACCCGCTTTTGTGCATTCTAACCAATCACAGGCCCGTACGGCCAAGTGGGGCGGAAGGGCCACAGTGTGGCGGATTCCAATGCTTGACAATTTACTAGCGTTTAATAAAGGGCTTTATATTAAACTATCCGGCACTATAGCCTATTCTAAAAACTATAACTTGCGGTAGGCTAAGCTAATCTTTGGTAGAATTAAGAGTTATGCAGGTTTAATTAACAGGCAATTGTCAAGCATTGGAATCCGCCACACTGTGGCCCTTCCGCCCCACTTGGCCGTACTGGCCTGTAATTGGTCAGAAGGCACAAAAGCGGGGCCTGACACTAGTATTAATACGGATCCCCAGAAGGGTCGCGATGTATCTATTTCTTCCTTAGTACACAACACTCTTTCGCCCACACTAGACCCTATTCAGCCTCCCTGCTCCTCACAGTGCATCACGTTATATGACCGCTACGTATAGCCTCCTTTAACCTTCACAGCAATCTATTGTTAAGAGAAATTATTTTTACGGGAGGCGGGATATAAATTGGAATTTTAATAAAATGCAGATTATAAGCGGTTATTTTATACATACTAGAACTAGGGCCATCCTTAGCGCGTGGTGGTTGGATCCCTAATAATAAGAATAAGAAACAATTCAGTTTAGATTAACAAGAGTTGAACTCACCAGTCTGTTACAAGGTACTCGTCTAGGTCATTCAGCATCTTCATCTCCTGGTCCGAGAGAACGAAGCCATTCACATTCGCATTTTCAGTCATACGTCGTTTGTTTATACTCTTGGGCAAGGGTACTAGTCCGTGCTGCAGTGACCAACGAACTAAGAGTTGCGCCGGTGTGCAGCCATGGCGCTTAGCCAGCTTTTGTATCGTAGGATGGCTCATGCGCATGCCGCGTACAAGCGGCGCATACGCCTCGATAATTATGTCGTGTTTGGCGCAGGCATTGCGAATATCTGCGCGTGTGTTGAACGGATGAACTTCGATCTGGTTAACAACGGGTGGGATGCGCGCTACAGCCGTAAGTTCATCGATCTAAAGAAGAAATTGTGTTAGCGCCGGGTTAAAAAGGTGGCAAATTCATCCAAAATTAGCGAAAGGTTGGTTCTAAGGTCGATTTTCAGTATACGCACATGCTTCGTGCCATAATTGCTCACACCACCCGATCGGACCTCGCCAGCATCGATGGCATCCTCCACAGCTTGCCAACTCGTTTGGCGAGCTTCTGTACCCCCATATGGACTGTGCAACAGAAACAGATCGATATACCCAAGTCCGCACACAGTTACAGACTCGGTAATTGAGCGTCGCACAGCTTCGTATTCTGCGCTGTTTTGTGCCAGCTTTGATGTATAAAATACATCCTTGCGGTCAAGATGGGCGCCTTCTGGGCTCTGTAGAAAGCTCCGAATAGCCTTGCCAGCTTGTTGTTCATTGTGGTACATCTGCGCACAGTCAAATCCACGGTAACCAGAGGCTAAGGCGGCTTTTACAGACTGCGCTGCCTCCTTCGTTGACATCATGTACAGTCCTAATTGGATCTGAGGCATCTCCTTGCCATCCCGCAGCTATAGGTGTAAAAGGAACCTTAGCTTACATCCTCGGAGTCAGTTCCTTCGCAATTTTTTTCATTCACCTTGACCTTCGTCGCCAAAGTATATTTCGCTGCCATAGTGTGTGCTTCTGTTCGGAGACTTCGGGCACGATCTTTTGTCGCAGGTCGCCCCCGCGAAGAAGGAAGTTATTTGTAGTAAGGGTTCGTAGCAAAGTTGATAATGGGGACGTTTTTTCTCAGATACTCACCGCTTTCAACAATTATATTTATTTTCTACAGAGTACGGAGTACGGAGTGATCTTACTCGCTTCGTGTCAAACATGGGAATCCGCCACACTGTAGACCTTCCACCCCACTTGGCCGTACTGGCCTGTGATTGGTCTGAATGTATAAAAACGGGGCATGGCACCAGTATCAATACGGACCCCCAGAAGGGTCGCGATTTACGGAGGTCCCTACCAAAAGTTCGTTCTCACCGCTTCGGCCAAATAGAAAGGTGGGTATAATGCTATTAATTTATTACTACTGTATTTAATACAGTTGTGTTAGCGTAAGTGCTATGTGCTAAGCGTCCTGTAAAAATATTAGTAATCGGATTAAATTGGCGACAATATCCACTAAGTTCTAGCGTACCATCGCTAATAGCTTTCTCCGTATGATTTACACTCTGCACTATGTATTGCCGCAGTTATAGAAAAGCGGTAAGAACGAACTTTTGGTAGGGACCTCCGTATCTACTCCGTATTTCTTCCTTAGTACTGTGGATTTCCCGAGGTCACCTGACTTGACCTCGGCCCTGACTGAACGCACATTGCGCACAGTCTAGAGCTTCAGTCAACCACTCAACGAAATATCATCACTAGATCTTCTGAAGGCCTTAGAGCTTACTACGATACGTGCAACTGGTCCGGACGAATATCCCACAAGGATTAACGTACGGGTCTTACACTGGTATTCGCGCAAGACAATTGCGCGTACAGACTAGTGGTGCACGGAGTAGAAGCCACAGTACTCTGTACACAGCACAGATTTGTTCACACTACACCCAATTCAGCCTCCTGCTCCTCACAGTGCATATCACCTTCATGAACCCTGCGCATAAGCTCTAAGCATGCACACTTTGTACTCTAATAATTAAAATGAGCTGCCAAACGGGCCTGGCCAATATGGGAGGGGCGTGCACGCTTGTGCCGTGTACTCGTAAGGGAAGAACACATGTACTGTGTGGCGCAGGGCGCTACTTGCGATTTCATGCGCGTCGGCATAGCTCGGAAGTAGCCAGCCATAACAATACTTCACACGCCTACTAGGCACCTATAATTTGACATAAGCAGCCGACGGGCCAACAGTAACAGCCTACGGAGTATAAGATAGGTTTTTCCACTTGCTTAGTCAAAAGCCATCCACTAATTGTTGGTATTGTGGCTTCTATTCTGTGCACTTTTAGCCTATAACGCGAAGGCGATGCCTTCGCGTACGACGTAATGCTAGTGTAAGACCCGTACAGTAATCCTTGTGGGAATTACGTCCGGACCAGTTGCACGTATCGTAGTAAGCTCTAAGGCCTTCAGAAGATCTAGTGATGATATCTCGTTCGGTGGTTGACTGGAGTCCAGACTGTGCGCAATGTGCGCGCAGATCAGGGCTCCGTCTTATCTACGGAGTAGTAATTTCGGCGGCGGAGGTTAGGTGACCTCTGGGAATCCACAGTATACTAAAGTTAACCCATTCTAAATGGTGGAAACGTGGCGCGATAAATATATAACACATAAATAGTACGGTGAAGTTGGACATGGCCGTCTTACTGCTTGAAAAAACGTCCCGTAGAGGTTTCCGGTATCTGTCCACATGGTCCAGGTCATTAAATATTAATACCCTCATTTGCGACTTGTGCAAAGATGCTGAGAGACCATATTGGAGAACGAACGTTGACAGACTTGATGTTTAAGTTGGAGTAAATGGCGTCGTTAGCCCTAACATACAATTGCTTTAAAATAGATATGGTAAAGTTACGATTATGGCTGTCGGGGAGTGAACCGCCGAACAAACGACGATCAGGTCAATTGAGGTCCTTGTTTACGTCATCTTAGCTATCCTCTCCGATTCGGTCAATGTCTTCGGAGAGAAATGCCTACAACGGTCAAATAGTTTATAGGCTCCAGCATCTTATTTATGCTTATCGTTGCGATAAAATTACCTGAGTTGTTATCGACTAATGGTAAGCAAATATTTAATTACGGATTTTGTGCCTCGTAGGGGTACATACGAGGGTAAGATATAGAGCTTAAGAACATAGGCAAAGCTAATGATTTCGATAGTATGCTGAAAGGCCATTATGACAGTTACAGCAACATTAATGATGTCGTCGTCTTAATATGGGGACATGTTGTTTATGGATTTTCCCCTCCGTTAGATATCTTACTTATATCTGGACGTTTACCTCCATCTTATTGGCTCTCCCTGAATATTTGCCTACCCCGCTTACAACGCTCTAAAATTGGCAGCATATCTCGGTCCGTTATGGAGTAGTAATGAAATCACCTTGGCGGGGAACCAAGAGTTGAAAAAGTAGAATACGTCAGCAGTCCAGTCGATAAGTGGGCCTAACTCCCGTCATTCCTCGTTACCGGAGATCTGCTACTCCGTACAACAAACATGTTTCAGTACTCCGTAGAAAATATGACCTTTTGGTCATAGGCCAAGAAACTCCGTGTTTCCTTATTTCTTATCTTTTCTTACCCCCCAGAAAAGGCACTGTGTATGTATGTATATGTTAAACCTTGAACCCTATCTCTCGGCTCCTCCACTTATGTAAGTAGCACCCCGTATATTCGACCCACCAGTCTTTGTTAAAGGGTCGTAGCACTGACGAAGTATACGACGTAAGCCAATCGATAGGAAGTTGTTTTAAGAGCAAGATTGCCACCAAATCCCCGTCTTTTCCGGCCCGGGCTACTCATTTGCACACACGACAGATGTGTTGTGGGCCGGGAGTGAAAAATGATACGAGGCAGGGCTTACTATTCTTTTCAGGTGAACTCAATGCGGCTTCAAACTCATTAGCCCAATTAACGGTCAAAAACTACAAAATGAATTTTCATAGATGTTAAATAGGGATATCGAGACGAGTGACCAGTGTTCAAAAGCGTCTCCCTAGGTGTTACGTATTTCAATGATCTGAATTGGGTGTTTCGGCAACCTCGTACCTATTTAGGACAGAAGATCACGATGCCGATGATAGCGACGGACGAAAGCACGCTTTATTAAGTGGGGAGAGGGTTCTGTCGTCAAGATTTTCCTATTTTGTCCATCTTTCCGCAGTAGGGTCATCCAATCGGAGTCAAATCGCTCGGTCTAGACTATTCATATCTTATGGAGCTAGTCGTTGGCTCCTCCAGGCGCCGAAGCCATCCGCTTTCCTACACCCATCATCCCTGTAAGAGACGGTGGCGTAGATCATGCGTACCAAGGAGGGAGGTGCGTTATCGCACTGAATGGCAGCCTTGGGTTCGGTCAGGCATGGATCGTGAAGCGGCCCAGCCGGTCTTCTGATAGTATTGAGGGATACAAATAACGTTGCGGGCGTACGATCTTGGGCTGTTCTTCATCCACGACTAAATCTCAACAATATAAGGACACAGGTCCAAAACGCTCGGCGGTGTATATTCGCTATCCAATCCCCTGTACGAACCACATGGAGACCATTCCAACTTTCGCCCAAGAGGCGGCCATCCCTGAGGCCCAGCCTGCCATTTTCACGAAGATCGAGGCAGAGCTGCCCATTCCTAACTTCGATCCCGCGGTGCATCTAAGCTACCGACCGCCACCAGCTCGTTACTCTTTCACGAAACTCGGCCTTCCTGTACCCAAGGGATGCCCAGACCTGTGCTATACGGAACCCTTCCAGCTTTTCTCTGAAGAAGGTGTGCGGGTGATACGTCGAGAGGTTTTCCGTCGGGAGTTTCTGGACAAATACATGCGTTCTTGGGAGAGGGCTCCATGCCTAATCAGCGGTCACTACCCTGTGAAGAACGTACGTAATTCTGTCTAACAACCTGAGCATGTATTGGAAGCATTCCACCTAGACTGAATCTAATAAAACATGGCATAGGATGGCACATTTCTTAAGCAAGCGATGACACATCCAGTTACCCAGGCCTCTATCAACTCGGCCTTTGGATGTGCCCTCAAGCTGCAGTCCGACGAGAATGCTATGGGATACATCAATGTGCAGCTCGGAGCAGATGGCATTGATGGTGTCTATCGCTTGGGGGAATACCCAACCAAGCCACTTCCTGTTGCTGCTGCTCTTCCGTCTTCAGATTACGACGGCGCATTCATTGATAGCTGGCACAAGGATACAACACCAATTGTGCTGGTTCTTATGCTCAGTGACACGTCTACAATGGTCGGGGGGGAGACCGCCATCCGTACCGGCGACGGACAAGTCATCAAAACGCGAGGTGCTGCAATTGGCGGTGCTGTCATGATGGCGGGTGCCTATCTGGAGCATGCAGCACTGCGTGCAAGCAACTGTGCTGAGCGGCTTAGTCTTGTCAACAGTTACGCCTATGCAGACCCCGATGCCGACGACAGCGGAACTACGCTCAGGAGTGTAAACCTGGGCTTTGACAACATCCCCTACGTAAAAAACACTTTCTTGGACTTGAAGTTGCGCCGCCTTAGAGACCGTTGCGATTTGGCTCTAGCACGCGTTCAAGAGCGTCGTGCTGAGGGCGAGATGCCCAGCCAGGAGGAGTGCGAGGAGTGGATACGCGATCAGATCCGACTACTAAAGCATACCGGTTGGGAACTATTTGAACGTATCCCGAACCATCTGGCCAAGGAAATGCCAGAGGATGCTCTGACTAAATATCTTTCTGATGCTTAGCGTATTTTCCCTTGTCGTTTTACTCTCGCCTTTGCAAGAATCTGTCATGTTTTTAACGAATTATGTAGCTAAGCCAAATTCTCATCTTTTATCTCTCGTTAATCAGTGTTATAATTCACTTTTATGACTTTGCTTGTTTCTTATCCAATAAAAGAATCAATATGATACTTATCTATTTACGAGAACGTAGGGTTAGGGTTATATATATATGTACCCTATAGTACTTGGGTCTCAAACCGGGCTCTTATGAGGATTACCGTCTTCCACTTAAGAATAGACACTTTCTATTCTGGACATGAAATTCTGCATAACTATATCATAAGAGGTTTAAACATTGAAGCCAGCACTGTGTTCAACAAAGAAGGCTGAAAGCGGTGTCATACTTATTTAAAAGCTCCAGACAAAGCCATTCACTCTTACTTCTTGTGATTTAAAAATTTAGCGATAATTTGACACGTTTTTTTGTGTTTACCCCGAGCCCGACAAACTAAACGCATTCCTCCTTCGAATTCAAAAAGAGCATACCTAATAATAACTTTTCATAAAAGACAAGCTTTGGACCGATATAAGCAGCATATAAGAACTACCAAGGATAAGTTCGTACCTCGTCTTCCTTGCTCAGATCTAAGCCCCTATCTAACTGCTTGCGGTGTTCATCATCCAGGTACTCGAGCAGCACTCGGCCATATTTCGCTTTTCCCTTGTATACTGAAACGTCTTCGTCCCAGCTGCGTATGGCACTTGCCAGGCGTCCAGGAACATAGTCCTCTTGAGCCAGTTCGGTGATAGGGTGAAAATATGTGCGAATTGTGAAGCAGACAGCGCGTGTCTTAGGAAGCCGGCGTAGAGACTGCCTTTCTGATCGGAACCAGTGGTGTTGAATGGCTTTGTCTTTTTCAGCAGTACTCCAGCTAACTACCGGACTGTCTTCATCTCCAATGCTCCAGCTCCATGCCAGCGAGTCGTCGACTTGAATAAAATAGTTGTTTCGCGAGTACAATTGATCGCATCGAAGTCTGCGGAAAAAGTTTGACATTCCCTTGTGAAGCTTTTCCCGATAATGCGGTACGTCACCAGATGTATGGATGTCTTCCAAGGGCATCCCCAACTTGTCTGAAAGTCTCCAGAAACCAGCTAGTAAGATAGCTCCAGCCATGAGGTAATAGCGGCCGTCATCTTTTTCAATCATAAGTGCAAGGTCATCCTGTACAAGTCGTGCTGCAATTGCCATCGGGTCTTCTCGAAGCGGCCTTTCGGCTGTATTAAACGACTCGCCCGACCAAATGTTGTCAATTCCAACATCAGTGCGTCGGTACAGGGTAGGGTAGCGAGCCGGTAAATATGCAATTAGCTCATCTAGGAGCTCTAGTGCGGCGTCATAGGCCTGAGGGTCGGTATGCACACACTTGTCGACCCTTTGACTAAGGCGTTCAGCTTTAGACGCATGATATTTAGGAAAATGGTTGTCAAGCTCGATCCATTCCTGTGGCTGAATAGAACGGAGGCCCATAGTAACGTTGTACTTCGGTCCATAGCGAAATGCCCGGTATGGAAGCGGTTTAGTAGTATCAATAGACCAATTAGGGTAAGGTTCCGGGGTTGACATCGCGTACGACTCTGTTGGCAGAGTGTTGTCTCCATTGCTTGCACTTTTTTCGATATTGGTATATGCTGTATTTTGCGATTGTCCGAATTGTCGGAGGGAGGTCGGGTTCTTAGATAGAGAAGTGGAGGCAAGTCTATATAAAAGGAAGAAAAACAGAACGAGTAGGACATAAGCTCCTGTAACTGGTTGGATCAATGAAGAAGTTATTGCCATCTTGTAAGTGTTGAAGACAAACTTGAAGACGAATGGATGGATAGGGAAGAATTGCGTCGGGCAAAACAATCGAGGATGCACAGGCATCAAGACCATTAAGAAGCTCTATTTTTTTGTCCCGTTTGATTTATTCCGATTGTTTTATCCCGATTAAGCATGCTCAGAACATTTCCGTATACGTCGCATGTCTAGAAACGATGATAGTTTAGACCCCCCCCACATCACTTTTTTGATTGCCGTTCTTCCAAGATCATCGGGAGAGCTAGACAAATCGGGAAATATTAGCCTACCGCTATCGGGCTTGGCAACGGAAGCGGCGAATGCGGTACTCGACAATCCAAACCTATCTCATTACTTTCGGACTTTACATATTGTTTTCAGCGTCTTCAGTCTTTCGGACTGGAGCTAAATCCTGACATAAGCCAGCCGACTATATAATACAGCATAGTCAATTATTGTATGAGATTCTCTCCCTTACAACACTTATACCCCCATCTTTTACAATTCCTCTTGTCAAATTTTCAAGAGCTCTTTCGTGAGTACATTGTCTCTCACCAATTCCACAGACCCCGTTGTGCTGACTTGAGAAGAACACTCCATCAATCAAACGTCATCATGGCTTTCCAGTATTTCGGCCAGGCTCAAGCCAAGTTCACCATTCCGCTTCTCTCGGGGGACAATGCTTTCCTCGGCGATGTCTTTTCCAGTGATGAGAAGAACCCAGAGAAGCCGATCTCTTCCGGTTTGTTTCGCCTAAACAAGGGCGAAGCCCTTGTCTATGAATACACATACGATGAAATGAAGATTATTCTTGAGGGAAACTACACCATTTCAGACGAGACTGGACAGAAGGTGGAGGCGAAGCCGGGAGACGTCTTTTTTTTCCCCAAGGGAGTAACGATCACTTTCACCACAACGGACTACGGGCTCGCATTCTACTGTGGCCAGAGGAAGAAGATGTGAAAGTTGAGGCCTTCAAGTAAAACCTAAAAAGTCTATTGTTCTTAATGAATGTATCTACCTCCCAAGACAAAAAAAGAGCTATTATAAACTCGAAGTCAAATCAAATTCAGAGAACAATCCTGCTATCAGCTCTTCGAGTGACAATTGGCTCAAAGATATTTAAAATACAATGGTTTGAGGAGTGGCGGCGTAAGAAACTTTTGATAGTTACTATACTATAGCAGCGATCAAAGTTTTAACAAAAGGCCAGATACAGGATATCATCCAAACATAGAGCGCAAATCGTTTGCCTCCATGACATCAATCCAATGGGCTGGCAGTGAGTCGTGGGCGGTATTATCATAAGCTCTCCAAATAGCAACCACCAGTTCCTTAGCGACAACGACCGGAGTAGGTGGCAAGCTGCTTTCCAAAGTACTTAGCCGTTGCATTATGAAGCGTCGAGCGCTGCCAATATTGAGTGCCGTTTCGTCTGTCCCTCCAGTATTTAGCATTGCAGGTGAGGGAGTGTCGTTCCCATTCCCCATGAAGCCAGTTATGTATGAGGACAAATTGTTCGAGTTCTGTGACAGTGTGGCCATAGCGTCCGTTTCATAGCTCGCCGTGTTCTGCGGTTGGCTCAGGAAACCAGATCCTAGTCTGAAGGTTGACTGTGACGAGGAAGTGCTTACATTCAATACAGGCTGCTGCCTCAGCCCAGTGCTCGCAGATATATAAAGCAATGGCTGGATAACGCGACTGCCGGACGAAGGGGGAATGCGGTGCAGAACCTTGACTAAATGTAAGCTGAGTGGTGTGATCCACTCTTGCCACAATAAAGTCTTATCATCTGCTGGTAGAACTCTGCCAGGGAGCCGCAGGAAGACAAGGTTGGGAAATGTTTGATAAAGGAGGAGCAGAGACGCCAGCCTATATGCCTCCGCCACAAGAGCAAGATGAAATGAGGGTGTTGCATCATCTCCAGTATCACTAGTTCCTCCGTCTGGTGATATATCCAGGTCCAGGAGCTTTTCCTCTAGCCGCTCCGCCTGCATATCCTCAAATGGTACGGAAAAAAAAGGCTCAATACTGTACTGTTCACGGGCGTACTGTCGAAATTTCCGACACAGTCGGACCGTTTCTGCGAAGAGACTCGATGATAGGGAGGAAACTCCGGTCCATGGATGCAGAGGCTCGTGCATTTTGTCGCCACCATTAAGGGGCCTGCTTTCGGACTGCTTATAAGAAGTCCCAGAACTTGTACCAACAAGATCATCATTTCTGTTATTATCATCATCATCATCATCATGTACAAATGCCAGCAACATATTGCAGTAAGTCATGCACTTGTTGAAGAATTCCAGCGTCTCAACGTCGGTTTCAGCGAGTGCGAGCTGCTGTTGGTTGAGGCGGTTGAGCACTTGTCTCGCTTCTTTGAAAAAGGGCAGGCCAAGGCCTCGTGGATCGACCCAGCAAATAGTAGTTCCGAGGCCGAAAAGAGAAAACAGCAGGCTGGTCGGGATGGCCTGCGGGAGTGGTTGGCTTCTTACTATCTGCAGTTCCATCTGCACGTAGTCTGTGGCCCTTTTCATTAGACGAAGTGCGGGTTGACGCATACTCGGGTTTCGTGAGGCCATGAATGCCGCAGACATGCTTTCTAGTGAGCTGCAAACGGTGATTGAGTTTCCCCAGAGGCCGGTGGCAATTTTTCGAATCGGATTAGAGCTGGAGTCAAATCCGGACCATGCCGGACAGACATTCTCAAACCAATTGATGATGAAGGCAGACGATTTGTCGAACAACTCGCCACTTGCTATTGCGGGAACGCCGCTCAGTGTAGTAGCTCTCCCACGCAGAATCAGTTCGGAGGAATTGCCCAACTCTAGCTCATCCCGCCGAGCACCGCTGCCCATTCTGAGTTCCTCATCAGCAGGTGACGAATACCGCGAATCCTGTCCCTCAAAAGGCTTGCTGCGAATGTCATCTCTAGGGGGCGTTGTTGATGCGTCATATTTTTGGTGCGTGGTGGCAGCTGGATTCTGTGGCTGTCTGTCGGCAGCTTTTCGCGAGCTTGAGGATGATTGACGCTGCACTATAGATGCATGAGACGCAAGAGACGCAAGATTCGGCTGGTGCTTGAACGACCACCGTATGCCTTGCCAGTAGCCACCGCACTGAATTCCCTTTTGCGAGCATCTCAAACAAGCGGGTCTCGTCTCGTCGCATTTAAGCTGGATGCGTAGAACTTGTTAGTCACCAAAATTTCTTATCGTGAACTCAGGTGCGCGACATCGGCAGCAGTTTCTTGCACCCCCTGGTCCCCGCCCTTCTCGTTCTTCCCGTCCTTCTCGTTGGAAAGTAAACGTACATGTTTGGCTTTGCAGGTGAGGCATCCATCTTTTGACCGTGTAGGGAGACCAGCTCTATATGCCAATGTAGGGCTCTTTGGAGGCACCATTGAATGTCAGGAATCGATCAAGGGTTTGACGAGACGACTTCCGGGCAGCCAGGCCCCGAGACAAGCATGTTGATAGGCAGGAAGGTTTCCGAAGCTGGTGAGCAATGCCGGCATTCAGATGAATGCGTTATAGCTGTCGCCCAGTAGAAAGGAGGGGTGGCTTGCAACAGAAGCGGTGTCGTAACTGATAAGAACTAGTCGGTTTATGATTCGTCAGCGATATCCGCCATTGGCCGAACCGACAACGCTGCCAACGAATTCGGGCAGATATGAATAACTCTCTGGAAAGAAAAATATGTTCGGTTGTTGATCCGGTCGTTTGGGATCAAGAGTAAAAGTCTGGGGTGGCAACTCTCATTATATGCCTTTGTACTCAAAGGTGTTTTTATCCCCTGGAGCACGCCGTAGGAACCGACGAAAAGGAGGGCGAGGTGTGGGCTAGTCGGTCATAGTTGGTGGGGCTTATCTATGAGCCTGGCCGAGAAGAGGGGTTGTCAATGGCATTCCGGAATGTCAGGGAGAAGCAAATGTCTTCCCATTCGCCAGCATGAAATTTATTCCCCGACATAATTCCGTTACAACGCCGCGTGTAAGCCCTGTGGGCTTTCAAATCCCTTCGCGTCCTCCACCTATTGACATATACTCCGGCTTATCACGACCAGGGTCACATGCGCACTTGAGGATACGCGCACTTGTTTTACTCATACATTGTGCTCACCATGGATCACACGACGCATCCAAGTAAGATACAATGTTTATATTATGTTATATCGAAGAAGCGAGGCACAAACTTATATGTTAGTTATGTCCTTTTAGGCCCACTTCTTTTCCCAGCCCCTGAAAAAGGGCTGCTCGGGGAGCGACTGCGGCTCCCAGTTATCCTCTATCATCCCACTGCTGATCTGAAACTGCTTGTATTTTTCCAGCGTCGGCTTTGCAATGTGTTCCACGTGCCATGTACCTTTGTACCTCATCAAGTTTTCTTTTCCGCCACGAAGAACGGTGAGTAAAAGAGATGGGACGTAAGGCTCATTTTCGAGCTCAGACAAGGGTGTGAAGAGTGCCTTGAAGTTAAATACCACACCGCCAGAAAGAGGCAGTCGCCGTAGAGTTTGCCAGTCAACACGGAGGTTGATGTCTTTAGGTTGTAGCTTCGGGTTTTGAGACTCTCTATGTGCAAAATCTGGATGTTCCGAGGGCAAAAAAAGGGGCTGGCCGACTTCTAGTCCCCAAGACCCTCTTTGAATGGGTTTGTTTGTCGGCATCTTAGTAAAGAAACTAGAAACGAAATTAGGCTTCAAGATCCAACTGCAAAAACAGCCGAAACTCTCACGTACCGATCCATACTGAACTCCATTTTCTCTTTGTAGTCCGGGACATACTTGTGTATTCCTGGCAGCCCCAGACCAACCTTTTCACTGAGTTTCCAGCCCACGGAAGAGCACACCATCCCTGCACGAAGAACGTAACGCCCTGTCTCCTCATCACGCAACACAATAGCGAAATCTTCAGGCACATTGTGCAAAAGCACTTCCAGGGCTGGCGTAGTTGACAGGTGCGTTCGAGTCTTCAGAATGTTGTTCACTAGAACCCCGTTTTCCACTCGAAACTCATTAGGGTACCGTGTACATATAAACTGTAAGACCATCTCCATGAGCTCGATGCAGGCCAGCTCTGAGCCCGGCAAAGCGGCAAGAACGTTGCTTCCATGTTCCGCAAAAAGCTTCTCCCGTTGTGCTATCCGTTCACGGTACGAACTTTCTAGCTCAATCCAAAAATCCGGATCCAGTTTCGTCAGAGCTGGCATAGTCTTAGCATATCTGTAGAGACGCTTTCGGGCCACAATTCACTCACACATAGTCTGATGATACGGCCATCGGAATGGACGGTACGGTCGTGGTAGTGCCTTTTCGATGTTGAACGATTTCAGCGGTGCCGGCGGTGGGACGCCGGACAAAATTGCGTAGTCTGGAAAGCTACCCAATTGACGGATGTCGTGAATCTTAAATCCGCTGAAAATAAACTGTGTTGGCTTTGCATTGCGGTAATCGTCTTGCAGCTTCACGAGACTGCTCCTTGGTAGCGTGGACAGATCAATAGCCTTAATCCCGGTAAATCTTGTGTCTAGTCCGGTCAGGGTCTGCCGTTGAGAAGGAGGGAATACAGCCTCATAATTCGGCTGGTCCGAGTTGCCCGCGCCGGCTTTCTCCTGAACTGGTCGTACGCTTTGAGAAAATCGGTATGAGTATCTCCTGGATGAGCCTGCAATCAACCTAGCAAGGTAGAGCAGACATGTACACGAAAGAAACAAGGTCAAAATCGCAGCTGCGATCGTTGAAGTCGGAAAACCGACTGGTGTAAACATCTTGGCGGCTGAGGTATCTCTGCTTGTTCTGGATGGGGTCGGTATATTCAACAGGAACAGTAAACGATAATAGTCTGCACTCTGGCGCTATACCGATATACGCCCAAACGCCGTCTATTGCCCAGGCATTGCTGCCGGGTTTGAATGCTTTAAACAGAAGCGTGCAAACGCAGGAAATCTTAAGGCGGATATACTAACTCGATATGGCTAATCTACCCGATGAACCTAATCACGACTGCTCATAATTGCGTGCCAATCCCATCCAGTAAAAAGTATCCGTAGCTCCTCATTGCAAACGCCGAGAGTCCTGAAGAACGATTGTCATGTCCCGATCACACTACATCGAACGACATCCGCAACAGCAAATAAAATTATCACATATTCGATTCCAACTGCCCAATTGGAATTATCCACAAAAACCCGTTCGGTAGTAGACTGCAGCTTGTGGCGAGTTCATGACTAAAGCCAGTATGTATCTGGGTTTAGTTCCGTTGTCTTGAGTCATTAAAACGAACTGCTCGCTACAATAATAATAGGAAGCAGCAGCCTCATGCAATTATGAATATGACCACCGCCTCCAAATGCAAAATATAGTCTAGACAAGCACTATAACATACGCATTTCCAGTGACTGAACAAGGAAGAAAACGATAACGATATCAATTTCTTGGCGGTAGTAATCTTCTGTTATCAGCCGTCAAGCCTACCTCTAGCCCCCTCAGTGAAAGATTGCATGGTGCACTACAACTTTAGACCTACATAGCATCGCGTACCGGCTATGCAACAGTAAAGGTGTAGTCTAGACAACTCGATAATGTTTGCTTCTCTCAACCAAGTCAAAAGGGTCAAACTGTAGCTTAAGACAGCAGTTTTGAGTACGGAGGAGAACAAGATGAGTGATGATCTTTGTTTGCATCTCATAGCTTACTCCAGAGCAGCCCATTTTCACTAGAGACGCCAAAGAAGATCATCGTCATCCTCCCAGTTCACAGCATATCTAACCTCTTTGAGTTCTTCGGTAATATGTACCACTTTACAGCTATGCTTACATGCAAGCACAACCCTACTTCAAAAATATTAGTTAAGAATGTAACTATAACGAGTGATCGCCCAATATACTACAATAACTCAGGGTTGATTTCTATGCTGAGAGACTAGTGTACGGGTATGAACTCGACAATTTTATGTTTAAGACCTCACAGGCAGCACTTACGTCCTGTCGCACTAAACGGGTCACTAGACGAACGCGTCACCGTAAGTGGTGTCACTGGCGATACATCTATACCAAAACTTGGTATTCAAACTTTCTTGTAACGCAGCGGCAAGCTCCCCGACATCAACGACTCTTATAATGACGTAAGTGTAATTTAACGATAGATAGATGCCACAATCTTATCCCGTTTATCACTGCTTGATAATGTTCTGAATTGTCGAGTACGGCGTACGGCAAGTGGTTTACTGTACGTTTAAAACACCGTCTAGTTACAACTAGTCGTCAATCAATCTCTAAAATCGCCGGTCTTGAGCGTTTTCATGCACCAGCTGTGTTGGAGTCTGCGAAGTCGTGCTGCTTGTCCTATCTAAGCCCAACAACAACGTTCTATCAAATCTTGACTTTTTCAGCGTTTTTTCCAAAGGTCTCGCCACATCTCCTTCAGCCCATAGTTGGGGGACGTCGATTCATGCACCCGTGCGGTACTTCCCTGTCCAACGAACCAGTCAAGAAAAGGCCGGCCAGGTGTGTCTTGCTTTTTAGCTGCCAACGCAAGGTCATGTGGTCGCGCAGCACGATCACGGATAGTATCAGCTAGGCTTGGAGCGACATCGGCAAAGCATGTACGAAGTTCACGGTCCAACGAAAAGTATGGTTTCCTGGCCAGTTCCGGAGCCATCAAATTGTAGGAGCGGATCAGGACGTTGAGGTTTTTTACTTTCAACTCCATATAAGATCTCTCGATGGCCACCCATTGGCTGTCGCGAGATGGAAACCCTTGCGCTTCATCAATAGTCACATCCGTTTCTGCTTCATTGGCCTTTCTAGCCCCATCTTTTTGCAACGGCAATTCTCGGAACTTGACCATTACTAGGTCATCAGTAGTGTTCGTAGGGACAGAGATCTGCTCTGTGTCGCGAAGCCGAGGGTTGTTAGCCTGCTCTGCCAGTGCATAGGCATTGGCTCGGGCCATTTGTTCCTGCAGTGATCCGCCCAGCTCGGTAATGGATCGTGTTGCATGGCGTCTCCAGTCATTTCGTAAGCGCACCCGGAACATCTTTGCAGCACGCATCAACTCCTGTTGTTTTTCAATCCACGGTGGAACTATATCCTGCCGTTGTATCATCTTATTCAGTATGTATTCTGTTGTGTCAATGAACGGTTTGTCAGCACAGCTGTCGCTGTTTATCCCTGGACCTCGTGGGATGTTTCGAAACTGTCCGCGGGCAATTGCGTTTTCTATGCGCTCGTTGGCCAATGCTGCTAGGCCCGATATGTTAGTGGGCATAGCGCGTGCATCCGGTGTAAACCGATCCCGAAATTCCTGGCGCATAGCTTCTCGTTCTCTTTCACTAAGTCCCTTATCTGCGTCTCCTTCAAGTCCTGCGTAGGCCGCCACTTTATCTCGGACTAGCGCAATCCGCTCTCTGGAACTTTGAGTCGAGAGTCTCCCGAAGCGTAGGTCCGAAGAAGGACCCGAAACGTTGACTTTGCCTCGTATTTTTGTCGGTAACGGCCTATGCGAGTCGTCGAGCATTCGCAGCACCGTGTCTGCTGCAGGTTCCTCACCAGTCCATGGTGTCGCCGCCGCTATTCCCATCAGGCCTCTGTCTGTAGAATGCTTGTGCTCCGACCGCATTTGCGCATCAGCAATTTTGACCAGAAGTCGACTTTTAAGCTCTTCGCTGAACCCAGCATCTTCAAGCGCACGTCGTCCTGCTTGACCTCCCGTCAAAATAATGTCTTCCGTGGCATCTTCTAGCCGTCGGGACATTGCTCCTTGCGTATTTTCCCCATCTGCAGGGCTAAAAGTATTGGACTTCGGAAAGTTGTTGGTTGAGTAGAAAATTGCTTGGGCAGCCGGTTTGGGCAGTATGTGTACGACACTGTTGAAATTGGATCGGGTCCATATGGCCGCGCAGCATAGGCATGTGCACAGAGAAACGCGTCGAGCCATGGCTGTGCTTGTTGGTTATACACAGTAAAGGGAATTTATAGGTGCGCGGGTCGGATTTTCAAATATGTACACTCCGTAAGCCTACGTGACTATTTAAGCAGTCACAGCGGGTTATGATCACCCGGGGTCCCAAATTATACGACGTTGAGGCGATATTGTAGGCGGTCACAGACGGCAGAATACTCCGCCTAAGGGTGGAAACATCAGTGTGAAAACTGTGTAACTGTCGTGATCAAGAAGTAAGATATCTTACTTTGCCATATAAGGCGATGGCGATGAGAACGTCTATGTAGCTTATATTCGGCTTGAAATTGAGGGCTTTACGAGTACTATGGCGTTTTACACTGTATTTACATGCAGTCGCTAGGCATTAACGCTAGATTGGGGGTATCTTGTGATAAATAAGTATCTTACAGGTGAAAGTGATGAAATGTGTGAGTGGCTAATTACGCAGTATGGGCACTCTGTCCTTGCCGACGAAATAGAGGGGGGACTGAGGGCTTGAAAATACGGCTACAGTACAATCAATTTGGATACGACAATTGATCTGCAAGCAATTACCGTCTAGCTTGGTTGCCCAGCTCTTTCTCCCAGATCGCTAAAGCGCTCATAACCGCCATGACGGCCCACCTCTCACCCAACAAACCTGACAAGCCCGTGCCGCAAAACGAGAACTTCAACTGCTTCGTAAGGCTCATTAACGCGTCTGACCAAATCGCCACCACCTCGCGCCCATCCGATGTGAGGAACGCCGGCGCACAGCGCGGCTGTCTGGGTCCTAATGTGGCTGTGCACATGCGCACCAGCTTCCAGCCATCGTGGGCACCGCCCAGAGCAGCAATCGCACTCCCGGAGCTATGCCGCCATTCAAAAGCTTCATTGTGTATGTTGAGCCGGTCTGTGCCCACTTCCATGACGAACTGATAGGTATGTGACCATCCGTAAACAACCTCAAGCCGGACGGCGGTTAAACCTCCCCTATAGGAGATTGGAGGCGGCAATGTAGCCGACATTTGATCCGTGACGTTTGAAAAATCTACACCAGCCAGTAGCGGTGCCCGTGTGCTTGGCCCGTTATGTAGAGCTACCGTTGGGCCTGGATTACCCCAGCTGGCTCGAATGTTTACAGCATAGAGCGGTGTCTGCTGATGCTCGCCCAATGTGTAGAGGTTTGTCAAATTACCGCCGTAGAGGTTGAAGGTAGGGGGAAACTGGCGGCCGGTGGGGATGGAACCAGGTGCAGGTTGTATTTGGGATCGTCTACCGGTCGCCAGCCGCATCGGCGACGTCGGTTTCTCTTCATGTCTAACGAGACCAGCCCTTGCAGCATCGGATGCCGGTGGGCAGACAGGCGATGTGGCAGGGGGCAAGATACCGGTGGCCTCTTCGTAAGATGGTGGTGGGACATCGGGCACGGCCAGCACATTGGTATTGTCGAGGAGAAGCATGGGAGGGGTTTGATTCATCTGCCCATTGTTGTGATTATTGCTGATGGTCGGCCTTGTTGGAGCTACGGAATCAGCTCTGGAAGGTCTCCTCTCCATCAGAAAGGAATGCTCGAAAGACGTGATTAAGCCCCGGAAGGAGTAAGAATATGAAAGGCAGTTTAGATCGCCGAGGTCACGCGTAGAGAGGTAGATGTTTTGAGCGGGTAGATAGCGCGCAAAAGTATGTTTCACGATTACAAGAAGAGTACGGAGTAGTAGTAGGAGATGATAGCCAGTGGCATACGTCATCCCCCAGCCACAGGGCTGAGCATGCGCTCGCCCCACCAGTCGCCACATCAAATCCGTCCTATCCTCTCGCCACTACTCCGTACTCCGTAACGAATACGCATAAATGCGAGAGGCGATGACTCTCGAAAAATTCCATTTACGTAGTATGAGAGCCAGTAATTATCGAGTTAATCAAAATTCAAACTACAATAAAAACTATGTGGAAGCTTCAACTCGAAGCGGTGGCTCTACGTCGACTCAAACAAGTGAATCTCTGTGAAACATCAGAGTCTAGGCCTATTTATCGATAAATACCCCGTGGAGTACGGAGTACGGAGTACTGGGTTATTCGCTTCCATCTCTTTCTGTCAAATTATGGGTGACCAGTGAGCGTGTGTGTATTGTTATTGTTAGGTACGCCGACCTGCATGAAAACACGTATTAAATAGCCCTATGCGCCACACAGTATATGTAGTCTTCCATCGATCACACGGCATAATCGTGCACGCCCCTCCCATTTGTGGCCTGGTCCATTCGACACTTTCCACATGGCCATTTAATAACGTCCTAGCACAGCTGATTTTACATTATAACAATAAACTTTAACAAACAACATGATTCTCGGGCAGACATGCGCCTGAACTGTATGACGGTAAGGAATGTGCTGCCAATGTTTAATTTATTTATATTCTTTGTAAGAAGTTCCAAGTGTGCGCAAGGCTGTAAAACATGCCAAATATGAATATGACCTCCAAGCTAACAAAATGAACATTTTGGTGCCTGTATTTGCTTTTTACTCCAAATCCGGGTCTATTGCAGTTCCCAAGTCTCGGGTTTCCAAAAATGTGCGATCCAGTAGCTGGTCCGGAAGGTAGTCCTGTTTCACCCGTCCATCCAAATAGTTTGGATTATATTTATACTCCTTTCCGTAGCCCATATCTTTCATCAGCCGAGTGGGTGCGTTGCGGAGATGTACAGGAATCGGCAGCGATGCGACGCCAGGTTCCCTTAATGCCGCGTACGCATTGTTTAACCCACGGTATGCCCGTGTGCTTTTAGGTGCCAGTGCGAGAGCCACTGCACAATGAGCAAGCGGGATGCGAGCTTCTGGCATGCCGATTTGCTGGGTTGCCGTATATGCAGATGTTGCCAGCGACAGTAATGTGCTATCGGCTAGACCGACGTCCTCAGACGCAATGACGACCATCCGCCGCGCAATGAACAGCGGGTCTTCACCTGATTGCAGCATCCTGGCCAAGTAGTAGAGTGTCGCATCCGGATCAGATCCCCGCACTGACTTGTGGAAGGCAGAAATGGTATCGTAGTGCTGGTCCCCAGCACGATCGTATACCAACGTCTTGGTTAACGCAGATTTAAGGTCCTCTTTTGTACACAGCGTGATTTTCCCCGTGTTTTTATCAACTTCCCGAGGACGTGCTGCGATTGACATAGCCAGCTCTAATAGATTGAGAGCCGCCCGGGCGTCGCCATCAGCAAAAGCAGCCAAGTAGCCCAGCAGCTCACGGTCAATTAGAGGGGAAAGAGCGAAAGTTAACTTCTTCGTCTCTTCAGAAATATCAGTCTCGTTCGGTGACCCCTGGTTGTTATCGCTGGCCGGGATACCAGTCTCCTGAAGAACGGCACGCTCTAGTATGCACCGAACATCTTCTGTGGCAAGTGGAGCTAGAGTGAACGTCCGGCACCGTGAAAGGAGAGCAGTCACGATGCGAAATGATGGATTTTCAGTTGTAGCCCCAATCAGCGTGATTGTGCCTGCCTCGACCGGTTTCAGAAATACGTCCTGCTGAGCCTTCGTAAAGCGGTGAATTTCGTCGCAAAATAGTATGGTCTTGCGTCCCGTCAGCGCCAGCTCATTTGATGCATCTTGAAACAGCTTCTTGCACTCTGAAATCCCACCACTATTCGTTGCATTCATCTCGACAAAGCGGCTGCCTACTTGCTGTGCGATGCATCGTGCAATCGTAGTCTTGCCTGTACCGGAGCCGCCCCATAAGATCATGGAAGGCACCCGGTCTGCCTCAATAAGTGCTCGCAGAACGCCGTTCGGGCCAACCAGCTCCTGCCCAAATACGTCGTCCAAGTCCTGCGGACGCATGCGCTCAGCTAATGGTGCCGCCCGGTTTATGCGCGAGCGTTTGGCAGCCGGACCTTGAGCTGCCATGATATATGCGTCGTTTGCAGCCTTTGGAAGCTCTGATTGTCCCCGTGCCGACGCTGGTGTGTCATTCGACGTTCCGTTTGCCGTGTCAACCGACGAGCCATAGCCAGGTCCCTCGTCGAAACTGCGCTTGACCCCTGCGGTATGTGCCTTCGACGAGGCATGCTGCTGTTGAATAGTTATTTGAGGCCCTGACTTGCTGTTGATATCACCTGCTCCATCGGCAGTAGTTTGGCGCTTCGCCATTGGCGCCTGGAAGAAGCTGGACGCAGCACGTTTCTGAGAAGACGAAGCCGGCGAACTGGGTGGCGGTGTTGGGCGTTTTGGTCCGGCTGTAGCCCGGTTTGTGCTGAAGGTGTTTGCAGGGCTCTTCTCAATGGTATGTGTTACGCATCCGGCGTCTAGGTGTGCGTTGATTTCGATCGATCGAACGTGCATGCCACAGATTGGGCAATCAACGACAGACGCGGATCCGAGCGACCGGAATACAGGTGCCGAGGACTGTGACGGTTGTCCCTGCGAGGACGGTGCCCCTGGTTGGAAGGGAAACATGGTTCGCGTGCTTGTCGTCAAAATCGTTCCGTTCACATTTGAAAAAGGGAACGCCGAGGCCAAGGCTTCATTTCGAGAGCTCTTGAGGTCGTGTAATGCTGTTTACTGGCAGTATATTTAAAGGTACCTGAATGCTAGTATTCGAAGACGCGTGAGTTTACGAGATGAGGAGAAGACGCGCTAATAAAAATCCCGCCGCCACAGAAGCTGCCAGCAATGAGCCGCTATACGACATAGATGTTCACGTGCTCTACCAGTACTCTGTATAGTCCCTTTATGCCGCTGAAAAAGTTGTCGCTTAATAACGCCAAAACTAGCCATCACATGACCTATAAAAGCGGACAGTTTCTGACTAATATCAATTGTTTACTGGAAATTGCTCACGGTCGGTGTCTACAGACAATCCGACCATTCCCACAAAAGCCAGGCCGACCATTGTGGGTCTTTTTTTCACTTAATGATCATCACAAAAGTTTATGCCTTAGGCTCGTCAATGTACTCTGTTAGAGGTACGGAGTAGTATAAAGGAATAAAACAATTCGGCAGAATTTTTCTGCCAGGTACTCGCCTAGCAAAATATACTTCTAAGCTATGCCGACGTGTATAAAGGCCTTTATAAGATAGGCTAGTCTAGGCACTAAAAGCTATAGGTTGCATATATCTTTCCACCGTACGCTACACCCAGCACACCGCCTTTGCAGGCTTGTACCTCTCTTTAACACAGTATAAGACGTGGAGGACAAGCCTAAGGCAGTAAGTTTCTTGGTAGGGATTACTAATTGAAACGATCCACAAATAGACCCACAATGGTCGACTCAGCTTTTGTGGGAATGGTCGGGGTCACTCACAGTCGAATTTGCTATAAGATACATACGTGGGCGTACGTGACTTACATATATAGGCGGTTACGGATTACAGACGGTAGAATACGGAATACGTGCAAGTAAGTTAATACTCGTGCTACGCCCCACTACATAATTTGCGTACTCCGTACGACGTACTCTGTATCGTATCTTACATCGTGAAACGCGTACTATGATGGTTACGTTTTTGTAGACATTTAGGTGGGGCGTAGCACAAGTAAATAATATACGTTGTAATACGGAGTACTCCGTACAATGTTATACCCTCCTTAATTGCATTAAAAGCTCTCGCCTACCTTCGCTAGTCTTTGTGCTGATTGGTAGTGCTGAGACTGGCACAGGGACTGGCGCAGGGACTGGCGTAGAGACTGACATGCATACAGGCGCAGAGGGACTTGGTATCTTACATCTTGGATTTTCTTTGCTTGGTTACGCACTTTTTAGTTACGTGATCTCAAATTTTTCAGTGGCATTAAGGACGTTCGTGAGAGCTTTGACTAGTCTTATTGTTCGTTTGCTCCGTATTACGGACGTATCACGGAGTATTTCCGCCGGGAGTACTCCGTGCTTTCGTAAGATATTTTACGCAGCTTTATCTCCCATGTGTGAGTGGCTCTGAGAGATATCTTGTCAACAGATTCAGCAAGTATGTACGGACAGTCCTCCGTATAGCATCCCAATCTACGAAGTCGCACACTGAACTTCTCAAAATAGGCAAATCAGCCAGGCCCCACGTTCTCTTTGCGCGTCCCAATTGTTTGCAATAAACAGTACCAATTTGGCGTCGTCTGTTCTTACACCATGAAAGACTCTCCGCATCCGCACTGCTCCTCTGTTATACGTTAGCAGATGGCCATATAATAGAGCGGCGAGAGGGAGGCTTCGTACTTATATTTGGATTCCGAAACACAAACCGTTGGTTGAGCTTGTCTTCCACCCAATCCATTTCGCTACCAATAATGCTGAACAATGCCTTGCTGTCCACAAGCACCCGCACCCCGTCTTGCTCCACCAATTCATCAAATGCGCCTGGTTTTCCCACATACTCTAGGTTATAGGCCAGTCCACTGCAGCCACGGTTGCGCACTCCGACCTTAAGCAGTTTCGGATCTGGGCCTTCCAGCAACGCCCTGATTTGTTCTACTGCCGCAGGCGTCAGATGCATGGCCGCCTTCCGCGGCGCCCGTAGCTTCGATGGGCGCCTGGTTGTCGGTTTGACCGAGGCAATAGCTGGAGCCGTATTTTTTTGCGTAGACGCAGTAGCCACAGCTTGTATTGGGTCTGCTGCACTGCCTGACTTCAGTGCTGTAAGGAGGTCAGATGGCGGTTCAGACACACCCTTCTCCGTCTCTTGTGGCTTAGTTGGTCCAATTGCCTTGACAGAAGGTCGCGGTGGAGGCCGCATGGTCGTTGATGGATCCGATTCGAGATAAAGGGAATGTCGCGTGTACGGTACTTTCGAATGAGAAGATATTACCGACGATGAGACGACTTCTACTGATGATGGGGTAGTCAGGGCAGCCGATGCGGCCGGAGGCTGTGTGTGCGTGGTGCAAGATATGAAACGTCGGCACGATAGCTGGAGGCGTGAATGCTGAGAAAGACGTATGTAGGAGGTTTGCGACATCAAATGCTCTTGCTGCTGTTGCTGTTGCTGCAGTCGCGAAAGTTTAAGGCTTTGGCGATATAATAAGCATACAGAGCTTCGCCCCGGTAACGGTAAAACTCCGTTCATGCTGGTTGAGCGATAGAAATTCGACGAGTTCTCTGGTGACTGCTATACTGGTAGCAAGACAAGAAAATATATATTTTGCTGTGGTATGTGGATTGTGGTATATGAGCATTGGTATATTGGCTGCGGTACTCCGTATATGGTAGCGGTGCAGATTTAGAACGGGCATCTTAAAACCCGGGATGCGAGATGGCCGCAATGCAAACAAGATACGGAGTACGTAACGTACACAGTGCATACTTCATGCATGACTTTATTCATACTGTATTGTGACATGTTCCGTAATTGGCCGAACCAATCAGATTTACGTAGTTAGTCAACTCAAGGCGCTGCGGCTACTAAATACCAAATCGGCATCCACTTTAGCAAAACAAGAGATCTCCAAATTAGAGGCATGATTGAGAGTAATCTGCTCTTACCATATTATATTGTACAGAAATTGCACCCCGTGATTCGACAATATGGTTGTTAAAGGCCAAGGGTCGGATTCAGCCAAAGAGCCAGACGTTGAGAAAATTGAGGCCCATCGTCCACTCTCATTCTCTTCCCTCTAAAAGAGACTTCACATCTGCCACGGCAATGCGTGCGACCTTTTTCAGAAGTGTCCGTTCATCTGCCTCACGGTACTTCTCCCAGCTGTCAAGGCCTTCTTTGGCCTGGATGCTTAGTGTCTCATAGCCTTGTTTTATGGTTTGAGCGACCTGCAGACTGGTCAAGGCTGAGGTCGACGAACCGCCACCTTTAACACGTCCGCCCTTCCCCCCTTTGTTCACTACTCCATCATCCAACATCTGCTTATAATGTGTACTCACGCTAACTAGCGTTTCGATGCTACTCGCCGGTCGGCTCGCCAGCTTATATATGTCACGGAATTTCACTAGGACCTCACCTGCCTCGACGACCTTGTAGAACAAATCGTCATAGGCTGCCGGGGTGGGCAAAAACGACTCGCCCGCCGACAAAGCCAGCGCCATAAGACTAACCACATGATCGATCAGAGTCTCCAAATGTGGCAAGCCCTGCAGATCGGCAGCGTATGTTGTGAGAAAGCGAACAAGGCTGATCAGTGCGCGAAAGAGCTCTGCCCAATGATACGCTAGCCGTGTGCGGGTTCGCGACAAGTGCGCTACGAGCCGCAACAATATCCCCACGCACGATGTGTACAGGCCAATGTCGAGACGCCTCTGCAGATTATGTGTGATGCTATCAACCATAGCGTCCATCACACTGGCTGCTAAAGGGCGCGGTTGCTTGACGAGCGGTAGATGCGGCAGACGTTGGCGGCAGAGGCGTACGGACACACGGCTCTCGTCACTGCACATTCGCTTGCACAGCGCTACGTCCTCAATCAGCAGCCGAAAAACCATGAGGCCCACATGTGCGTAGAGGGTGGTGCGTTGTGAACAGAAAGCGTGCTGGAGAAGATAGGACGCAAGTGAGATAAAGCTCGCAATGGGATGCTCAGCTTCGCCGCCTGCACTTCTGGGGGAGCTTGCACCAACACTCGCCCCCAGTGATGTGACCAAACTGGAGCAAAACAGCTTGTTGGCGTGTGTGAAATCATATGTCGCTAGCAGAACTGCTGCCTCATCTCCCGGCAAGGCTGCGAACATCCGGCTTGCCGTTTCGGCGTCATACACAGGTTTGGGTGGCGCGTGTGTTCCCGGTGCTATCGCGCTCAGTCCGATCAGTCCCAAAGTGTTAGCCAGAGTCCAACCTTCTGGCGCGTCATCTTGAATGACCACATATTGATTGCGAAGTCGTTGACAGCCCTCGCCAACGCTGTGGAGGATCGTTTGTATAGCTTCCTCGTTTACAAAATCGGCGAGACGCAATTGATAGGGATTGCGGAATTCGAACTTGTTGTAGTTGGCTAGGAGGCCGAGAAGTACGAAAGATTCGAATATTTGATTTGAGGCATCCGTGTCGATTATGGTCTGTATTGAATGTCAGCATCTCCCCACAAATTGGACAGCAAGAAGAGGGAAAGGGGAGAATACGAGGCAGCATACCCGTATAATGGACGGGAATAGGTCTCGGTGGATGAAGTAGGTGAGAAGCGTTGTTTGATAAGCTCCAGCCGCCGTGGCCAGAGCGACGTCCACCACCTTGGCTCGCAGCGATGGCGTCCGTCCGTGTCGCAGCAAGCCATCTAGCACCGACACGAATTCGGTCATCACTGTGTCGACATTGTCAAGACCTGCCAGCACAGCAATTACATCAGAGCTTGGGTTCGTGTACTTTTTGGCCAAGACGGCGGACAAGAATGTAGTCAGTGTGTCAAGAGCCGCAGCGGCAGCCGTCTCGGAACGGACAGGCCGCCGCTCGGTGCTAGTCCTATCAGGCCCCTTGTCAATGACACCCCCAGCTGCCACCGCTATAGCTCTCGAGAAAAGCGCCCGCGTCTGACTCTCAACTACTAGCAGCTGGGGCGGCGACAATGCTTCGATTCGATGGCGCAGGGCGCTACGGTCGGGTCGCAATAGGAAAAACTCCGTCCAAAAGCCGTCAGAGGCGACGAGAAAATCTTCATCCTGTCCGAACGTTAGCCCAGGGGCGGGCGGGGGGAGTCCTTGGTAGACAGCTTGTTGGGAACTCACAGAAAACAGCTCGTCGTACAGCTGGACGATCTTGGGCTTGAATACCTCAGGGCGAGGCTGGTGGGTTAAAGGGGACTGTTCCATGGAGATAGCAAGACAGACCGCTGTTGTTGGGAGCACAGCCGTGGACTGGGAGTGAGGTTCCTAGTAAGGGTCGTCAAGTCATGTGCTGCTGAGGTCTGGTATGCGTAAAGGGTGAGTGGTCCAAAGAGGATGCACTGTTGCAGTTGTCAGCACAAAAAAACCGTATGAGTGGAGGATACTCCGTAAAGTAGAAATTGATTACGTTGCCTCTTTAGCTTCGGAAGCTAAATCAAGGAGGACGGCTTAATTAGGGGGCTGGCCTGGCGTTAGTGCCGAAAAAAACGAAACGGGCTTCCAACTCTGTGATCAGTTCGCACCCATTGAAGCTCGTACAGTAGCCAATCCAATTTTCTGCTCAAGAGGCATACTTTGGGATAATCGCAAGATAGGCAAGATATAACAACATACGATAACCCATCTCGACACGAGCATTTCTACGTCAATCTTGACCGTTCGTGAAAACGAATCCTACCTTTTTGGATACCGACCAAAGAACCACCCGCCTCCATGTGCTAGTTTCATGTCGCTTACTATTCTGCGGGCTGATAAACAACCCATACATTAAAAGGCTAACAAACAACATTCAAGTCCTTTTTGCCCCAACTCAAAAACAAATGAGAGGAGATTGATGTCTCTCTATCTCCTCCGCCAAACTGCTCTTACAGTTCTTCGATGTCTTGGTATAAACAAAAGTATGTTCCGTATGCGATGGCTAATAAAACGCAAAGCTAAAAGACCAAAAGCAAAGCCGAATTGAGCTGGTACCGTCTGAAGGGCTAGACGCCCCAGCTGCCACGCCGTTCACGCATGCCCCAAGCCAACGAACTGATACCATCCAGGTCAGGGTGCTGACGAGCCCATTCGTAAATGTACAGCTTGAGGGCATGCCATCGAGGGCAGTCGTCGTGACTCAAACGCATCGACATATATCCATTGCCAGTCTTCCCGCTATCATTCCCCAAGGAGATATGACCTCTAGCGTGGCCGGGATTATCCAAAGCCTTGGCATCATCGCGCTCTAGGTCAGCCACAGGGACGCCAGAGATTTTGGACAGCTCATCGTCATATGCTCGAGCCATGGCTGGGTAACCTAGAGACAGATAATTGTAAACCTGCGTGACAAATGTATCTGTGAACTCGGTGGCAATTTTCTCCTCTAACTCTGCCATTTTCTTCTCCTGCTGCAGCCTTCCGTCCAGTCCCATGAGCACATGCAGTCCTTCAGTGTCAGCCTGGCGTTGCAGTTTCGAACGATGCTGTTCCAGTCTTAGTGTCATCGTCCCAGCGCCAGCTGGCAGCGTGCCGACCGACTGCGAATTTAAAGCCGCCGCAAACAAATCATGTTCAGACTTAGACCCATGTTTCCCACTACCAGTCACATGTTCCGGTTCTGCACAGACTGTCCCGGGCTCGCTCGCACTAAATGCGTGAGCGAATGGGTCGGCGGGAGAACTGGGTGGGAAAGGTGTTGCGAGCATGACAGGGCGCTCAATCGGCGCCAGAGCTTCGTTTTTCTCGCGCGAGTAGCAAAATCCGTTCCACAAACCATGTTTTCCAGTTGCGTCGCGGTGAGAATCATTTCTGGAATTGCTTGTGCTCCATAGATACTCTGGCTCCAGCTGTGTCTGCTTGGGAGACAAGCACTTGGGAAATATCAAATCCTTGCCCAGCATGGGCGGTGATTTTCGCCGCGATCTGCGTACATCCCTCTCAGCAAATAAATCACGATTGCGATAACCAGCAAAAGGGCCGCGCCCACGAAATAGACTCTCGGGTGGGAGATGCGCAATGGCTAATGATGCCGTCGGGGTTTCGGTCACATGCTCTTCCGGCGCGGATGCCACGTAGGGCATGAGAGATTCGCCAATAGGTCCTGGGGTCGATGTAATATGTCGCGATATTTCGTCCTCGTCTTCTTCATCGGTTTCCCCCTCTGCCTCTCTGAGCCTCTGGGCATAGGCCGGAATCCCCCGATAACCATCGGTTGCTCGTGGGAAGTCGAATGCCACTTCCGGAATATAGGGCATGTGTGTTTCACCCATAGCATGGAGCGGAGAGTCCGGGGTTGAGTGGCGAGCAGTTGTGGTCCAGATAGGATCACTTGGAGGACTTTCAATGTGCATCCGGTCGAGTTCAAGTGTTGAGATACGTTCTAAACGGTTAGGTGCCGGCGTGGCGGCATCTGCTGGTGCGACAGCATCTGCCTTTTCTGTTTCTTCCACATCTTCGGTTGTGCTTTCGGTTGTGCTGACAGATGGAACAATGTAGGGAGAGCTGCCATGGGCAATAGAAACGTTGCGGGTTTGCAAAAGAAGGTCGTGATGCTCTTGCAATTCCCTCAGGGCCCACCCGACGTCTTCAGTGAGCGAGTCGCGGCGGGATCGGCGTCCGGCACGGTAAGGTCGTGGGCCAGTAATTCCGTGGCTTTGAGAACTACTGCTATCATCATCAGAGGCTTCGCGAATGGCGAAGTGTTCAGCGCCGCCAGCACGGGCTCGACTATTTGGGAAGGCAGCCAAAGCGTCCTCAAGAATGCGCTTTTCGTTTTCCCGAACAAGAGTCTCAAAAAAATGGTCGGCAGTTTCGTCATCGCAAGACTCTCGGCGAGCGAGTGACATTAGCCTTCGATGATTTTTGCGTGCCTTCGGTGCATATATGTGATTGTGGTAGGGCGTGATATCGGTCTTGTCGGCAGGTTTGGTGGCTGGCCCAACATCGCCGACTCGTCGGGAACGTCGAGAAGATTCGATCAACTGGGGGGCGAAACGCCTCTTTTCCTTCTCCTTGGTCCATAGTCGGCGAGGCGGCGAGGGCGATCGTGGAGATGGAGATGGCGTTAGCACCGCAGTAGGGGCGCCTTTTCTGTAGCGTTCAAAGGTTGTCTCGATTGGCACCGGCGCAAAACGCCGGCGAGGCAACAGATTCGTTTTGATGAGCGTTTGGTCCATACCATCAGAAGTATTGGGAAGGGCCTAAGGAAAAGTAGACAGCGGTGTTGCTGTTTGCCAGAGTTCACAACGATGCAATGCCTAAAAATGTAGAGAAGCGGTCTGCCGTACAAATAAAGCGTAAAAGCGCAGCCGTCAAAGTTAAATTGTCGAACGGCTTTCTGCTAGTAGAGCATGGCTCCTGACGGCCGGTCCCGGTGTCTCTGTTCTGGTTTTCAAGCGCGCAGTCCTCCCTCTCTTCGCGTCCGACATGTAAGGCAGTTGTTTGGCGGGAGGCAAGATATCTTAGATTGTGCAGTGGGGGTAGGTCTAAGGCGAGAGACAGCAAGAAACGGAGGAGACGGCGGAACAAAGGGACGGGGGTAAGTCACGGCATGTCAAAGAACGCGGTAGCGAGCTGGACTTGAACGGAGTATGGTGCGATGCTTCAACGAGGGGAAACAGGCTGCAGACGCGGAATGGGCGGTCAGAGGAATACTTCGTCGTATACGGAGTAGTCGCAGGCAGTGGCGACCGGTTGCGTGGCGGGATATTGTCCATTCTTTTTTGTATGCTATACTCCGTACTTACTCGTAGGCGCTGTTGGGCTCTGCGGTGCTAACAGCGGATTCCGAAGCCTTTCAATGAACCCCACTACCCCACTAGCTTCACCAAAAAATGTGCCAAGTTGTAGGCTGCACCGTGCTTAGCCGTCACCAGACACTTTTGCGAGCTGCAGCCCGCATGGTGTACAATACGAGTGTTTGTGCTCCGTAGGGGTGCTACCTACGGAGTAGCTATTACGGGGCATTGTCATCAAATTTCTCGTCCACGAGGGCGAAAACGCAGAACTAGTCGTGAAGCATCCCTGAGCTAAAACGTATCTTATTTTGGGCAAAACTCCGTATGAGCACTGGAAATTAGTGAGCTGCCGTGGGGGTTACGCGTTCGGTCCCCCCTTCTTCCTCGCAGCCCAAATGAACCAAGCAACCCATACATAGTAGGGGCGAGAAGCTGCATAATAGCTGTTCCTCCTCGTCCACGCCCACTCGAGATCACTCAAACTCACTATTGGTTTTCTTCCAGGTACTACTCCGTACTCGTACAGGTATTGACCTGCCAGAATGTTCTTATGCCGGTCGTGTGCAGCTGGACAAAGAGTGCCTTGAGATGGAGAATAATAAATGGCCTTAACCCAGAGCGGTGAAACAAGGGCGAGCGCTGATGCGGTGTAGGGGTTTCTCTTATCCACTCTCGCCAGAATATTCAGGCTCAGCCCCGCGTGCCGTTGGGACGTTGCTTGATACTCCGTACTCCGTACAATATCTTACGAGTACGAGTATTCCCATACATAAAATACACGGAATTGCCAAAGGGGCAAGCAAGAATTACCATTGGGTAGATAATGTACTTCGTATTCCGTACAAGAAAATTCACACGGCTTACTTCGTAGATACTCGTACATGAGAACCCAACTCGTGTTTTCGGACATTTGCTGTGTGCTTTTTTAGGACGACTACGGAGTATCTTACATGACTTACTTATAGGAGTATGGAGCATACGCATCTAGTCCCGCCTTGCATGCAAGATATCTTAAATATCTTTCGAATCTACACATATTTTCGAACTACTCCGTACATTACGTCCTAAGCAAAAGAAACTGCTCAATAGAGAAATGTTAGCCGTATATGGTATACCCCATCTCAAAAGCAGTCAATCTAGGGCTTTCGCCGACCTACTCCGTAATCCGTAACATACTTGCTGTAGCAAAGGAAAGAATAGAACGCGCGCCTACAGATTACTCCGTACGGAGTACTAAGATACGACTTAGTGTTTGCTGCACGAAGTCGTACTAGTATCGAGATCTACTATGGATACATACATAGTAGCAATTATGTGAGGAGTACTCTGTACTTCGTGCCATGATAGCGAGGAACAGATATTATTGGCTAGACCGAACTTGAAGATTTTGTGCCCTTCGGTTTTAGCTAGGTGATTCTAGCATTATAAGATATATTACGTCAGTGTAGGCCACAGGCCCAAAGCAGTGCCAGAAGGAAGTAGCAGGTGTGTGTTTTGTATATCAAGCTGGATCCAATAAATCGCTCGGTATACTTTAGAGAGAGCTCCGAATTGAGTGCAAAAGTTTACTAACAGTGCCTTGACAATGAAGTCAGTAGATCATTACCATGCGCGCCCAAACTTCGCCTGTTAACTAATATTGCGTCTTTACCAAGAAAAACAAAACATTCGTTGTCTGATGCGAGGCGAGGGACCTGGAACGTCAGCCGCAACCCCTGGTCAAGCTGGCCCGTCGCGTATCATCCGTTGATATGGTGTCTCTCTTGTCCTAAATAGAGTTACTGCCTTTTTTTTTTTGCCTTATCTACAACCAGTCTTAAGTTGGAGCCGCCTACGAGATAATGCTTTGAATTTGTCTTGGTCTGGCCAGCACGCTGGCGCCGCCGTCTTCGTCGCTTTTTCTTAGCCAGGTTCTTAGCCAGATTCTCCACGCGGATTAGCTGCCAACTTTGTCCATTCTGTGCTGACATCTGCGCCTTGATTTCCCACTCCCTCCTCCGGCTTTCGTTTGTCTTCATTTATTGTTCATTTTCCTTCAGTCTGGCGGATTTCATCCTACCCCAACCACTCACCTTTCTTTGCAGGCTTTACTTCTGCAAAGTCTATCAGTCCTGTCGCAGTCCTGTCGCCATAATATAAACACATGCCAGCGAAATACTTGAGGGACGGGCTACACTACATGCACAACTGTTATTTACATTCCCGGTGGCCACAGGTCGACAGGTCTTTTCTCGATTGCCGCATTATGCGCAAGACAACATAAACAAGCTCGACCAGAAATCCACGACAATAGCCATGTGCACAGACAACAATGTCGACAACGCAATAAGTACGAGGCCAATTCCAGGCTCTTCATCATCAGCCCGGCTTGGCTCTCCTTCGTCTGTCTCTGTGTCGTCGTCTTCGCCTTTTTCTGCCGCCTTCTTGTCGATGGCCGGTGTTTCCACCACGACGCCCTTATCATCTCTAGACGGCTGGGAGGCTCGCTCTCCCACCAGCGTTATGGGTCGCACTAGAGCGGATGTCGTGGCCAGCCATGGAGCCTTGGATGCGAATGTGGAGAGCGGTGCGACGCGTAGCTCGTGCAGCATCGAGGTCGACTCCCATAGGTGTGCACCCTGGTGTATTCGCGCAAATGCCCCCTTTCCGTTTACCTCGTTTGCAATGACAAGTCGAGCGAGAATGAACTGTATGAAGTGCGACGTCGAGATATCTACGTCGTATATTCGTATGGAGCACATACATATACTGGGGTAAGCTAGCTAACGAAAATCGTCTTGTTTACAGCCTACCTAGAGAAGTGGCCTCTGCGTCTTTCCCTGCCCAATCCCGGCCGCCTGCACAAGTCACCGAAGCATCGCATAGGGGAGCGGCGGGTCCACAATTCCTCACGAACTCGATACGACAAAACAACCTTCTCGGCTCCAACGACTTCATCAATACTGACGCAACCGAATCTTCCACCTGCCCAGCTTCGGTCTCACAGGCATCGCTATCGTCATCGACACACCAGCTCACATCCTTTAGGACGGCAGAAACCCCATCTAGCTACAAGTGCCTGGTGAGTAAGAATCATCTTGGTCAGGCCGCTTCATTCTCGTCAGCGTTGGTGCGACCTAAATTTTTGAAATCGCCGCCGCCGCCACAACAGCCTGCCATTGTGCGTACAACCTCGTCACACAGAAAACTTGCCCTGCGGCAGCCTGTGCCAGACACAAACGTGCGCTCGGGGGCTTTTGCTGGCAGCATCGCACAGCTTGAAGCCTCTGCCGAACGCCTCTCCATGACCAGTTCCATTGACGACGCCATTCGGGAAGAGCACCAGGAGCTTAAGCGCAGCGACAGCAGACGGTCCTCCATTTTATCAGCAAGCATCCGACAGATCGCAGCGCAGACAGCTTCAGACTCGAGTTTTACGCTCGTCGATACCTCTTCCTTCCAGTGTCGACCCACTTTTTCCAGACGAAACTCGATCATCGAGCTAAACAGCGCCTTACGAACGGCTGTTTGCTTTTCTCCAAGCAATCACAACATGTCCTCAACCTCCTCTGTATCCGGTACTGGCCTACGGCGACCGGGGAGCAAAGGAAACAGTATAGATAATGGCAACATATTACCTGCTGCCGGGGAGCAATCAACTGCTGCGAATAGCGGCCTCCCCTTTATGTCTCGTCACGGGCCGGGGAAGGCTTCGGTTCACAGCAACCGATCTGGTCCACTAGTCCTCCCAGAAATCACCGAGACAGATCCGCGGACGACCCTGACTTGGAATGCTTTAGATGACGCCGGCCGTTTGATGGCTTCCGAAAGTAACCGTGGAGAGGGCGCGACCCATTCGGAAGCCCACGGGCATCCTGTGCCTGATCAAATATCTGTCTCGAACGCTCACGTCAACGATTTGACAAACAATCATGAATTCTGGGGGTTGCCAGCCGCAGGAAAAAATGCTCAACACGCAAAGCATAATCCCACGGCGTTTGAGGACTACCGACCGTATACTTCGGAAACTAACGGGCCATATGGGGGTTCCCACGGTGAAGGTATTCAACAACAGAGAGGTCGTGAACGGCCAACATCGTCAGCTTCAGTCGGCACATACGATCAGGCAGAAGCGGCCTTTGGTGATTTTGACGGGGTCCATTGCGACCCGGACGCGGCGAATGACCACCCTGTGCCACGTCAACTTCAGGCCGATGTACCCCCACCACTGCAGCTGCCGCGCCACTCGCTACCGCCGCGGCCGACTTCATATTTCGATCCCGGAAGTGGTCGCCAGATGTTGTACTATCCTGCGCGCGTGCCTGCCATGCTATCACTACCTCCCAAACTGTCCAAGAAGCCCAAAGCCGCCGACAGGAACAACAGACGATCTCAAGTCCTGAGCATGTTTGTTCAGTCAGAGTCAAGCCCTAGAGAAGAACAACATCAGACACATAATTGGCTTCCAGATCCCCTAGCAGGGGACCTCGGCTCTCCCCTATTGGACACGGAAGAGCTCACCAATGATGCGGCTGTACTGGGCCTGTCAGCCCCAACGCAAGCTGCCCGAGCAGCAATTAGAAACTCTGAGTCATTTGTCGAAAGCTCCCCGTTACCAGATGCAGGCACACCTGTGGTGGGTGACCCAAGAGCCACCGCTGGGCCATTAGGTGGAAGCTCGGCACCGGGACCGAGCAACCTTGGCCGCCCACCTCGCTTGGTAGACCCCGAGAGACGCAAATCGCGAATGGCAATGTTGAGTTCGCTTCCGCCCCAGTTAAGGGCCTCCGCTTTTTTCGATTTACCAGCATCTACGGCCGATGTGCAGGTAAAGAACGGATCTGCTATGGACACGCTTGACAGCATACTTGACGCGGCAGCAAGCGCTCCTGTGAGTGCGTTTACCGATCATGCATTTGCTGGCAGACTAGGCGCGGAAGTATATGGGATGGGAAAGAAGCGCAACAAACGCAACACTATCACCGTTTCCGGGGCGTCTGGAAGTTCAAGAGAAGGCAAAGGTAAAAACACCCCCTATGCGGATCAGAAAGACGACCATGCCAAATCCAAAACTCGCGGCTCGTTCGTATCACTAGTTGGACACATAAGGAAGGTCAACGAACCTGTGGGCAAAGATGATGATGATCAATCTACCAGGAGCTCAGCCAACAGACGCCACGATATCACAGCCGATGGCGGTGGAGATGGAGTGCCAAGCCTTGAGAGGGAGGGCACAGCGAGCTTATTAGCGCCTGATGAAGACGAGCAGTCTGCCGAAGAGGATGCAGATGTGGACCAGGGTGAGAATGGTGAAGATGGAGACGAACTATATGAAGGTGCGCCAACTACTCTGCTTGCCGAACTTCAGTTGCGTAAACAGCAACAGAAGCTGCGTACGCAGCCCGCATACAAAGCATTCCCCAACGGGATGCACTCAACTCTTTTGGAGCTAGATGCTGTGGCAGAGATCGAACGGAAAGCTCGAAAGGGTAAAAAGGTGAACTTGGCGTGGGAGGACCCATCTATGAATCATGGTGAGGACGATGACGACGACGACGTACCGTTGGGCTTGCTGTTTGCCGCCAAGGCTGCCGGGCATGGCGACATATCGGCAGTGGTGGCTGAAATAAACCGACCGCTTGGCCTGATTGAGAGAAAGGAGCTTGAAGACAACGAGCCGCTTAGCAGACGCCGCGACCGGCTGCAAGGCCGCAACCCTGGCGTCAACATGTATCTCGCTAGAGGTGACAATGCCATGAAGCGCCAAAATATGCTAGGGCTGACACCGACCATGGCTGCCGTCAATCGGCAGCTTGGTGGTGCTGGTCTACCAGACAGGGCAGCGGACATCAGCGATGAGGTGGGCGAGGTTGAGGATGAGCCATTAGCTGCCAGACTGCGCAGAATCAAAGCCAAAGAGGAAAGTGAACTTCCCAAGGCGCGTCCTGTCAGCACCGCTTTTTCGGCCGAGCTCCTGAGCCATTTCGGCGACCCTGAGGAAGACGCCAAGGAAAGATTAGAAGGCGGTGAGAAGGGCACGGCCAAAGACAGGGCCAAATTGGAGCTAGCAGAGGAAGAGGAGACACTGGGTCAACGTCGCCGTCGGCTGCAAGCCGAGAGGGAAGCACGAGAGACGGAGATGTTACTCACCGGCGGTGCCTTTGATACACCTACCTTCAATAACCAAGCTTTGGACGCCCTAACGGGCACCGACCAGCTTACGCAGCGCATTTCCATGGCCAATGTCCTCAGCGCTCACCCACTAGAATCTGCACGTGGGGCGCGAGATCCTCGGGAAGCGGAGCGGCAGCAGAAAGCAAACTCAGCAGCACGTGCAGCTCGCGAAAAGGAGCAGAGGATGGCAGCAATGCGCGCACAGATGCCCCAAGCAACCCCCACTACCAGCATCGGTGATGGCTTGTCCAAAACTAGCGGGTTCATAGGCGGGCAATATAACAGCAACGGCGGTGGACTGGGCATGTCGTCACTGATGCCGCAGACTAGTGGACCTGCTCTTGGCCCCTGGGTAACTTCTGGAGGCATGACTAGGCCAGCGGGAAATGCTGTGCGTCTGAACTCGCTTGCGGCCGTGAACCACCCAGGCGGCATGGGACTCTATCCCGGCAACATGGACCCGAGACAGAGCAGCATGGCAACGCGCGCGAACACGATGCACAACGGATATGGATATAGCCATGCTTATGGTGTAGGTCAGAGCCAGGCCTTAGGTGTGGGCATGGCTGCCGGCCCCTTCTCGGGCGCCGGCTTTGGTGTTGGCTTTGGCACCAATTCTTACGCGGGCTATGCTCCCCATTCGCCGTCGATGCCCATGCAGATACCTGTCCCGCCGCCAGGACAGGTAGATCGCGTCGAGCGATGGCGGCAGAGTGTGATGCCTTGAGCAGCCTCGGTTGTGTACTGGTTTGGTGAGCTGCATTGCGTTGGCGCTTTCTATTTTGGAGGAAATTATGGTAGGGCTTCTCTAGTATGTTTCGCATGTATAATAGTAATAATAATATATTTGAAATTGCAGAAACGCGCATCATAGTGACTGCTCGAGATGCTCGTGCTTCTTGTGCCTATGATCTAGATAATCTTTAGTAGCCTTAAGTATAAGATGATAGCAATACACGATATCTAAGTTTTCTCCCTTGCCTCTAACGAGGTTGATACGATGTGATAAGTTCTGTCCCACTATCTCCCACCGACTTTTCCGCGTGCGGTCTATAGCATGCTATCTCAGCCCCGCGACCCTTCGTGCCGCAAGGCCAACGCTTCCCCAAGTCACGTAAGCGCTCACCTCCGCTTTGAAAATGTCGTTGCAGACTTCTTCTGCATCTTGGTTGGGGGCACAATGCTGCGGTCCTCGCCGTCTTCTTCTTCTTCTTCCTCCTCGTCCTCGTCGATGTCGTCAAAGTCAACCTCGTCCTCCTCTACCACGCTAGCTGCATCCATCTCCTCGATGTCATTAGCACCCTCATCTTCGCGGTCGTCTCCATCGTCGCTGTCTGCCTCGTCGTCATCCATTTCCTCGAGTTCCTCGTCGGAGACACCCAAGCTGCCAGTGGCTGCAGATCCGGCAACTCCAGCGACGATTACTGCATCGCGCGTGCCAACCTCCTCGCCTTCATCGTAAACGGCCACGTCGTCCTCCTCCTGACCAACGAGAGCAGCCCCGCGAGAGCTGCGACGTCCCCGGCTGCTTTGTCTTCTGCTACCCCCGATAGAACGGATACCGCTCGTCAGAGCCCCGGCTTCCGAGGTCAGTCGCGCCCCGCCCCGCTGGCCACGCCGTAGCTGCATCTGCGCCTCTAGCATGTCCAGCTTGCCCTTGAGTAGTAGCAGGCTGTTGAGACCACGTGCTCGCTCCTCCAGCACTCGGTGTAGCTCTTGAAGTGACTTTGTCACACCCGGCTGGCTTGCCAGCGCCCCACCATGCGTGATGAGCGTCCACTGCACCCATCCGATCAGTGTCTGTGCCCGCCCCGGGCGCCGGTACATCCGTGCTGCTAGTTTCTGTAGAAGAGGCCCAGCCAGCGCCGGGTCCATGCGCTGGATAGTGTTGCGTACCCAGGTTGCATCAGTTGTCGTGTTGAAACAAAGTTCAAGATTTGTGTCATCATTGTTGCGCAACGCAGCGTTCAGTAGGTTTCCGAGAGAGGCAAGGCTTGGTGAGCGTTTAGAGAGACCATTGTTCGCACCATCGGCAACAATCATGTCTCCTTCTGATACACTCTGTAGCAAGCCTAGCATCGCAGACACATCCACAGTCTCCTGTTCGCGGATAAGGTCTCCAAAAGTAGGCTCCTCGTCGGGAATGTTGGCATCGTCCTCATCTTCCTTGTTGTTCCTTTTTCCGTTCCCAATAGACACATAGTCTTCGTTAGATCTGACGCATAGAGGTAGACTATTTGCTTTAGCTTGTTCGCTTGCATCTGCCTTCTCGTCCTTATCATCCATGCCGTCCATGCTGGCATCGTCATTCTGGCTATCCGAGTCACTGGAAATCTCAACCACTGCTTCGCTGTTGCCTTTCCGAGCAACAGTAACTTTTGAAACCGCCGCAACCGATGCATTCGTCTCATTAACTCGCGGTTTTATTGTCGGCTTCGCGCTCTTTTTGGTGGTCGGTTGGACAACCTTTACTGGCGGCGCTTTCCTCTTCGTTGATGCCATTATTTTGGCGTGGGTGAAATACCTTTCAGTTGACTTGTAAGTTGCAAAAATTTGAGCCTGCGGAGCACCGATGGCAGATTGTGGTTTTTGGGTAATCCGATTCCTTCAAACTGACCACACTGATTGTTTGTTTGAAGGTCCATATGTAGCTTCAACAGAGACTGTCCGTAGCATTGGCAGAAAGCAGAAGCAATAAAAAAACTTCCCGATAGCCAGTTTTTTTTTATCATTCTCCACATAAGATATCGATAAAAGTCACATGGCGATAATAATGACTTATCACGTGCCACTGTCTCTCATAAGTCTGAGATTACTCGTACATACATACAGTTGTGGCGTAAGATAAAATACTCCATTTGCCCACAATATGTATGTACTCGAGACGCGACAAGAACGAGTCGCGTACTCAATCAAGACTCGTTATGATAAAAATAACCTTCGTGATGCCGCTCTATAGAAGCAAAATACCAATAAGAGGACCTGCCATTTGGAAAGCGTGATTTCAGTGGCTAACTCCCTTAGGGCTTCTCCTATGCTACAGTAACCGTTTGGTGACTATGTCGCTAATACTAGGCTATGTTATGTCTCTCGAACGGAGTATCTTACAATTCAATCGCAGCATTTGCAGCATTAAGCATTGCTCTGTCTGTTAGGATCTGGCTTCGTGTTTTGTTTCGGAACGACGTTGCGTGGCTAGGGGGCATACGCGATTTAATTGGTCGCACGTTGCTGGGTGGTAAGCAAGGATACATAAGCACCCTCCCATTTTAACTTTTTTTTCCTGTTACTTCTTTTGCCCTTTGTCCTTTCTTCTTTCCTTTTTTATTGTCCTTTAGTGACCGCGCACAGACCATTTAGCAACCCCACTTTACACACACTGTGTCGTCGTTTAAGCGAATCAGAGATAAGAACAGATCAGAGGCTTCGGAGTCCTCAAAATAAATACCTCCCGCCTTCCAACCGGGACAGATATGTGATTTTTCTCTGGTTTTATTTTTAAAAGCGACGTACCTCCGGTCCCACATCCAATCATTGTCCTTCATCAGGACACCTCTTCGCTGACTACGCATCAAACTCAACCACAAATACCTAAACTCTTTTATTACTCCAATTTTCCTATTTGTTTCTTCAATTCTTCCCCTGCCTCCACCCGCCACACTCGCCACAAATACCCGCCACATACCTCAACTAAGTAGCCAGCCACTACTGAGAATCTACCAGCCTTCTCAAATGTTCCATTAAGTCAGTGCTAATCTAAAGCCATGCGATTACCTTCACTGAAGGGAACCGAAACCTCCCAAACGATGGCTACCTTTGGACATGTGTTATTGCTAACGACATATTCTTCTAGCTAGCCCTTTCGTGATTTCTGTCGCTCCTTTCTCGCCGGATACCCCATATGCTCTACGGATGGCTGTCGTGATATCATCACCCTCGGCCGATATCGTTTATCTTAATCAGAAACCAAGTCCCGACATGGCATCTCTTTCCGGTGACCATGCGCCCACCAGCAACGGCGTTAATGGGTAAGTAAGATGTTTAGTGCGATTTGCTCATCGTCGCATTTTGTCTTATTATATGACCTCGTTTGTGGGCATTGTTGAGCCTGCGCCCTGATCCCCTACTTTCAATTCACTTTGCTGTTATCTGTTGTCGACACCCCCACGTGACACGCGTGCTTACTTTTATCACACTGTCCATTCCATATACTGGCCGTTCCCTATTGTACACATCGGCCGCCATCACAGCCGTGTTTGCGCGCGCTTTGGAAGTCGTGATCTAACAAGTGGCACTAAACAGACGCGTCCATTCGACGTCCACGGAGACAAAAAACGGTCTCGACGATCGCGACAACACTGTCACCACTGATGGGGAGCCTGAATCCATCGACATCGTGGTCAGCAACGCCAAAAACGCCAGCGCTTTCATTGCGAATGAGGCACTCGAGGAGCGTCAAGGGAAAAGAACGGAGGAGAACGACAATGAGGTCTCTGACAGGAAGGACGAAGTGAGGAGTTCAAGTGCCAATTCCGGCAACGGAGCAGACGCAACATCATCCCAACCGACAGCAACACTTGGAGAGGAACTTGGACCTCTGAAGCAACCGTCTCCAGAGCGCGTAAGTAACGAATTTGGGGAAATGAAATCGACCAAAGAAGTTGCAAAAGCGCCAGTTGTTGCAGAGTCTACCCCATCAGCAACAGTGGTGGAGCCAACACAACCAGACGCTGCTGTTTACGCGCCAACGGAGGACGATGTGGAGATGCACGATGACGCTAGAGAGCCACAGACCACGAGCCTATCATCAGAATTGGGAAAGACCGGAGACGAAGCAGTAGCTGCCGAAGCATTACCCAATGGCGTTGTGGCACCCCAAGTCGGTACATCTTCTGGTCTTCTTCCTTCTCTTCGAGGCGATACCTCTTATGAGCAGACAGCTGCCGGCACTACTTCTGATATGACCATGGGTGACGCACCTTTCAACAAAATAGCGCGTGGGCGTGAAGATGACATGGAGATTGAGCGTTCGGTAAAGCGCGCCAAGACTGAAGATGCCGAAAGTGCCAACACCTCGACGTCGCAAATTCTCGTCGGGACGATGGTTGCGTCGACCAATGAAATGCACATGGACTTGCCAGCCGTTGTCATCCCTCCTCGCAGTCGTGCATCCTCCAGAGAAGGGAGCCTTTCCGATCCGAAACTCGACAGTTGTGCGATCTCACCCTATGCGAATCGTGAGATTCGTCGTGTGCTTGCCAGCATTAAGAAGACTAAGGTCGGCAACAATTTCAAAGACCCCGTTTATAAAAAATGGCCATTTTTGTGGGACTCATATGTCCAGCGCGTGGCAAAACCAATGGATATTGGCCAGATCGAGCGCAATTTGAGGGAGAGCGTGTACACCAAGCACGGCGACTTCATCAATGACTTATTTTTGATATTCGAAAATTCTGTTTCTTTCAACGGCCTTGGCAATATTGTGACTGACGAAGCGAAATCTTTGGTGGACAACTTTTTCAGCCGTCTGTCAGAAATATCTTCTCGTGAGCCTCAGAAGTCTGACAAAAAGGACTCGAAGCAGCTTCCAACTCGTCAGACAGGGCCTCGCGCTGCGGCAGGGCGTCGCGAATCAAGAGGTGCAGCTACATCGCCGATTGAAGATTCTGTGACGGCTTTTTCGGCAAGTCCGATTGCCGTCACTATGCAAGCTGTCAAGGCATCGCCCAACCCTGTCCCAATAGCTGGTGCTGCCGAAGTCAATACTCCTGTTTTCGCAGTTCCGGCGTCCGGGATGCCGATCATTCGTCGGGACTCCACGAAGGCAGATGGCGATAGGCCTAAACGCCCTATTCATCCACCAAAGAACCGAGACCTGGGATACGAGCCAAAGAATCCCAAAAAGAAGTTGCCCGAGTTTCGGTTCTGCGAAGAGGTTCTCAAAGAGCTTATGAAACAAAGGCATTACGAGACTAATCACTGGTTCTTGCGACCAGTAGATGCAGTCGCGATGCAGATTCCCACTTACCACAAAGTGATAAAGAAGCCAATGGATCTCGGCACAATGCAGACGAAACTCAACCTCGGCGAATATAACTCCGCCAAGGACTTTGAAAGTGATGTGCAGCTGATTATCAGAAATTGTCGAAAATTCAACGGCACGGGGGAAGTGGTAAATGCGGCCGACCGCCTGGAAGAACTCTTCAAAGCCAAATGGACCGAAAAAGATACTTGGATTGCCGCACATACTTCGCATGGATCAGGATCGGTTCTGAGCCCAGTGGGTGGTCCTAAAGAGGACGAGTCTGACGAAGATAATGAGGGTAGTGAACCTGAGGGCGACGAGATATCAGGAACGCTTGCTACAAGCGACACGGTTGATGCTCTAGTCAAGCGACTCGAAGAAGAAAACAGCAGATTGAGCTCTCTCCTGATGGCCAAAATTCCCGACATGACGATGATCACTACGCAGCAGACGGTCCTGAACATGATTCAGAAACAGATTGTGGAGGAAAAGACAAAACTGGCAGCTGCTGAAGCCGATAGGAAGTCTCGGAAACCAACCAAAACAAAAATTGGGAAAAAGGGAAAAAAGCTCCGATCGGTGGAGTTTCTGCAAAGCGCGCGACATTTAGTGGCATTGGTGGCGCTGCTTCAAGGAAAACTTCTGGTGCATCAGCGAAAAAGGTGCCTAAAGTGAAGGCATTTGGGCAGGCAGAGAAAAACGTCGTCACTGATGGGATCAACAATTTGGACGTGCAGCAGCTTGAAAGGGCGATTGACATCATAAAAAAGGATACCAACCAAGAAGTACGTGTACTGTATCTGTTTAGCATCAAGTATCCTTTTGCTTGGCTATTATTTGGGATGTCCGTGCTGACCAAGACAGGAGAGCGAAAGCGGCGAATTGGAGTTGGATATCGACCAACTTTCCCAAGATGCGCTTGGGAAGCTTTACGACCTGATCATAAGAGCATTTCCGCACATGAGGGTGAAAACGGAGAAGACTAAATTTGGTGGAGATCCGTCCTCCGTCGGAAAGCCAAGTAAGCCGAAGAAGCATAAACCTATGGGCAGGTTGGAGCAGGAACGGAATATTGAAAAACTCCGTGAAATCAAGGCGCAGTTCCAGCGACCCGGTAGCGGAAGCCAGGAGCCTCTCCCTTCCGTGGAGGTCAGCCAGCCTATGGGAGAAGCAGAGAGTGAAGAAGAGAGTGAAGCGGACTCTGAGGAGGAATAGACGGAAAATTAATTTTTCTTGTCTCCTTTTTTTATTTGTGCATCCCTACTGTCTGTCTGTGCTGATCCGCGGGCCGCGTTATGTCGGCAGTCAACCTGTTGGCAAGTCGCCAGTCCGAGCTCTCATCGTTACGGCGGATCTGATCTAGTCGAGATCCCACATCACTGATATCATCCTGGGCTGAACAGCTTCTTACCTGGGTGCTTCACAAATGCCAAACCTCCTGTATAATGTTTTTATTTCCCCTTTTTTTCGTGGGCGCGACTCCCGGCGATCATGGTTCTGGTTTTTCTTACAAGTTTTTGCTTTTATTCATTTCAATATTAAGGACGTGGAGGCATCAATGGGAGGACAAAAAGGGCGTATTGGTGCGAACCTAAGCCAGGCGTCAGTTTGCTATTCGGGAACGGGGAAAAGGGGAGGGTAGGACCGGAAGGAAGGTGGCATTTACTAGTTTTGGCACAGACGCGAAAATGAACACGATGAGATGACCGAGCTCAGTCTCATTTTCGGAGGGGGAGGCCTGGCAGAGATGCTAGATGTACCTTTTTATGTCTTTATTATTTATTTATTTTTACACTGTTCCGTTTCATCGGCCTATTTGGCTGAGCCTTTCAACTTCGTTTATTTTATATGCATAAAAATACCCTTCAATGAAAAACAAATTGGAAGGAAAAAGAAACAAAAGGCGGCAAAACCTTCATGAAATGGAACCGAAATCGTTCCATATCAAATCGTGTCCCTTTGTGTGCTGTGACATATTATCAACGCTGCCTGCATGCATTCCGATTCGCTGCTGTCGTCGGAACCGGAGGGGGGGGGGGTTAGCACTCCCAGAGCGGGCTCGGATGTCCGACGGGGAAAAGTACCTCGTAGTAAACTGCAAATATTCCAATATTTATCTATCCAGCAGTTGTCCTTTACGGGACGAGAAATAATAAGCCTTAGAGGTAAGAAGAAAGTGCCAGCATGCTTGGCCGTGTGCTTCTAACAGTCGACGCGATCGCCTTGCTTTTTGGAGCTATTATCGCGGACTGGAATGAAACCCATATCTTCAATCCGAGATGGCCACCACACGCAAAGTAGGCTTCTCTTCCCCAATCTAGCCTTGCGTCAGCACAAACCAGAGCATGCCGCTGATGACTTCATTATCAATCGATAGATTTCATAACGCCCAGACCATGACACTTTCCGTCTCCCTAGGCATCGCTACTTTGGTTTACACCTGGATGTCCCCAGGGTCTGTATCTGGCCTTCGATCGGCTGCGTTCACAGGCTCTGTGTACTGGCTGGCCGGGCTTGCCAGCGCGTTGTTCCCCGGCACCAGCGGCCTCGATCCTGATTTTGGTGGTCCGGGATTCCCGCAAGGGCCCATGTTCGCATTGTTCTCCACGCTGGCCCTTGGTGGCTGGTTGCTGGAGGTGATGACGACCAGAAAGAGGGGCCCAGTAGAGAGGGCCCAGACTAAGAGTGGATGAATATGTGTGAGAATTGCAAAACCCTACCTAATCTTCGGCTCGTGGCTCGTCAAGCTGCGCCACGTCGCCGAATGTACAAGGGGGTTTGCGTGACATATCAAGCCTCGCATGTTTTCTGGAGAGGGGACTAATGCTTGCGAGTATGGGGGCTGGCTTCAACCCTTTTGCTAGTACGGGGTACGGAGTACGGGGTAAGAATACGGAGTACACCGATTGCTTTGGATTACGTGTAATTTGCATGTTTTGGAACTACCCCCGTCTATTTGGCAAGTATGTTTCTTAGCCGTCGTGAAGAGGGAATCAAGGCAGGACACTCGTAAGATAAGATACTTAGAAGTAAGATACATATTTCAAAATAAGCTACATGCGGAGTACGGAGTACGAGTGCACATACGTGTGTCAAGCTGCAGGCGACCCACAAGCTGACGAGGCAATTATGCTAGGGGTTAAGGACGGGAAAAGCTTACACTGTCTGAACGGCGATAAACCAGTGGCTCAATACAGTGCGCCGTGTCATTGTCAACATGGAGCGCGCGGACTACACGTAAGATACGAGTACGGAGTACGACGTACTCTGTACGCCAACTGGCCTAAACAGTCAAAGACCCTCGGCATTTACATAGGACGCGCAATACGGAGTATCTTAAGATACGAAATAGCATTGGCGCAGTGCTGTCGTGTGCTAATGGGTGAACAAGATTTTGCCAACAAGATCGGTTTGTTTTATCTAGCACGTCCTCATTGCTCCTCCTTACCGTATTGGAGCATCGAATTTCTAGCTGTTCCTACATTGTACAATCATCTCATCCAAACGACGAATCTTGCCTTGGTGTACGCGCTCAGTCTACGAAAACAGACAGCCGGCCCTTTCCTTCCCGCCTTATCGGATCTGATTGCCATCCAGCTTCTTGGCAATTTCGCATTGTTGACAGCCTCTTACGAGACCTCACCAGAAAGATACCCGCATTGCAGCAGTTAGGCGACAGTTAGGCGACGGCCCGTAGCGTTCGCCCTTTGAGCGAGCCATTATTGCCTGGCAGGCTTGCGCTGCCACTGCCTGGCAGTTGTGGTGTTTTCAATATCAGTCCGAACTCTCCAATTCTTGTGACCATGCACGCACCAAGCAGATGCCCCGACTTGGCATTAACAGCCACCTCCAACCACGGTTCCAAATGGGAATTATACGAGCAATACGGCTTGCGGCCTCTCCTTGCCTTTTTTTCTCATCGAGTTGTTCGCAGCGGCCCTAGGCTGCTCCTTTACCTCGCCCTCTTCATCTCTACCTTGGTCGTCGTAACGAGGTGTTTGTCCGTCAGCATCGCCGATTTATCCATCGTTGCCAGCTCTGGCCATCTTTGGCGACAACACCTTGGCTCCAATTCTGATTCCTCTTCGTCTGGCCACCCATTGTCTGGTTTTGTCGAATATGGCGACGCATCAGGTGGTGGTGGTCTGCGCATCGTCGTTTTTGGCGAAAATGACATCGCCACGTCAATCCACCCATATGCTCTTCATACCCAAGTTGACCACAGCAACATCTCATGGACGCAGGAGTTGTGCTCTGAGGTTTGCTGCACCCCAAATGATACCTCTTACGCAACCCAGCCTTTGGATATTTGTGACTGACGCAGACAGTTGGCTTGTTCTACACACATGTCTTTTGTTCCGGTAATGAGGACGTCCCGGCGATCCCTCATCAGCAATAAGCTCTACGCCGAAGCTGCGGACTCCATGGTGGAAAAAGCAAAATCCGATTATATCCCTGCACATGACTACTCTTTCGTATCTGCAGCGTACCCTACTTGTTGGGAAGTCCCAGATTTAGCTGCACAGGTCGCATCTTTCCTTGACCAGCCAAAACCAGGGTGTCCGCCCAAGGAAACTCTTTGGGTCTTCTCGTTTGGGTTCTGGGATATCTGGTCCTTGTCAGCTTATCCGTATGATATTGCGGACGGCTTGATTTCGTCACTTGTTGCCGAAATATTTTATCACATAGACACCATATATGCTGCATCCTTGGACAACAATTCCGTGGCCTACTCGAGTTTTACAGCCGCTTCTGCGCCGAAAAAGCGCGTGGTTGCCAATGGCCAGGATTTACCGTGGGATGATGCATCCGCTGAGCCATTTCGCGTCGTCCTCCCATTGCTGCTGGATCCGTCACTCGTCCCCGGTTGGCATCTTGATCGTCCGGAGGCTCCACAGTTCCATACCAAGTCGGAGCAGGTGCGCAATGCCGTTCGGCTGACAAAGCGGTGGAACGAGGTCATCCTTTTTGAGAAGGAGGGGTGGGCCAAGAAGAATGCTGAGCTCGTCAATGAAACTGGCGCCCCAGGCGCTGTACAAGACGATCCCGCAGCCACTGCCCCGAATGTCGATGCTGGCGTGGGCAAGAATACGGGGACCCACAGGGCAAGTCCGACCGTGAATATCTCACAGAAGAAGAAGCGCGCTACGGTTTCCGTTCAAGGCGAACTCATGACTACCGTGAAGAAGAAGTTTAGCGATGCCAATACCGGAGATGATCCGTCGAGGCTGAGGAGAAGGTTGTGGCGCGACGCCATTATCTTACGGCCCTCGGAATACATCATGGATGCCGTTATTGATGGCCAAATGCACGATATCGGTGTCAAGGACAAGAATGGGTTTGGGGCATTTCTTGAAGAGGACAGCTTCCAGGAAGTCAAGCAACCGTGCATTCTGTCATCCGAGGAGGGCTTGTTGGTGAACACCACCGATAATAGCGGGCACAACGTATCTCAGTCATCGAATGTGGCGGCGGGTGATGTCTGCGACTCGCCCGATGATTATCTCTTCCTCACATCATTCAGCCTTGGCCGTCGCGCGATCAGAGAGGTTGGTCGAATATCCGCTGCCATCGTGCGCATGGATATGGACACCAGAGGTAAGCTGGAGAAGGCCTTAAAGCCGTCGTTGGAGCCCGACCGAAAACCCACATCGTGGAAGTTGTATTTTGATATGGTTTAATCTGGGATGGGCGTTTGCGATCATTTGTATTTACGGTGCCCGTTTCTCACATCTCGGATTTATGGTGGACGGCGTTCCGGCACTTATCAAGGTCGATAACCACAGGGCGGGTGTTTTCCTACGAAGTACAGAGTACTTCGTACGTATTTGTGACTTCCATATCTCTGACTAAGGTCAGTTCTAGTATGTATATACGCCTGCCTATGTGTGGTCCGTCATGAGAGCGCACCATGACTCATTTCACCAAAGGTACTGAATATACAAGCGATAGTGGCCAGATCTTCCTAGAGGATGTATACTCGTAGAAAAGGCCGGGAAGCACAGTACTTCCTTTCCGTATACAATACTAGTACTCGTACGAGTACTCGTACCTGCCCATATGACAATGCGCAGTGGCATCACGAGTCAGCGGCAACAATCAAGGGTCAATATCGCGGATAAGCCGGATATAAAGGCTGGCGCCGAGAGCAGTACAAATATGCCACCAGCCATGAAATTCAAGTAGCCAGGCGAGTGGTATGCCGACAAAATTGCGTGCAGAACGCAGGCTCGAACACATCTCAAGATCTATCTGCCAGAGGAAGTAACCAAAGGCCAGGGTGCCGACGGCACGGGAAAACTGGTGGAGGTATCGCGGCCGGTTTGCGACGGGCCTGCGCCAAAAAATGAGGAAGAGCGTGCGAAGGCCGGTCACGAGAATCATACTGTTGAAGGCGAACACGTGGTGTAGGATCTGGGCGGTAACGAGATAGAGAGCCGATGCCGCGACCACTGCAGCTGCCGAGCCGACCGTAGCGGCCATACTGTGCGGCCAGACACCTCGCAGCAGTGCTCCGGCCAGCACCAGCATGGCTATCTCGTCGCCATATTGCGTCGCATGCTTGAGGGTGGCATGGAAGACGAGCGAAAAGGTGCCAAGAATCCAGAGGGAGACGGCGAGGAAGTCCGGGCGGGTCCACGAGGGCGCCGGGGGGTGGGACTTGTCTTTTGTCGCTGTCTGCTTCGACGATGAGACACCTGGATAGCGGATGGCAAAGTAGACTTGTGCTCAGGTCAGCTAGGCTCATCGGTATAGGAGGATGGGATGCAGCGCACTGTACGCTAAGTTGGTCAAGGTATTCATAAACTCTGCAATGTAGAGAGTGACAGCGTAATCCTCTTCGCAGAAGCTGGGGATCTGGTCAGCAAACGTGGCTGGAGAGGTAGGCACAGAACTTACTTGGCTGTGCTTGTGGGCGCTCCCCAGACACCAGCACCGGCGTACCTATCGCCGGCAAAGTGGCGGTTGTGGTGGCCCATGGTGATAGACAGAGGCTTCGAGCAGCTGCAGTCGTGCTCGTAGAGAGAAGAGAAGGAGAGAAGGCACGCAGCTTTGGTGTGGGTGGGACCGAAACGCATGCCTTTGAAGCGAAAGAGCCGGAAAGGAGGGAGAATTGCTTTATCGCACGGCCTTGTTTCGTCTGGGCGCACTATAGGTACATTTTTCCAACAAGATTTTGTCTATCGGATCGCAGTGCTGCTATCGACAGAAGCTGTACATGGTCTTCAACCACGTATACTACAAGAGTAGTAAATATCGTTTCGCTTTGTATCTTACATATATTTGAATAAGCTTATTGATTCGACTGCTTCCACGGAGTAAGCCGGTTGGGTTGTATCGTAATACAGTGTCGCACAGTCCATACTCACCGCCCGGCAGAACCTTATCGTTGCGTAACGCTTTCCACATTACGGAGTATCTCCGTCTCTCTGCCTTCGGCACGCCTTCTTCTCCCTTAAAGATCGAGTCATGCCGCGCTCTCCCTCGTCTTCAGGCCTCCTTTTGTCCCTGCTGGGCTCGCCCGCATCGACGTGGGCCATGTACCGCGCCTGTATCGGCGCTTTCTTCTCGGGAGCCAATATTTCCGTTGCCGTCTCTTTCTGGCTATTTGGTAGGATGCTCTTGCCGACGCAAGCATTGTACTTTTCATTTCGATTGCTAATCTGGAGCGGGGATGGATTGCGAACTGTTCTAGGTCTCATAAATAACGTCCTCTACGTCGTCATCCTCTCCGCTGCCCAGGATCTCGTCGGCAATCTCCCTAAGGGCGTCGTCCTCCTCGCTGATGTCATTCCCTCTTTCGCGACGAAACTAATTGCCCCATACTTCATCCACAGGGTGCCCTATGCCGTACGTGTCCCCATATTTGTCGCGCTGTCGACTGCCGGCATGCTCCTCATTGCCACTACCCCGCCCGAGGCCTCGGTGGCCGTCAAATTGATCGGTGTCGGGCTGGCTAGCCTTAGCAGTGGCGGCGGCGAGCTGAGCTTTCTGGGACTTACCCACTACTATGGCCACTTGAGTCTGGCTGCTTGGGGGAGCGGTACGGGTGCTGCTGGTCTTGTCGGTGCGGGTCTTTACGTCGTGCTGACGGACTGGCTGGGCTTTACCGTGCGCTCCAGTCTGCTTGCATCGGCCGTCTTGCCGGCCGTCCTGATGGTGAGCTACTTTGGCGTTCTTCCACAAGAACCTCTGCGAAGGGGATCTGCCGCGTCTTTAAAGCATGAGGCCTGCACGACAGCCAAGTATGCTCGCGTATCCGAATTAGACACAGTCGGCGAGGACGATACGGAGCAAGTTGTTGTATCTGCGTCTTCGAGCTTTGCAGCACCCGATCTTAGCCCTGGAGCCACGAGAGCCGACGTCTCTGCTGCGGAGGAGAGTCTGCTGCTGCATCGACCACGGACGGGCCACGGACAACGACATACAATTTTTTTTGCAAAGATTCGACGCGCTCGCGCCCTCTTCTTCCCATACATGCTACCCCTGCTCCTCGTTTATGTCGCTGAATATACCATCAACCAGGGCGTGTCTCCTACGCTGTTGTTCCCTCTTGACCGAAGCCCATTCGACGAGTATCGTGCCTTTTATCCATTCTACGGCTTTCTTTATCAGCTTGGTGTTTTTATCTCCCGCTCGTCTACGCCCTTTTATCGTGTCCACCACCTTTATATACCAGCAGTCATTCAAGTTGTCAATCTAGTAGTATTGACCGCCCAGGCGCTCTATTTTGACAGCTTCTTACCGTCGGTCTATCTCGTCTTTTTAATTGTCTTCTGGGAGGGCCTTCTTGGGGGTGCCGTGTATGTAAATACATTTGCCGAGATTATGGAGCACGTTCCTATGGAGGATCGCGAATTTAGCTTAGGGGCTACGTCAGTCAGCGACAGTGGCGGCATTTGCATTGCTGGCTTCATAGGTATGGCCATGGAGGTAGGCCTGTGCAACTGGCAGGTCCAACACGGTCGTAATTGGTGTCATGAATTTGAGCGAAGCAATGTGTAGAGGAGCATCGGGTTATTTTTCTTTATATGTGTAACTTGGCTGGACCACTGTTTCGTCTAGGCAGCGACAGTATATATTTCTCGACTAAACTTTTCAACCGGCATGGCACTTTGTCTAGTAGGCGGACGACTGACTAATATAGAGTACATGTACAGCGTACGGAGTACTTTACTGCAAAAGCCCTACGGTTGTACACCGTATTATATCGATACCTAGGGAGGGATATTACGGGTGCTCAAGTAAGAAGTAATGAGAAAATGAAAATCCTCCCGATGACATCCTGCCTTGTATTTTCTATGCCTATGACCACCGGAAGTTTGCCTCCAGTGATCCTGAGCCCGTACCAGAAGCCCCCCAAAAACGAAGAACAAATTGTTTTCTTCAGTAAACTCCGTAGATCCTTCACCTAGAATATATAAGAAGAGGAAGCGTAAAACATGAGAACTTAGGGGCGATCATGTGCCGTGTCCTCTCTAAAGAATGCCCCGTGAAGTGCAGAAAATGGCCAGCATCATATGCAGCAGCGTAAAAAAGTAGCCCCAGCATAAAACCCTGTTTCCGTGGATAAATACGACATGGGGAAGCAGAAGTAAGTCTTAAGGCGAGATGGTCCAATGCGTCATCTACCGTTCTGGCTGTGAGAGCTCATTCCACTGGTTCAGAATATACTGAACATTCAGGGCATCGTAAATGGACGCAGTTGGCACACTTCTGTTGTGTGAGAGTGAACATGTCTCCTAAGCCGCAGACATGCTATTCACATTGTCAGCAATGACAACCTAGTCTTTGAGGCGATAGGAGGAACAGGCTGAGCTAAAAGCTCTTACACATTCCCACTTGTAAAAAAACGCAGTGGGTCTCTCTAGTTTGCGTTCATTCTCGTTGTAAAAGCTGTAATGATCGTCTGTAGAAATGGAAGGCTGCATAAGAGCAGTTTATCAGTCCCACGCTTTACTGTGGGAACAAGGAGGCAGACCACGTACCATACTGCTCATTCATCGGGCAGAAACGCCACAACCAGTGTAAAAAGCTAGATGTGAGTTATCTTGCTGGCATGAACTTGAGCGAGCCCTAGGCAATAATAGTACGAGCTTAAAGAGAGTCCGGAGAGAGTGCCACCGTAATGAATTGGGTTATGGCAGTGTTTTTCTGTAGAGTCTGAACTTTGTATTGAGAGAGGCTGTTAAAATGAGAGAACTGGGCGTCGCTAAAACGGGGCTCGAGACAAATGCCAAGTTTTATTCAGTCGAAAAGAAGGCCAGCACTCACCTTTGGGCATCAGATCGCAGGTTGAAACAACGGCGTGACAGAACTGAGATCACACCGTCAAGAGAAAGTGCAATAGGATATCGGGACACTTCTAGGCTGTCAGAGACTGCATGGACGTAGCAGAAACAGTCAAATGATTGTTATCGAGGTTATGTGGGCTAGCTATAAGAAGGGGCACATCGCAACGTAGATATAATATGCGAAGTAACGGATAGCTATAATGAAGCTGCTGTATCGCGAGAAAATCTGTGAGATATAAAACTTGTATGCCGAGAGGTGATTCAGGCGAAGCGAGGCGAGAAGGATTCCAAAATTGGAGGTGCTAGGAGGCAGATGGATAGGGAAATGGGAGAGATGGGCGGATAGATGTAGGCGTGATGAAGAACGAGAGTGAGTCGTCAAAGGGTCTAAGTACCACCGGGAGGCACCGGAGAGGGGGATGGGCAGATGAAGGGGAGCGAAGGGAGTGCTTAGGGTGGCAAAGATAGGCGAGGTGGCAGAAAAGACAGGCAGTCAGGGGCGGGGAGGCGCAGAGAGGCATAGCGGATGGAGAGGAGAAGGAAGGAAGCAAAATATAAGGAGAGGACATTGTAAAATGTCGTGCACAGGAATGGCTAGGGCGTGGGGGGGGGACAAGGGCCTTGGGTTCTAGAAGCGAGGATGAGAAAATGGGTGTGAGAAAGGCCGGCATTGCCCCAACAGCGACATGGGGTACTAGCAGTAGATGTGCACTGGAATTTGCAGCCCTGCTGTTGTCCGCATGGCGTCCTCGCTTCGCCTGTGGGCGCCTCCAGTGGCAGCGAAACATTTTCCATTTCCGGTTAGGTGCAGACGACGTGCTCATGCCCAGCCGCGCTGCCCGCCTGGAGGGCTGGGAGAAGAAGGGGAGGGTATTTTCTGCAAGTCACCCAAGGGTGTCTTCCTTCCTAGTACTTCCTCTCGCCCTGCTTTACCTTGGGGGCGCTCTCCTTGCGTATCCCTGCCGCCGTGCTGTGTGCCGTTTGATGCAGAACAGGGGGGAGAGGGCCTTTTTCCAAAGGAAGGACATCGAATCACGCCAGTATCGGGCCATCTTGGAAGATGCATCGGTTTTTTTATCTCGATCCTGGACATTTTTCCTTGCACCGATCCTTCCAGAACATGACAGTAAGACCTGCCCCCCTGCTCAGGCCCTGATCCTAGAGAGTGTGCTACCCGTCGTGGGTGGCGGTGTCGTCGTCAGCATCGTCAGGGCCGAGCCTGGCTTGCTCCATGGTACTCGTAGATGGTGTCTGTCGTGGCATCGCATGACGAAACAACTGCCCTAACAAGTCGCTACCGGGTCCGGGTGACTGTCCTGTACACTCCGTACGGAGTACAAATGCGTCAATCTCGGTAGTGCCGCCCCGGCTGACATTACGACTTAGACTTGTCGCACAACCATCCCTCCCAGCGTTTCATCATACAGTCAGACCGTTGGGAAATGGAAAAACCGTGTCTAAGATGTGATGACTGGCCGACATGCGCACACTTGAAACAGAGCTAGCACGTTTAATTACATAAGATACTTGTTTACTCCGTACGCATGATATCCTTTAACGCTCTTTCCTGCATTCACCAGATGGTACCTTGAATTACGGGGCCTCGTAGAATAAGAAGGAGTCCTCCCGAAATTGGTAGTGCGCCGCTGCCAGTCGCACCAGAGCGCGCCGTTGAAGACCGTGTTAGCCTTTCCCGCGGCCTCCCTGTTGATGCTCCATACGGAGTACTTTGGAAGTGCTCGCAATACTCCGTACAGTACGAAGTACTCCGTGGGACTCCTATGGAGTACTCGTACCGTCGTTGTATATTACGCAAGATTTTTGCCGCCGGACATTTGTTTAAAAATCGCTAGCGACTTAAAGTCGATCTCTCGTGGCACTTCTACGCGGCTTATCAAAGAAGGGGCACTTCACTCTCCGATTTATCGGTCCCGGCCTACGGCCATGGCTCTGATCTTTTCGCTTACCTGTACGAAGCCCGTTTAGAGTACTCCCATTGTATCTTACGAAGTATTCCGCCCTTCATTGTTATTTTTAGCTTGCTTTGCTTTGCTGGTACGAGCGCGAAAAGCATGACGCGTATTGTATTCGCACGGCCTTTGCACGGACCTGATCGCCGCCCCGGCTGATTACTCTTGGATGTTCCGTAAGATAAGATACATCAGATCTGGACTTACGGAGTAACTTGCTGGTATACATACTATCTTACATCCGTTATGGCCGTTGGCTAACGTTGGCTAACGTATCTTAAGTACTCTATAAAGGCCTAGCTTGGCACCGCCTGTTCAGTTTCCTCCGTACTCGTGCTCTGTACAGAGTACTGACCATTCGCATCGAGACGTTCTCGCCCACTAGTCTATAAGGGCCCATGTTTACACGCTTTTCACACCCTTGCATCGTGTTGTTGTACCCTGTACTCCGTACTCCGTTCGAGCGAGTGTTCCCAGAGTGCGGATTGTAACAATATACAGTGCGAGCACGGAGTAGCATCTTGTACTCGTACTCCGTACTCGTAGAAATTGTGGGGTCATTATATAATCGGCTCCTGCAGTGTTTCCCTGCCGCCTTCGCGAAGTTCAGGCAGAGCTGATCGACCGACGAGGCTGCAAATTACTCCGTGCAGACCCTTTTAGATACACAATACTCAACACAACCAAGATGGCCTCGAAGTTTGTGCATGCTACGGTACGCCATGCACGGCCGCAAATACGAATGCTTGTTTCCAAGCCCGCGACCGCCACGATTGCCTTACGATTCATGTCCTCTTCCTTCGACCCTCATCCATCGCCCCTGCGGCTGCCTGCCAAAGAGCAGGCTGAGTTCGAGCGACTACTGCGCGAGGCATCCGAGTCTGTCGCTGCAGCTGAGCTGGCAGATGCCGTGCGGGCAGCCAACGAAAAGGCTGCGGCCACTGCCGCGGCGGGGAGCACCGTCCAGACCCAAACCGCACCTCTCACTGCTGTTGCACCTGGCACTATTCCCGAAGGGACAAGCGGAAACCCGGTCGAGGGTGTCTGGCGCGGCGCGGCGCCTGAGTTTGATGGCGATCGCAACCCATTGACAGGAGAGGTAGGCGGCCCCAAAACCGAGCCATTGCGATGGGGCAGTAACGGCGACTGGAGCTTCAATGGGCGGGTGACCGATTTCTAGCGATATGCCAAGACGGATGGAAAAGGCAAGACAGGGAAGATGTAGGGGAGGCATGCGCAGAGTGCTCCACAAAGATATAGATTGGCGACAGAATGATTGTACGATGGTGGGCAAAGTATCTGATTACACACTGGTTTCCTACTATAGACGCGAACTTGGGTGGAATTTTTGTTTTGACCAGTCTCTGAAGAGGCCACTAATCTGTCATGGCTGTGTCGCCCACTTCCAAACTTTCCTTGTCGGCCTCACCCCCCTCAGGTTGTTTAGTGCCTATTTGCTTCAACGTAGGCTCTCCTGATGGAGGTTCCGCGGTCTCGCCAACTTCGGTATTGTCTGACCCGCGTTCAGTCGGGGTTGTTAAGTCGTTGCCACCATTCCTATCCACTACGGTCGTCGCGTGTGTTCCGTCCGAACCCTTGTCTGAGCTGTGGTGATTGCCGTCGGCATCCATGTCAGCCTCCTTGTCCTCTTCAATGATAGTAGAGTCGTTGCCAGGTTCAGTGCCATGCTCTTCGTCAGTGCTACCGCCTTTCTCAAAGCCTCCCCCGTTGTTGCTGCTCCGTGACTGGCGATCACAAACAGCCTGACTCTCATATTTTCTCGCTTCGCCAGCCCGCAGAGAGCATACAGTTTCGGGATGGTTTTCTTTATCGTGGTTGGTTGCAGGTTTTCGTGCCGAGCGCCACCAATCACTGGAGAACCCGACAGGTCCTCCATCGACACTGTCAGAAATTCCGATTGTGAACATGCCGGACAACTTTCCACTAGGAGAGATCTCAATCTCGCGCATAGCCTGGCGGATTCGTTCCCGGCGGGCTTTGCCACGAAGACGGCTCTGAGCGCCTGCTCCGTTGGTGACCCAGCGTATACCAATGACCATAAAGCTGAGGCCATCGTGCGGTTGACGCCATCCGTGAGGCTCGCCACCCCATTCCCGGCTCCGGATACCAAAGCGCGTGGTCGAGCTATATTTTTCGAGAGCTGGCAGCACGAGCAATGTGACGTGAAGATCTTTCTCCGGTGGAATCTCCATAGGACCCGATTTTGGTGGCGCTGTTAGCACAGTCGGATAGCGCTTGCTCTCTTCGGGCTCAGTTGTGTTTGCCTCGTATGAGACACCGATTGCCTTTTTGCTGACGACGCTCCGCCCATTGGTGTCTTTCCTGTCCACTTTAATTAAGCCCAGTAGGTTGACGTCTACGTCATCGGACCACTCGCCTCGAATCCATCCAGCATGGATGCAAGCAGCTATAACGTCGGAGTCATCGGTATATACTTCGGTTCCCCAGACAGCACGACGGTACGTTATTTCCTCTCGAGGGGCAGTAGCCAGGTATACCTTGCTAACCTTCACTGTGAGTGTACAATTCTCTTTGCCTTTAATCATATTCAAAGGGAGAGGTCGCGGGGTAGTTGCGTAGGGAAATCGTGGGGGCCGGCCTGTGCTTGGATCGTGTTTCCGGGAAGGCTTGAGCTTCGGTTCGTACAAAATATCGCCCAGATGGTGCCGAGGCAACTTTGCCACACTATCCACGACAGCCCGAGATAAAATGATTTGCTTAGGAGTCTCTAGCACCGCCGGTGGAAGGCTGGAGGCGGAGGCGTCGCCGACATTCTTCACGCCCGAAGTTTGGAGCAGCGGTGGCTGTGCTAACTGTTGCAATTGCACAGATCGCGGTATGTCTTGGAGAGGGTGAGTGCCGGTAAGTTCCTGTGAGGGTACCGTGGGTGAGTGGAGAGGAGTTGATGCTTTCGTATTTTTCAGAGCAGCTGGGCCGCCATGCGACGGCGAAGACGAGGCCGGCTCAGGGTGATGGTGATGGTGATGGTTGTGATGGTGGCTGCCGTACAAGTCAGTACAATCTGTCCCCAGGCACGGTCCTCCCGCCCTTTCGAACGGTGTGACATTGTTCAGAACATACTGGTGATGGTGATGGACGGCTTTCACCCGCTTCGATTTGCCCATTGGTGTGACCCTTCCACCATTGTCCTCATCGATTTTCCCTTCCTCTTCTTTCACCTTGCGACGCTTGTTCCTCGAGCCATTCTTATTGGCTGAGTCGACGTTCAATTCTTGTGGGGTATAATCTGGGTCTTCTCGGCGTAGTGCAGCTCCGCTGTTGCCACCTGACGTTGAACCGAATGGGGAGGAGCCAACCGAGATCGGGCTTCCGAGACCCATGCCGACCATATTTCCAATGCCCGCAAACATGCGGCCGAACTCGCTCTTTATAGCCGGCTGACCAGCAGGACCATGAATTTGTGGCTGGGCACCCTGGACGGCCTGTGGCAGTGGGGAGACGCGACCCTTTCGACTGATTTCCTGTATCGTCAACAAATTGCGCGGTACGTGGTGAGAGTTGTCTTCAGCTAGACGATTGCGCGAGGGCTCATGAGCAGAAACAGTGCTAGAGGATATTCCCCCCATGATACCCCCACTGCCACTATAAGCGACGGATGGTGGTGGCGGGATATCCTCTAGAGGGCGCGAACGAGGGCCCGGTGCGATCTGTTTCTGGAGCTGCTGATGCTGGTGCTGGTGCTGTTGTTGGAGTTGATGTTGGAGTAGCTGCTGTTGCTGCTGTTGTTGCTGGTGCTGGTGCTGGTGCTGGTGCTGGTGCTGGTGCTGGTGCTGGTGCTGGTGCTGGTGCTGCTGGTGCGGACGTTGTTGTTGTTGCTGCTGCAGTTGCAGTTGCAGTTGCAGTTGCTGTTGCTGTTGCAGTTGCTGTTGCTGTTGCTGTTGCTGTTGCTGTTGCTGTTGCTGTTGCTGTTGCTGTTGCTGCTGCTGCTGCTGTTGCTGTTGCTGTTGCTGTTGCTGTTGCTGTTGCTGTTGCTGTTGCTGTTGCTGTTGCTGTTGCTGTTGCTGTTGCTGTTGCTGTTGCTGTTGCTGTTGCTGTTGCTGTTGCTGTTGCTGTTGCTGTTGCTGTTGCTGTTGCTGTTGCTGTTGCTGTTGCTGTTGCTGTTGCTGTTGCTGTTGCTGTTGTTGTTGCTGTTGCTGTTGCTGTTGCTGTTGCTGGTGCTGGTGCTGCTGTTGTGCTTGCGCGTGCAGAACACCTAATCGGTGGTGGTCGGGAGACTCGAATGGCTGTGAATGCATATTAGAGGACGATTGATGCGAGAGGGGAAGGACCGATGAGTTTGAATAGTGGTCTTGAGGCGGCACTTGTCCAAGAGAGAACTGCGACGGATTTTGGGAAGGCGTCGAAGAGGGTGGGTATTCAATGGGCCGCGTTCCATGATCGTACGGTCGCGGCTGGTCGTAGGGCTGGCGTGGCCAAGAGAGATGTTCGCGGAGTTCTGGTTGACGGCCATAGGTAGACGACTGCTGAGGCCGATGCATGTACTCCGACGCATGCACGCTTTGAGGCGGACGACCGGGATCTGATCCGATTGTCGTAGCCCGGTCTCTTCTCTCTCTCCCGACCAGCTCTAATTCGTGAGCCTGTCTTTCTCGCTGCTCCCGTTCTCGTTCACGCTCCCGTTCCCGTTCACGCTCGCGTTCACGCTCGCGTTCGCGCTCCCATTCCCGCTCACGCTCACGCTCTCGTTCTCGTTCTCTTTCCGACAAGTATGGTAGAGCGCGCTGGTGTTGCGGTGGTTGATCCTCGTACTTGTGGTTCCGACCGTGCTTTTCGGGACTGTATTCAGGGCCGCGCGCGGAGTACATGGGCTCCGAGTGTCCAGGAGGGGGACCTCCAAGCCTGCTGTGCTGATCCAGAGGTCGGGTAGGTGGTATGCTACCGGGACGAGGAGGAATCGCTACAGCAGCCATCCGGACTTGCTGGTCATTCGGAGGGCCGTGTTGATGAGGATACGACTGGGGAGTGCCGTATCGGGGTATCTCGGGAGTGGTCACATATGTTTGTTGCTGGGGTGAGGCAGCAACGTTTGAGCTGGGCCCCCTAGGATCTTTCCCATCATATGGGGGTCGCTGATGTTCGGGCGGCGTCTGCGGCCGTCGGTAGGGGCCATAATCTGTCGCGGCCGAAGATATGCGAGGCGACGCGTGAATTGGCGACACGTAGGTACCCCCAGGGCCGGCTGTCGGAGGGCCCGAAGCAGAGGCGTCTCGTACGTGAGATGGGGGACCACCAAGCATAGAAGAAATCGACATGGAGCTCCCGGAACTGCCTGCTCGCTGAATCGAGTTTAGCGAAGGCAGTTCACGCGACGGGGGATATGCCGGAGGAGGGCCGCTGATGGGCATGGCGAGAGGACGCGGTGGCGGAAGTGAGAATGGGTTAAGTGAGTTTTGTGAGAGAGGGCCGGGGCCGAGTGGATGGGCAGGGCCACCCTGGCCGCTTCCCTGCATTGCAGGCGGCGGCGGCGGCGGCGGCGAGGCAGACTGCTGAGGCGCTGGAGGGCCGATGAGAACTGGAGTCGACAGGCACGGCGCGCTTGGATGGCGAGCGTGGCCGGGGTGGTTTCGCAGGCCTGATACGAGTCGAGAGGTTGAAGCTGAAGCCGACACTGATGTCGGTACTGATGCGGATACGGATACGGATGTGGATGCGGATGTTGACGTTGATATTGATGCTGATAATATCGTAGCTGTCGATTCGGTATTTATGTGAGGCGGCAGGTAAGAAGAGCGCGACCGAGAATGGTACGACGAGTCTGACGGCCGCCGCTGATGCGCGTGGTGTCGATCTGCATAGACGGCGGATGGGGGTGAACGCGAGGTCGAGGGTGGAGGGTACGCTTGCCGACTATACATAGGCGACGGGGCGTTGCGAGAATAGGGATGTTGAGATGACGAGAGCGGTGGCGGTGGTGGCGCCGGGAGAGGTGGCTGTCTTGCGTCCATCTCGCGTGGACTGGACTAGTTATTTATTTATTTATTTAGCCCCAAAAAGCAGGCCGAAATTTCTTTGTCCGACCAGAAACGGTTTCGTCTCACATTCGTCCTAGGCACTCTCGCGCTTCGCCGCGTATGAAGGTAGGAACAGGCTTGGGCGGTCGTTCTCGGATGTCGCAGCAGAAGGCGCAACGGAGCCCTGGCAAAAAAGGCCACCGACGCAGGGAAGGTACGGTGGGAAGAAGATGGTTTGGGAAGGGCAGGAGCGGAGCGGTTGCTTTTTGAGTACAAGACCCTAAAAAAGACGCTGGCTGCCAGAGGACCTGGTGCGGCAGAGCAAGCTAGGCCGACAACGCTATTAGCTGCAGGAGTATGGGGACCCCAAAATGTCACGACCCTCAAAAAACATGCAAATCGGGAAGACCGCAGAAGGGGCAGAAGGAGGCAATTGCTGGGGAAAGGGATAAGAAGCTGTTGCTGACGAGAAGGCAACCTGAGGCCGAAAAGGAAGTAGTACGGAGTACTCTTACAGGCGAATATGGCAATCACGACTGGTGGGCAGCGGACACTGATTCAGAGCGATGTCTGCGCGAGTACGAGCACGCCGTACGCCGTACAGTCCACAGCTTACGAGTACAACTCGGAAACCCCACGTATCTTGGCTTTGGTTTCGAAATGAAGCTAATACTAATGCACGGGTGGCAGGAGATAGTGCATTGCACCGTACAAGTACTCGTATCTCACCAGACTTACCCGGCCTCATTCCGCGTGAAATTTACCGAGGCAGAGGGAGAAATAAAACGAAATATATGAAAATGGGTTGCGGTAATATTTAGTGGACGCGCTGCAGGGGTTAAATTCTGCGTGACGACAGAATCACCCAATGGTGAAAACGGAATGCGAATCTAGGTGCGTCGAGTTATGTTCTGCTTCGTTTACATCTTCGAGACAAGCCGGGTTTTGTTGTTTCTTACTGGTAGACTTACGTCATACGACAGCCTGCTGATGCTTGCTCGCCCCAGCGATGTACGGAGTCCCTCCGGATGGAGTACGGATTGAGACATAAGAAAATCCATAACTGGTAGACAATCACTCTGACCCGTCTCGCCAAAAAAAACCCAAAAAACTCCGTGAGATAAGATACACAGTTTGCTCACCGCCTCAGACAAATATTCGTCTAAATATACGGAGTATATATACACTAACAGTACTCCGTGTTACCAGCATCAATGGCACTACTACGAGGATGGTTTGTTCTACAGCCTTTTCATTATTCCCCCTCACACATTTCCCGTTGTTTTTCAATAAATACACAGACAATTAAACAGACACCTTACCAAGGTTTTAGTTGCAAACCCGGATATAATTTAGTCGGCAGAATTATAGCGGTCTTCTTGAATCGGACTAGCGGTGATTATTAGCCAATGAAGTATAGGCATAGACCCGTATCATATCTTACTATGCAGATATAAACAATTACGGTGCTATACGGAGTATCACTGGACGTTTTTACCTTGTCTACCGGGTTCGCCCCCCACTTGTTATATTCGAAAGCAAGGCCGTCTTCTGGTAGATGCATAGGAAGACCCTATGAGGTATATTAACGCACATCTAGCTAGGCAAATGTAAGATGGATGATACGAGTACAAAAATAGGTAGCCTTCGTTACGAGCCAGCCTCCGGTTCACCTGTCACTGCATTGCAGGCCACAGAAACAAATGTGGCCCAACTGTTTTGCCGTCTGCGGCTACCGAGGCATATGAGTACATGCCAGTTCCTATGGAGGCAGCCATTTCGGAGCCGATAGCGCCGACTGGGCAAGAGGTTGTAGGGCTTCAACTCCATTACGTACGGAATGCTCCGTAAATCGCCACCGATTGGGACTGACGCCGCTAATTTGACAGCATCCTTTTCGGTTTTCTTAAGAAGATGTGATCCTTGCTTGACGTTTCGGCTATCTCCTAAGCGCGATTTGCTAAATGGCTACCGTTTTCGTTACTGGTGCTCGCGCGGTATCGCCCCCTGTATGGCATAAATTGAATGCCTAGCCGCCGTGCTGCATCCGGTACCGATCGCCCCAGCGATCTGGGGGAGCCCGACACTTGCGGTCCCACCTCATGGCCTCGGCAGTGCTTCGATTAACAGCTCTCAAGGCTCGTGGGCCGTAATCTTGAGGTACCTGCAACTCTCGTACTGAAACGGGGAGCACGTGATTAGTTTTGGACAGCAACAGAAGAGGGGAAAGGCAACCAGGAAGAAGAGGACACAGGCCAGCGTAGCAGTCGCAGCCAAGGCCATTGACAGCACGCTGCACAAGCAGCAGTCGGCACGGGAGAAGGCGCTGTATAGTTGGACAGACCTGCTTCTGAGGCGCAAGCTGCTCGTCGTATTTCTCACCCTAGCCACCGCACTGATGATCGCCTTCATCGACCAGAATGGCATCAGCGTGTCGCTCCTTCCATCTCCCGCGACCTCGACACACAGGACACAATTTCGTGGGCTGGCACCTCTATTATGCTAGCCAACCGCCGTTGGGCGTGCTTGCTGGCTGCATAACTGTCCATCTGCTGTCGCTCAAGCTGCCTACCTGAACCTTCGCAGAAGGATCTCGCAAGAACGAAATTTAGGGCATCCTGTCCGGCTCGGCCGCCGTCGTCCTCGTGCTGATCTCAGTCAGCATGACGGCTCCTACTTTGATGGGACTCCCCCATAGTCATATCTGTGCTGGTCGTCAACGTCTGTCTCACATTTTCATTATCGTCGAGCCGAAACTTGTTCGCCTCCCTATGATGCCAAGTGCATCCCCGATCTCTCTGCCGCTACAGCCGACATTCATTGCCTTGCAGGCAAACACAACCAAAGCACACCGGGCTGTCTTCTTATAGTCCGCAACTTTTTCGAGCTGCAGGTGGTGCTTTTGGCCTCGCTGCTGCAGCCGCTGTGCTGCAGGCCGGCCTACGGCAGGAATCTGCCCACCGACTACGCGTACCTGGCAAGCAGTGCGTTCTACTTTCCGTTAAACTTTGCCGACGTAACCGATCGCAAGGATGTTCTTGAAGCCTACATGGCTGCCAGTCGTATCGATTTCATCCTATTGTACCGCTAGCCGGCACGTGCCGCTTGTGTTGCTTCCCATTAAAGACTAGGGTATGGGTCCGACAGACGTACGTGAAGCGAGGGCGTGCGGAGACAGTCTCAGCTGCAGGAATTACTGTAGAGAAGACGTCACTTCAAGACCAGAAGCAGAAGTATGCCAGAACGCGGTACATGCCGTCGAGATGGAGCAAGGAGACATACTTTTTCCCCGATAGTTGTATTCCAGCTGGACAAAGAGCGATATAAAACTTGAGACTATCAGCAATAACGGCGAGTTCGTATGAAAAGCCACCTTAGATTAGAAGTCAAAGACGGAAAAGAAGGTTTGGAACCAAGGAGTATTTATATGGTTCAGTCGAGTATCTTGCAGTATTTCATGACAAGCTACATGGCAAAGTGAGTTGTGAAAGCAACGAAAACAACGAAAGCCAAAAGGGGCCCCCATAAGTCAAGCAAGCAATGCACAACTACGGCAGCCGTTAGATCAAATGCGCAGGACGGCACCACGGCTAAAGATCAGTGAAAGCCACCCGAGGATAAAGCACAGTCCACCGACGGGCGTCACGGGCCCCATCCACTTAAAGCGCTCGGGATCGAGCGTTAGGGCATAGATACTGCCGCTGAACAAGGTCATGCCGGCCGTAAAGAGCGAGCCAGCCACAGGATGGCCATGCGCCACCAATAAAGCAACCGAGTGAGCGAGCTGTGACGTCAGTCAGGAGAGCGGACCCAGAAGGGAATACATGGATCTCGCACCTGGTAGTGGGCGGCCGTGGACCAGCTGTTGAGCTTCCGCGGATCGGTGATATGTTTTTTCAGGCCGTGTGCCCCAAAGGCGCCCATCGCCACGGCTGTCGCACCATACAGGGCGCCTACGCGCCAGAAGAAGAGGCCGGCCATGCGGGCAGTGATGGAGTGTTGCGGGGCGTAGTGGCTATGACGAAGGAGTTCGGCAGGACGGTCGGTAGAGGCGGGGGTTGCTGGATCGAGATAAGAAGGGGAGTTATTTCTTCGTTGCCAGCTGGTCCGTTCACGCTGGGGTGAACAACTAGGGGCATATAATGACCGGATTCTGTCAAGTCCCTAATTCTCTTCCAGTTCGCTTGCGTAGTTTGTGGCAGTTTTGCAGAATGCAAACGCGAAAATACAAGCTATTGCAGGTTCCGGTCAATATTTCGCCGATTTTCTGTATTGCAATAGCGTTGCTTTGTCAGCTGGAGGCCGGGTGTTTGTATTGTCACCGTACGATTCCATTCTTACTGCTGTTTGGCACAGCTTTACTCGTAAGGAACGTAATATACGAGTATTCAAACTCGTCATATACTCCATACTACTCTGTACAATGCAGTCACGTCGTTTGCTGCTTTCTGCAGTCCGATTGACCGACTTTCCCCTCAGCTCAGCTTCTGAATAGCGCATCTCCGAAGCCGGGGCCGATGCGGCAGCTGCTGTTTTTCGAGGAAAACATATTACCCGGCGCTAAAACCCAAACCCCGCCACAGTTCTCACCCAGCCTTTTCAAGTCTTTTTCAAGAAAAAGCATTTGCTTTCAGCTTGATTTCTCGTCAATCGAGCAGATTGGTCTGTCCGAGAATAGCGGATTTTGGAGACTTTTGTTGGGCTTCGTTCCGCCTGTGACACAATCGGGGGATTCACCTGCATCTACGGAGTCCACCCATGGCATTGTAATATACTGGCTAACGAGGGGTTTCGGCGGTGGACTCGGCATGGGACATGCTACAAAGTGCCATAAAACAGGTCATACACCCATCAGCCAGTCGTGCGAATGGCACGGGAGGTAATGCAAGGAGAGCAATGTTTGACACTATTCTATTGAGCAAAACCCCCCCAAACTAGTCTTGCTGTATATGGATGGCCTAAAAGCCTTGTACTCACTGAGAGGGAGGGCACGGCGGTTAGAGCTGGAGACAAACAAACGTTACCTCCTACTGGAATGTAGCGGCTACACAATTTGGAGGGTTTGCCGTAACAATTACAGTCTACGATGTGCCATTGTAACGGGCATGACAAAAATGCACTTGTTTTTTTTTTTTTTGGCGAAGCTCTGTTAATGCTGGCGTAATTAGCACCCGTCATAGCGGGCCGTAGCGGGCTCACAACCGCAGGAGGATGTGCCCAGCATGTTCTGAATATACCTACCGATACTTGCCGATCACGTTCCCTTACTGTGACATCATGTCGAGGGTGCGTGCGCTCTTTACTCCGTACTCGTACACACCGGGAATTGATGATAGAGGAGTCCTTTGAAGTAACGAACGACGGCAGAGGTTTCGCCATCTTGGTCTTCCTATGCGTGGACACAGGATGTGGCTAAACATCTTATCGGGAAAGGTGCAGCACAGCCTCCTTGAAAGTCATGGACGCTGCCACCTGAAGGTCACGGGAAGGCCACTAGTGCTGAGTATTACCAGATGTTTCGGAGGTCTCGTCTAGTCCTGGAATATCTTGAGCGAGATGTCGTACAGCTTTGTCTTTTTTGGCGAGCCGTTAACACAGGTCTACCGACCGATGCTCGATCCAGCCATGCCGTGGACCTATTAGAAGCACGACGACTAAAGCTATATCTGCGGCGCGTGTCGCGATAACCAAGTTGCGCCTCACGAGCGTGTGACCGTAACAGTGATGACACTGAAGCAGCAGACGCCCATTCATATGCGGTTGCCTGTGTTGCCTACTGGCGACGGCTACAGCTGGACTAGATCTAAAGCTGGCGTGCAAACGTATTGGTGTTGGATGGGAGGCCTTGGCAGCGACGACCCGATTCATCGTCGAGCTTGGGTCACCACTTGGGTATTTTTCTGACTGCCACAACTAATTTGTTTCCCCGCGAGCATTTCCGATCAGGTCAGTGGGTCGTGACAGAGAAGTCTGATTTGAGGCGCGCCCATGACACGTCCGGAGGCCGGTTACTACAAAGTTCCAGTATCGCTGGGGCTGTGCCAGCTTTGCCAAGCACTGTCGTGTTGTATGCGGCTCTGTAAAAATTTGTGACCAGCCTGTCTTGTGCTTGAAAAGAACCATGGAGGAAAAAGCATTGACGAAATAACAGAGTGAGATCCGACGTCGTCCGCCACCCGAAAGTGGAATCGGCCACAAACTAGGATGGTCGGGTTGTGGCGGTGAACAGCCAGTGGACATGTTGATGAGAAGTCGAGAGGCATTCGGGCTTGCGGCTCTGCGAGTAAAAAAAAGCCAAGAGATAGGTGGACAAAAATCTGGGAACGATCGCATCAGGTCATTTCTACAGAAAGTGGGTAAAGCGAGGAAAAAGAAAGTAGAAGCGGCGAGAATGCGGTCCAACCGGAGCAAGAAGCGGCCTGCCGGGCAGTGTGTCTCTTCGTTGTCGTGCTGCATGATGAGGAGGACACGAAACCAGCGACCGCCAGTGCTTGCAGACAGGGCGAACAAGAACACGGCTTGTGACCGTTGTTGTGCTGCCCGTCTGTCCAGTCAGCGCTAGTGAGCCTTGTGCTGCCGCTAGTGCTGTTGGCAAGCGGTTTTAGCATGACAAGCAGGCAGGCACCCCCTCCCTTTCTGTCACAGTAGTGCTGCGCCCTGTCTCGCCCTGAAATACAACTGGTGGCCAGCCTTTGCGGCCTGGCTAGCCAGGCCCGTTTCCCGTCAGCACTTGCGCTCTTGTTCGTTACTGCACCAGTAGGCCGGGCCGTGTCTACTCGTACGCGTGGCCCGCAAATGGGCACCCAGTGTGTAGACTGTGCAGACGACAGACGGAAGCCCCAACAAAAAGTTTTTGTCATTCAGCTGTTGGTAGCGCAAATCTCTTTCTGTTCCTTGACTACAGTACGAGTAGTACGAGTACGAGTACGAGTACATGCCTACTTAAACTTGTATCTTACATAGTAGCATCGCGCAAAAATGCGCAGGGTCGCAGGCCACCGCCGATCTCGATGGCGTTAGTGAGTTCGGAAGCGGCGCCAGAAGCTGATTGATCATCGTTCCCCAGCAGGCCGCTGGGCACAAGCGGACTTTCCACTAACCGAAACCAGGATGCACCCCCACCCCCCTCAACGGATAAGCCAAGCCACGGTTTTTGCAGGCAGTGCCTGACCCTGGAGAGCGAGAGAGACGTCGATCAGTTTGTGCATCGCGTAAAGTGCGTTACGTCGCTCATTCTGCACGACAGCACACCCACCCCGGCTTGGAGTTGACGCCTATCACAGCCTGATCGGCCGTGCAGCGCTCAGACATACGTCATTTATAGCATGAATACAGCATCCACTTGCTGGTTGGAAAAACAGTACCCGTACGGAGGACAGAAGTCTCGTACGGACAATGGACAGTGCCGGTCGCTATCAAACGCCAGCAATGCAGACGGAGACAAAAGACGCGACAATGGTAGACAGGACACAAGAGCAACCGTTGTCATGGCCGCTCTTTTGACCAGCATACCCGTCTACGAGTACGAGCAGGCCGGTTCAGCCATCTGGTCGTCGCTACATAGCCCAATAGAATCAACAGCAAAAGGTCGGGCGACTCGTACTCCGTATGCTTCGGGCAATGGCTGCATGCTAACCCCTTCTCCACCGCATCTTTCAGTCCGGCCACTCACACACACCAATCCCCCCCTTGCGCAGCTCTGCACACCACTCGTGGTATACCCAATAGCGTCTCCAGGGCTGCTCTAGGCCGTTACGTCGGAGAGGACGCCGACACATGCGCCTTGTCGTTTACAGGCCTTCGAGGATGTTTGCAAGCACTCCACTCTATACCCAGCTTCGTCACAAGAACATGAGCTGACTATGCGAGACTTCTGCAGTTCCCCGGAAAGTTCCATGCACGCTTTCCTCTTGGCCTTTGGCATTTTTGCTGCCCATTTCCGTGCACCTTCTCCTGCGCAATCTCCTGCATTTCCTCTCCCACACCTCTTTCACTGTGGTCCTAATACTTCTTCGCCGGGCGTTAAACCCACCTAACACATCCCAGCCCGGCGAGTCTGCACAGCCTACATTTGACCGTTCCTTGTGAAAGTCAGGCATCTCCGACGTACTTATTCGGAGCGCCATCCCCGTTCTTTCGCGGGCGTAAGACCTGCGTTGCTGCCTGACTTCGCAGCTTCCTTCTGTCTGATCCTTTATCTCATCAAAATTGTGTCTCCATCCGACTGCCTCTTGCTTTCGTCGCCTTTATATGAGCGATTCATACTTAATTCTCACTGACTGCCGTATTGTCTTATCTTTCCAAGAAATATTTGCAACATGACCATCGGCCAACGAAATCCCGAGATTCAAACATCGCAGAGTCGCCTTTGTCAGTCAAACGACATATCCACATCTATTGCCATCGCAAAAATGGAAGCGAATCCACGCCTACACTCTTCGTTGGAGGGCAGCAAGCGGCATTGCGCTGAATACCCCATTACTCGGTCGAGACTTAGTGTACAATATGTCCGTCGTCGTCCACTTGTGTATTCTTTTCGTCAGTCTGATCTTCTAACTCGGCAACAGATTGAAGGCATACACGATAACGCCTACATGCGACCTCCACCTCTGAAGCGATCGAAAACAGCCATCCTTCCGCAAAACCCGACAGTTTATTTTGAAGCCGACAGTATGGCTCGCTCGTTGTCATATTTGCCATCCACACCATCGCCTTCGAGCATGCTGCACCCTCCCAGTGCATCTCTCTCGAGTACTCCTTTCGCGGCGTCCGTAGCGTCAACATCACATCCGTCCATGGCAAGCCGGCTGTCTGCCAGCGATTGGAGCTATGATGCGGGCAACCCAGCAGCCGAAACGACGATACCCGGCAGCAGCCAGGACGCTTCACTCTATCCCGGATACCACCTACGGGCCCGAAACACAAATCCCGCCACGATCTCTCCAGGCTTGGATGGCGTCGGCTTGGACCCGATGCAATATCTTCGATCGCGAGGCTGCGGAAAGTTGCTGCCAAACTCTTCCCCTCAGCAGTACCTTTCTCCCCCAGTCGAGATACACTTTCATGCCATGCCTTCTTCAGCCCTTCCTTCTAACTGTGGCTCGCTCACGGAAGATACTGGCACGGACACAGCTACCAGCTCAAGAGTGAGTGAGAGCTACCAAGGCAGCGTTTTTGGAGCGCTCGATATGGTACAGGTCAATTCACAGGACTCTTTTTCCGAATCTCCGCTTGTCAGCCAGGATATCAAATTGCCCCGCCGTAACTACGATGATCTTGCTATCGTTGAGCAGCCTCTCGATAGCGATGTGGCTGTTCTTGGCATCGGAACTGGGTATTCGTTGGCGGCACAATTTTCTCAATCAAGTTCTGGCCAGTCAGCTTCCCATTTTCCCGGGAATTTTTTCTTTGCGATGGAACCAGCACTTTCTCTCGACGGCACAAGTTACTGTCTCAATACCACAGATGGGGAACCTGAGCCTGGTTCTGATGGTGCCGAGCCACGGCCACAGCATCACTTTACCGATATGGAACGCTCTGAGTCCAATGGTAGCACCCGCTCGACCTCATCTTATTTAAGTGCTCGCGCAAAGGACACATTGCGACGCCAAAACAGTGCAGCAAGAAGATTCGCCATACAACCAAGGGCCTCTGCGTCTGCACCTGAGTCTACAATTTTGCGATCCCAAAATGCATTGGAGGATGGCCCTGAGCCTTCTAATAGAGACGCGGCCGCGCTTGGCAAAAAGGAAATTCTCAAAGCGAGGTATGCGCGGCCAAAGCACCCGAAGTTGAAATGCCTCCGCTGCAATACCTACCCGGAAGGCTTTCGTGGTGAGCATGAGCTTCGACGGCATATGTATGCCAAGCACACGCCTGACGTCAAAAAATGGGTTTGCTGTGACCCTCACGCATCGGGTATCAAGACAAACGTTGAAGTCATCCTCCCCCTTCTTGATTGCAAACATTGCAGTGCTAAGAAGTTGTACGGAGCATACTATAATGCGGCTGCTCACCTCAGACGCACGCATTTCAAAAAGAAGGTGCCAAGGAAGGGAAGTCACCAAGCGTCGCCAACAGCTTCTTCTGCAGCAGAGGATGAGGCAAATACTGACTGGCCGCCCATGCCGGATCTGAAATGCTGGATGAAAGAGGTTATCGTACCTGTTGGCATTACCGATGCCATAGCTGAAACGGATGGCGGGGAAAAGGACGAGTCTACCAGCCCGCGTCCCAAGAATCGTTCCAGGACTGTTATGCCCTCTTTTGCAGGCTCTACATTGCCCATAAAGCTGGAAGAGCAGGCAGAGTCCTTCGGCCTCGGGAACGAACTTCCGAATATTAAAGGGACCCGTGCTGTTGTTGATGGCAACACAACTTCTGGATCATCGTCTGATTTGCAGAACGAGATGACTGCCGAAGAGATGGGGCCCGCTTTCGACCACGGACTGCTTTCCTCTGCGACTTTCTTGGAGTTGCATCAACCCTATTCCAATTTTGCACAATTTAGCCACACCTTCGTTGGAAGCCTATCCGAGGCGACCGAAATGACTTCCGTGCCGTCAACTCTTTACCACAACTGTAAAATTCTTGGCAACGACTTTGATGAGTTCAACTACAGCAAAGACTCTCCACACTTCGACTTCATGCCATATAATTCTGACAGCAATGCGTTTTCGTGACGATCAGTTTACGAAAGATCTGATGCCAGATTTTGATTGGTCCTTCCCTGCCCTCACAACCCTGCCTTTCGATAAATCGAGTCAGCTGTGTGCTGTCTCGCAATTTTCTTCTTACACATTTCTATAAGCTTTTCTTTCAGGCTCTCTTACTACTAGTTCTCTTTAGTTTCTTTGTAATTTGGGGCTATTTCCTTGTTTGATATCTCATCATTGGTCTACTTTTTCCTCAAGCTTAGTTTAGTGACTGTCGCCCGGGCTCAAATTGCTTTGTTCTTTTTTTCCTTTTTCTTTTTCTTTTTCCTTTTAAAACCCCCCCCCCCCCCCAAAAAAAAAACCCCCCCAGAGTGGGGTACGTTTTGACAGCTAGCTACAATATCTAGGTTCTATGCTCTAAACGCATACGGGGCTAAAGAACCAATCCGGTGACAGCTAGGTTGTACCATACTACGAGCAACGTTAACGGAAGATATCGGCAGATATGGTACAGACAGAGTGTCTGTCGAGACTGGAACGAGTTTTGCATTGGTATTATTGGAGCTGATGTGTTAGAACGGTTCTTACCATAGGAGTGAGGCTAGATCCTAGGGTACTATAAGCAGTATTAAAATAGTAGTATACTTCCAACGACAAATGGCACCGTCTAGGACCAGTCTATGGGATCTTGTTATTGGACTGTTTTTGTACGTTTCTTTCTCTACGGCCGCGTGTATAGTAGTTTACTTGAACCTATAAGTATACGTTTTCGACTCTTGCTTAGTATGTTTGACTTGGTTATATGCGTAAAATGATATCGCGGTGGTCTTTGTTTGCACGGTTTAGTCGACAGGTTTGTGCTCTGCCATTGATACGATTGCATGTTCGGTCCCGTTGAAGGGATATAACTATGTATCAGGCATGTCCCTTGTTGATACTGATTACTGGTAAGCCTGATGTGAGCTCCTCAAGGTCTTCAGAATAGCCATTGGCTCAGTGTTGGTTTGTCGACCGAATTGCCTCTCAGAAAGATAAGGCTTCAAGTGTTCTACTTTCAGGTACAATACTAGTCACGAGGCGGGTTCTGGCCCTACGAACCGCATGTTATTGCTATTTTCTATGTAGAAGATGTCTACGGAGTAGATATGTTAGAAATTCGAAAGTCGATATCTATTAAAAAGGGACGTTTCTACTGTAAATAAAAAGTATACATCGACTTAACCAAGATAGAGTTTTTATTATTATTCTTTTTACTAATCATCAAATCAACTAATCAACTGGTAAATCTTAAACTCTTGTTTTTTTGTCTCCTAAGTATAGGTATCGTCGGGTGAACCTCTTCTCCTCGTGCGACTCCAAACACAAACTACGTGACGTCTTCGCAATTACAAGGTACCACATACCTTCTTTTCTCTCTGTTCGTTCTTCTTACCTTGACCGTTTGAATCAACCATGATGAACTTCTTTAGAAATGCTTCGTCTTCGTCTATCATGCACTCTGTCGCTGATACGAGCGGCGTGTGTGGTGCCAACAGGTACAGGTGAATACCACCGCAGCTTTGCTCGTGGATGCCTGTTGGTGACAAGTTAATGTAGAGATGAATCCACTGTTTATTGAACAAAAGCAAAGCCACCCGACCCTAGATACGCCCCTTAAAATTGTACTGCTTTTTTCATTCCTCTAGTATCGAATTGAGGGCTTCTAGCTGCATCTTTATAGTGAGTAATAAGAGAAGTGCACCCCCAAGATCACCTATTCTGGCCGCACAGGATGACAAGTCAAGACCCCTCGCGGGATGCTATATCATCACGTGACCGACTCCATTTTTCCTAACCAATCAGATGTGGGACAATTCATGCCACTTACACACTCTATGTATATAAAAACCCTCTCTTCTTCCCTCTCCTTAAGAGAGGGACAGACAAGCAGACACGCACGCATGCACGCAATTCATCAGTTACGAAGACATATACGCAGTGCACTTGTGAAGTAAACACCGCCAAAGACCTCGCCGGGCGGGCTCGTCTTGTCATCTCTTTCGGGATCCTAGGATGAGCCCGCATGGCTTTCCTCCCTTTTCCCTTCGGACCAGCCACATACTGCCCTACCTTCTGACGAAGGGAGGTACCTTACGGAACCTCTCTTCGTGCACAGTTACATGTGTTGGTAGGTGTGTGTGTTGTGTTGTTGGTTCGAGCAGAGGCCTCACCTTACCTCCGCTCTCAATAGCTCTTAAGTTTTTATTCTAGCCCATAACTCCAACGACAACCCCTTCCGTTTATTGACTTTATACTTCCCGCTCTAGAATCACACTGTCCCAAAGATACCCTCTCCATCGGACAGAGTTGGACAAAGTAAACCCTATGGTGTTCTTACCGGAGTATAACTGATCACTAGTGATGTTGTATTGAAGGAATCGCCACTCGCCGGAAACTCTTCCCGAGCGGTACAACGCCGCGTCGTTTGCCAACTTCTTCGGTGTCAGTGTATCGAGCCGCTGTCCGTTGATATCAATGACTAGCGATGGACCTTTAGAGTGCCCTGCGAGGGATACACTGAGGATTGCATTGCCCTCGCTGACGCCACCACCGTCGAACTCGATGGTCCAGGTACCATTTGCAGATTGGGCATAGTACCAGTCCGACACGTTGGACCTGCCGACAGTGTAGGTTAGATTTGCAGGGCTCTTGTCCGAGAGGCCGTGTTGATACGGCAGACCACCGTTCCTGAACCCGTATGCCTTCCGGTCAAAGTCGCCAATTTGGAAGAGAGTCGATCGGCCCTTCGGGACATCCCACGTAATGTTTCCAAGCTCCGCCAGTTTGTCCTTGGCAACAGTGACGTCGGTGCACGTCACGTTGGTGTAGACGTTGTAGAGGACGCCGCCGTTGGACCACGCATAAAGTTCATACCTGCCGGTGCGGACGTTAGGGATCCGGAAGTAGCCGGATTCATCCGTGGTGGTTGTGTAATAGTAGTTGATGCCCTGAACAATCGGCTGTGTCGTTGTGTTTGTATCACCGAGAAACACGGAAGCACCAGAGGCGGGCCGTCCATCAGAGAGTCGCAGCGAGCCAGCCACCTCTCCTCTTGACTGATAGGCGGAGTTGTTAAACCAGCTATAGGGAAAGCGGAAACCCTCTTGCTCTTGCCGCTTTTTGGCATCTTTGACCGATCCGTTATTCTGGATTACTTATTAGCTATGGAACAAACGATAAGATGCAGAAGTAACCAACCAAGTACCAAAGCCAGGGACCAAATATCTTGCCAGATGCTGGCTGTTGAAGCGTGGTCACTCGAAAATGGGAGGTGTCTTGGATAACATTCAGCTGTACAGCAGAACCCACAGATGATTCACGGTGGACCTGGCAATTAGCAGAAGTCAAGTTAGTAAAAATCTTGTGTACAATGGATTTAGTCCACGCCAGTCGCTGGATTTCGTCATCAACCTACCGTTAGGCCCTGGCTCAGCTGGTTGGATGACCACGATTCATATGAGGGGTGAATGTACCAAGATCCAAAATCAGGCCCATAGACTCCGTGGAAGTCACGGTCGCGGACGAAGTCAGCAAAGTCATATTTTGTGAGGTAGGTGCCGTCAGCGAGCAAGAAAGTCTCATCCTGGACTTTTGTCGCGTTGGTATAAAGGGAAAAATCCGGCAGCGCTTGGTCTTTGATGTTTGTTCGGCCGTTAAGAAAAATGGTCGGGTCGAGCTGCCAGACTGTTCTCCAGATCTGTACAGCTTCTAGGGCACGGTTGGTGAAGTACTGGTAAGCACCCGCCAAGTCTTCAAAGACGACCCAATGAAGATCGCCTTGCTCAGACGTGAAGCTGATATCGGCCCAGTCAGAACCGCGTGCCACGATCGAGGCATTTAGCCAGCGCAAGTTGTTCACTCCGCCATCTGCAGTTGTACGTTATTAGACACGTACTGTGCACGAGCCATAATACGTCCTCGGAGTTTGACTTGCCCCATCCGCTGTAGTGTCCAAGGTACGATTTTACGAGGTCTTCTGACTTGTAAAACAGCTTGTTTGCGAAGACCGGGCCCTGTGTCAAGTTCCATAGATCATTTCCAAATACCCAGGCAGACTCGTTTATCTGTTTAAGAAATGGACCGGCGGCAGCAGCCAGTCCAGGACAGAGGAGCAGTGTCCAGAGGTTCCTTGCCAGCATGGTCGTTTGCGCAGTACAGATATTATTCGCCAAGGTCGTGGGGATATGAAAGTAGTGAGTCTGAGTGCTCTGGCGACTTCTGATTAGGCGGTAAGACTGGTCTTCTTATAGCCATTTTGGGTCAACAAGTTGACCCCATAACCTTTAGCGATTAATAAAACAAATTGCGCAATACCCATCAGAACCCCATTAGCTTTGCGAAACTGTGGAAATGCAACATGATAGTCACATTTGTGTCGCTGCCGTTGCCATAATTTTTTCCATCGGAAAGTGGAACATAGGCCGGGGGTGCATCACGCCATCGGTCCTGCTGGGTGCAATCACCTGCTAACGGGGGGAATTGCTAGGGACACACGTCAAATTCGAGAAACACACGCTACGTGACATACTTTGGCGGTTAACCCCGGCAGAATACTAAAATCGACCCCTGTACTCCGTACTCTGTAAGTTGTTAATAGTTGTTAATAGGTATCTTACAAAGTAAGATACATTGTACGGAGAGTACAGAGTAGAATAAACAAAAAACACTAAGTAAGAATAGAAAAGACTAGTACTCCGTAACTACTATACAAACAGTTAAACTGCTATATCCTCCCCTATAGCCTAAAAAATCTCCCGCCTACTAAGCGTTATCTGCACCAGCCTACCTATACAGCGCGCCGCTGGCCGTGCCTTCTCTGCCTATGCCGCAACTTCCGTATCCACCTAGGCCTTCTCTGCTGCCTCTTAGTCTAAATAGGCTATCTCCCCTTTGTCTATGCTGTCTAGCCTACCGAAGGCTACAAACTTCCAGTCTAAGCAGTACACGCACGCCCTGCTATACCAGAGCGGCAAGCCGTCGTACTAAGCCTGCCGTGCCGTAATAGATATTTGGTAAAGGGGTGCTGAATTGGTGATATTATTGTAATGCTTGCAGGAAATACGTAAAGGCGGCGCGCGCATTTACCCGACGATTTTTAGTATTCTGCCGGGGCTCACCGCCACAATATGTCACGTGGCGTGTGATTAGAATTTTAACGTGTCCCTGACGGCCTTTTTCAGGATAACTTTCGAGAAACCTAAGCGGGTTGATCATCACTATGCGAAGACGACTGTCTTGCGATATGCAATAATTCTGACTTCCTTATGCTTTTGTGCAGTTGACATATTGGCGCAATGATATATGTTCTTGTTTATGGCCTAGCAACTATAGACCAAGGAATCTACCCTTTCTGTCTTCGACGCCACCGTAGGACGAGCTCTCGAAGGCATCAATCAACTTTAAACTATCAAGCTGACGGCAGCTTTGTAATTGGCTCTCGACACGCGTGTTCTGTACTACTCCAAAAACCCTCTTTCTCACCATCCTGCAGATTTACGGAGTAAAGACTGGAAGAAGTATTGAGATCGGCAAACTGTGCGTGATGCCGACGTATTCGCGCTGTCAAGAAAGCTATGTCCAGAAATCCGAAAAATGGGATGTTCTTGTTGTTTATGCCGCAGCTTACATCGCATATCACGCGACGGTGCCTGTCTGCTGTCTACAACAATTCTCCAGGGTTCAGGAGGGCTTAAACGTAGACAGTTTCGGTCTCCCCGCCAAAACTGACCTGAGCCAAATCCAATAACCGATTTCTCGGAGATTCCCAGCAAGGCAGCATTCACTTTTCCCGCAATTCCCATGACTTCAAAGGGCCATAATATGGGGTACATGCCATCACTCATTGGCAGGTATTCAGTACCCGAAGATGGAACGCGTTTACCGAAGCAGAGGCAGAGCCGAATGCTATAATTGCGCCGCAAGGAGCTCCAGGGCGAAGACGTGACGGGCCCAACACGGAAATGCCATTACAGCACCAGAAACCCCCATACTGAAGCCAAAAATGTTTTTTTTTGTGACAATGCAAACAACTCATGAGTACATTGCCGCCTTTCTCATGTTGATATCGAGGAAGTTTCAAATAAAATTGCTCGTCGCGCTTCCATACCCTATTACTTCTTGCGCACAACCAATACAACCTTTTCTCTACTTGGCGGAAACTGTAAATGCCACCCATTTCAGAAGGATCGCTCCTGATGGTTATTCTGCTTGGGCAAGGGCAAAAGAGCACGACACAATACTTTATAATAAGCGGATCTGTGTTTGTTACGTGCAGTACATTTCAGCCTTCATATTCGTGTTATGAGCCAGAATACGATGCCACCAACGCACCTGCGTAGGCACGCAACTGCGTTATCACCACCTCTGTCTAAATGACCTCCATTTCAACCACATCTGAAATCTTAAGGCTTACTTGTCTAATTTATGTAATCTATAAGAAGATTCCCTTGCCCCAAAAAGATGGCTTGGTTTTTTTCCTCTTCAGTTTAGTTCAATTCATCTTCGTGGCAAACTTCAATTTCTAATACCCCCATGCTTCTATGGAGATCTTAGGACATCAAGATCTGTCACTTGATTAACTGAACCTCGCTGCTAGACCCATAGATATGCTAAAACTATAGTCAGATAAATTGCAGTAAGTATTAACTCTACGCATAGTGTAGAGTCACTTCCAATTTATAAACTATATCCCGTCTACATAACGAAAATGTCGTACCGAATTTTAGACTAGCGTAAGGTAACCGCGGCTGTACCCTATAGGGCCCACAGATTTCGACTCGATTGGCGATTAGCCTCAAGTAAGTAATAATTAAACTGTCACAACTACGAGGTGGATGGGGTATTATTCGCGCCCCTTGTCAGGTATTTTCAGGCGCGTCTTCAGATCTTTACCACTGTAAACAATCGAGCAGTACTTCTAACGGTGGAAACGGTCGCCATTGCACGCCTGAAAGCCCCTGTCAAGTAAGGCTGCCAAAGTCGAGCGAGATTTTGCCACCGTTCAGATCTGGTGAGTGCACCTGTGGCGAGTCCGAATAATATCCCATCCACCTCGTAGAGCCAAACTTAAAAAGTGTGCTTTAGAAAATATTATTAGCCGTCCGGCGTGTACTATAGCTGCTTCCAAGGCTTGTTATGGACAATTGCATGTATCGCCGTCTTGAGTCCTTATTGGTGGTTGATAGTAATTGTATTTACGGAGCACTTCTTCCGATATCAAATTAGCTTATTGTTTCTGATCTGTGCTACTGCTCTTTGCCTAGTCATGGGCATTCGCCTTCCCGCTCATCACGGAATTGGCCTGACTATGAATGGGCTCGGCATTCCCGGCTTGGTTGTTCGTTACGACTTGCCTTTGTGCTGCAAAAAGTGCACTTTCTACCTATTGCCGTGTATCTTTTCTGGCCATGCAGCAACATAGCTCTTGACAACATGCATACTTAGCCGGGACAGCTGTTGGAACTTCGGGCCACGGCCAGTGCTACATAGTGATCAGTGATCATGATAGGCACTGTTATAAAGTAAGCAAATTGTATCTCCCAAACCGTCCTAGTTCGAGTACGGAGCCGCATGCAACACATTGGGCTGTTGACCACCTCGTGCCGACTTAATCGGGTACCATTATTGGTTATGTCATTGTCCACAACTGTGACTCATGATTACGGGCGATGTTACCAGTGCTCGATTGGCTGGGGTTATTATATCCGCAGAGCCGCAAGGCTGAATTCTGACACGGACCCCCACTGCCAAGACAATCCAGCCCGCACAAATCGGAAATTCTGATAGCAGATGGTCTTTTTTTGGGATATAACGTCAAATCTTGTCAAACTCGGCCTCGGCTATTCCGTGCATTATCTCGCTTCAAATAGACATTGATATACATGGCTCTCATATACCAGCCGTTCGATTCTTATGTGCCACTCACAAGCCTGTGAGCACTACTGATCCCCTACCAAATTCTTCTCCGAAGTGCAGTATTCACATTTCGTGTGATCGCATTCAACACACATCGCAACTATCTTCTCACTGTATGGCCCTGCATGACAACGGTGCTTTTACTTTGTCAGACCGCCATACGACCAGCAAGAAATAAAAGTGAAGGAGAGATGGTACACAATCAGAGGCAGGAAAAACTCACACAATACCACTGAACAGTGTCCATTGGCCCTCCAGGTTTCAAGCAATCGACACTGTAGTCCAGCTCTATTATTCTTCCGTTTGTTATGGCGAGATATGGGGCAGTAGTGATATATAAGATTGGAGGTCACTGAGAAGAGCAATGAGGAAAGACGTAAACTCATCATCTACGTAAGAAGCTTCTGCTCATTTATACACAAAATGCCCATATTTTATAATAATTGTACAGTGTCAGACTCAACAGCAAAGTTCCCGCAAGCAGGCCACATATCTTGAGGCATATAAAATCTGTATAGCAGCAAAACAAAAGAACACGAATTATGACAGTGTGTAGATACCCAATTCTCCTGAAAATAGCTCAAATGAGGCTCTGCGTTAAGTTTGGAACTTAACAAAGTTATGATACCCGGTCGGAGAGTAACATCACATCATTTTGTACCGCCAGACCATTTTGGTGAAGACTAATGCAGTCAGGTTTCGGGATCGGCCAGCATTGGTGCTGTTTGGTGCACGAGACCAGTGAAGAAGGAATGAATGACAGGACATGCTCGCTTACTATAGGATGGTAAAATTCTGACCGAGATCAGGAATTTATACCAACCTGCTCTGCAGAATGGCTGCCTGTTTTTCCTAGCTCCAGAGGCACCGCAAGATGAAGCCTACCGATAGCTGCGATCTTGGATTGGTGGACGGATTCGGGATACTCTCCATATCAACCTGCAGGTGTTACGCTCGTCCAACAATTACGGGCCTTTCATCATGCGGCATTATTGAGTGACAAATATAGTGCACGATAAGGAAAAATGCAATATGCATCTACCTCGCGACGGCGTCTAACGTCTCAAGTGGGGAGCTCAGGCTAGCCTATAGCTTGGGTCGTGAGTGCATATTTTCGCGGAAGGGTCGTCAGTGTTGACATTGGATGCCGTCATGGGACATAGAGGAAGATAAACTACCCTCGGTAAATCTGTGTACTAGGAATCTCCTGCTTTCAGTGAAGGAATAGTAGCGAGAGCTTATCCTCCTCTTCCAGCGTTATGGCTATGGGGAAACTCGAATAGCTTTTACGTCGCTGAAACATGTACTGACAAAACAGAGCAATGCTAATAGATATCTGAGAAATCGAGAAAAGTTGTGCCCAGATTCCCTTATATATGATCTATCGACTATCACGGCAAAACTCCATATATACAGCTATACTTGCACTGCTTGATAGACTAGCTTCTCTCCCAAAGAGCTTTCAAGGAAGTCAGTGAATATACAGCTCTTAAATTATAAGGGAGATCGATGTCATATTGTCGTACAACTCCAGGACCTGACGACGATGGTTGCTGGCAAGATGACTGCAGAAGAATGCGCGGTAACGCTACACTTTTTAAATTCGGCGCACAATTTCAGCGCACAATTTCGGCGCGCACAGCTCGGCATGCTCGAGGCCGTCGTCGCCATCAACGATGCCGCGCTCAGCAACAGCTCAACGACTCCTCCCTGCTTATGTGTGGCATTAAGACTCTCGCCGTTCACATGACAAAGAAAAAGGTCAGGGCCCAGAATATCGCCTAGTTCCCCAAAGCCCAAGGCACCATCGCCGTGCTCCCCTTTGAAACTAGTGGCCGAACCCCCTGGAAGGCCATGGCGAGGCCGCCCTACTGCAGATACCTAATGAGTACCTTGCATTTCTCGACGAAAAATTATCGTCAGGGTCATAATACTTTAATAAAAAAAAGACTTGCGCCGAAAGAGTAGTAATGACAAGGAATAGCACATTGTTTTGTTTTGTTTTGTTCGGTATGTTTCGTTGTGTTCAAATATCGGCCAATGAAAGTATGGCGGAAGAGTGCCGTAAGAGCTTGTAGTGTGAGTTTAATGCAACACAAATACTCCATACAATTAGCATTCCATAAGAAACGGCACATATTACAGATCACTCCGTATTCTCTATGCTTTCATCATGACATCGTGACGCTGCCAGCACGTGATAAGTCAGACGTGCACGTGACATTCCCCTGCACGTGTAATTAGCCGAGAATGATCAACCATTACGTAATCCAATAAGCTCTCACAAGCAAAGTGGCATCAATTAAAACTGATGCTCTGGGTACTCAGAAGGCTTAAACTGACAACACATCCCGCAACAGCTACATTCACGATGCGACGACTTGGTCTTGTGCTTATTAGCTTATTACAGCTAGGAAGAGCTCGAAAGCCCGGTTTTAGTATTCACGAAGATCTTCTAGCCTATCCACAGGTTGTCATGTCTCCCCTTAAGAGACGGCTTGAAGAGTACAGAGTGACGACTAACGAATTTTGATCTTTCAATCTAGTTTGAGGTTGTGTTTTCCGACTCTTACATATTGGAGCGCGATGCGCAACTGCTTCTGGATCGCAGCATAAACCATGGCGAAGGTGCGACATACCACGCTGACTTGTTTCCGTCGGAAAGTGACTTGGCCAACCCAGCAAGCGAATCTGCTGCCCCCTCCGAAACGATACAGCCATCACCAACGTCGGCCGGTACCAGTGAATTCGAAAGCTTCGATGCCGGTGATGGCAGTGAACAAGTGTCGGAGACGTTCGAAATCGTCAATATGGCATCATCGCGGTACCTCTGCTCCATTCCTGTGTTAGCACCGCCACCTGCCCCGAACCAGACTGCGACGGAGCTAGCAAAGCTAGAGGAGGCCAAGGAACTCAGTCGCGCATCGGTGCGTGGAGTGGAATTAGTCAATGGCTTGGCTGGCGAGTGCATGTACTACATATCCGGCTGGTGGAGCTACAGTTTCTGCTATGGCAAAGAAGTAGTGCAGTTCCACGCCTTGACTGCGAAAACAGGGAAGCCTGTCAAGGATCCACACAGCCAAGAGTACATCTTAGGTCGAATGCTGGAGGATGCGGAACATGCGAGGCAGACACAGAAGAGCAGGAAAATGAACGACCTAGACGTTCAGAAGCCGCACGGCGACGATGCTGGGCACAACAACGACCAATACGGCACAGAGCTACAAGTAAAAGGCGACCAGAGATACATGGTACAGCATCTTGGAGCTGGTACTATCTGTGATTTGACGAATCGCGAGCGGACGATCGAGGTCCAGTATCACTGCAATCCGGGCGGCACGAGCGATCGAATTAGCTGGATCAAGGAAGTTACTACCTGCTCTTATCTTATGGAAGTACGGACACCGCGACTGTGTGAGGAAATTGCATTTCGTCCCCCGAAGCCGACACGGGCACACCCCATCAACTGTCGGCTCATTGTTGGCTCCGAAGAAGAAGCGCCGAAACGGGACGAGAAAATGATCGAAGCCGCTGTGGCTGCCGAGGTTGCGTCTTTACTAGTAAAGGACGAGTCAAAGAACCGGGCACAAGGACGGCATACTCTTGCTGATCATTCTGGAAAAGGTTCGCTTGGCCTTGTTGTCGGTGGCATTACTGTTGGTGCCCGTCAAGCTTTGGGGAGGGGACATGATGGTCATGCGCCAATGAAACTAGAGCCACCCCAAAGGCTTGTTTCCGGGCCCGGGTCCAATGACGGCCATGCTATTCGGGTTATCGCCAAAGGTGCGAAGAGAGCGGAAGGAGGCCAGGTTGAAGTGATCACGAATGCGGAGCTTGCCGAGCTAAATTTCAACCCGGAGACAATCGAAAATCTTGCTGAAACTGTGCATTCAATCGCCGAAGGTAAGGCGTGGAAATTGGAAGCGTTTGAGACTCCAGGCCAAGACAAGTATGATATACGGGCTACTATTGAGCCAGATGAGGCTGAAGTGAGCAATGACGGAAATCAGGCTGGCGGTGACTCTATAAGTGAAAACGAGCCTGAATACGAAGGGGCCATGGATGACCGCAGTGAGGGAAGCAAAGAAACGTTTAAGAAAGATGAGCTGTGATGCACATGGCTAGGCGTTCAGAAGTGTGGACATATCTATCCTTTTGACTTATCATATTATGTTACGTGAGGCATACGCGTATATTTTCTACCCCCTGCGTTTGCTACTTTATGCCGATAACGTAATCATCACCCTTTTGCTTAATATCACGTCTCGCACTAACAGCGCTAATGCCGCGCTATAAGGGGAGTAAAAAACGCTGCACGTGTTTAGCACCTCTTATCGGCCCTGTTGGGGATCATCTTGTCATGGCTGTAACGTTCGCCAGTTTTGCGATATTTTCTTGAAAAGACGGCGTTTTAACGGGGGGTATTGTTTTCATTTTCACAACTCTGTTTCTATATATGCTAGTACGCCCCTTCAGGACACATCCCTTAAGGCACGTTAGAGAAACATCCGTCCTGCACGTTCCGACAGTGCTTCAGCCCCCGCATTGCCACAGCCCCGCCGTTTCCGACCAACCACCACTTCAAAAATTCCCTAATAATTCCTTTTTTATTGTTTTGCAATCCCTACCGCCTTGACACGCCCAGCAATTGCCTCCTTTCCACGCTGCGACTGACCTGCCGACTCTCTCCCGACTGGTGGGCGAGGCCTTTTCCACTTCTACGGCCCTTTCGCGGTATCTGTTTGTCTGCGCATTCCAACTTCCGCCCTGTCTCAGCACAGAGCGGAGATATATTCACGAAAGAGACATGGGTGGTACGCCTACAAGATGAAAACCGAAGATGTTGGTAGCGATGGCATTCTTCAGACTCTCCCACCGCCATCGCCCGTGAATTATTTAGGATCGCTACAACGCCTAGCATCTGCCAACGCATCGAGCCAAGCCCAGAAGCGAACGGTCTGCGATCATTGTCGACGGAGAAGTAGGTCATCACCAGCCTCTTGAGATGCCCAACGAGAAGCGTTTTAGAAGGCCGTTAAGACTTTCTGAGCCGTGCTCTATGGCTCTCCCGGCGTGTTGCTGAAGTTGTCTGCCGCGCTTGTGCTGACTACTAGCTCTTAGGAATTCGCTGCGATGGCCAGCTTCCATGCCAGCCCTGTATCAATGCATCTCTAGCATGCAAGCGAGATCATGTTCCACTGAAACGCGGTCCCAAACGTGGCCGCGGCCGGGTTATCAACGAGCTGCGGGAGCGATACTCGCTAGATGGTGCCACGAACAAACACAGCCGTGAGAGCAGCAATGACTTGTAAGACATCATGTTGGATCGTCGGTTGGGGTACCCTCCTCGCCTGTCTCGCACATTTCTAAAACCAACGCGTTTTCTGTAGGACAAACTCCGGGACGACATCTTCCCAGTCAACACCGACATTACCCCCACCGCCGTCAGATATATCGTGGCAAAATATATCGACCGATCCCCGACATGCGCCGGAGCCTGGTGGTGTCTTTTCTAGCGAGCAGTATCGACCAACCTCTCGGAACTATCTACCATTAGTACCACAGTGCATCGAGCTATACTACGAACACGTGTACCCCATCATGCCGCTCCCATATATGCCTATACTACGGGCTATGGCTTCACAGACTCCGACGACAAGCGACCTCACTCCCTCTAATCGCAACTACCTATATGCACTTTGTGCGCTCACATGCTTCCACATGTCTGGGCAGAACATTGTAGCCGATGCCCCTACTCCGTCGTGGGAATGTGCTGGTCGCTTTTTTTTGGACGAATGTATTTCTGCACGGCAATCATACGACTTTTTTAACGACGCGTCCCTGCACGCGGTAATTTCTTCTTTTTGGCTCTCGACATCTTTTTTCGAGATCAACCAGTCGCGGAAATCATGGGTCTATCTACGTGAGGCCCTCACCTTAGCTCAGGAACTTTGTTTACACGACGACGCTGCCTATACTGGATTGGATTCTGCAGAACGTCTGTGCCGACAGCGTGTGTTTTGGCAGCTATTTGTGACAGAACGGTAGGCATCCAGTTTTCTTTAATTCGACCCCGGTCTTTGTCCCAGGCACTCATCCTTTCTGTTCCCGTTAGATCCTTCGCCATTCTGAGAATGAAGCCAATCAGCCTAAAGAAGACCCCCTCCCTCCCGACAACACTCCATCCTTACGAAGCTCCCGAGATACATGCAGGATTCTTGCAGCTGATCAGCTCCTACGCACCTCTCGATGAGTCCTTTGTCAATGCGTGGAACGAAGGCTCTGACCCAAGGGTCAGTATCACAACTTATCTAGCCCTCCAAAATGTCTTATCTCTGCCACCACCCTTCCTCACCCGCCCAAGCACAGGTGTTACGTCAGGCACAGAACCAATGGCGACTGGCGCGAGTACACCCGAGCGTTCTCTAAATGGGATGGAATCGGTCACATCCAGTCCGAGTACTACGACCGAAAGCATCGCGATGAGCCTACCGGACGCGCATCTTGCTTCTAGGGTGGAACACGACATGGACGCCGACAAGGAGCCTGAACCAGAGACAACCGACATTCAAAAGGCCGATTTATTGATAACACAGCAATGGCTTCGTCTTATTGTCTGGCAGTCTTCGTTTCGGCAACAACTTCTATCATGGACAGCTCCTGACGAGAGCATGCGGTTCGCTTTCCCACTGGCAATAGCCAGCCGCACAGCATCGGTGCTGCAGAGCCTCCCGCCCCAAGCGATCGAAGTCCATGGCATGGGCATCTTCGAAAAGATATTTGAGATCGGCACGTGGTCGATGAATGTTCTTCAGGCTTGCGATATGGCTGGAGCCGGTACGGGACTTAACGGCTCTGGAGGTGCTATGGGGATGGACTTTGCCGGTGCCACAGATCTAGGTGTTCTCGGTGTCGGTCGGGTGGGCTTTTCTATCGACCCATTAGAGTTCTTTGTTCGCACACTCAGCGCCAGCCCCAATAGCCGCAAGCAATATGCGGAACGGCTGCTGCTTTTTGCCAGCGAGAACCCGGGCGGAATGCGGATGTCGCTGTCTCCGGCACTGTCGGCTCCGTCGTCGCCTGAATTTGGGTCCTCGCCCAACATATGGAGCCGAGACGAGAATTCGAACCAGACGACTGGCATTTTGGGGAGTGTTTTGGGCGAGGTACCTGACAACACAGATCCTGGCGGGCATATGCAGCAAGCACTTCGACAAGTTGCTGCCGGGTCGGCCGCTTTATATGGAGGAGGAGAATCCCGAAATTTGGTCACAAACACTAATGGGGTATATGGCGGTTTTGGCGACATGCTGCCCGGCCCGGCAGTCTTTGATCCATATGACACATCACGGAGTGGTTCTTCTAGTCCTTTAGAGAACAGGAACGTGCGCAGCATGGGAGGCATGACCTTGCAAAATCTGTCGTAACTCTCTGGACAACACAGAGCGACACATGCCTCCGGTAACACCAAACACTTACAAATTAACGACATAGACATTCACCAGTCTTCATTGTATAAGCATTAACGAAAATGGATGATTTTAAGGGTTGGCGGATTTTTGGGAACTCTGGCGTTTTATCTTTACCACCGGGCCACATGACAGAACCGGCAAACCTAAAGACTTTATGTTGTGAAGGACTTCCCAAACTTGCTCATATGTAATACACTATCATTTTAAAGGAACCGCAACTTTCAAGACTCCAAGTGTGCATTTAGAAGCCTGTTGAACTATGCATATATTGCGTTTGCCAGCGGCTCGCAGTTTGCTTGCATCATGGAGTCGGAAGTTGACCGCCTTGGGTAACGTCTAGTTAGCACATCGATGGTCTACCACAATTTGTTTGATACATGTGGTGCTTACCCGTGCTTCAAATTTTTCTGACGGCCCTCTCGCCTACTACACAGAGCCCCGTTGTCAGTCACCTAACATATGTCAAATACTTCCAGGGTTGATATACAGTACTCCGTACGGGGTATGAGACGGCGGTGAGTTATGCGCGTTATGCTGTCTGCCGATTTGCATAAATCCGGTCACAGTTCACACTTGCAGGGGAAAGGCGCTCGCAGCAAGTACTCCGTACGGAGTAAAAGAACTATGATAAACAAAATGGAGTACTCCGTATACTTCGTAAGAGCAACGGCACAGACACCCTTGCAGAACTGCATCCTATTCTAACTACGACGTACGGAGTAATGCTATCAGAAGACGCGTCATGACTGAGCTGTCTCTTGCAATCTACCGACGAGTGGGGGTTCTTATATGTACAAATAATGAAATAAAGAGACGGGCTGCATCGCAATCTGACAACTTGGACAAATCACAGCCTCGGGCAAGCCTCCATCTCTACATACTAGTGTGGAGCCTGAAGTACACTTGTATGCATGTGAGCACAGCTCACAGTACAGAGTAGATTCGACGCCCCCGGTTCAGCCCTTAACTGTGGCCCGCTAGCTTGAGAGGGCGACCGGCAAGAGCAGGGGTATGTAAGATATCTTACGTCGTACGGAGTACATGTAAATAAATGCTTGTACAGCTGAGGCGCAGGATATATAAAGATGTATTGCACTGTAAGGAGTACTCTATATAGGAGAACTTCCGTAGGAGATTGAATAGAGCAATAAGACTTATGTAATTTATACGTCGTACGGAGTAGACGGATATGCTATACTCCGTACGGAGTATCTTACTACATTTTTAAATATACGAAGTACATAGCGCTTAGTAAGGAAGAAACACAATGCGTCCCCTCTAGCCTTTAGGAATCCGTTTCAATACTAGTGTTTAGTTCCAAGATTGTGTACGTACTTTGACCAATCATATGACCTCATTTCTGCTCTTAAGTGGGTCAGAAGGCCCACAGTTGAACCATTTCCATGTCTGACAGTATCTTACGAGATCCAATGCTGGCAAAGCAATCCTCCGCAAAATATCTTACTTTTGACGAATATGGGCGAGTTCGAGCTCAAAGTAGATGTACACTTGATCGCACTTGATTTCGTATATATTGACCGCGTAGTAAGATTCTACGGATATGTAAGACATTAGTAGAATATACGCCGTACCGTACGGAGCACTTCGTAAGATACCTTTCAGTGCAAAATATTTTAAACGTACATAGCATGTACTCCGTATGCTACGTCATACGTATCTTATCTTGCATGAGATATTTTACGAGACTCCGTACTCCGTACTCCGTACTTGTTTGTCTTATGCTGGATTGAAAAATCCTTTGCAATCCGTCGAAACAGAGCCAAGTAGAAAAGGCTTTTCATGGTCGAAAATCGAAACTAAAATTCTTATTTCAGACCTGTACAGCAAGATTGACGATCTACGACGTAAGGAACGTCAGGCGTATGTATGTACATACTCGCAAGTGTCCACAAGACGCGTATATCCTACTCCGTACAGAATTGTGCATATTCCGTATATTATGGTAGAGATCACAAGCGGAAACACAAGCTACTGTTCTTCGTCTCGTAAAATGCTGGCATGCGCTAAAAATGCGCTAGTGCTCAGGCTGCATCAAAAGCCGACCTACGACGTAGCGCCAGCTAGTGCCGCCCATCCATCAGGAACGAGCAGCCAGAAAGGGTAGGAGCGAGGGACTTGCCGCCAACCAGTCGCGCCTTCAACGACGAATTGTCGGACCTGTCTCGGCCCACCGAATACCAAAACACGACCGACAGAGACAAGAGCACACCAAGAACAAGGAAATTGAGAAGAACCGTTGGGCAGTCCGATCAGAAGGGTACAGAAGAGTAAAACCTCATCAAGAGCCTACGCGCGACAGGCTGCTCGGTTGATGCACCGTGGAATGAAATACTACCGGCACCATTCGTACAGAAGCCCTGGGGATTGTTTTGCCTTGCTCGGCCAACAATCTTGTGCGACATTCCTTTCGCCCTTCCCTTTCGTCACCCGCTGCTCAGACTCTTCTTATCTTGCCCACAGCAAACCCCCAATCAATCTATCCTATTTGGACTAAACGTTGGCACCCCAGAGGCTAATGCCACTGTTATTATATTACGACGGCTAATGGACCAGCCAATCCACGCTTGCAACGGCTGTTCAACTTAACCTTCTTGCTTGCGGGCCCTTTTCCACCACCGGCAGTGCTTCCACTGCGATACTCCGTAGGATATCTTACATAGTACGTCGTACATAGCCCTGGCCCACAACGCCGCCCCTGCATGCTGCCCGTCAGGCCTGAGCACTCCGCCATCCCGGACCCATTCTCTTCTGTTTTTCCCTACCCCGTGCGTCGCTGCTAGCGCGCCCATTCCCTGCATTTCCTGCGCCTTCCTGCAGTCATCCTGCAGTCCTTCTCATCGCCCCATTTCGCTCTCTCTTGTTTCTTTTTCTTCCCAGTCTGATCCCCAGTCTGACCTCACATTCAGATACATCGTACCTTGCGAGTAGCCGGATTGGAGGAGCCGACTGTTGATTAGCTCAACTACTGAGACTACGACGTGTTCGCGACATACGACCAGTTCACGGCTGCATGGCCTAAGACACTGACGCGACTCTGCTGCGCTGCAGCTTGATTACTTGCATCTGGCCCATATCATCTTTAACCATCAACTTGGCGGACCGTAACTGCCAGCTGGACTCGCCGTTTGCTACCCGGTCAGCCTCAATATCTCACGCATCGCCCCCCTTTTTTCCCTCCCGCAGCCATGGAGGCTACTTCACCCACGTCACTCTCCCCTCCGCGGGCCTACCACTATCCGTACTCTCGTACACGCGCTTCGTCACGGTCTAGCCCATTTATCGCATCTGATGGTCGAATGGCGGCTTCAAACTTGGATCGGCGTCCATCAAACCTCACACCCTCGCCACAACCAAATTTGCAACAGCAAGAGCAGCTAGAGCCCGCTTCATACCTCACCCACCGATTTCAGAGTTCTATCAGCTCCCGGCCCGCTCCTTATCCGTTCAATACCGGATCTCCACGGCTACGGCCTCCTCGTGAGCTGAGTGAAGAACCCAAGCTCTTTGCCACTTCTTCATACCTCCAGGAGAGGTTGTTGCGAGAGAGAAAGGTGGAGAGTGAACGGTCTGCCAGCAGGATGAGTGGCGATAGAACTTCTTCTATTGACCTTGGGTCCTCCCAAGGTTCTCCGGCGCGTTCTCGGTCTATTACAGGCAACGGAGAGTCTGTCAAGAAGAAAGGAGGTGTCGGCCTGAAGGAGATGGAACAGGTAGGCGCACCATATTGCCAAAGCCCCTCACTCTTCAAAGCTTGTGTCCGTCTGACAGCAGAATTTGCTTTCCACTAGACTCTAACCACCCTCCACAAACAAAACTTTGATCTCAAGCTCGAACTCTTCCACCGGAGGGAAAAACAAAGCAGGCTGGAGGAAAAGTGCGAGAGCCTCGACCGCGAGAAGCGAGAAGCAGAGGAGATGAACGACAAGCTTCTCACCGAAGTGGAAATGAGGGACAAGGCCGTAGAGGAGGCTGTTGGCATGATTATCGCCCTTGAAGCTCGGCTTGAGCAGCTCTTGCGCGAGCGGGAGATGGTCCACCAGGTCGAAAAGCACAATTTATTTGTGTCCAATCCAAGTGTTCGGCGTGCATTGTCTTCTGCTTCTCGCTATGTTGCAGCAGACTTATCAGCGCCTTCAGACCATCCCTCGAGACCGAAACACAAGCCTGACGAAGGACGCACTCTAAATAGGATGCCAAGCTTTTTGTCTGAGCGGAGCGAATACACGGAAAACCTGCGCAACGTGTATCTGGGCAGTCTGATCAGCCTACCGCGCATGTCAGAGGACAACACGGAAGGTGACTTTTTGGATGTTGCTGATCGCGTTGGAAGTCCTAGTCTCAGTGTATTGAGCGAGAGCTCCTTCCTCAGCATCTACGGCAAGGAAAATGAGCCCCGGATGTCTTCCTTCGCAGCATCTATGCAACAATCAATGTCCAGTGTCCCTGCCGATATTCCGAGAAATTCTTCGACGCCGTCTCACCATGCGTCTACCCCCGTCGCTGCAACACATACACCACTGGCCACAATGCCGTATCCAGACGCTGTATCGGAGACAACACTAAGAAAGCAGCGGTCGAGCTCGAGGGCGCGAACATCTAATGGCGCAGCGGGGCTGAGCTCGCAAACGGATTACATTGGTACGAACTCTCCTCTGCAGCGCCTTGAGAAGATGGAATTGTCGCTACAGGCTATGGATGACGCGTCCCAGCCCAGTAGCGATGAGGGTCTTGAACAGAAACCCGAGTCTCTTACGCATCAGCTCCGTGCGCGAGACTTCGGCAAGTCAACATCTGGGGGAAAGCGAGATCATCTTCGCAGGGTGCGTACAGATGCGTCATTTGCAGGTGCAGGGAACCCGCATAACCTACCACCTACCCCTGACACAATCTCGACGTCGACCCTCCGGAGGTACAAAAACTCGAGCGATACTTTGTCTCAAGAGAGAAGCAGAATCAGTAATGAGACAGGTTATGTCTCTCTCTCCGGGCATACCACATCGAGGCGTGCCAGTGAGGGTGCACGGTATATCGCGGATTTCTCCGAGCAGCAAATAGCGGCACCACAGCCGTCATCGACTTCGGCTTTCAATAGCCGACGCTTCGAAACTTGTGTGCACAATGGCTACTTTGACGACCGCCTTCAAGTTCCGCCCCGTCCTCGGTCCACTGATGAAAGCACGCTGTCGCATTACGGTCGAGGGAGCGTCTGGGGAGACTCGGAAAGCTCAGACGACGACATGGATATCGATGGCAACGACTCTGCGTCGATGCAGGACTGTTGGCTCCGCGAGAGTCTGCGGCCTGCAGGCCTGGCTCCTCGCACGCGGAGAGGTGGGAAGGTGTCACCGGATCTCTTTCACTTCCCATCGACGGTGAACGGCTGGTCGACAAACGAGATGTTTGGAAAGAGTGGACAGGGTTACCCGGGGCCTGCTGCAGATGGCGCTGCGCCTAGTTCAAACACCCTCGATAAGCTGGGCGACTCTCTACCGGCGCCAGTGAGCGGGCTATTTGGTGCCGGGGGCTTGCTTGCTTCACCGCTGCCATATGACGTGGGCTCCATCCCCGGCGGACCGCCACCGCCGCCAAATCGGCGTTCGAGTCTGCATGCACAGACAGGCTCGTTGCGGGATATTAACTCAAGATGTGCATCTCAAGCAGGATCCACAGGCCCTGGCACTCCGAGCACAAGCGTATCAAATACGAGGACACGACGGTCTCCGGTGCGAGTCTCCATTGCGGGAGGTGCAAGCGCGAGCCTGTGCGCTGCTACTGAAGACAGTGCCCCAGAAAAGAAGGCACAATCTCTAGCTGTCGGGCAGCTGGGGGAGCAGATGGTGTTGGCGAAAATGCGGCACTACCCTCCCACATCAGGGTTGACGCCGCGGAACCGGGTTCTCAGCCTGTTTCGCCGATCCGGGTCGCATGAGCTGACACCAGCATTGGCACCAGCATCGGCACCAGCAACGGCGACAACATTTTCGTTGGCACCGGGGATAGGTGTGCCATCGAGGATGCGAAAGGGGGAGATTGACGGCGAAGGCGGCCGGAGCAGCGCCACACCTCCGCCAATCTTACGCAACGGGCGAGGAGGAGCCTCAAGCAACTCAGAGGTAGTTTCTGGACAGGCCGGGAACAGCGGTGCAGCCCTGAAGGCGCCAGAAATGGTACTTGGGGCAAACGAGGAGGTGCAGACGGTGCAGATACCAGCCATTACACAGGCACCGGCACAAGAGCCGCAGGTAGTGCAGGACGATGCAAATGCTTCAGTCGGTACAACTCCGCGCAAGAAGTGGTTGGGCCTCGGACGTGTGGCAAACCTGCGTGCACGTGTGGGCTAGTGGCCTCGTACAGTCAGCTTGTCTGTCAGGAATGACCAGATGCTCAGCCCTGGCAGTGCTCAACCAAATATGAGGGAGTAAGTATACCAACCGAGGCCTACGGTTTCGGGAAATGGCGTTGGGTTTGGCTGGTAAGATAGGATGTGTCATTTTGGGGCAGACAGACACGTGGTGTTCTCTCAAGAACCTCTGTACGATTGGTGGCTATGTTTCTAGGAGTTGTGTTGCTTCGCATTTTATTTTGTCCTTCTGCTACTGGCTTGATATCCTGCCCCAGGTCCTCCCGGGAATTCGTTTGTTTATCTTTTTCTGTCTTTTCTGCACCGGCTGTCTATCTGAAAGGTCTTATTTGGGAATGCCACGGCTGGTATAGTGCGTATAAAACGTAGCGGTCGAGTTTGTACGTTCATAAAAAGGCAGAGCTGATTGCTTCTAAGGACGGAAGCAGGAGCTCAGGTGTTGGAGAAACTGTATCTTACCATCTAGGATGCTGAAAAAACTGACCGAAAATGTGCCGAAGAGTGCTTGTTGGAAGATGTATTCCCCATACGAATAGATAGCTCATTATACGGAGTACACAATTATCGTGACGTATTTGAACTATCGTCTGTCTCCATATGCCTCTGAGTGCTATGTAGGAAGTTGTTGCCGAACTAGAAAAAGAAGGCTTTGGATTATAATGTTGGAGATGACTAAGCACCCGTGTGTTCTGCACCGCGCTAAGCGTTGGGAAAAGGCAGCAGAACATAAAAGAACACAGCAGCACTATCTTCCCCCGTCCGATCAGACGCCCCCGCAGGTGCCTGGCTACCTGCATAATGTCATCGTTTACTGAAATTCCAACTTTGGTTCTGACAGGGGTTGGCCTTGCACCATTTGGTGGCGGACTCGGACAGCGGCTGTACTGCTACGGCAACGAGGCGACGAAGATGTCGAGGGTGGCATCATTGCTATTTTCTGGATGTGACGCGGCAGTGACCGGGGCGGCATGCAGCATTGCCCGGTCGGTTTCTACAGGACTAGACGAGAAAGGCAGTGGTCGGGGCCTTGTGGCGCCAGTATGGACGATGATGCAGGCGTACATGTTCCGCGGTGGTGGTACGTCAGGGGCTGCGTATCTCGCAGTAGCCGTGCTGCTGCATCAGGTGCGGCGAACCCTATGTCCAGAACTGGGTGACTACGTGCTGTCAAATGCGGGCGAGGACTGGCGGCTGGTTCTTGCGCGACCAGATGTCTTCTTGGAGCAGGTGCTGGTGACGGCCTCCTGGCGACGGTTGCTGCAGAGCAGCGTGCAGAAACGGGCTTTGGACGTAGTCGCCGGCGGCGGTTGCTCGCTGCTCCTGGCGGCGGACGACGGCGTCCTGGCGGCGGTTGTTCAGCGAGGTATCGGTCTGCTGTCCCGGGGCGGCCATCCGGCGATGGCCCGCACGGTGATGCGTCGAATCAAAGACACAGCGGCCATGGTTCTGGTCTTGTGGCTGTTTTCGTGCATCGAGTATGCCATGACACGAGTCTTTAGCTCAGGTGCCCTAGCCTACGCAGTCGGGTCAATGCTGCTGTCCGCGGCTGGGGATGGAGCTGTCGATGGAGCTGCCGCTGCCAATCGTGCAGTCTTAGAAAGGGCTCTCACGCAGGACAGTGTCTCGGCTGTCCTGCTGGCCTGGTCGCAGCTCGTGGCGTATCCGATCTGGGGCATCTTCCCGCTGCTCTGCACAGCCGTGGGGGCCGCCGTTGACCGTCGCCAGCCAGGCCTGCTCGTTGCCGTTCTGGCTGCCTCTGCCTCCATGTATGCACTGCTACAATACCGTTCACGGCTGTACATCGCCATCGAGACAAGCGGGCTCTTTGTCGTGCTTACCTTTTCCGCACTTTCTGGCATACTCCTGGCGGCAGATGCGCGCTGCAAGAGGACACTAAAGGATAAATCTAGCAGTGGGGACAGGAACGGAAAGAAGAAGAAATTATGAAACGGCCCAGGCCTGATCTAGATAAAGACAAATTTGGCTTGGCATAGCTCAGAACGTCATATGTTAGACGAGTTTTTACTTTTACGCTTAAATTACTTTTGGCGTGGAAAGCACAAATACGCTCTTCCTCCATAACTATTGTAAATCATCTTATGCTAACACGTAATGTACTGTTCTTGAAAAAAAAGAGAGAAAAAAAATGCCGTAATTTTGCGACTAAAGAAAGCAGAAAGTAAGGCATATTAGTAAATTTTTCTCTTACCATCCCCGTCCTTTTATAAGAAGAGTCTCAGGCCATACTTTCTAGCCACGACTGGTATAACGTACAGATCATTTTTAATATAACAACGACAGGCTATGCTAAGAGGAGCAGCTAACCCCATAGTAGCCCTAGTAAATACATCATGCGAAGCTCTGACCTTAGCTGCCTTAGAGCTGTCGCAGGCAACGGGCCATCGTCTAGCCTAATGCGGAATGTGCTCTCGTCTACCTCGTACATACTGTGCTGGAGAGACGAGTTTTGGGAGGACTCACAGAGATCTCGTCGATGGCGATTCGAAGAGGAAGCTGTAGCACAGCGGCTAGGATCTTGCCTAGCACATTGATACGCTGTCATATTGCTGCCTGGTAGCTCTGCTTGCACTTGTGTCTCCGCCAGTGCCTTTTCTTCCAGCCTTTGTGGCAACTCTGTCAGCGTATCTGAGGGTTTCATCCGAAGCATATACTCCATCGGGAGGCAGTGATGTTTCGCCCAGGTGTCCATAGTGCGTAAGAGCGCCTGGAACTGAAGCGCCGCCCGGTAGAATTGACCGACACGCCGGCCGTGTCGTATAATTTCATCGTAGTCAGGATATTGCTGGTTATCGCAGCACTGAAGTGTATATTCGTTCCTCTGAAGTGTAACAACGGCGGCCCCAGTGTCGAAATCTTTCGAAAGTTCGCTTATACACGCGTGTGTAGCAGCCTCACGTGAATCGTGGCAGGCCAACCATAAGCCTAGGTCGCCCCGGGCATTAATCAATCCCGCAGGGTCGCATACATGCATTGGGGAAAAATGGTGCTGACCAACACTTCCTTGGCCACTCCAAGCATTATACCACTTTAGCTCCGTGACCTGTTGTTTCGAAAGAGTTCGCGCCCGATCAAGGATCATTACCAAGTGCTGGCATGGAGGGGGTAGGCACGCTGCCTCCCAAATCAGACGACGTATTTCAGGTGGCCGTTTGGGGAAACGGCGAAAATTTTCTTTCATCGGCTGCGGTGACACAGCTGTTGCAGTGCGTAGGCATGGACTTGCTAGATCTTTTTTGCGAATGATCTTTGCACAACGTACAAGCCTATTGATTATCAAGGAAATATCATAGGAATCAGCTCGAAAATCGCGAAGCGCGCTCTTACAAGTTCGTGGGAATTCTAGTTCGTACGAGTCGATCAACGCCTTATTCAACTTTTGTATCGCTGTGTTGGCTTCTTGAAGACGCTCCACAAGTGCGTTGACAGAAGCCATCTCGTTCAGCTTCTGGTTTATTCGTTATATCAATATTGGCACGTATAAGGCCTTATAAGAAAACAGGTCAGAGTGTGAGAGATCGTCTGTTAATATAGGAAAACAAGGTGATGATCGAGTTAGTCAAGCCTACACCGTCATTATTCATGCCTATTTTTGCCGAACACTTGCATCACGTGTTGGTATCTTACTAGCGATGTAACAACAGTCAAGCAGAAAGAGCCCAATCGTGCCTTCCAAGTTAAGAAGTTTCGAACTTGAATACGAATATGAATTATCCTCCCAAACATGTTTTCCCCGCGTCTCTCATTCTTTTATTCTCTTCTTCCACAGTCGTTCGTCTACAGCCGTTTTTACACAGTTCGACCTACATATCAACCTAGTATGTATCAAATCCCACTTCTCTTTCCACTTATATCTTTTTGATTCTTATTGCCCACATATGACTGAGAGTTGTTTGCTGTGCACATTTCGCCCTATCAATGAAGCAACAATATTTGAGGGTCGAGATGCTAAAACATTATAGTCCAACATCAAGTTTTCAGCCATGGAACAAATGAGGACGAAGGAAACATAGCTATGCAGACCTCGACTGACAATGATACAACAATAGAACGAAGTTGTTTTCGCTGTCTCGCTAGAGGATCTGGTGAGTATTACATTTTAATTCTCTCGACATGGTTAGAGCTGACCTTTATGACAATCAAGCGTACCAGCCTGAGAGTACAGTGACAAGATTGCCCTGAACGGCATATGCTGTTTTGTTCTACAGTGTTTACTAACCTACTAAAACACAGGCTCACAGACGTGTTGTAGCTGTACGTTTTCCTGATAACCTTCAGCGTCAATCCTGCTTTCATCATCGCTATCTTCGGATGCTAATTTTGATGACAGGTCTTACGCCGGCAGATCCGAGCATGTTGTCTTCGAGTATATACTTTTGTACCTTTTCCTATGGCTGCTCGGCTAACACGTGTTTTAGCGCATCAGAGCCAACCAAGTCTCGGTACGATCAATATGCCCCAGCAACGAACGACGACAGCATAATTGCTGACTAGGATTAGATGCAGGAAGAACTGGAGGTATTGTGGATTTCCCCGAGGTCACCTAACCTGAACTCGGCCGCCCAGATCACTAGATAAGACGAAGCCCTGATCTGAGCGCACATTGCGCACAGTCTGGTCTTCAGTCAACCACCCTACGAAATATCATCACTAGATCTTCTGAAGGCCTTAGAGCTTACTACGATACGTGAAAAAAGGTCCGGACGAATATCCCACAAGGATTACCGTACGGGTCTTACACTGGTGCTCGCGCAGAACCTGCGCGGCAGACTAGTGGTGCACGGAGTAGAAGCCACAGTATATAACCGTCTATACGAGGTGAGTACCACGGTATCCGCCAACTTCAACACCATTTTTGACAGGGGTATTTCTCCAGGAATGCCACACTACTGTGACCGTAAGAATCAGCTACACGCACAAGTCAGGCACCGGAAAACACTAATAAACTACCAGAGATTGACAAACGAGATCATCGAGAGGCAAAGGGCAGAATCAAGGGCTGCAGGGCAATAGAGGGAGGTGATGGTGTGAAGCTCTGGAATGGAGCGCACTGTGACCGTTCTGACTAATGTCAGCGGAGCGGCCTCTCATTGGTCAGAATAGATAAACGTGGAGAATAGCCACAGTGACATCTCTGCACCATTGGAGGTGCGCCATGTACTCCTTTCTAGTTAATACATCACGCACTTCAACAGCCACACCGTTCAGACCCTATACAGTGCACCGATACCCCTGCCAATAGCATCAGTTGTGACAGATGGAAATGCCAATTTTGTAAGCCGTCGTTGGGACGGAAGGCGAGTTAGCCCGCAGGCAGAATATTTGGGTGTACTGCAACGCTAAAATGACACTGGTTGATCCTGAGAGTCCTATTCAATTAAAGAAGTCGTATTCTTAACAGACATGCTTTAGTCTATTGCCTCACACTTTTCTGAATCCCAGAATAGGTAGATGCATCAAGATGAACCTCTGCATCGGCGCCTCGTTTTGCAACTACCAGCCCTCCTAGATCTTTACTTAGAAGCGCAGGTCCCAGCCAATCTTGGGACCCAGCTCAGGCAAGGAGTCGGCCACGCTCTGGACGTCTTTGTCGCCACGGCCGCTGAGGCAGACAACAATGTCCTGGTCAGGCCGCATGGTCTTGGCCAGCTCGACGGCACCATAGATGCCGTGGGCTGACTCGAGAGCGGGGATGATGCCCTCAAGCTCGCTCAGCAGGCGGAAGCCCTGCAGGGCCTGGGCATCGGTGGCGGCAATAAACTGAGCACGGCCGGTGTCCTTCCAGTTGGCCAGCTCAGGGCCGACGCCGGGGTAGTCGAGGCCGGCAGAGACGGAGTGGGTGTCCTGGATCTGGCCGTTCTTGTCCTGCAGCACGTATGTGCGGACGCCGTGCAGGACGCCTGCAGATCCACCAGCGAGGGTGGCAGCGTGGCGAGGGGTATCGATACCGTCGCCGCCAGCCTCGACACCCAACAGCTTAACAGAGAGGTCGTGGGAGAAGGGGTAGAACATGCCGACAGCGTTGGAGCCGCCGCCAACGCAGGCAACGACGGCATCGGGCAGCCTTCCGCGGGCAGCCTGGAACTGGGCCTTGGTCTCGTCGCCGATGACGGACTGGAATGTACGCACAATGGACGGAAAAGGATGTGGGCCGATGGCAGAGCCGATAATGTAGTGCGTGGTGTCGAGGTGGACGACCCAGGCGCGCAGGGCTTCATTAACGGCGTCACGCAGTGTGCGCGAGCCGGCGTCAACGGGCACGACCTTTGCACCCAAAAGGCGCATGCGGAAGACGTTGAGCGCCTGGCGCCGCACATCCTCGGCGCCCATGTAGACTGTGCACTCCATTCCAAACTTAGCACACACCGTGGCCGTGGCGACGCCGTGCTGTCCGGCACCGGTCTCGGCAATGATCTTGGTCTTGCCAAGACGCCGCGCCAGCAGAATCTGGCCCAGCGCGTTGTTGATCTTGTGGCTGCCTGTGTGGTTGAGGTCTTCGCGCTTAAGCCAGATCTGGGCGCCGCCTGCGTGCTGACTCAGCCGTTCAGCCACGTGCAGGTGGCCCGGCCGCCCAATGTACTCGTAGTAGGACCGGTACTCCTTCCAGAAGGCGTCGTCGTGCAGGATCTGGTTGAAGCCATCCTCGAGTTGGGACAAGCAGTCCATCAGCGACTCCGGCACGAACTGTCCGCCAAATTGACCGAACCGGTCTGGCATCTTGTCGTGCAGTGCCGCCAGCTGTGCCACCAGGTTGCTGTCGAGCTTTTGTGCTGTTGCTGCCGACGTCTGCGTCTGCGTCTCGGGTGCCGCCCGAGCCACGGCTGCCGCTGCTGCTGCCGCCGAGGCCGTGGCCACTGCTGTAGCTGTCCGGCCCGTCAGGTACGCGCAGTAGTTCTCGACCGCCTTGTGCTTGTCGCCTGTGGCCGTGCGCAGCGTCGTCACGATCTGACTGCCGACCACGACGCCGTCTGCAATGCCCGCCACCGACACAAAGTGCTCGCGCGTCGATACACCAAAGCCCACCGCCGCTGGCTTGCCGCCGCTGTACTTCTTCACGCGCGCTACCAGCTGCGGCAGGTTTTCATTCAGCGTGCCCAACGCGCCCGTCACGCCCTGCCGCGAGACCACGTAGATGAACGAGTCGGCCAGCTGGCAGAGGATCCGCATGCGGGCATCTGAGGTGGCCGGTGCAATGAGCGGCACGTAAGAGAGACTGGAAAGTCAGCAGGGAAGAGAAGAGGATAGAAGATACAAGAATACATACCCTCCTGCGCTGCACAACGTCCGGAATGTTGCCGCCTCCTCTGGCGGCAAGTCCACAACGATGAAGCCATTGACGCCAGCCTCCTTGCAGTCGCGGATCAGCACCTCCTCACCGTATGCACGCATCGGGTTATAGTATCCCATCAGCAGCACCGGTGCCGACAAGCCCTTGGCCCGTGCCGTCCGCACCATCTGCAAAGTGTCCGTCAGAGTCACGCCATTCTCCAGTGCCACCGTGTTGGCCGTCTGGATCGTCGGTCCATCTGCGATCGGGTCCGTGAACGGCACACCGAGTTCCAGAATGTCCGCGCCACCTCGCTGCATACTCAGCAACACCTCCGGTGTATCTGCTGCCGTCGGGTAGCCAGCCGTGACATAGGTGACGAGGGCAGCCTGCTTCCACGCAACATCGTATTAGCCACGGCGCCACTGCTGTCATTGCTAGCTTAGTCTCGCCGCTCAAAGGGAACGACAAGATCGCTTGAACGTACCCTCGTCTCAGCCTTGCACCGGCTAAACGTCTCTTTGAGAGCCTCCATCGTCTCGTTGTCTTGATGTTTGTGGGGTTGAAAGCGGGGATGAGTCGCCTGTGGAGGAAACGCGACGGCTGCAGAAGGAATTGGCAAGTATGCTAAAGATGAAAGACACAGACACTGCTATTTGTTGTGACAGGTTATGTGTAGATGCTGAAGACTTCTGAGTCACCTGCGCTTTGCTGGACGGTTGCGCATCGCATTGGAGTTGGTGCCTGCCGGTTCTCTTTTTTTTCGAACCTCTTGCTATCAAAAGTGGAGACCTTACACATCACACTGTGATTGCGTGAGAAGTTGGGCGCAAAATACACCGTGTATGCACAGTGCTCTTTGTCTTCAGTAAATACTATCAACAGTTAAGTGGGTCTGCGACTCGTGATGCCGAGAACAGCCTCGCAAGGCCTCTGTGGCTTCAACTGTGGCTGTGCCTCGCGACTCGAGCTTCCGCTGTACGGCGACAGCTGATTTATCTTGCCGTGCACGCAGGTACAACTGTTATTGCCTGTGTCACGAGCTATGGTACCATCCACTTACTCCGTATAGCACTCTGATTGTCGCTGCTTCGAACCTGCACGCTTGATCTCAGCGCGATGTCACGCTTGCAAATTGTGAGGCTATTTCGGGCCAGTGTTGAGCCCGGCCGACATTTTCCAATCATTACCCATATCGAGGTGCATGTACTCCGTATACATCCCTCTTTTGGGTATACTTGCGGTGACCGAACGGGCTATCATTTTCGTACCAACCGCCAGAGCTTCTGTTGAGTAGAGTGACAAATGAAGGCCCAACCAGTCCTTTGCACGCTTGTGTGGCAATTGCTGATTTTGCCACCGCCACACTTATATCGCAGGACTATCTCTTCTACTTGCAGCAGACCCACCCGGGCGTGCGAGAGCATTCGCGGGGGCCTGCTGCTATTGGGAGCCTTTCTTGCTGTAGAGGCTCGTACGACAGCTGCGCCACTACTGCCGATGAGGATGCTTCGTGGGAGAGCAGGGGTGTCCTTACTCGTGGCCAATGTCTGTTTAGGCGTTTCTGGATGCGGGGTAGGTTAATCAGAGATGTCTTTGGATTAATGCCGTGGCTGTATCACTGCTAATCATGGACAACAATTCCTCTTCCTCTTGCCGCTATTTAACCAGGTCGTGCTACTAGACTCAGCATCTGTTGCCGGACACCACCTCGTGGCCTCATTTGGGGCAATGTCACTCGGAGGCTTGACTGCAGGCATTATAATGATATTCTGGTCTTCTCGACTTGGGTACGGGACCCTGCCGCAGTTGTCGTCCTGGCTGTTGCATCGTGGACGTATGCTGCATACTCTACTACCGACGGCTACAGTCAGGATGCCGTATCCGGCAAGCTTCTCCAGCTCCATTGAAGCATGCAGAGTCGAAGGTGAGAACCTCAGTGATGGCTTCGGACACACACACAAAACGCTGACTCGAACTTCATCTTTAGAACGTGCTGTGGCGACATATCTCATCTATCGCGTGCCCTCCATCGGATCGGTTTACGGCGTCGCTGACATGTCGGCCATTGACCAGACCGTCCTTGCAGAGAAGTTGTCTGGGTAATTCCATGGCACGCCATGTGGTACAGAGGTGCGTTAACGTCCTATTGAAAAAAGAAAAGACCTTTATGCGCTTTCACTGTAAACTAGCTATGACAGCTTATAAATACTCTCACGCACTTGGTCGGAACGCTGCAGGATTTGCTACCAGAGACCCAATTGTTTGTGCAATATCTGTACTATGATGCTTGTAATAAGGGCCTATTTTTCCTTCTGGGAGTTGCATAGTCGCTGTCATATGCAGCTTTCTGGCGTCAAAAAGCAGAGGAAAAAAAGTATCTGGCCGGTCTCCAGCAGTCTCTGTTTATACAAGCTAGCAGTGGCTTGATAGTGTTTTCTTATGGGTACGCTAAGAAGGAGTTTCGGTGAAGGGATGAGAAAGAATGATGGGAGGTGTATTGAACTTTGATATTGATTCAGAAGTACGCGCGGTTCTTTTTTACTCATATGAAAGAGAAATTGCCGCCCACCCCATGCGGGAGGGCGAAAAAGCTTATACCGCTGCCCATCGTGTAGTTGCTGACGTCGGGCCTTCCTCGCCTTTATCGTACGCAACGGTGATGGCATTTGTTTTCATAATACCGTCCGAACGTGTGTATATCCCGCTCCGGCGTTGGTAACACGTGGTTGAGGTCTGCTTGTCAGGGCCGACAATGTTTCCTTCGCTGTCTCTATCGCAAATAGTGAAGCCATATGCATCCGTCTTTTTTCTTGGCTTGCTCTGTAGCTCAATCGGGTCCGGTGGAGGAACTCTCTGCTTGCTGACATTTGAGTAGTGGCCGTTGTTTCCAGAACGCTTCTTGCTTGATGGAAGACTGCGTGTTTTGACCATTTCGACAAGTGGCTAAAGTATTGGGATACAGGCGGCCATAATAATCACATTACCCTCTATGCTATTATTGACGTGCTGTTAGTCATACGGCGCCTGGAAGGGGGAGCAAGTTTGGATACGGGCAGTACTCACGATGTCCAGTACAATGGGTTGCACAGCTCGTCTTTTTTTTACATATTAGCTTGACACGCCCGTATGCGAAGTGGACTTTTGAACTCACACGTCACATCCGTGCTGAGAAGAGTTGGCACGCCGGTTGCTTTGACGATTGCAATACATCCAGACCTTGGATTGCATCAGCAGAATTCGGAATGTTGAAGGCCACTAGACTTGTGCACCTACAAAATTCCCATTCCGAGAGCACATGTAAGTCCGAGCTTCTTCTGCAGCGGCATTTGAAGTTTCCAAAGTACGGTAGAAGGATAGATTGCCAGGTAGAAGTCGAGAATGGCAGAGAATGCTATTTCAGGTTGATAGGTTAGTGGCCATCATCCAAACTGATACATTGACGGGGGTCGGTGCGTACTGCTTGCCCAAAAAGCCAACCCTTCCAGTGTGCTATGAGCTATACAGGTCCCCTTAACGGAATAATCCCACAGTGATCTTGGTGGCGAACATTACAGAATCAACGTCAACACCATCGCTGTGAGCGACATACAATTTACAGTACCCATTTTCCATAAGGCGTAAATGTGGATTTTGCTGGGAGAAAGAAAGCGAGCAAGTAGTGATATGACAGCTAACTTGGGAAACCCAAGAGTTTCGATGCCCGGAAAATATGCAGCTATCATCCATTTCGTCGCATTTTGTTTCTGCTCTAGGTTGAGCTCGGTGAAGTGTTTACCGTTTCCCCAATACACCAATATTGTGACCAATACGTTTGATAAGATAGCACATATCTGGTTTCAAGCGTAATAGAGACAGTCAGCCGCTCGCTCGACGCTAGACCTGACTTAATAAATACGTCCAGACGTACAACCGAGAAGATGATCCAGTAGTCATCGATGTAGAGCATGCGATGTACCACGGAGCGGACAAACAGGCGACAACAGACGAACAGAATAGCGAGTGTTGTAAAGGTCCAGCAAACAATAATAATCAGGGGTCCCTTATCTTGTAGCATCTTGGTGGATGCAAGCTAGCGAATGAATAGAACAGACACGAACAAGAACAAACCCGAAGACGGTGATGATGGAGGATATTCGAGGTTTGTGGTAGATACACAGATGTCGGGGCTCCTAGGAGCTAATAAACTCCGGTAGCACGAAGAGCAACGATACAACTGCTCCTCACCGTGACAACTATAGATTAGAACTTGGTGTTCTTCTCTTCACCATACTCCAAAACACCGAGACCTGCGACTGTGACCTTTTCGTTGCAGGACTTGTCCAATACTCAAAATTGTGAACATCTACTCCGTAATTCTCATGATGTCAATATTATTCTACCTGCATCTGACATACTCTGTAAACTCCGTACGGAGTACGGTCTTGCAATAGGTCCATAAATGAATGGGATCCCTGGCAGAAGCGTACAAATGGAGTTGTTCCTACATAGTATAATGTGCTCGTGTACTCCGTATACGGGGTAGTGTTGGAAAAGTACTCCGTACGGGTCGGAGACTTTTATTCATACGAGAGAGCTGTAAATGGAAGAGCCCGGCGCAAGATTTTCCTCTTACGGCGCCGGATTATCACATCCGACTTCCCTGGGGCGAATGTAACCCTGAAGGGCGCTTACGTCGTAGGTTTGATGAGCAAGGCATTATATGAGGGCCAGGAGTACAGATGAATGCTATTCCTAGGGGGCATCAGGGAAGCCGGAAAAGCCATTCCGGGCTACCAGACCGAATAGGAAGATATGATTACGACGTAGGCTTGTGCTTTCTGATCTCTTGGCTTTATATGTGACAAGAGCTTTAGCTTTGTAGTACAAGTACACTAATGCGGCCAATAATGCTTATTAGTGGTAGCCACCAGCGGAGAAACGGGTCCCAGCGGGTTCTTCCAAGTTGTGAAGGGCCAATGGGCCTGGCCAGTACTCGTACGAGTATACGGAGTACGGAATTAGACCAAAAGAGGCCACTGCTATTCCCTTAGTGGCCCCACGATACTGCACGGTCGGCAGGCCAAGCGGCCGGCTTAGCCCGGGGTAGACAATGAACAGGTTACATCTATTCCGTATTGTATTATTTCCGACACTTCTTTTGGTGAAGAAACAGCGGTACTTAATCAGTGCCTAGAATCCTTATATTCAGCGTTCCCCGGCAGAGTAGGAGACCGGTGAACTACCGTAGATTCTCACATTGTTATTATTTTCAACCAATTATTCAATTGAAGTTTTTCCAAGTTCGTTACCGCTGACAATGCTTCGCAACATGGCTGATACGATCGACCTTACCCTGGCCATCAAGCCTACCGATATGGAATCTGTGCCGCAGCGGATCAAAGACATCAATGTGTTGAGTAAAGACTTGATTGGGTGTAGCCAGGAAACTCGCCATCAGCTCATAGTCAAAGCCCGCAACCTCATGCAGGCACTTCTTACACCTCGCGAACAGATGGTGCAGCACATTTGGGCCAATGTAAATCTTCTCCAAACTTTTACTCTGTTAGGTTGTTTTGACTTTTGATGATTAGTCCGGACTGAACGCCGCCCTGATTACGGGAGTAGACATTGGGCTTTGGAAACTCATGGTGGCCAATGGTGTGAATACGCCTCAGAGGGTTGAAGATCTTGCCAAGCCGCTAGGGATAGATCCCGTGCTTCTCGGTCCGTGCTTGTGTCTTATGAACTAAGAACCGATTCATTTGTCGTCGAAGGCTAGGCTAACATTCCTGCGCTGTAATGCACAGGCCGTTTGATGCGCCATGTTTGTGCCATGGGCCACTTGGAGGAAACGGCGCAAGACGAGTACAGGCCTAGCAATTTTTCCAAGGCGCTGAGCCTGGACGTCATCGGCGACGGCTATGTTTCTGTGTAAGTAAAGCCTGCGATAAAGAAGAAGCCCCCACTCGCAACGGCTGGCTAACGTCTTCTGCTGCAGCCTCGGCGGAATCGGCCGCAGCCACATCGAGTTTAACAAGTTTCTACGCGAAACACAATGGCGGAACCCAATTGATGCTGCCCACACGGCCATGCATGCCTCCTATAAAACTGACCTGCCAAACTGCTTCGAGTACCTGCGGTCGGTCGGCCTCGGCCCCCATACAAATCATCACAGTTCGTGCAACGAGTAGAGGGTAGAGTTGAGAGGCCGTGTAACTGACTCCATCTTCTGTAGTGGGTGGCTACCGGCAAGGTCGGCTGCCGTGGGTGCATCCGCGTGGATGCATCCGTCGCTCTACCCGGTTGAGAAGCCGCTGTTCGTCGGCGCGGATACCTCTCCAGATGCGCCGTTGGTTGTAGACGTGGCTGGCGGCCTAGGCCACGATATCAACGCTTTCAAGAAGCTCTACCCGAGCCACCCTGGTGTAAGCAGGCCCGGATTACTCCTGCCCTGAAAAAACATCCCGATTTCTGACAACTTTTCCACAGAAATTGATCCTTCAAGATCTACCAGTCGTGATCAGTGACGTCAAGGATATCGACTCCTCGATTCAGCTTATGGGCCACGACTTCTTGGCAGAGCAGCCTGTCAAGGGCGCTCGGGCCTACTTCATGCACTCCATAATGCATGACTGGCCAGATGACATGTGCCAAAAGATCCTGGCACGTTTGGCGGACGCTATGAAGCCGGGCTACAGCAAGTTGCTGATCTTTGACTGCGTGATACCACGAACAGGCGCGTATTGGGAGGCTACAGCGGGTGATATCCTTATGATGACACAGCTATCGGCACTGGAACGCACGGAGGACAACTGGCACCAGATGATTGAGGGGAACGGTAGCAAGCTGAAGATTGTCAAGTTTTGGAAATGCGGGCAGTCTGACGTAGAGAACGTGATCGAGTGCGATCTGGCTTAGGGATTGCTTAGATTTCGGGTTGACAGGATCGTGGACGCTATATATATTACAGTGCGTGCCCACAGTCAGAAAGAGAAGGTGGCTTTGGTACCTGCTAGCTCAACGACCAAGAATACACAGGCCACGTGTCAGAGGTCTTCTCCCATGTGTCCATTTAAATAAGAGAAACTGGAAAGCGCACCCTCAGAACTATGACTCGTAGTAGCCCAAGCTGGCTAGGCGTCATGCAATCTGCCTTGGCGCTCTTGGCAGGTGCCAATCCTCGCTTACCCCGTAAGCCTCAGGCCGATACGAAATACGATGCCATGCATCCATAATTGTGTGTTGTGGCATCTTGTCCACCCGCCTGGCCGAGCAGGCATTTTCAACCTAGACAAAGAAGGCCTCCTTGCTGCTGCTTGCTTTGAAATGGAACAGACACTTGTGACACTCGGTGCAAAGAGTCGAGACCGCCTCCTCTCGGACACTCTGGACGGCATCCGTCACCGTCAGGCAGAGGCCCCTGCTATTCTGGCTAGACTGCGCCAGCTCAATGCAGAGCTTGCCGACCACTTTCACGCCAAGCAGAATGCCCTGTCCGGCCTGACGCTGTGCATGCTCTGTCCTCAGAGGCCGACAACCTACACGGTGCCATCGTTTATCGCCATCAGCTACTGCTGGCACTATGCGGACTGGCCGCTCGCTCCGGCTGCCCAGCCGATCTATCCGTCATGGGAGATTTCCAAGCCCATGGTGGATGCCATAATGGGTATGCCTAATATTCGGGAAAGCCCAGATGAGGGTGTGTGGCTGGACAAGCTGTGCATTAACCAGTCAGACGAGGATGAGAAGATGGTCGCCATCGGAGCCATGGACGTTATCTACAGCTCAGCGCGCCGCATCGTCATCCTTCTCGAGAACGTGCAGCTGGAGGCGGATGAGGAGGCAGCTGGACTGGCCTACGCTGGCTTCTACGCCGACATGTGCGCCGAGGTGAAGACTCGCGAACTTGAGGGAGACGAGAAGAGAGACTTCGTCGCAGGTTGCTTCCCCGCCCGTATTGCCGCTCTGCCAGCTGATGAGAGGACGCGTATCACGGACGCATCTGTGCCGTTTGCAAATCGTCTACTCAGCGCTCGATGGTTTTCCCGAGCCTGGTGTGCTCACGAGAGCCGTGTGGTGACTCATGGAAAGACGGACAACCCACTCTTTCTCTGTTTTGGCAGCAATTGCCTGGTCCTTGCTTTCCAGTTTCGCTTCGTCCATTACTTCTCTCTCTGCCTGTTGGACTCAGACCCCGACCCTCCGGTTGCGTCGGAGGAGTACTTTGGCTTCCTGAATGACCCGAATTTACAGACGCTTCGTCAGCGCTGGTCTCGGATCCACCGTCTCCTGGGCAGGCCTGGCGCAGCAAATGTTGCACCCACGCAACACATGGTCAGCCTCATACCGTTTGGCTGCCTCAATGCTTGTGACTTGGTGTCAATTGCACTCAATACAGCTGGAATTCCTCTCACATATAGCGGCAATATAACCGACAAGGGCGACTTTGTCTGGATATTCTCTGCTATCGCTATTGCAGTCGGCGATGTCGTGCCGCTTCTACTGATCGGAAAGAAGCTGCGGATTCTAGACCATGTTGGGGAGGGAACGATGACAGTTTCCTGGGTGACCGACCCGATCAGCGGTGTTGTTGACGATAGACAGCCAAGCGGTCTTACTAATTCCATCACCGCGGTGACCAGAGAGTACATCGAACTAGACTGCTAATGACGGGTCGCCCGCTCATGGGGTCAGATAATTCACTTGGGAAAGCTGAGCGCATTCTGGCAGAGAACTCCGGGCCTATGCCGACCGATGCCAAAGTTGCTGAGATGATCGAACGCATGTCAGATGTGATGACTAAAGTAAGGGGCGATCGTCCAGGGAGTCCCATGAGCACTTTTCGGCAGACGCTTTTAGCCCTGGCTATGGACTGTGGCATTGATTGGATTAGGCGCTTTCCTGATGTCATGAGCACTGGCACGAACGGGACACAGCCTTGGATGCATGGAGAGCTCGGAGGGACTCACAACAGTGACGTCACAGCGGCTGCAACCCAGCTACTCTCCTACCTGAACATCCAAGAGGGTGACAGCCGCAGAAATGACTACCTAGAAGTGACGATCCGCTTCGTCGCCTGCATTCTGGATGACAGGCTGAAGTTCCTGACTCTCATGCCTCGCCGTATCCAGACGGGGCCCGACGACTGGGCCATCACTGCAGCTCCGTCTAACCGGTCATGGATTGCCGTCCCGGTCGTACTGGCCAGCCAGCCGCTGTGGCAGAAACGGGCATGGGTTGTTGAGCCCTTTGATCCTGACGCCGAGCCTGAGCGACCAGAGGAGCATCTTCCAGATCCAGTGCAGGCAGCGATGAGCGATCGCATTGCCGAGGACATCTTCCCCGTCTTAACTTCAGACTACGCCGATAGGCGGTCCACATGGAGGCTCAGAAAAGAGCAGGAATTTTTCGGCTGTGGGCCGCTCGTCGCTGATAACAACTCTGCAATGATCCTGTTGAAGAAACAGAAAGTGTACGGAGTTGAGGACTATAACTGGGCTGAGATCAAGAAAATCAGCCAGAGAGCAGAATCGTAGCACGCTGTCCCAACGAAGAAGGAGCGAATACACGATTGCGTTTTTTTTGTTTATGCTGGGTGATTATAAGAATAGGAAAGTTAAATTGCTAGAAGTCAGGCATGCTTATGATCATCTTTTGATCGTTAATCCTCTCTTTCGCTTCATATGTCTGTGTCTTGTCCGTCCCTAATGAAATATCACATTTCTATCACGCTGGCGGCTAAAAGTCTACGAAGAGCTCTTTCCTTTTTCGGGACCAGTGATAGCTTCCTATGGCAAATCATGATGGCACACAATCGTAATCGCATCAAATCATGGTACAATAATCTCAAACTGTGAACCGAAAGTCGTGACCATGGACCATGACCCCCTACACTATCGGATCGTACACGGGCGCAAAAACCTCTTTGAACCATAGGTCAAAGTCATGGGCAGCGTCATAGTCCAGAGATGGCAGAGCATTGTTACTGCCGGAAATAGTGATTTCGGTGCTGGGCCCGTTGGTTAAAGAGGCTATAGTGACGCGTGGAGAGATGTTGACAGAAGCAACGGCGGTGGCAGACGACTTCGTGAGGGACCCAGCGAGAAAGCGAGCCATGATCTCGTGGCTGCCGATCATGTCGTTGATGATGGCGCGCTGATGGTCCTCGGCAGCCGCATCGGTCTGTCGTCGGGCAGTTCGCATCATGCGCAGCACGAGGTCCTCCTCGGCAGTCAGCAGGGTGTCGATGAGCAAGGCACCGCGGCGGGCGATGGCGTCGCAGCGGCGTGAGTGCAGGCGGTTAGAGGCACGGGCCAGCATCTGGCGGTAGGCGTGAGCAGTGTCGTCGCTGTGGTCGGTTCGGTGGAAGAGCTCGAGGCCGAGAACAACAGCGCCAGTGACACAGAAAGCCGAGTGCGTCCAGATGGACACGACACCGGCGGCAATGACCTGCTCGTGCTCCCGCAGGATCGTCACGGCGGCCGACACGCAGATGGCCCTTGTCGGCCGGAAGGCCGCACTTTGCAACGACTCAAACAGTACCGGTCGGTGAATCATGATAATCATCTCAGCTGCGCTGATGGCCAGCGTGTGCCGCGCGAGAGGGATCCAGGGCAAAGAAGCAGGGCAAGTGGCCGTGGCTGTGGCGCCGCCCTCCTTCCGCAGCAGAAATTCGGGGATATTGGCAATGTGGACACGCATCGCCCGGTCGCAGGCCTGGATGTGGTCATACATCTCGGCGGGCGTTTTGCGCGCAGACATCGGTCCCAGTCCATCCAGAAACGGTGGTATCAGAGAGGCCATGCACGCCAGCACGCAAACATACGACGAATTGGTGGCCACGTCGGGGTCCTGCAGCTCCATGTCGTAGTCGCTGCAATTCTCAGGCAGTGGCGTAGTGTAGTGTTCAGGATTGATGGCTGCCATCGTTAGCCGGCACTGATACCAGATCGCGATCGAAGCACACGCCACCCACCATAGCTGTTTGTGAAGGGGATCTGGAAGTGGTCCTGGATCAGCAGCTGAGCCCACACGCGCTTGCCGGTCTCGATCTCGACGCGCTCGTGCCAGCCAACAGCCGTGTCGGTGCCCTTGCCACCGTTCTCGAGCGTCGGCGGGTCGGAGATCTTGTGCAGGCCTAAACTGTGGGCAATCTGCACTGCTGCACCAATCAGCGTGGCGTTGAGCTCGCTGCGGTCGAGGTTGTGGGCGATGTGCGTGGAGATGACAATAGCCTGTACCGAGTACAGCGATAGGTGCTCGAGAAAGTTTCCGCCGTACAGAACGGCCACCATAGCCTGGAACTGCCGCTCGACCAGTGCCTCGTTCAGGTCGGCGAGGCTGCCACCAGCGGCGCCGTTGTCGAGCCCCAGAGCCTCGCGATGTCGTTCCGCATTCAGCAGCGCCCACAGCGACACGCTGCACACCGCTAGGTACAGCGCCAGCCACAGAGGATGGTCTGTCGTACCTGTGCTCCAGAACTGCTGGCAGCGGGCCAGAAAGGTTGGCGCGTGGAACGCGTTGTGGTGCCAGTGCAGATGGTTCAAGTGGAACTGCACCACCTTGCGGGCCACAGCTGCTGGAAGCAGCACGTCCGCGTCTACTGGCACTGTTACCGTCATTGCCAGCCGGCCCACCCACGCTTCGTCGCAGTTGATTGACACCAGCTCCGAATATCGTCGGTGCTGATAGCAGTTGCATCGCCGGTGAGGAAAGCATCCTTTAATGTTTCGTCCCCACGCCAGAAACTCAAAAGCCACCACCACTGACGCCTGACTGCTGCTGTCTATATTGACTGGAATAGACGGCCGCGCTGACCTCGTGCTCGGGATGTTCGCTCCGTTTATCGTGCCATAGCTCACCTGCTGCTGCTGCTGTTCCATCTCCGGTCCTGCCTCCGGGCTCGGCGTCACCATGGCCACCACCTCGTCCTCGTCGTCTGCCTTTCCGTGCTCCAGCAACCGCACGCGAGCATCAATATCCGCTACGGCTGCCTGTCGCATATCCCAGTCGTTGCCTTGTTGCGTCCCGTCATCTCCACTACTACCGCTTCTACCAGCTACCACCAGGCGCGACCGCAGTCCTCGCAAGAATTGCAGCTCTTCCCGGTGTAGCGATAGGGACTTACTGATTCGCACCACCTCGCGCGTGCACCGCCGTGATAGCCGCATGCACCTTCCACACGGCGTCTGCTTATCGCATCGTACCTTGCGCAGAGAGCATTCTGCTTCCGGGTCAGCCACCCGCCATCAGCACTGCACTGCACGCATTGTGCTCGAATGGTCATAGCTTTGGCACCAACGCCCCATTTCGCGGCCGCTCTCACCTCTGCAGGCCGTCGGTGGCCGCTGAGATACGCGTAGTCCTGACGGCCGCGACTTCTCCGAAGCTGGCGGCGACGTGGACATCGACAGTCTCGACGGCGTTGCTCCTCGTGTTGTCGACATTGCCGCTCGCTGCCGAACCATTGTCAGACTGCCGTCTGCACGCTCAAGACATGCTGCAAGACGACGTGGAATTGGTGCCTGAGCCTGTTCTGCCCCAACACAAAGACGCCATCGATGGTCAAGATAACAAAAACCAAGGATGACTAAGGCTAAAACATAGGTGATTGTGCCACAGCTGGCGTGACGCGGTCACGTGATACGCTATGTAAGTCATCGTAGCCTATTGTAAAGAGTTCTTCCGCGAGGACCAAGGCAGCACTCGGTTAGAGATACTCGACACCGGGAAGTAACTACGTTCAAGCCTGGGCTATTGCAGTACGTCTGGAGCTGCTTGGCGGTCTTTTTGAGTTGGTTCAGTCCTGTATACAGAGTGGCGGCCACCCTTTGGAAACTGTGTACAGCAGTCGCCGCATACGATTGCCCCAAAAATATCAAGCGCTATGCAGGTAGAGTTCCCAAAAAGTCAAATGGTATGCCCAAACGCTGTCAGCATAAGGATGGTTCGAAGATAGTTCAATCAGCTTGACAAATAGGTTGTGGAACTTCTACGTAGTAGCGACTGAGCTTGTCACAAAAGACGTTTTCAAGCATCCATCAACCATGATCTATTTTTATCACCGTACTCCACTTGAATGTTGTTTCACACTCAACCACCGCTATCCCCTCGTGCGTTATTTCTTGCAATATGGCCATAGGTACGTATAGTCCTCGCCAGCCACATTATCCGATAGAGTCCTTTAGCCGTTCCGGCTTCCCCTTAGCATCAGGATCCAGCTCATAAGGTTTGCCAGCTCACTAGTCCAGAGCAAACAAGAAAGCATTATTGTCACCATGAGAGGGACTGCCGTGTAGTATACGCATTGATTTTGGTCCACGCGATAATATATGCTTACGTTGCTGAAAGGCTTTTCATTTCTCTGTAGACTAATAAGACTCTTGTACATTAGTCTTCCAGAATGTCTTCTCTTCTATGAGTAGTTATAGATATAGCCATTGTAGCCAATACAAAGGATACCCCGGCCACAAGAAAGGGCATCCCCACCCAATAACCACCGAACTTCATTCCCCATTGGAAAAAACCGACCAAGATTGGCGTGCCTGTCAGAGTGCCTGCATACGTCATAACCGAGATAATCGTATACACGGTAGCCAACTCATCTGTCTTCACCATGCTGGTGATGAGGCTCCGTGCTGGGATAGAAAAGGACCATCCCAGTGAAATCAAAATTTGACCTGCCACTAGTGGAGCTGGTGATATACCAACAAAGATAACACCGGCACCGATGCTAAGGAGAGCTCCACTGAGCTGGGCCATTATCTTGTCTTTGGCCATCGTATGCAGATGTAAACGCTGTAATAAATGATGAGAAGCTGGAAATAAAACTGTGAGAACTAAAATGCTTATGCCAGCCCGAATCGATAGGAGATAGGATGCCTTTGTAGTAGATTATTAGTAGGCCGACATTTGTCTTTTTCCTCTTATAGCATAAGCCTTACCTGGGCAAAAGACCAGCTAAGACGTCTGGAGGTGTACTGAAGAAGCAAGGAACCATTACTTGTCCCGCCAAGATGAAAGAAAAAAAAGGCGAGCAAGGCTAAAGCCACCTTCGCATTTCTTACAATCCATTTTCCGACCGATACGAGGCACGCCGTGCGACGCTGGAACCAATGGACAACCCTGCCACGAGATTGCACTCGCCTCTCGGTGACCGCTTCAATGTCTGCTGGTGGAAGTGTTTCGGGAACAAAAACCACGACGATCAAGAGCCCGAGAAGAGTAAAGGTCGAGGCAGTAAACATGGGAATCCATGGGCTCATAGACATCAACGATGCTCCGATGGGGATGAAAAGCAATTCCGAAAGCAGTGTCGCGCAGTGCATCTGCGAGAATGCAGTGATCCTATCTTCGATTAGCCATCGTGGAAATCATGTGATGCTAGGAATCGTTGGCGGGTGCGATACCTTCGCTCTGGTGGACAGACGTCGGCCACAAGAACAAACGCTATGGAGGACATTGTCACCGCCCCTGCACCAAAGACTTGCCAGAGGCCTGACAGCCAGACGGTGCGAAGCGGGAAAACGGTCGGAAACCAGTCTGCTTGCAGAATGAGTAGAGTGAACATCAAATTCGCGCTTGATCAAGGGAGAGGCAGAGGTCACACGAACAGACAACACGGACCCAGACGTCGACTAAGAAACAGCCAGAGATGGCAAGCATCAAGACTTTCTTGCGTCCAATCCGGTCCGCAAGAGCCCCGTAAGGAACGGCAAGCAGAATAGCTAAGACAGCTTAGCAAAAATGATGTACCAATTCAGACAGAAATCCATACCTGGTAATATTTCAAGAACATCCTTCCAGCCATTGATAAAGGCCATCTCGCTCTGAACAGGTTCAATTTTGCATCTATTGGAGAGTCCAGGATGGTCATCTGTGCCGGCACTGTCATAGTATTTTTGGCAAACAAGATCCTCTAGGATGGCGAGTTGGGACGCAACGGCAATTTGACTCCCAATGGTAAGAGCTATGAGGACGGCAGTTGCAGACAAAATAGTGTGCAAGACATTTGGTATTGTTGTTGGTCTGGATAGCAGTGACTGTGTTGGTGCGAGCAGTACTCTGGCTTCGTCTGGTTCCTGGTCTATCATTTTGGCGTGCATTAACGAATAAGAAGATGCGGGATTTACGCTGAAACCTGGATGCTTTTGTGGGATGATCATGTAGCTTAATTGAAAGCAGAGAAATGGAGATCTGCTCGAGGTCTATCTAAAGAAGTCCATTAGTACGGAGTAAAGAGTCTCCAGATCAGCGTAATTCGTAGAAAAGTCCTGTGTACTTTAACTTCTTCTACACTTGTAGATACGACAGCCCTGATCTGCACCAGGTTACTCCTTACGGAGTACACTACTACATACTTTGTAAATCGTTGCGAGATCTTCGCATGGATCTTACTTTAGAAGGGTGCGGGTCGAATAGTGTGGATTTCTTCTCCGTACTCCGTACTATGTAAAGGTCGTATATATACTCCGTACAGCTCAGTTTTTCGTTAATTCGAGGGCCGAATACTCAATCCTGGAGGGTCGTATCTCCGTCCCTACTCCGTACATGTGTCTTCCTATCCTGCGCTACACGTCCTTATTCTACACCTATTCTGGTTACCCTATTCGACAGCACCTTCCCGTTATAGACTAGTGGTGCACTGAGTAGAAGCTACACAGTTATAACCTACTACGTGACGGGATTGCATGCACGGATGGACCCAAGGCGATGGAGTACTACGTTATATACGGCGTACAGTAGTAGAAGTATTTCCGAGGACGAAAATGCAAAAAATTACGTACGCTATTTTGCGATGCATGAAGTTGTACTGTGTGGTACAGGACCATACCAAGTACGAGTACTTTTCATGTAGTTAGACAGGACACTATGTGAGCCCTCCATCTGCTACCACTCTCTCTATAGGATAAGACATTATTGGTGATTAGACATTGAGCACCTTCTACTTTGAGTAGTTTGGTGGGCCTATTAATCTCCTGCATTTGCTGCTGCCTGACTGCCCTCGATTAATATCCTCGCTTATTCCCCTGATCAATCGGGTAGGCCAATGATCCATTAGCAACACACACATGGCGACCAATTTGCCAGACGATGGCTGCCGGCACGGCGCCGACAACATTTTCGGCCCTCGCGTGGCTATTATCTGTCGCCAATTTGACTTCACCCTTCTATTTGAAGATGCCATTTTCGTCGTCCTTCCCGCTGCTCTCTTCCTCTTGATCGTGCCCTGGCGGCTTTGGTCGTTGTCAAAAAGGCCAAAGACAATGACATCCTTGCGACTCGCAACATACAAACTGGTAAGAGATATGCGGAACTATTATGCCACAACAAAACCAACGAAGCGCTGACCAGACCACTTTGCCCAGACCCTTCTGTCTGCTCTTTTTGTATGCCATTTGCTGTTCCTGGTCTTTCGTCTTCAAGTTCCAAATCTCCAAACTAGAATATCGGTTACTTCGGGAGTATTCAGTATCATCACGATTGTTGCAGCCAGCATTGATTCATTTCTCGAAGACCAACGTTCTGTGAAGCCTTCAGAAGTGCTCGTGCTCTACCTTTCCGCATCTGTTATCCTTTTCATTCCACGCTTACGTTCACTGTGGCTCATTCCATCATCCGGCGCTCCTAAAGCCATCTGGACCGTCATCTTCATCATCACTTTAACAGCTCTAGGTGTAGAATCGAAGTCAAAACTCGGTTTTCTTCGCCCAATCTATCAAAGGACCACGAAAGAACAATCTCTTGGATTTTGGGGGCGAAGCATTTTCATTTGGCTTTTTCCGTTTCTCAGGCAAGGCTATTCAAAACTCCTCACCCTTGGTGACATTCCAAAAGTGGACGATGAGCTCACAGAGAAGACGGCATGGACAAATCTGGACGTCGCATGGCAACATGCCGGCGGAAAATACCGCTTGATGTACGCAGCATTTCTCGCGAACTCGACTCATGTACTTTCGGGGATCCTTCCCAGACTGGCTCTACTGGCGTTTACTCTTTGTCAGCCTTTTCTCATCCAGTCATCGGTTGCGTACATGGCATCCCCGACGGAAGGCGAAACCCGGGGAACATACGGTGCAGCCTTAGTCGGTGCCTTTATTCTTGTCTACTTGGGCATTGCAGTACGTCTGTGCACGAATAATTTTATATTCAGTAGGCTAAAATCTACAGATATCGCGAGCAGTTTACTGGCACTATACGAATCGGTTCGTCTCCAGCGTCCGCTGCGGTTTGATTGCCAAGATATATCGACACACTACCACGCTTACAGCCATACATCTAAAGGACTCCGCGGCAGTTACTCTAATGGGGACCGACGTGGAGCGGATTGTGCAGTCCATCAGATCTGTTCATGAGCTTTGGGCATCAGTTCTACAGGTTGGCATTGCTGTCTGGTTATTGGCACGACAAGTGTCTATTGCCTCCATCCTGCCTCTGATCATCTGTATTTGTTCGTCTGAGCTGTTTATCACCCTTTGTATCTTTACTTTACTTTTCTGACATTTGTGTGCAGTATCTGTGGCAGCAGCATCGGCAGTAGCCGCTCGTTATGGACCAGCGCAACGGGAATGGTCCGAATGCGTGCAGAAGAGAATCACCGCGACTTCAAGCATGCTTCTTGATATTAAAACTGTCAAGATGCTTGGCCTAGAAGGTATCTTTCACGACGTCGTTTCACGACTGAGAAAAACGGAACTCAAAACATCAGAGACCTTTCGCTCATTGCTCGTCTGGGAGATTGTTATTTGTAAGTTGACTATTGGGATCCCGAGCTCGCCAGTCTTCCCACTTTACTCACGACAGGTAGCAAACGCACCCGAGCAACTTGCCCCGTTTGCCACATTTGCTGCATATGCCATTATTGCCGTAATAAGGAAGGACAAAAATCTGTCCTTGTCTCTGGCATTCACATCGCTGTCTCTTGTCTCTCTTGTGACGGGGTCTCTTTTGCAGTTTTGCCAAACACTGCCAGCATGTCTTCAGGCTGCGGCATGCTTTGGTCGTGTTGACAAGTACATTTCTTCGGCGGAATCTCGTCCCCAGCGCGTTCCGCCATCGCCGCTGTCAAATAATTTGGCGCCTGAGACGAATTTTGTCCCGCTGCGGCAGCTCCAGGCATCACAAGTTTTAGCGTCCACTTCCAACGCAGTTCTGGTGGCCTTCGAAGGCGCAAATATCTCCTGGTCGCATGGTTCATCTGAGCTTGTTTTTTCTGATTTTAATCTGACCATTCGGCCTGGTTTGACTGCAATAGTCGGCCCAGTTGCATCGGGAAAATCCACTCTGCTAGCTAGCATTGTGGGAGAAACGGTGGTGACTGGTGGGACAGTCACCCCGATTCTGTCGAGAGTTGCTTTATGTCCACAGGTCCCTTGGATTATGAATGACACCATACGTTTCAATATCACGGGTGGCTTAGACTTTGACCAGAAATGGTATGACTTCTCGCTTTCGTCATGCTGTCTCTTAAAAGACCTTGAATCGATGCCTCAAGGCGATCAGACAGTTGTCGGAAGCAACGGCACCTCATTAAGCGGCGGACAGCGCCAGAGATTGGTTAGTTTTCCGCCGAAAAGCATTTTGCAAACCCGAAAGATAAATCTGACATCATAACCTTAAAGTCTCTTGCACGCGCTGTTTACTCAAGGCTTCCAGTGGTCATCATGGACGATATCACGAGCGGGTTAGACCCCACAACTTGCTGTGCCATCATTTCTAATTTATTCAGCAAAGATGGTCACTTCAGTAAGACGGGGATATCTGTCATTTTCTCTACGCACAACAGTAAGTCTATTTTCAAAAGGAAGGTCCCTGAGATATACAGCTTACAATTTCTAGGACGTCTCCTCCATTGTACGGATACAGTAGTTGTCCTTGACAAAGGCAGGCTCGTTCAGTATGGATCCTTTGACGAGGTTCGCCTAGTGGAACTCAACTTCATCGAAGAGGTCGGGGCGGCAGCTGCAACAGGCATGGCTGCCTTAGACGAAAACCAAACTATCCATGACCAAGTGCGCTCTGCCAATGCAACCTTTTCACTCGATGGTGAAGAAAGGGCGCAGGAAGAAGTGCTGTCTTGGAAACAGGACGGAAGCTGGTCCGTTTATGCGTATTACTATCGAAGTGCCAGGGCCATTTTCGTCATTCTATGGGCTCTGTTTACCATTGTTTCTGCTTCCTGTGCGAATTATGCACGTAAGTCCCCGGACCCGTTTAGTTACCATTGCCAGAACTGAACATATATCTAGCACTATGGCTTGAAAAATGGGTGGATGCCAACGAAAAATCTCCCAACCGGCAGATGGGCTTGTACATTGGGGTTTATGGTCTGATTTTTGTCATTTCCACAGCCAGCATGGCCGCCGAATGCGGGTGAGCAACCTTTTAAGCCTTTTTATGGACCAAGCTTACATTGGCGGCTAGGATGTTCTTTATCAAGATAATCAACGACACGGCTTTCAAGCTGCACAACGATCTTTTGACCTCTACCCTGAGGCATGTGTCTTCTCAAATCTTCCCCAAGCCTCAGTCTATTTTCTAACACTTCGGCCAACAGAGCACCTTTTTGCTTCTTTTTAAATACTGGAGTGGGAACGATTGCCAACAGGTACCCTGATCTTTACGAATCCGTGAAGTAATCAGTATCTAACGGTTTGTGCTAGGTTTAACCAAGACATGGATCTCATAGACATGACCCTTCCGTCTTATGCAATACAATTCACGACGGGTAACGTTTTCCAGCATAACCAATCATATATATATCCCCTCTAATTCATTCTGGCAGGAGCGGCGTCATGCATGGCCCAACTGATCCTTTTATGTGTTCTTGGAAAATACCTCTCGGCAACGATTCCCATCCTTGTGGCCGTTTTATTTCTTGTCCAGCGCTACTACTTGCGAACCTCACGACAGGTTCGACTTCTCGATATTGAGGCGAAAGCACCCCTGTACAGTCTTTTCATTGAAACGGTTCACGGTGCACCGACGATCCGTGCCTTTGGTTGGGAATCCTCCTTTCACCGACAGAATGGACGGCTGTTAGATCATTCGTCTAGACCGTTCTACATGCTCCTTTGCATCCAACAATGGCTTGCTCTTGTCCTTGACCTAGTCGCCGGCGTGTTGGCTGTCGTACTTGTGGCATTAGCAACATCTTTGACGGGTGCTCTTGGAGCTGGCAGCCTTGGCGTTGCATTAACTTTGATCCTGTCGTTTAGCAGCGCTCTCACGCAAACAATTCAGTCCTGGGCTAAGATGGAAACATCTATAGGAGCTGTGGCCCGTGTTCAGCAGTATTTGCAAAGTACACCTTCTGAAAGATTAGAGGCTACGCCTCCTCCGTCAGACTGGCCCACCAAAGGAGAAATCATGTTTGACAATGTTACTGCTAGTTATACGTGAGACTTCTTTCCCTTACTTTTTTTAAACTCTAACACTAAGTAATTCTCAGACCGGATGCACGGGCAGCTTTAGAAAATTTAAGCTTGACAATTCGCCCAGGCGAGAGAATTGCCATATGTGGATCGTCTGGCAGTGGGAAAACGTCCCTGATCATGGCTCTGCTTCAGATGATGAACACAAGATCAGGACGTATTTCTATTGATAACACTGATGTCTCAATATTCGGGGGACGACACGTTCGATCCCTGGTCAATGTCGTTTCTCAAGATCCCTTCTTCATTCCTGGTACCATCAGAATGAATCTTGACCCTTGGAGCATTGCATCTGATGAGAGAATTAAGGCAGCAATCCGGAAAGTCGATATGTGGAATAGTATCGACGCGATCGGGGGACTAGATGCTAGTTTAGTTCACTCCGAGTGGTCCCATGGAGAGAGGCAGCTTCTCTGTCTAGCCAGAGCCGTCCTTGCACAGAACAAGAAGATATTGCTTTTGGATGAAGCAACGAGCAGGTATCTCTCCCACTCGTACCGATACCGGATTAGTCGAGCAAATCTGACATTATTAAAGCGTTGACGGGAGAACCGAGGCTGCCATGCAGGCAATTTTCTCCTCGGAATTTCAAAACCAGACGATCATTGCTGTTCTCCACCGTTTCACACACATTGATAAATTCGATCGTGTGGTTGTTCTCAATCACGGCAAGTTGGAGGAGTGTGATAGCCCACGGGCACTGTTAGCACAAGATTCAGCTTTCCGCAAACTGTATTTGTCCCACGCTTCACAGTAGTAAGATAAAGCTTTTTTGGAATGGAACAGTCATGTGTTTGACACAACTATAACGTGAGATAGATTGAATTCATATTTGTATTTGCAAAGAAAAGAAAAACATCATTTTGGCGTAGAGCTAACCAAAGTGATGGAATGAGAAAAAGTAGAAGCGTTCTTAACATTACTTAATTTACCAGAGTCAAACAAAAATATACGGGAAGGTGAGGGCAACATTTCCAGCCAAACACTTGCTCTATAAACTTTACGCATCATTTTGGTGGATTAATCACGTCGGGGTGAGTTTCTTAGAGACAGAAAGAAGTAAAGCTTTACGCCTTACGGAATTGAAGTCAAACCTAAAGTTTTCTACTACCAAGAGCAGAGTTTGGGTGTGGCCTCAGCTCAGAGAACCACCTAATTACTAGTGCACGTAGAGAGGTGCCGCAAGACACGTCTCTTGGTCATGACGGTAGGTAGGCAGGTGGCTAGTATAAAATGGAAGAGGGAGAGAAACCATGCGGGCTTACTTAATGTCCAGGGGAAGCAAAGTATGTCCACTCGGTGAAGGCGTATGTGTATTTTTCGTGCTTATTCGGATGCTACTTTCCACGCAAGTGGGTAATTGCTCAATTCAAGAATTGGTGATGCCATTTACTTGGTAGAGGGTGAGAAGGGCCAGGTTTATCTACATGCGTGTGTAAGCGGACACAAAAGGTAGGAATATTCCAAAGTGATCGGAAAGGTGGGGGCCGGTCATGTAATGCTTTAACATGCCATCTCGTTTAAAGGATATAGGTTCTCTCAGAGGTGTAGGTCGCACATCACTTACTACATTAAAATACGACATAAGAGATTAACAAAAATTCGTAAAGCGTAAAGCTTGTTGATTTTATCACCAATTAATTCGAACTACTATTCTATGTCCAAGACACCACTTATAACATCCCCTTTTTTCCTGAAACATAATCAGCCGGTCCTAGGTAAAGCTTGAATAGAAACCGGCTATTCAAGGAGGGTTAATGCCACTCTAGAGAGTTTAATAGGCATGAAGATCATCGCCGAGAGAATGGTTTAGATTTACCTTCTCCTAGCGCTAACTGTTAAGCTTGGCCTTGTCTGTGCTAAACAGATTAAGCCTTATCACTATGGAAGGCTCAGGCTTCGTCAGCATCCACAGACTAAGCGGCATTATCACGCTTAACGCGGTCCGTGTGGAAGCCCCAGGCTTCGTCGGCATCATCACGCTTAACGCGGTCCGTGTGGAAGTCCCAGGCTTCGTCGGCATCATCACGCTTAACGCGGTCCGTGTGGAATCCCCAGGCTTCGTCGGCATCAGCCCGGTTATTTTTGACGCTCTCTAACAGACCTGAATAATTAGTTTGGACAAATTTTACAAACTTAGGATTTCTATACATACCTGGAGCAGGTACGGCTTGGACGCCGAGAGCGACAATGGCCGCTAGATACACGAGACCGGCGACATGCATTGTGTTTGATATATAAATAAGACGTTGTTAAGTGACTGGTGAAATCCGGTATAAGGGGCTTTTAGTGTGAGAGGTAAGATAAGTATGTATTGATGATGAAAAAAATTAAATCAGAGAGGAAACCATTTGTTCCTTATATACACGTCTTTTAGACTTATTTAATAATCGTGAGTGACGTTAGGCCGTGCTCGTAGTTTCATCTTTTTCTCTGTCTAGCTATGATAGCCACATATGCCCCGGGTTGAGATGACACCATAGGCATACGTGCTGCGAAGTGCAAGAATGTGGAGGGTGTCTTGTAAGTTAGGACATTTGTTACGACACAATCGGACACCCAGATAATGCGTCCGGAGCTGCTGCTGCTAGTATAGGTGGTAGTAATGGTGAAAGCCGGTAATAAGCTGCGCTCGCACACAAACAGGACGACAATGCTAAAGGCTAATCTCGACGATGGTAAAAGGTGCTTGTACTATATAGGAAGGCCCTCTAAGAGAGGGGTATTTCCGACATAACTAATTACAATATTGATCCTTCCAACATGATTAATCCTCTCCTTTATACCTTCCTCTTTGGGGGCCCAACACCAGGCCCAACTATTCAAAAGGGAGCACCGCCAACCCTATAACAAACAAACAAACAAACAAACAAACAAACAAAAGAACAGGCAGGTATTAGAGTTATAAGAGAAAATTCATGTGCTGTACTCTGTTACAATAACAAACGTTTTATATTCAATGCGTTTGTACGATACGCTTGATACACGACTCTTCTATGTAGGCCTAGAGAGGCGTGTTAGTTCTTGGGGCAAACCCCCTTGAATGGCGACATTAAAACGTAAAAATAAATAAATAAATAAATCTATGTAGGCCTCTTCTTTACATGTTTTTACGTATTATAAGATACAGCGTGTATATTATAATCCGGGTATACTATTTACTATAGCTTATTTCCCCTCCTGACTATCCCTATCTTATCCCCTTCTCTGTTTTCTTTGTAGGGAGACCCTAGATTTCCGCGTTAGATTGCATATCATTATCTTTATAGAGCATTAAGTAAAGGAGACACTAACCAAAAATAGGATGCATTAATAACCCGGGCTCGAACGGATCGAATGAGTTTTTTTCAGCCCACTGCTGGACGGAGCCCCACTTAACACATTGATGTTTTCCTGCGTCCTTTGATGTCGGAAATGGATAGCTGTTCTGGTGTTACTTTTGGAAGAGCATGTGTAGCTAAAACCCTTCAAACATACGTGTTGTCCCAATAAAGTGGAAGAAGTGTAGTGTCGGAATTGCATTGAATAGATTGCCTTAGCCAATCAAGACAATGCTCTTTCGAAGCAACCAATGATTAGCCTAATCTGAATAACTGTAAGGAATATCAACGTACCTGTATGGCTTTTCAGTCGAATAAAATCCGCCTGAGATATACCGTCGTAGTAAATATCACGATGAATGAAATGGTGCAACCGCTGCACACAATGTAGGCCATGAAATACGGCAAGAGTGACATAATAGCCGGAACCATCGGAAAGCTGAATTAAATTCTCTTCATCTGAAAATTGACCAAGGTCTTCTTTTGGCACTCGAAAAGCCTGGTCTGTAAAAGAATAAGCATTAACGTATAGAACAAACAGGGGGATTGCGTACGGCCTATAAGCTTATGCCAAGCCATATCAAGCTCCGGTCTAGGGTTTCCGTTAAAACTGCTTGGCTTGTTTGTATTCAAAGGGCCATTCGCCAAGTAAATAGCACTTAGCTCGAACCGTCTCGGCTCAAATTCAATAATAGAACGGACTGGTTCTGCTAAATTAGGTAATAGATGTTAGTATGCAAGAGAGATCAGAATGTTTCGCAACTTACAGTAAAGTTTTCGAAATTGGGAGAGTGTTGAGGAAGAAAAGACAACCGTGTATAGAAGACAGAAAGCTAGGTTGCATAGTAAAGCTATAACATTTAGAAAGACAAAGCAGTTGCCTTTGCAAAATGACCTTCGACCCCTAAAGCTTTGCCGAGGACTGATTTTTAGATCCGAAGTCGTATTGAGTGGACTCAGTATATCAGAAATATCGGGTTGCTCAATTGGAAAATACTCAGCCATGTTTACTGCGAAAAATGAACAACACTGAAGACGGGTAGTTAATCAATCTTTGATATAGTTCAGCGCGGTACAACTTCCGTAATATAGAGCGAGAACTTTTAGGGTAGCAGAGATTGTGGCAAAGGTCAATTCTTAAAGAAAGCTGTTTATCTAGAATGTGGTAACTTTATTGCCGCATTGCATAATCCGAAATTATTTTACGTTTTAAAATTAGTGATATACCGTAGCCAACGGTGTTGGGACTTCCGTTATCAGCATTCCTAACGTAGCTATTGCCAGCTTCCTTTCGACATCGACAACGTCCTATGAGCATTATCGCCCCTTCCTTAATCAACATCAACAACTTAAGCTTATAAAGGCAATGATAACGTGTGTAGCTAGTGTTAAATCTCTGAAAGGAAGGTAGGAAGGAGGGGACCAATCATGCTGGAGGGAGAGATATATTGTAACCCCTCCTTCACCCTTCTCCTAGAGGGTTTTCCTACATAATACAAGTATCTTTTACGATCGTCGAGATTGGCCTTCAACTTCGTTGTCTTGTTTGTGTGTGTGAGTGGAGCTTATCGCTAGCTTACGGACATTAGGTTTACAACAGTACATAAGAATTACGATAGTACTTTCTAGTTTAGCCAGCTTTATAGATTCTACGTATTAGGTCCTTACCACTGTTTCCTATATAATCGGGTTAAATTCAATTAAATCATAGATTTTCATAAAAGTGCCTCCAGCTGCGTTTAATCAGGTGACTACAAAGACATCGTGTAAGAGTACTACTTTAATGCGTGTTGAACTGTTTGTAACAGCACTCTCTACTTTATTGCAAATGCTAACTATAGCAGATATCAAAAATTAATACAGTACTCTTTTTATTAAACGTTCTGTCCTTAAGCAGAAAAATAAAACCATGTCCACAGCTACAAGATTATCGCTCAGCTCTGAGGAATCTCAATTTAGAGAAGATGCTTCCCTCCAGGTCATGGAAGATAGCCTGGAAACACCTATAATCCAACAGTACCGGGCAAACAATCGACAAAAGCTGCGCCAGTATACGACAATGGCTTTAATAATTGTTGCTATCGGAACATTTCTCTCGTTCGTTCTACAAATAACACTTTTTTTAAGATTGCGCCCTGGCCTCAACTCTACATGTACGCGACCTGCCGATGTCTACAGACCAAGCACCTTAAGCCCTGGCCTTAACCTATGCGACTGTGGAAAAGACACACAGGAGGTTATTTCTAAAGGTTGTGCCTACGACAGCCTTGCGGCAGCTTGGCTTCCGCATTACTGTCGGGACGACGAACTTTCTGCGGAATTCGACCATGCCGGTCCAGGGCTTAATGGAGCATGGCCATATTTCGCCGACGAGCATGGAAAATTACCTATCAACAAAACCCAAATAGCTGCCTTAGGAGATACGGAAGGTGCATTTTGGAGCACACGAGAATGGCATGTTGCCCACTGTCTGTTTTATTGGGAGAAATACTGGCGTATGAGAGACACTAACGTGGTGATGGAAAGGAGGTTTGACTACCGCGAACACATTCATCATTGCAGGAAACTGGCTTTAAATAAGCAGCCGGATCACATAGTATTAGTTAAGGTTAATGTCTTAATGAATTCGAGACTTTAGTTTATTCACAGTAGGGTGCCACAACTATCGAAAAAGCTATCGCGCCTTTTCACGTCCTATATTAATTAAAAACTTATACGGAGTACCTAATCTTGTCGAATGGACCAGACCAGTGTGGATTTCCCGAGGTCACCTGACCTCGGCCGCCGAAATCACTAGATAAGTAAGCGCACATTGCGCACAGTCTAAAGCTTTAGTCAACCACCCAACGAAATATCATCACTAGATCTTCTGAAGGCTTTAGAGCTTACTACGATATGTGCAACTGGTTCGGACGTAAATCCCACAAGAATTACCGTACGGGTCTTACACTGGTGCTCGCGCAGAACCTGCGCGGCAGACTAGTGGTGCACGGAGTAGAAGCCCACTAGCATCCCGGTGGGCACCATGCGGGGGCTCATTGGCCAATCCCCGCAGCTGCTGGCGATGCCAGAGAATAACTCGGACCTGACTCGGAATATTAATAATTTTTGGACCTTTTCTTGCCCGTGTTCATGATGATTAATTTTTCCATTTTTTCCACTTTAATTTAATGCGTGGCATTTTGCGCAGCACTATTGCTGCTGGCCGTTGACTCAATTCCCGCATCCACACATCTGACCACCTGTGACTGTTGCGGAACCGGTCCTGTCCGCCCTTTTTGACGGCCGCTCTTCCCTTTGACTCCTCCTGTCTCTTTCCGCCTTTCTCTCTTCTCCTCTTGTCTGCCTTTTTCTCTTCTCCCACTGAGAAAACGATACCGCCATTGTCTCGAGCAGCTGTCCGAACGCAATAACGATGTTAACCACCCTGAGATTGACGGCGCGCCAGACGGCAGTCCGTCGGAGCTTTGCCGCCTTCACTCTCGTTGGCCGGCCCTCGTCAACCTGGGCCAATGTGCCCCAGGGCCCTCCGGTATGTGTTGTGTGTGTGTCCTGACGAGCTGGGTGAAGGGAAGGACTATGATGTGGGGGCGGGGAGAGACGAGACGGACGAAGGGAGAGCAGTGGGAAGAGGAGATGCGATGGAACAGAAGGAGCGAAACAAGTGCAGACACGTCGAACTGATACTGACCTTATCTCTTGCAGGACGTGAGTAGCAATCTGCTCCTGCTGCCTTGCTGTGCTAACCCAAGACGACGTCTCGCCGGCTGATAGGCTATTCTTGGTAAGCTGCGATAACGAGATGCTGAGCTGCATCTCCACAGAAAGAGTGATGCTGCAGCCCCCACACAGACGCTAACGAACAGCACAGGCATCACGGAGGCTTTCAAGGCCGACTCGTTCCCGCAGAAGATCAACCTCGGTGTAGGCGCCTACCGCGACGATGGAGGCAAGCCGTACGTTCTGCCGTCGGTGCGCGAGGCCGAGGACGCAGTGGTGGCGCAGCGGCTGAACAAGGAGTACGCGGGCATCACGGGGCTGCCGGAGTTCACCAAGGGCGCGGCCGAGCTGGCGTACGGAGCCGGCAACCCGGTGCTGGGCCGGCTGGCAGTGACACAGTCGATCTCGGGAACGGGAGCTCTGCGCATTGGCGCCGCCTTTGTCGAGCGGTTCTACCCAGGGCCTGCCGGCGCGGCGAAGAACATCTACATCCCGGCGCCGTCGTGGGCGAACCACGCGGCCGTGTTTAAGGACGCCGGCCTGACGGTGCAAAAGTACCGCTACTACAACCCGGACACGATCGGCCTGGATTTTGAGGGTCTTCTGGCAGACGTGCGGGCGGCTCCGAGCGGCTCCGTCTTCCTCTTCCACGCCTGTGCGCACAACCCGACCGGTGTCGATCCGACCGAGGCGCAGTGGAAGGAGATCGAGGCGGCGGTGCGCGAGAGCGGCCACACCGTCTTCTTCGATATGGCGTACCAGGGCTTTGCCAGCGGCGATGCCGACCGCGACGCCTTTGCGGTGCGCTACTTTGTCGAGAAGGGCCACGAGCTCGTGCTGGCGCAGTCGTTTGCCAAGAACATGGGCCTCTACGGCGAGCGTGTCGGCGCCTTCAGCGTCGTCTGCTCCGACGCGGCCGAGGTTAAGCGCGTCGACAGCCAGATCAAGATCCTCGTGCGGCCTCTGTACTCGAACCCTCCCGTTCATGGCGCCCGCGTGGCTGCCGCGATCCTCGCATCGCCCACCCTTCGTGCCCAGTGGCTCGCCGAGGTCAAGGGCATGGCCGACCGCATCATTGCCATGCGCTCGCTGCTGCGCCAGAACCTCGAGACGCTCGGGTCCAAGCACGACTGGTCGCACATCACCAGCCAGATCGGCATGTTCGCCTACACCGGCCTCACGCCCGAGCAGATGGACCTCCTGGCCAAGGAGCACTCTGTCTACGCCACTCGTGATGGCCGCATCTCGGTTGCCGGCATCACCAGCGAAAACGTCGGCCGTCTGGCCGAAGCCATCTTCAAGGTCAAGGGTTAGGAGGCCACCTGCCGGAGTGACTGCTTTGTCAGCAGACAATCAAAATCAGGCGAGATATAATAAGGAATAATGTCCACTCTTTGTTTTGCAGCTGTAGCCGTGCTTTGCTGTAACTCCTGCCTTGCCGTCTCAGACCGCTTCACGCCCTCCCGAGCCGAGCCAAGTCGCTCTGCACTTCCTGCATCTGCTGTTCCATCTGCCGGTAGACGCGGGCCATCTCGCGCATTGTCTTTTCCTTTCCGGTCAGTGCGCCCGTCTTCCGCTGCCTTCCTTCTGCCTCGGTATCTGCTTCGGAGCCTCCTGCTGCTGCCGTTGCTTCATCCTCTGAGTCGACTTCGATGCCGTAGTCAGCCAGCACGGCTCTCCGTTCGCGAAGCGCCTCGTCGAGCCGCATCCGGCCGTCTCGCAGATGGTTAGCATAGCGCCGCAAAGCAGCCACGGCCTCGGGCGGGTAGAGGACGCGCCGGCCGGTCGCCAGTGCTGATCGCGCCTGGACTTCGCTCGTCTGTGCCGCCAGCGCCACCTCGGCCGCCCGCAGCTCCAATGCTCGGCCCACCGGCCCATGCTTAGCCTCGAGCGACCGCAGCAGCGCTGCCAGCGCCGTCGACTGCTGGTCCAGCAGCCCCAGCACCGCTGTCGCAGTCGTCTGCCGCGCCGCTGCCAGCCGCATCTCTGCCGCCGCCACTGCTGCCTGCAGCGTCGTTGTTTGGCTCGCCAGTGTTGTCACGCCGCGGTGCAGATACGACGGGTTCGTCATCGGATTCGCCACCCGCACCAGTGCCAGCGCTGCCGCCTGCAGGTTCGCCGACACCAGCTGGGCCAGCCGCGGCAGGTGCTCCGGCAACCGTGACAACGGAGGACTCGCCATCAGCAGAGCCACGTCGTCGTTCGACAGCCTCGCTCCCTCGCCTGCACCACCGCTCCCCTCACGCTCCCGCTGTAGCAGAGCCGGCAACAGCACTAGCAGATCTGCCAGCTCCTGTGGCACTGCCTCCTGCGGTGCCTCCTCCCTCATCACCATCGAAGGACGCGCCGAGTTCGCCCTGGCTGCCCTTCTTGCTGCAGCTCCTGACTTCACATCGGCTGCTGGTGCCTGAGGTGCCGCTGTCGAGATCGCCTCCACAATCAGGTGCCTTCTTGCTTCCCTCAGCCGAACGCTTCTCAACTCCTGAAAATCGCGTCAGTATAATATGCCTTGCAATTGAGAGCGACACAGCTCGGCATCTGCACTGTATCTTGCCTGCTGAGCAGCCTCCCGCTGTTTCGCCCCGACGTCGCTCTTGCTCGATCCATCCTCGTTGAGAACGACCGTAGTCAGGATCTTGTACAGCTTCGCAAAGTCAGGGTTGTTTTGCAGCACCGACTCCTCCACAGGAGGCAGCATCGCGACGACGCCTTTTTTGGTTTGTTTCGCTTGCGCTGTTCCCCGTCACTTCTGCCGGGTTGCATCGCCCAGCAGGTCGCGGTTGCCATGCTGTTGTTTGCTGGCAGCTGGTTGGTGCCTGACGGGCCGGCAAAAAGTGGGCCACTCGCCGCTCAATCGCGGGCCCAAAATCTCACCAGCTCGAAATTTGCATCCCAGCCTCTTCGACAGGAAAGTTTCGCCCACACAGCCGTGCGCGCCCATTGTTCTTAATCCGAGTCCGGCCCCGTCCGGATCCACCCTGCTGTCAGCCATGCCGACGACACCGCTCTCGCTGTCGCGTGCCGGCCAGTGCCTCCTCGACGCCACCTCATCCTCCGCAAAGCCGTTGCTGCTTCGCCAGTCGCCATGGCTTCCGCATCGCACCAGCAGCAGCAGCAGCAACTTCCCGGGCTTTCGGCAGCAGACCCGCGGCTATAAGCAGGTGCGCCTGCCGGCCGGCCAGCCACCAATTCCCTCGGCTACCGCTCAGCAGCCCGAAATCCCACCCTACCCGCTGGGTCCCCGCCAGCTCTACAAGCAGTCCAACACGGGTCTTTACGGCACCGCTCGCATCCGCTTCGGCAACACCGTCTCGCGCCAGACGGAGATCATCAATCCGCAGAAGAACCGCCGCAAGTGGCGGCCCAATATCCAGGAAAAGCGGCTTTGGTCCGCTTCCCTCAGCGCCCCCATCCGCACTCGCATCAGCACACGCGTCCTGCGTACCGTGGACAAGGTCGGCGGTCTCGACGAATACCTGCTCGGCTCTAAGCCTGCCCGCATCGCTGAGCTCGGGCCCTGGGGCTGGCGTCTGCGCTGGCGCATTATACAGACTCCCGCCGTCCAGGAACGCTTCCGCCGCGATCGCATCGCCCTCGGTTTGCCGGCCGACGGCCTGCCCGCAGACGAGTTTTTCGACGATACCGAAGATGCTTCCCTGACTGCCGCAGAGAACGAGGCGCCCGTCGATGGCACCGCTGGGCAAGAAACCCAGCGTATGATCGATGCTGAGGAGCTCTTCGATCTGGCCCCCGACGATGGTTTTATGCAGGAAGAGAGCCGTCCCAAGAAGCCATGAGGCTTGAAGATAAGAGACAAAACCAAACCAAAACGCTCACGACAACAGATGTACATTTGCAGCACATTGTATGAATATAGGCGTTCAGCCAAGTCTTTCCATTGAAATGTGATAACGCAACCCTGATTTATGTGAAAACTTCATTACAGACTGTTCTGGAACACAAAATTGCAACAGATTCATGACCACGCTCTTTGAAAAATCAAAGACCAGAAACAACAATTGAAAAATCGCACCCCTCATGCATCAGCTCGTCCTCACTACTACGTATCCTACGTTTCTTTCAGCTGCTTCTCTGCCACCAGGTGGCCTCTTGGTGCCACGCCCGAATGTAACGTCCGAATATGCCGCTTCAGATTGTCATGGCGAAAGGACTTCAAGCAGTGAGGACACGTTTTCTGCTGCCCCGGGATGTTCATGCGGGCCGCGTCCTCAGGATGCTGCGCCCACATATGCCGGTGTTTGTCCCGGTTGGCACCTTGACGATTGCCACAAATGCTGCACACAAATGGCCGCGTATGTGTTTTCTCGTGCTTCCTATCGCTACTGTCAGCTATCTCCGAGAGTAAGGAGTACACAACTAACAGGACGATTAGCTTACTTCAATGCATTTTTGTTGGCGAATTGGTGGGAGCAAAAGGAACATGTATATGTAGCCGCCGGAAAAGTTTTTGCTGCCTTTGATCCTAACGGGTACTGACTTCGTTTCGTCGTCAATCTATCGGATGCGTTGGTGGTGATGTCATGGGTCGTAGTCATTAGTAGAGTAAATTGGTCAAGAGACGGAAAGGCCCCGTTCACAAACTCATCGTCAGTGATCGCTTGAAAGCCTTCCGTCGCGATAGGAAACATGGATTCGGTAGGGGAGATGAACTGTTCTGGGTATATTTGGACCGCAGGTCATTGTAAAACGGCGTCCACGTAACCAACTTCATGCTCCTTGCCGTCTTCTATTGCGTTGGGCGAAGTCCAGATGCCAGTTGACATTCTCGAAATCCCAGCACTAAACGGTGCTGAGAAAATTGCTTTGGAAGGGAATTTTCCCGCAGCTTGGATGTCGAGCAAGACCGAGCCTTTGCCAAAGGATGGCAGGCTGGTCACAGGAGCCTCTGGTTTCGATTCATATATACGTTGCTGGAAGATTGGCTGAGGGGATAGTTGAAAAACGAGGGCCAAGTCCAGGTCTATGTTTGGATTTGCAGCGCCGCAGCCGCCCGTGAAATTTAGAGATCCGTCCGCCATCGCAGATCTGATTTATGTTTCTAGCAGCGGATCCCAATTGCCGTAGCTGCTGATGAATGGGTCCTCGTTCTGTTGAAAATACGCCATCTTTGTGGTTCGGTAAATATGTAGTGTCATATGCAATAGGATTGGTGCCGAAGCTGAATGTTTTTTTCACTTCGGCCTGTGCCGTCTTTGTGGAATCGGCTTTGGCGAAATCTTTTGTTGGGTTGTTTGATTGTTTAAAATGCAAGTGGATGCCTGTAACTTCTTTGCAGTGCAAGATGTCAAAACCCAATTTTAACGACGTAGTCAGGTCGATTGTTGTTCCCAGCCAGATCCAAAGATAGTCAAAATAAAACCAAAATGCCGAAAATCAGATGCAAGGGGAGTTTGAGGATGTTCCCGGGATAATCCTTATATCGACTGGCTTCTCTGACGAGTTCATTCTCTTCTTTCCAGTTTTTTTTTTTTGCTTTTCTCGCTCTTTGTGAAATTGGGGGGTAATGGTAGGCGCTGTCACAGAAGAGAGGGACAGCGCCTTGATGCCGCACACTATGTGCCTGCAACCCTCAGATCACATCCCCCTACGCCGAAGCGTAGGATTGGATATGAGAATGTCATGTCTGAGGAGCGGCCATATCCAGTGGCGTGGCATTTGCTTCAAATGTATTGTATTTGCTTCCGCAGCTCTCGCTGCTTGGCAGATGTTTTTCCATCATCGCCTTCATTGAGTCTGAAGGCCCGATCTATGTATGGTAAGAGCACGTCACTTTTTACTGCACTTTAGGCCATCTCGAAGGTTTTGAATAGGCTTACATTGTTTGTAATTGTGTCAGACCTGGGAGGATCGCACTGAGCGAGCACATTGCTTCTTGCACGCATAGTGCGGCAACCGTGATGCTTGCAAGGATCGATGTTCCCGAACATACCGGATCTATAAGAGTAGAATTGGTGAATCGATGATGAGAACAGAAACGAAGACTGCAGAAGAGTATATGGTACGGGGTACGGAGGACGGAAATTGTAAACGGACGGGGGGGCTTAAATGATGTCCTGTTTCTCGAGTAGCAGTGGCTGTGCAATACTGCCGCAGTTGTGCTGTGGCCGAAGACCCACATCTGCGGCTGGCCTCACGCAAAAGCGACCAATAATAGACTCTGTGATGTGGGTACAGGTTGGCCTCATGCCACACCTGAATATTACATAGTATCTACTCCGTACGGAGTACCTCTATCCACTCTGAACGCGCCGGCTCCACAGAGTCCTACTCCGTACGCTTTGTCTATTTTGTCGCCCGACATCAGTGCCAAAAAGGCGACAGTAGACAGGTTAATGGAGGCGGAGAATGAATAAAGGAAAGGCCAACTTATGAGAACTGTTGCTTTTGGAAGTGAGCGTCTTGCTCTGCACAGATCCATGTTTCCCACTATAATGGAAAGTAGCCAACCCTGCCATAAGAATGCATCAATGCGATCAACCAGAAAGTACAGTATTGCATTCTGCGAAGCACAACGTTTCCTATAAATGGATCTGCTAGATAATTACTGCTTTTTGCGCAGCTGTCGGATTGAATAAGTCTCTGCTGAACGATCAAAAAAAGAGCAAGTGTCCTAAAACCATGACCATCATGGCCAAACATGAACTATGCTCTTAAGCAAGGCCATTCCACAACTAATGTCTGCGTTTGATATCTGAGAATACTGGAACTTTCTCCGGTGAACGATTATAACCAAAGCCGGCAGCTTCTGGAAGGTGTACAATCTACTTAGGTGTCGACGGCAATACTGGATACCATCCCTTTCGTCATCTGGACTTAAACACGAAAGCTTCTAGCTATTTTTACTGTCTTAGTCCCTCCTCATTGTTAGACTTCGTATTGTTGGATGCATTTTTGGTGGACTACGAACTAGGCGCATACAGTATAAAATTGCACTGTGTATCTTGCACACTGTCTGGACTGCAAAACCCCGCGGTCATGTGCCATCTTCGACGGCATTCTCAAGGCTTGTTCAAGCCCAACGTCTCGACCGTTCCACCATAGCAGTGGGGTGTTCGTGGTTAGAATCTTAAGAAATGTCGTTTCCAAATGTGTACACGCACCGCAAAGTGGCGGAGAATGCCGCAAGAGGTTGCGAGATATGCTTCAAACCTGCAACCAGTGTCCTCATCACGGCAGAGAATAAGGTATGAGAGCGATCTATCAAGTCATTGTGCGAGTTGTCACGAACGATGTGTATATATCGCATAAAAAATTGCACACCCGAGTTTATGCCTCTACTGTGGGGTGTCTGTCCAACCGCACAGTAGCCACGGGATGGCTGATCCTATCTTCGTCTAGGATTTCTTTTATATTTGCCCCAGCCATTTAAAGGAGCGCGGTTTCTGTACACCAATTATTGATACAGCAGCTGAGGAGGCGAAGAAAAAGAAAAAAGAGGAAGAGAAGGAGAGGCTTCTGAAAGAGGAAATAGAGCGAGTAAAGAAAGACTATGAGGAGAAACAACAGAAGAAAAAGGGTAAAGAAAAGGACAAAACTAAGGACGAAGACAAAGACAAAGATAAGTCAAAGGACAATTACAAGGACAAGGGGGAAAAAGTCGAGAAAAGGAACACGTCCGGCACGCCTGACGATTCCGAGAAGGTAAAACTACGGGTGGTTAAAACTATCAACTGCGAAGCTTGGCTAACGGTGTATCTGTAAGACTGACGATTCTCCGGACGATTCGCCCCGTATTTTTGCTCTCCAGAAGTTTGTTTGGTCCCATCACCGTTCACCATGTTGGAGCCTCGTCCTCTGACATTTCTGCAGATTCGTGTACCAGCAACGTGTCGAGAAGAAACGCCAGATCGAAATCGCGAGGCGAAATCAGGAGCGCATGGCAAACCCAGACTTTTTTCCCTCGGTTCCAAAAGCTCTACCGTAACCCATTTGGAAGAGCTGACCCAAGCAATATGTATTGCGCTATTGCTTCTAGCAAGGCAGAGGCGGGTGATCATAATGTATTTACTAGAGTTAAACTGGCGAAACATAGAGGAGGCAGCAACCTGTTGTATTGAGCATATATTTTCCCTCTCAATTCAGTATACATTACAGACCTCTGATCGAGGTAATTCGACAGGCGCCAATGTTGGTTGCCGGATTAGGTTCCTGTAAATGCATGCATAAAGCGGCGTGTAGCCTTATCGTCTAGGTCAGACAGCCCGATGCCCTTCATCTCACCTAGGGACGTTTCTACGATTTCAATGCACAGTAATAGGAGGACCGACATATGCTATCCATTGTGATGCCAAGAATCGTCAGCTCTCCAGGTCCGATCAAGAGCCAGCTCCGCAGAGGAAAATATGGCAGCGCGAGCACATATTAAAGGACTATGTGCGCCACCGCGTCCACACGCTGTAGTCTGGGCTGAAACTAGCAGTTGGCAGCAGCAAAAACGACGATGAGCCGGGTCGCTGCTGACCGAAACAATATCGCCAAGAGTGTCCTGTACAGGGTCCGCAGTGTTGACTTGCTCTCTTTATACAATTGCCAATAGCACTTGTGTATATATACGCAATAAGCAATCGATATCGCTTATTTGATTATGCAGTTCTTACTAGATCTGGAGACAAGCGACGGGCCAGCTATTATTTGACTGGCAATTCACGGTCACGGTCGCCTACTCGTTTGATGCTCATTCTGTATTGATACAAGTGATGTTAGGGCTCTTCCTGGGACGTTTTTGTCTCATGCCCGCCATTGGGGCCCGATTTGTGATTCGCGCAAAGTACTCTTACCGTTCGATCGGATTTCTTATATTGACCGTTAGCCACTAACTGCCGCCCTTTGTAGAGCGACCTGACGACATATGTTATTTCGCCCGCTTGCCTCAAAATACCAGCGAGCTGACAGTAGCGCCTTCGATGTGCAGGTAAGGTAGAAGCCTTTGTAGACTGTTTGCGAAGTACCTTGGCTCTAGAGCCTCAAAAAAGGCCCGATGCAGAGCTACTAGGTGCTCGTGATTGAGACAGTATTCTTATGTAGTTACACTTCGGGCTTTTCTTTGCTCCTTTCATTTGTTCTGGAAAAGTAACCGAAGAGAATTGAGTACATCGTGACAAATTAGACACTCCGCAACGTAAGAACATGGCATAAGTTGGAACCTATACGTTCCCGGGAAGTTTATGCCATCATAGTATAGAATGGCTATTAATAAGCTTTACAATTTTTAACAGCAATGGTATAACTCGGTCTTGCGGCGTGCGGAGCTTGATGAAGGCAATGGGGTGATTGATATCAGAATTTTTTTCGGTTTTGCTTGACCCTGAAAAACATATCTACCAAATTATCCCTTTTTAAAAAACAGCCCTATATTTTGGGTCCAATAAATATCCGCAAGAGATGAGTATCTAATGAATATAAAAGCGTCTTTGATAAGCCTACGTCAATTAATGTCCATATCTTTTTGTGTACTCTGCAGTTGGGATATCGATTATAAGTCTAGCCCCTTCGCAATAACATTCCCCTCTTCCATTCTCCTGCAGCCAATGTTCTTGGATCTTTCATCGTGTTGAAGATATTTCCTAGCGCTTACCCTATCTATGCTAAAGTGTGTGATACATTTCTCATCCGTGATAATGGTACTTAAGAGAGAGTAGATAGTGACGGTTCATAGTACTGACCGATATCATACCATCGACTTTGAATCAATAATGTATACGACTAGATAGCTGGGCTTAGAGTCTCAAGCCAGCGGATACAAACCAGAAGCGCGTAAACGTCCAAAACAGAGCAAACTCTCATCTAGAAGTGAAGTCTTGGTCACGTCACGTTGGCCGCTGTTATCCGATGCAGGTCGTATTGATATCGGCAATGGATCTCCGCCTTTGTTGCCACATTCCCCATTCCTCCCGCAGTTGCTGGCGCCATCAAGATCCTTAGCGTCCCCCATGAAAGCTGATGTTGCACCCATTCTTGGCACGATTCACACCACAGATGCGGGCATCTGTGGGCTGCTAGTCTCTTAAAACGTACCTCTGGCAGAGAAATCAAATCCCGAACACGAAACAGAATGCGAAAAGATGAAGTAAGACTGCAGCTTCTCCTCACGTCCCCCTCTCTTTGCACCTGGTGGAGAAAGATGGGCTACCCGTACGAGCTTAGGATAGCCTTTTTCGATTATTGCAGGGCTGCAATAAGACGAGTTTGGCTGTCGATGGTGCTTTCCGTCAGGACATTCATATTTGGTTAGTATAAGAGACGGCTTGTCACAATCAGAAACAAGTAGAAAGACAGATCAACGAATGTGCTAGTATTATCGGATCTATATTCTCAAATAGAGCTCTTTTGTAGAGCCCGATTGCGCAGTTTTTTTATAGCGAATCTTGCAGATGGCGGAAGACGCAAAGTGCAGTGTTTTGGAGGCCGTTGTACGGAGTATGCCACAATGATGGTTACAAAAAAGCGGAGTAGCAAGAGCGGAACCGCTCTTCAGATCTGCAGTCTAATAATTACGGACTGATGATTCGACGACATGGACACGTGAACCGTGGCTGGCTGAGGAGATACCCCACGACCTGTCTGGGCGACGTAGTGCAACAGTCATCAGGCGACCTTTAATGGGTAGGAGGCGGAGGAAAGACGGCAACAAAGGAGAAATGTCGGGTTCTATCAGCTTGTTTTGCAGTCTGGGGAGCAAGATTGTAAAGATCCAACGTCTCAAGCTCAGCCGGATGTTCCGCATAAGGAAAGCCTACGACAACGCGACATAACAGTGACAATAAGCACGAATAGGCATTGCACGTTGGACCCATCGGATTTGCGGGGAAGCTGATCAAGTTTGAGTCCGGATGGGGCCCCGACCGAAGTGCCCAGTTTCCCCGTTTGGGGAATGCGGGGTGCAGAAGGGCTAAAGAGGGATGTGGGAACAACGCGGCATTAGCTGGCGCATGGCTATAGTGTCTTGTCGTCCAGCGGCCGATATTGGAAAGTTCTCTCTGTCTCTTTACCGGATGGCGATTCTGGGGCAAGGGAGCTGGAGTCTCTCAGACTGATCTATAGATTTGCCTGGACGCGGTAGTTGGTGCTTCCCTGAACTACTCGGCCAGTCGGTCTCTGAATAGGGAAGCTAAAGTCTGGGGATGGGGACGGAAGCAGTGGAGCAATATTGAAAGTTAACCCAACTGCTTGGCCATGACCTTCTGGCTCGCCTGCGGCTGGTTCGGCTCGCTCACCTGGAAAGCTGGGCCGCATATTCGTCAGATGACAACCACTAGGCCACTTCATTGGCAGGCCGTATATGCTGGTGATAGGGGAGGAATGCGGAGTAGCAGACAGCCAGTTAAAAAAAAGGCCGTGGGGAGAAGCCGGCAGATGGGAGCCGCTTTGAAGACGAGCCTCGTAGGCGGCGGTGCAAATCCTTTCGAGGGGGTAGGAGGGGAAAGAGAGGGGGGGCGAGGAAAATAGAACGGAGAAGGAGCAAGGATGGTAAAAAGAAGGTGAACGTGCCAAAGGAGATGAGGGGCCACGGCGCATATATAAAGCAACGACATTAGTGTTGCAGTCGGAGAGTAAGCCCTGTTTTCTGTCCATCATCGGATTCCTCTGTCGTCGACACATCGTATCTTGTACTCCAGTCTCATCCCCTTTAAAAGCTGTTATCATGACTTTGCCGGAGGAGTTTGATATTATCGTTTGTGGAGGTGGCAGCACTGGCTGCGTCGTTGCTGGCCGGTAGGCAGACCTTATATGTGCAGGGCAGATGCCGAAGCTTGTCCGAATGCGGCTGGCTGACAACCGGCTTTACAGGTTGGCCAATCTGGACCACAACATCTCGGTGCTGCTGATTGAGGCGGGCGAGAGCAACCTCAACAACCCATGGGTCTTCCGGCCGGGTGTGTACCCGCGCAACATGAAGGTGGATTCCAAGACGGCCTCGTTCTACGAGTCTCGCCCGTCCAAGTGGCTTGCTGGCCGGAAGGCTGTTGTGCCCTGCGCCAACATTCTTGGCGGTGGCTCGTCCATCAACTTTCTGGTAGGCCCCCTCTTTGTTTGCCTCTCCCTCTCCGAAGGCCGAGTGACGATGCTGATGCCGAACAGATGTACACACGGGCTTCGGCATCTGACTATGACGACTTCCAGGCCAAGGGCTGGACCACCAAGGAACTTCTCCCGCTCATGAAGAAGAATGAGACGTACCAGAGGGCGTGCCATAACAAGTGAGTCCTTTTCTTGTGCAGCCGTGCCGGGTCATCCACAAGTCATCAGAGCCAAGCCTTGTACTAACATCACACTTTCCCAGGGACGTTCATGGCTTTGAGGGTCCCATCAAGGTGTCCTTTGGAAACTAGTAAGTTCCTCTTTCTCGGTCTCTCTCAGCCTCTTCGGCATCCTGACCGTTTCCCTCAGCACCTATCCGATCAAGGATGACTTCCTTCGTGCAACCGAGACTCAGGGCATCCCTTTCACCGACGACCTTGAGGATCTGAGCACAGGCCATGGAGCCGAGCACTGGCTCAAGTGGATCAACCGGGATGTGAGTCCTCCCTTTCTCTTTTCCTCCCCCTTTCCTCTTTCGTCCCACAATCCCTCTTACTAATCGTCGCAGACTGGCCGCCGCAGCGACAGTGCCCACGCCTACGTCCACTCGACCCGGGCCAAGCACTCGAACCTGTATCTTGCCTGCAACACCAAGGTCGACAAGGTCATCATCGAGAATGGCCGTGCCGTCGCTGTCCAGACGGTTCCGACCAAGGCTGTCAACCCCAACGAAGTGGCCACGCGCACCTTTAGGGCCCGCAAGCAGATCGTTGTCTCTGGTGGCACGCTTTCGTCGCCGCTGATCCTGCAGCGCTCCGGTGTTGGTGACCCCAAGAAGCTGCGCGAGGCTGGCATCGAGCCCATTGTCGACCTTCCGGGTGTCGGTCTTAACTTCCAGGACCACTACCTCACCTTCTCCGTCTTTCGGGCCAAGCCGGGCACCGAAAGCTTCGATGACTTTGCCCGCGGCGTCCCCGAGGTCCAGAAGAGCGTCTTTGACGAGTGGAATCTCAAGGGCACCGGCCCGCTGGCCACAAACGGCATCGATGCCGGCGTCAAGATCCGCCCGACAGCCGAGGAGCTTCGTCAGTTCACCTCGTGGCCCACGCCGCACTTCAACAGCGGCTGGGAGACATATTTCAAGAACAAGCCTGACAAACCGGTCATGCACTACTCTATCATTGCTGGCTGGTTCGGTGACCACACACTGATGTGAGTTTTCAGGCATCCTCCTCTCTCTCTCTCTCTCTCTCTGCCTCGTCCCCTTCTTTCTCTAACATCACAGGCCCCCTGGAAACTTCTTCACCATGTTCCACTTCCTCGAGTACCCCTTCTCGCGCGGCTTCATCCACGCCAAGTCAGCCAACCCGTACGAAGCGCCTGACTTTGACACCGGCTTCATGAACGACGAGCGCGATATGGCCCCTATGGTCTGGGGCTACATCAAGTCGCGCGAGACCGCCCGCCGGATGGACGCCTATGCCGGCGAGGTCCAGAACATGCACCCCTTCTTCGAGTACGACTCGCCCGCCCGCACTCACGACATGGACCTCGAGACCACCAAACAAATCGCCCTGGCTGGAAACCTCAGCGCCGGCCTCCAGCACGGCTCCTGGAGCATCTTCCTGCCCGAGCATGACCGCAAAGCCGAGCCCAACATTCTCAGCAGCAACAAGGTCAACCACCGCCATGACCTCAAGTACTCCACTGAGGACATCAAGGCCGTCGAGGAATGGGTCAAGAGACACGTCGAGAGCACATGGCACTGCCTAGGAGTGAGTTCTTTGCGCCTTGTTCTCCCTCTTCTCCTTTCGTCTCGCCTCCTTCTAACAACACAGACCTGCTCCATGGCTCCTCGCGAGGGCAACAGCATCGTCAAGCACGGCGTGCTCGACGACCGCCTGAACGTCCACGGCGTCAAGGGCCTCAAAGTCGCCGATCTCAGCATCTGCCCCGACAATGTCGGCTGCAACACGTGAGTACCAGAACCCGTCGCGAACCTCGCACAATACTGACAAATTCTCGTAGGTACTCCACCGCCCTTCTTATTGGCGAGAAGGCCGCTATGCTTGTCGCTGAGGACCTCGGCTACTCCGGTCCGGCTTTGGACATGAAGGTCCCCGACTACTATGCGCCCGGCGAGAACCGCCTTGACCACCGCCTCTGAGCACTGCACTGCCCGAGGCAATGTTGAATATCGAAGACATCGTGTATTTGCTTCCGTTTCCTTGGTCCTGGGTCTTGTAGTTGGGTCCTAAAATTAGCCACCTTTTTGCTTTTCTCTTTTTTGTAGCCTTTCTGTTATTTAGCACGGATGAATGAGTTATGCTATTTCTATGAAAGATGCTCTCCTTGAAACACTGCCCTGTGTACGAGTCAACATCCGCTTCGAGCTGAATAGCCGGTGATGCTCCACACCCGTTGGAAGCAACGCCGTAACACAATTGTAATGTACGTAGACTCGGCTGCTTGAGAGAGAAAACGGCTGTTTCTCAATTGGTCGACATAAGATACCCTGTAATACATATAATAAAATGTATTGGCCGTAAGATATCTACGGAGTTTAGGCAATGTACCACAATCGGCACGTACCATCTTCAGCTAAGTGAATGGATATAATAAGTCAAAAGTAAGCCAGGGAAAGCGCATCACATGGTAGTGATAATGGTAGCCCCATACGGAGTATTGCTGTAAATATTGGCTTCCTCATTTCATTTCTTCCCCGCCCCCTTCTCTGTATATATGTATAAAAACACATTCTCGTTACGTCAACGTTGGCCGACAGCTACAGTCTCGTGCCACGACGTCAACACCGGGTGAATGTTGTCAGGGGTGGTCTTTTTAGGTGCTCTGCGGAAAGGCGAACTAAAGCGAAATTGAAGAGTCAGAGGCTAAAGTGATTTGTACTTTCTTACATGTTGCTAGCAGAAAGCAGCTAGTTATGTTGATCGCATGTCAGCCTTGGCTGTGTGGCAGTCATTTTCTGTATAACCGGTTGCAAAGAGGTGGACGGGGCCTATGCACAACATCCACGTCCGAAAACATCATAATATCAGCCATGCTACGAAGAATCTTACGGTGTATTTGCGCAGGATTCCGGTTTAGAGCAGGCTGACAAGGCGGCTTGTACCACGTCACGAGGCTTCGGGGATATGCAGAAATGCATGATTCTCATTGGCCAGAATGTGTCTGTAAACAAGAGTGCTCGAGATCACGGGATAGCACATACGAAATTATCTGGTGGACGTCAGACCGTTAACGTTTGGAGGGCTTCTGGTTACTTCTTACTGTCAGCAAGCATTACGGTGCCAATGTACAGCCGAAAATGCGGCTATTTTCCGATGGTCACAGACCACTAACAGGCAATAGTTCCAAAGAAATAGACAAGACGCGAGAGAGCGAAGCGGCAGGAAATCTGACAAGGGGGAAGCACGCTCGTACAGTGGGGAAGAAACAGCAAGCGATATCCAGGCAGCACCGGCGCGTTAATAAGGGCAGAAAATCAAAGCAAGCGTCACCTCGGACGTAAGCCCTAAAAACAGTTCACCTGTAAGGAGGGGGGAGTGAGCTGCTTCCGGCAACAAGCAGCGAAAGCTCCGTCATCTTTCATCCTTCTTGTGCACTACCAGTTCTTCCCTCTCCCACTTTTCTCCTCGTCCGGGATGCCGTCCTGGGCTCGGCGCCTTACTGTTGTGTTGGCACACGTCGTCACGCAGCGTTACAACCCACCCCCAGCGGCAAAAAGTCCGTCTTACTGCATGCACTACGGTCCAGCTTGCGAGATCCTCGACCGCATGATGTGGTGAGCATGCAGGCGTGCGGCAGCAGCGAATAGAAAGCAGGCAGGAAAGTCCGGCCGGCCGCATAGTGTGAGCACAACCAGTCCTCTTCATATCTTTTTTTCTCAAGAAAATGCAGACACGCAGCATGACCAAAGCTAGGTTTGGCGACAAGGCCATTAGGGCCCAGTGAGGGTGGGCTGCAATTCTGGTAGCTCTGCGCCGGAGACATGGCCATTTTCGCCGCCTAAAGGGTGTCTCTCTGTTTGCTTCCTCGTTTTCCACTTATTTTCCCTCGTCGTTGGCGCTTCTCGTCCAGGAAAGGTTTCAGTCGGTCAGATGCAGGATACAAGATGCAAGAGAAGTAACGCCGCCGTTGGCGCCATGATAGTCTGTTACTCGTTATCTCGCCTGCCCTATGTCCCCTCGTTTCCCTGTCCTTCCATCAGAGATTCTCAGTCCGGACTGGATTGCCCCCTGCTGCTCTTGTGTTGTTGATGCTGCTGCTGCCTGGCGGCAGCCGGATGCCGAAGCGGGCAGCCACAGCCGCGGCACCCCCTTGTTGCGAGGAGGCGTGCACCACCTGGTCGACCTTGCTACGCTGCAGCGAGAAGGCCGGGCAGACCCAGGTGCGACAACTGCACTGAAAGCCCTGCCAGGCGTAGCGACCGAGCAGGGCGCCACAAACCGTGTTGGGGCAGGCCAAGCGTCCCTCAAGGGCACCCTCGGCCAGCACCGGCCGCATCCACGACAGCGGCTCGACAAAGTAGTGTGGACAGCCCTGGTTTCCCACCGGTGGTTGTGTTGGTTCGTGCGCCTGGATAAATGGAGGTTCCGCCAGCACGCGACGGCACTTTTTGCACCGTAGCTGGAAGCCGGTCGGCTTTGTGTTGGCAGAGCTGTCTGTGCCGCCTGCAATGCCTGCAATGTCCACAGGTGCTCCTGTGTCCTGTGCCTCGTCCCCAAACCAGAGCCGGTCCGGCGCCCGTCCTAGCTGCACGCTCTCCTGCACGTCCTTCTGATAGGCCCATCGCTGGTAGGCTGGGTGCCGCTCAACCGCATCGTCCGTGTCGGCCGGGCAGCCCATGCGCCACCAGAGCGCCAGTTGTCGCATGAAGCCCGCGTTCGGCTCCGCCATCGGCCGTGCTTCGCGCACGAGAGCAAGCGCACGCGCAACCGCCTTGTCCGCATCGACAGCTGCATCGCCCACATCGCCCACGGTGCTCGCGGCAGGTCTGAATCGGTCGGGGTACCGCCACAGCAAGTAGGCTATCACAGCCGAGGCTGATCGTGACTTTCCCATAGCGCAGTGGACGTACACTGCACCGGCCGCGTCGCCATTTTGTAAGGAGGGCTGCAAGCCACTGTCGATGAAACGCACGCACCGCGGAAAGTGCACCACCAGGTCCTCCTCCTCGACGTCATCCACATCCACGCATAAGCGTTGGCGCTTCCTACCAGAGGGCTCGTCACGCGGTGTGCATTGTAAGACGGAAAGAATGTGGGTGATATTATGGGTGTCGAGAAGTTTCTGTTGGCCGAGGACAAAGGCACTGAAAACGAGAAGGGAGGGGGTCTGGTCAGCAGCGCTGTTTTTCAGAGGGTTCGCTGCCCAAGATGTCTCACCTTCCAATGTACAGCTGGTCCTCCCCAGGTATTCTGTCGAGCGGCATGCTGGCGCTGTGTTGATATGACGCGAATGTCCTCCCCAGCTGCGAGGTTCATTCCTCCTTTCCCCACCGAGACAGATGAGACACACTTTTCTTGCCGTATTAAGCAACCGCCTGACCGCCTTACAAGCCCCGCTACCGCATCATGCGCTACAGTGCGCTACTCCTACTCCGTACGAGCTCCTTACAGGGAGCAGCCTCCGGCCACTAGCAAGTAGAAACAGCTGTATGCCCACCCCACCTCGTCCCATGCCCATGGGGCTAGCGCTATTAAATAATAGATGCCAATTAATGTGATTGAATATATGTACTCCGTACTCTGTAGCAGCCTGGTTGTCGGTATACGGAGTAATTATAGCCGCTTACTTCACAACAGCTCTCTCACTAATAAAACGGCTAGACCATTTTTGGCAACATACTGCATCAGCACACACTTACACTGCACATGCATCCTACAATGCCACTCCTACACAGGCGAATTCACAGGATGCAGGACATAGCGCAACGCACAGACAGGTCTTGAGCATGTTCTGATTTTTTTTTTTTTCGTTTGTCATTTGGCCTCTGCAGTATTGCAGCGGCCACGCGGGTCATACCTCATATCCATGTTGTGTTTTGCTTGCCCCTTCCTCCATGCTGCTGTTCACCAGAGCCGTAAAACTAAGCCGCCGCTGCTGGATAGCCAGCATTAATGGGAACTAGTCAAGAACCAGCCAAGCGAGAATAGAAAATCCAGTTTCCAAGAAACAATGAAGATGCAGGTAAGAAAGGCCAAAAGGTGGGCAAAGAAGATCAAAAACGACCATAAAAGGACAATAGATTTTGAGCTTGAGTTGGCGCCACAGGATGCCACGACTACCGCACTGGAAGCGGGGGTTCCTCTTCCATCATGCAGGCATTTTCTAGCATATTCGTCCACTTGCCGCTAGTTCCAGCATGGCTGTGCTTCAGATGCTGACGGAAGTGGTCAGCCCGGAAAAACTTCTTGCTGGCATTACATTCGCGAAACTTGTGCACATCCTGCAGGTGTCGTATGCGGTCATCCCAGTCCTGCTCCGTCGCGTGCCGAGCATCTGGCCGTCCGGCCGCACACCCGCTCCGTGCAAACTCTTCGCCGCAGTACCCGCACGTGTCTGCCTCTCCTGGCCGGAATGTGCTTTCGTGGAAGGCCCGGTCATAGCTGGACAGTGCTGCACAAGACCAGCTGTGTCGCCGTACGTGCAATGAATTTTGGTGTCGCTCCGCTTCGTTTTTGTTCTTGAACCGGTTGCCACAATAGTTGCATTCGTACTGCTTCTCCATCTCGTGTGATCTACACCGTTGCTTGTTAGAGTCTTCATGCGAAAAGGACAAGATCTCAGACGATAGTGTTAGTGTCTTACCTTAATTGTGACTCCGTGTCAAACTTCTTTGGCTTCTTGGGACAGCATTCGCACATGAAGAAGTCCGTACGCTTCAGCAACCCTGTGGTTTTCGCCATGTCAGGCGCCCTCCGTGTCGGCGACGCAAGAGTTCGGACTTGTTCGCTCAAGGTGCGGTGGTGTGGTGTGCGTGAAAGCGCGGACCGAGGAGAAAGGGTTAGGGAAATCGAGGGGGAATACGGTGACGTGCACCCGCTTCCAGCCGTGTCGATAGGCGACATACCGCTGGCAGGCGAGTGGCCGTCACACGGAGACCTCCGGCCAAAGGTGAGACAACCGCTGGCCATGCTCGTGCCTGCCGGGGACAAATTGCTGTACGAAGAGCTTGTACGGCTGACAGACAGGCCGACAGATGAGACTGATGATATGGAGTCCTGTGCAGTTGCACAGAGCCGGGGCGCTGGCGAGCCGCGAGACACTCCCTCACGCCAGCGAAGGTGCTCGCTGGAGGACATACTATACAGCGGAATAGTTGGCTCTTCGGTCACGGGTGGCGACGATGCTCGGCGCTTCTGACCCACCGACGCGTATTCGCTGGCCAAGTGGAACTCCCGCAGGCGGTTAGTCTCCTCCATTGGAAAGCCGGTATCGTCGTCGCCAAAGCCACTATTGAACGCATCATCAGGGTTAGAGCTGCTAGCAGTCCTCCACGTCTGTGCTTCCGGCGACCGCTCGTATTCGTAATGCTCCCTCTTTGGTGATCGGAGGCCATTGGGATAGTGGCCGAACGGTGCACTCCGGGGGGACACGGCAGAGTGCAGAGGGGTGTCTGTGTATCGGTTCGGCGAGTCGAGCAGCTGGCCCTGAAGCTGCTGCTGATGTTGCTGTTGCTGTTTCATGCGAGTAGGTAGAGACAGCGGCTGCAGAGTGGGAAAGCGGTCTACCGGTCGGAGAGGTTCGCGAGCTGACGCGCTCAGCAAGCCGCCATGTCGTGGTGGAGACCGATTTTCCAACCCCCTTCGCAAATCCAGTTTCTTCAGCAGCAAGCTGTCGTAGGCATCGGCGCTCGACTTGAATTGGTAGTGGTCGTGGAACAGGCCGAACTTGGCAGAGCCAAACGGATCTCGACTGCGCGACCCCATAGAGTAGTATCCCTCATCTTTGTCTTGCCGGGTCTTATAGTTGGGCATCTCCTCCATGGGCTCTGGCTCTCGTGGTCGGTAATCTTCGATTGACGCCGACTTGGGACCAATGACGGGAACGATCCTGGGTGGCGGAAGTGGCGGCGGCACGTGGGCGTCTTGTGATGCGTTGGGAATGGACATTGGTATGGAAGAGGATATCGAGGGAGAAAAGGTCGATGAGAAGCCCGGTCGAACAGAATCATGGTAGGGCCGTGGCGGGATGCTCTCGCCTATGTATATGGGTGGCAGACCCCGACCGGGGCGGTCAGGGCTGCGAGGGGCGCATCGTGGAATATCCATATCTGTTGGAGAGACGGCAGGGGAACTGCCTCCGAGGCTGTTGACGAACAGCCCAGATACAATTGAGATTGGCCGTTGGCTGTGATTGCTAAAGTCAGAATGTTGCCACAGGAGGTGCAGACGAAACTGAACCCAGCTGGGCAGGGTTCCCGAAGATGTGGAAGAGGTGGGTCGGCGAGGGGGGGAGGAGGCGGGTCGACGAAGGCAGTGGCAATCGCAAAGAGAGGGAAGCTGCTGCGGCCGGCAATATGTCCAATAGAGAGCGGCAGAGGCTATAGAACTAAGAGGGGGTATCTCTCGGATCGATGCTGTGCTGCATCCGAGGTGGAAACGTGGAAGATGGTAGGGGGGACGGATACCGAAAAGGACCGAGCTGTTGCCACTACATGAGATGTCGAATCATTGAGCCAAGGAGATCAGGGAACACAAGTTCAGGCGAGTGTATGTTCTGTGGAGTAGGGAGGGGGGGAGGGGGCGACAACCAGAGCTGCAAGAACACAACAGATCTAGAGAGAAAAAAGGAAAGGCGGGAGCCGTGAAAGGGAAAGGAGAACCCGGGAGGACTGCCAGAGAACGAGTGCTTAGTTTAGCAAAGACGATAGAGGAAAAGAGGAATAAGAGTAAAGCGGCAGTTCCACTGGTGCTGGCTAATAGGAAAGCATAGAAGTAGCGAAGAGCGCAGCGCAAAGCCAAAAACAGCAATGGCAATTGAGAATAAGCGGAGGTTGGTGAGAATACGGCGGAGTTCCGTTTCAGCCCTGGCGGTTGGTAGATGGGCAGAAGCAGAGATGGTAGTGTCCAGTTGAGAACTTCAGCTCAAAAGGCATGCAGCAGAGCGAAGGGCGGCAAAATATAATATTAATAATAAATAGACGATAAATGAGAGGCGCCGCGCATAGGACGGGTTTGTGTAGACTGCTGTTGCAAAGCTGGCGCGCAGGCTAGCGTGGGCTCTTCTGTACTATTATGGTATGTACGTCGTATGGTAATGGGTAGTGCAGGTTGCAGCAGGTCCTGGTCTGTCTGGGCTACCTCCGGTTTTGGCTCGCACAGTGGGCGTTCCGGCAGGCGAGTGCTCCGTAGTACAGGACGGGAGCAAGGAGGGAGAGTATGAAGGAAGCTGCGTGCGAGGAAGTAGACAGAAAAGCTGGCGAGGGCAGGCGCAATCGAGAGAGAGAGAGAGGAGCAGGAGCGAACGGCGGAAGAAGGAGAAAGGGGAGGCACGAGGGAGAGGGAGGGGTGCGGTGAAGTATGTGGGAATGATTATAGGGCAGGAGCTAGTTGTGCGGAAGGCGGACCTCGAAGGTAGTAGTAGTGCAATGGAAGGACGTAAGGATGGGTTTGTTTTGGCAGTTCCCACTCATATAACTGCTTGAGCGGAGACGCAGATTGTGAGCTGCACCGATGTGGTGTGTGTGCGAGTATATGCGGTGTGTGAAGACTGTGAGAGCCCATGCTATGTATCTGACATGGTCATGTGTGGGAGAAGGACTCCGTACGTCGTAAATCGAAGCGTACAAAGACCCCATCCGGGCTGGGCCAGATACGGGGGCAGGAACAATGGACCGGGCGTGGTAAGTACAAAGCAGATGTTGATGGTTAGGTATCGGTACGTACATCACTACGACGGCATCATTTGTTTGTCCACCCATCTCATTTGCGGCAAGGACTACCCAGCAGGTTGAGGAAGCCGCTTGCAGGATCCATCCATCCACTCAGCCCAACTGGGATTGCATGGGCGCGCAGTGTTTGTGTATGCGGGAAAAGTAGAGCAGTCTGCTCGTCGTACATGTTAGTTGATGCTTGCATACACCCCCTACACCCCTGTGGCACGTCGTAGTCCCGAGTACACCTAAGGACGCACCGCCGAGGAAGGGCAGGGGGAGTAGAAAAGGAGAGTGGGGACTGAGAGAAGAGATGGAAGGTGGGGGGTGAGTCTTACATACATGTGGGAGGGTGGTAAAATATTGGGGCCATTGTCGAGGCTTTTAGCGTGTTCCGTGCCCCCGTTATTTCCAGCCAAGCTTAGCGGTCGTGGTCTTTGCATCAGTGGGCTCTCCCCTATTGATGGCACGGACAAAGAAAGCACTGCAAGCGAGAATCCGACCCTCGTGCGCCAGGGGAAATGAACATGGCCATGTAGCCAAAGGCCAGGACCAGGACCAGGACCAGGACAGCGGAGAGTGCCAGGAACACACTAATTTGCCAGCACGGCGCATCGTTAGCGCAGTAGGGTACTCTGTAGCAGTCCAGCAGCCCAGCTCGGTAGCTGCTCCATGTCCTCTCCCGCCGGAGCAAGGGCGCCATTACTCCGTCCATACGACTTCGTATACAACGAGTGCACCATAGCGCGTCCTTTCGTTTCTCACCTTGACAGGCTGGGTGGGTGAGTGGATTGGATTTGCTGTAGCCCTGCAACACGGCCAAGGCCAGGCCGTATCCGACAGATGGTGGCCCCATCCACTCCAGCGTGCATCTGTTTCGTCCTCCAATCGCCAGATCTCTCGTGTCTTTGGGTGGTGGTTTGTATGTACGAGCAGAGCGGCCGTTTGGAAACAAATGCTTCACTTCATTGCGTGCAGTCAAGGTAGCAAAGCATACGCTTACATAGTAGCACTTGTTTCCCTCTCACTTTAGTCGCTACTTTTTTTTCCTCTCTTTCTTTCCAACAGCTGGGGGGCTCCCATCTTCTTCCTTCCCTCCTCCGCTCTTTCGGGTGGCTGTCTGCACTAAGGCGGCCCAACAGCCGCCTAGGGCAGACCGCGGCCAGGCGCCTCCCAGCCCAGAAAGGAAATGTACGATAATACTCGTACCAACTGAAGAAACGCCACGTACGAGAAATGGTAAAAGTAAGACAAATGGTGAGATCGCTCCACAGCAGGCTCGCCTCTTCTTGCTGTAACTGCTGAGCCTTGTCTCGCCTTAGGCCGGGCAGTCAGGTCAGCCCAGCTAAGCTGCCAGCCACCCACCACCACCATCCTACCAGCCGTAAGTCGCCGTGCCGGGTGTAATGTCGAGTCCGAGATGGCCGTTCCGATGCTTTTGACAGCAGCTGTGCTGCTCCGTCTTCCGAGTCCCCACCTCCTCCAAGCGACAGCGACGGGGGAAAACCAAATATGGAAAAAGAAACATGTAGTACCCGTATACTCACCCCCCTCCCCCTTTTTGGCTGTTTTGACCCCGATCCTCTGCAGTTTTTCCAGTGACACTAACGCTAATGGCTTCGCCACAATCCGAGCCTTGGCCTGGTTTTTTCACTTCGCGCGCTGGTCTGCCCTACGGGAAAGATACGATACTAGGTATGGCACATCCCCTCCTTCGGGGTTGTCGGTGATTACATGTACACGATATGGGACCAAGAACAAGCAAAGAAGTCCTTCCACATGCCAGACGCGAATCATCTTGGCCGGCTGGACCGCACTCCGTGCGAAAGGCGGCAAGGCCAACCAACGCAAAGCAAGGCGGATTGCAGGGCAATCATGCGACGGCCTTGTTTCGGTCAGTTAGATTCCGGCACGCAGACAGGGCGGGTCAAAGAGGCAAAAAGGACGAAAAAAAGGACGAGACGCACCAGGCTACCAAGATGGCAAGACAGACAACGCGTAACACGCAACACCACCCAACCCTTGGTGTGTCATTTCTTCTTCCGTCTTGTCTTTTTTCACCTCTCTTGTCCCAGTTCGCTTTCCAATTTGCCCCTTGTCATATCCGACGTACGTGCTTCCGGCCAACAGACAAAGTCTCTTGCCAATATCCACCAGGGTAATGAAGAACATGACGGCATATCGGCTAGCCGGCCGTTGCACTCTTCACCTCGCAAGGCGGCGGCAACTGGGGCCCATATGGACAGAGTAGACCGTCCCGTTGCATGGCACGCGCCCTGCATGGCCGCCCATCTTCGCCCACCCCGGTCTCCTTCTCTCGGCCTCTCTCGTATACTCGTGCTCCATAGCTGGCCATTCTTGGTCCCATGGTTGCATTGAGCAAATGAAGTACGGATCAATTAGTCGTGGTAACCTGCCGCTGGCATGATCTTGGAAGATGACATCTCTTCAGAGGTGAACGGAGTAGAAAAACATGAGGCGGGGAAGGGGATCTCATAGCAAATACGCCGTTCGCTTGGGGCAAGTCGGCTGCCATAGCGCTGCCTCCTTGCTTCGCCCAATTTGGACCATTTCAGCCCTACCGCCTTCGGGGCCAAACGCTAGACCAGGAAACGTGATTGGCACTGAGCTTGCGGGGGGAATAAGGGCTAATACCCCACCACCTATCCCTACGACCATACGAGTACAGCCAGGACCGCCGGACCACGACGTAATTTGCGACAGGCGGGTGCGTCAGAGCGCCGCTATTGCTAGCAACGCCCAAAACGAGCTGGGGCCCGGCCCTCCAGGTCGTATGGGCGGAAGCCGTCGCCTGAAACGGATTGGCGTTGTCACACTGCTGCCCTGGAGCCGAAATGGCATGCGGTAATACGACGTATCTCACTTGTGGCCGACAACCTGCTGCTCAACCTTGTCTGGTTGTCGGAGTGCTTCGGCAAATCTTCTCCCACCCCTGCATTTCTTCTAGACCGTGCCGGCCGTGAGTATTGCTTTACAACGTACCGAGTATTGGCGTCGTTGCAGGACAATAGAACGGCGACAATAATAGCCACCATATTGAGCGTAACCGTAATGATGTTGTATTTAGTGGTCGCATCTGGAAATGCTACGCTTGCAATAAACAGACTGTACGAAGTACTTGCATTTTCTGATTATGCCCACGCGATATATAAATACACCTGGAACCAAAAATTTAACATAAAGGGAACAAGTGGAACCATCTTGTTTCCACGTCTTCAAGAACAAGCTACGAGCATTCAGATACGGTATGGATCCCTTAGAACCAATTTTTCACCGCGACTGGTTGGTCCAAACAGCTGCCGGGCCGATCGTGGCTGTGTAGGCATGGCACATCTCCAGGCGAATCGCTCGCCCTCACGACCCGATCTTGTTGTTTTAGGAGGGGTGGGTTCTTGTACTCGTACAGAGCGTCCCATTTGCCACGCTTGACAACACAACATGCGATGGGCACAAGGTATGATGGGGCTGCATGTATCTTAGTAACATGGTTGGTTCTGCCGTAAATGTTTAGCCAGTGACGATTAAGATGCAATCTGGTGCAGACGAAAGGCTGGCATACCATTTCTGTCTATGCCATGTCACCTCGGCCAGTCATAGGCTGAAAGAGCGTAAGCAAGAAAAAGAAAAATATGTATGACGAACAAGAAAGCAAGAGAAAAAAAGAAAGCATAATCGTCTGGTCCTCTGGTACCCATGTCTGCATTTCCGCTCAGAAGCATTGTTCGCTCCGATATGTATCCAGCTTACGGCCCGACCTTCACCGGGTCCGGTCGTGACAAAAAATGCAGATCTCCTCTGGCGACTTCCGACTGTCGCGCTTGGCCGCAGCAGGTACCACAGACATTGTGCGTTGGCGAGACACGCGCAATCCGAAAGCGGCGGCGTCAGCAGTACTCAATTCGGCCGTAGGCCACGACCTGCTGAGAGGGGGGGTCAGCCGCAGAGGGACGGTCAGGTGCAGCTCGTTCTGACATGCCTGGCGGCTTTCAGTCCGTTTGGCCGCTTTGCCGCTTTACCGGTTTCTTACAGGGCCAACCGTGCCGAGACAGTGTTCATATACTATGCACGAGTAGGCCACCAGAGACACATGTGCGATTCAGATCGTACTAAGTACTATGAGGCATGCATGCATAGCAAATCTGCATATCTACGGAGTACACGCCTCTTCTTTTGACGTGGACACGGTGAGCAGGAGCCCACAAGTGTGTTCGTTCTTCACAGCGTTCCTGCTCATGCATGCCAGTAGCCAGCTATACAGCCGCGGCGGTCTTGTCGATCGCCAGCGAAAGATCTTGGCGGGCGTATGCTTGGCATGACGAGTTGTTTTTTGTCAGATTTATTTGCTTTTTCTTGTCTTTGCTTCTTTCCCTTCCTCTGGGCGGCATCTCCACAATACTGCCGTCTTGCGGACTTTGCCGTCCATCTCCACGGTGTTCAGTCATTGTGTCCACGACGTCTTAGCAGGAGAAACGCAAAGGGAAGACAGGGCAACACCGAAATTCAAGTAGATGCAAACATACATCCACCTTCCACACTCATATCCATAATCACATCCACAACTTGGCTCTGCGCTGGCCAGATGGGCCCGTGGGTTGGGTATTTTGCAGCAAAACCCGTCCTTGTGGGATACTGTCTGTCCATTGGCTGTGAACTGGCTGCGCGGCTGACACCTTTCAGCTTAGTTGTGCTCAATCAAATTCGCCAGCTCTGAGATTTCAGACCCTAGTCAAGCAAGCGGCCAGGAATGAACCCCGACAGGTGACAGTGTGAGAAGCAGCTGCCGAAAACGTGAGCCTCATCGTCTTCTTTCTCTCTTGCATACTCGTGTGTAGCTCGTAACTCTGCAGTCGTGGACTCGTGCACCCACGGAGAAAGAAGAGAAAGAAAGAGAATGCACCGTTCACCGTTTTCCAGCCCCTTGCCTCGTATTTCATGGCTGGCAACGTCAGAGGTGACGGCAGCGGCAGAAGCGTGGCCCAGACGCCTACGTGTCTGCAAATGCGTCTTCCTCTTTCGGTTTATTCTAGTTCCATCGGCTCCAGTGGCTCCATCTCGGCTTCTCTATTGTCAGCCGCTCTAAAAACAGAACTCCGCGGCCACGCATCAACGAGGACTTTCTTTTGTGTCATCTTTTCTGTCATTTAACACTGTACGCTCTTCTTACAGACGTCTGGTCCGACTGGAAGGCGCTGCGACGAATTGGTCCCGGCTTCGTGAGAGAATTGAGTGAAGCAAGGAAACTGAAGAGGGGCAGCTGATAGCTCCCTCTAGTTATTTTATTTTTTGAAGTAAAAATAATAGGGAAAATAACAGCAGCACCAAATTTAAACAAAAAAATGCCTTTTAAAAAAAATGCAAATATAAAGGGGAGGGACAATAGTGGATTCTTCTTGTATTCGTACGGCCATCCTCTTTGTCCTTGACACTGTCCGCTCTATTATTCTATTACGCTTCTTAGTTTCACTTTTTCGCCTTCTTCTTTTTCTTTTTTGCGTTGCCGTTCGGACAAATGTGTAAGAATATTCTTAGCCAGACTGTGTTCTCGGTGTTTTCTCCTTTTTGCCACCGCAATGAGACACGGAAAGGCAAACCATCCCGTCCCTGCGAGATCCAGTACCATGTACGTGATAAACTGCTCTCTAGATTGTATGGTCGTCAGCCGAACACACGAGTCAGCAGGGTATATCATTTCTGTCAACATTCACCGCAACTTCATCTGCGTACGCACGATGGCCCGTTTTGACCCCCTGTTGTAGCATCGTATGCCAGCCAGTGATATTGCACTATTGCCATCGACCTGGTCTGGCTCGACAGGATGAGACGGCGCTTCATACGGAGCCTGCTTCGTCGTACGAGTACCATGTACTTCTGACCGATACTCTCCCTCGTCCCAAAGCCACGGCACCAATAGCAACCGTCGCTGGCCTGTTTGTCATAAGCCTCAGAGGGGCAGCTGCCTTCTGGCTCCCTTCATTGGCCTTCCGCATCCTTGCCCTTGACCTAGCCGGGTTCGAGCCCACTTGGTCTTCTCCTGTCAGTGCGGTTAGGGGATCTCGGACCTCCCCAGAATCGGCTATCATGCCGAGATGGCGCAGCCTACCCGCTTGGCAAAGCCTTGAACATCGCTGGTCCTGGCCAGTCATTTGCACATTGCCCTCCTTTGTACGGAGTATTTTGCACACACCGGCTGTCCTTACCGGTCTCATGGCTCTGGACACGCCCCTCATGTACTCGTACGGAGTACGATGCGAGTGCTCGTACTCACAGACTGTCGTGTGACCAGAAACCCGGTCCAGTGAGCTCATAAGCCGGTAGCATCAGCCCTCAGCCAGCTCAATGAGGCTCGTCTGGTCTGGTCCGGTGACGTAGACAGCGGGGACAGGAACGGATTCTGGCTTGGGTGGAGCCATGCATCCAAGCCCAAAGCATTATAATGGTCGCTGCTCATATGTACGGAGTATGCCACTCCGATTCCTGCCCAGCCGAGAGCGGCCTGTCCCTTCATCTTGCGCTTGACAGGGTGTTCCGCCCCTGACGACAAGTAAATTGTCAGCTCGTCGCCGAAGAGCAAGATGAAGGCGGTGTCGGAAGGTCGGAAGGTCGGAAGACCGGAGGGTCGGCGGTATTGTCTCCCTCCTCCCGTGGTTGTGGACACGCTTGTATCTCGACTTGTCCTCTTGTACATGCGCGGCTGACGAGTCGGGCCTCTGGGACGGCCTGCCAACTCATGCAGCCGGCCTTTCTCCCAGTCTGCTGCGCTGTACCTCGTAGAGCACAGAGACACGACAGAGCTCGCCTTGTCAGAATCTGCTTGTTTCTTCTTCCAAACCAATATTCGCCCCCCTTATGCACTAGGCTCCCCATCTCCCAACCCCCTTTACCCTCTATTATTTTGTCACCGCCTCGTCGGTGGCCAAAAACAGATGTCGGGATGACAAAATGGACGGGAATACATTGACGAGATGCGGTCAGTGAAGGCGTCCGCACGAGCTTCACCGCCGTAGCGTTCTCATGGGAGAGAGGGGGGGGGGAGACCAGACGCTTCCAGAGGCCTGTATGTCGGCTGTATGTCGGCGCTTGCCGGCTATCTGATAGTCTCTCCCAGTCTGACAGGCGCTCGCCGTCTTCCTGGCTGCAAGCAGCCTTGTGCGTCGCATTGCCATCGTGTGTGCACGCTTGGGCATGATTTCTCCGAATTTCGCTTTTCGGTTCTGCTCCTCCAGAGGTTTCGGGGAGGCCGTGGCATCGCTGCGGGTTTTTACGCTTATTATCGCCTCCCTCCCCATCGTTACCCGGCTTCACCAATGGCGCCAAGGGTGCCGCAATATGCTTGACTTGATTCGGGTGACGAGAGGCAAAGACGGCAAAAACGGGCCGGTCTCTGGCCGTGTTTGCTGGCCATCTCGCTGTTGCCGATGCATATCCAAGCTGGACAGGCAGCAAGACCATGCTTGTTTTAGATAAGTACGAGTAAGCTTCGCAGGTCATGCACGGTATGCAGCAATGTAAGATACGTGTACTCGTAAGGCCGACGACGAGTTCTTTTTTTCCGAGGCGAAAACCCGCAGCCAAGAGATACAATGTCACCCTCCTCTCCGGTGCAGGACGCATGTTGCATAGCCACACCATTTGCATGCAGTAGTTTCCTGGTAACTGACGTCGGGTGTAAGGGAGAGAGATCGCAAGACTTGCGAGATACGCACGACAGCCAGCTTCGAAGTACCGCTAGCATGGCCAGTGAACCCCGACGCCTTCGGTATGTCATGAACTGCATGCGCCCTTCCTGAGTACGCTATAGAGCCGTCATGTCTCGCGAGACAGTGGCCTTTGTATTTTGTTTATTACTTCTTATTCGGTTTCCTTTCTTCGCCTTTTTTCCAGCTACGATGTATAATGTACATTCGGTCCGCTGGCTGGCGCCTCGCCTTAGTTTCCAAAGGCGGTACTATGTAAAATGTGCATTCGACAACAAAGGGCAGGATCACGAATCACAGAGACGGGAATCTGCACATGCAATAGCTGCGGATCCTGCTGCTGATTTCCGCCGGGACGCCAGCTGGACGCCAGATCATCATTGCTCTCTACGGAGTAGGGCTCTCAGGGGGTGGAGTGACGGCCAGAACAGGGTAAGCAAACAGGGGTTTCTTCAGCTGGAGGGCGCGCCAGCAGGATGAAACAGCCTGCCGGCTTAGTGGCCTGTAGGGCCTAAATAATAATCAGGCCGGGCCTGTGGCACCAAACGGCTGAGCCAGAAGCACGGGGCGCACATTGGCGCATTAACGCCTCTAGCAGCTTAGCGGCCAGCACAAACGGCTTCCGAAGAGCCCTACATAGTATCGGCGTCCTGCTGCCGCTCTCGTTAGCGATTTGACTCCTGGGCCGAGGCTGTCGAGGCTATGTGCCCACTGTGCGGGCAGACCGTACGACAGATGGGCGGCTTTCTGCTTGTCATGCTGACCATCACTGCATTACGCAATCGGCCACCGGAACTTGCAAGCCGGCCGGACCATGTATCCTACTGTGTATACGGGTTTAATACGGCGTACTCGTGCTCGTACGTACTCGTACCCGTGCTTGAAACAGCAGGCAACGACCCGCTGCAGCGGACGTTACCCGGCAATAGTTAAAACAATGCTCCCTACAAGGCTAGGCACACTCACATTTCCGCGCTCACACCCCCTTTTGTTTCTTGGCTTCCCCTCCTCCCTCCTTACTTTAAAATGGGCCGACGAGGCGCTGTGATAAGCCGTAGGAGTCTAGCCATACGCCGGCGAAGTCGCTAGTTCAAATGCCAGTCTCGAACGGGTGGCTCGGGCGCCAGTGCGGTTTCTGCGCCGTACGAGTGCTGGCATGAAGAAACCACCTGGTGCTGCTGCTGATTGTGGTGCAGAAGGCCATCATCCATCCCGGTCCAATTGCCGGGTCCAGGGCAACACCAAAAAGATGGCTGCCTGCCTCGGGATCTTGGTAACCGCCCCTCCCCTGCCTAGTGCTCGTGGTCTTACTACTACTATACTACTCCGTATGAATGGCTTTCCGGACACAACGGACTTTCTGGACAGGACGACCGACCCGTGTAGATCGAAGATACCGTACATACTCCGTAGTAGTGACGCCTGTTGCAACCTGTAACGGCCAAGATGCGACAAATTCGTACCTGTCTCCTGCCTATCTCGATCTACTTGCGCTGTCCTCCTTCTGTATCGTGCCCCATCGACTGTGACGGGCCGCGCTATTCTTACTTCTCCTCGCCCCAGAAGGGGAACCCCCCCCCCCCCAAATGTCCCCTGTGATCGCCGACTGGAGAAAGGCCCCGTAAAACGATGCTACGGAGTTCGTAATTTAATTTGGCCGAAGCTCGCCGATTGCCAGCCTTTTTACACGCGAACCCAGAGGCGGGGCGGCCTTCCAGAAGGGGAAGGCCCTAGAAAAAGGCACCAGAAACACCCCTGTTTCTGGAAGGCTTCTAGAAGGCTTCTGTTTCCGTCCAGTGCTCTAAACGCGGCTTTCCCATTTGTCGATGCAACGATACCGCCGGATTGGACGGATCCCCTGTCCGACATTCGTACGTGGCCATGTCAACACGCTGCCGGCATACGACGTATGCTTCCACATTACATGAACGCATATTTAGAGGTACCGTAGCTGGTCTGTTAGTGGTGAGATTTCCTGTCCCCAGATCCGAGGTTCATGCCCTCCGTAAATTGAGGCTCTAGCGCTCCGCACAAAGTATGGGATGGAACCCGCGTAGGGTAGCGGTAGGCTGAGCAATATTGTACCGTAAAATACATCCGTAGTACGAGCATCGTCTACATAGTACTCGCGTGTATAGTGCGACCAACCATCGGCCTTCTCGTGTCGCAGCAGGCCTCCCAGTCCCATACCCTGTTGCCCCGTCCCGGAGGAGAAGGTCCCGTCTCGCTGCGCATAATCTTGCCTGTTTCGCACTCGAGCGCTGCAAATACTGGGGGTCTATTGCCACCAGTCTGCGGATCTCGGCATCGTTTATATTACGAAACCTGTTGTACGAGTATCTTACTCGTCTGGCTGTCTTCTGGCTACTGTGCCCTTTCATCACCTAGACGCGTGTCGTGCTTGCACAGATCGGCCCATCTTCGCCCTGCTAGCGAGTTTAGGCCGGCTGTACTCATACCCGTACATCGTACTCCGTACATGTTTGAGTATTGAGTACCTCAACAGTATATTCGTACGAGTAAGCCTCCATATTAGCGCGGACACTTGTGGCGAGCAGCACGCCTGGCTTGGAAGGTCGGATGGCGTACGGAGTAGAGGACCGTTAGTCCAGGGGAAAGGGCGGGCGGAACGGCCTGATTCCGCTGTTGCGTAATTGAAATAAAATATATTACAACGGCTGTCATGGTTTTGCAACCAGCCATGGGCACTGGAGGCAGTAGCTTACACCTTTAATTGCAAGCAACGAATCTTAGCACCGACCGCTCTCACCGCTTCTGAAGGAGGTCTAGAGTGTCTTACGATGGAAAGATATCCGAGCTATTCCCAGAATTATCACCGAGAGACTAGAGTAAGCCAACTACCGAAAACACATAAATATTACGCCGACAATCAGCATTGGGAAAAACAAGTAGAAAATTGGAGATCCCGTCTCATGTGTAGTATCAGATCCGCTAGACTGCGCTATTTTTTGCCCTGTGATCGCCGTTGCCTTCCAAGGCCCCCAAACAATTGAAGATTTCATTGTGGCCTCCTGACAGGCCAGCCAACAACGTAAGATGCAAAGGATGGTCGTAGAAATTGTGGAACAGTCCAGGCAATAATTACTGCTTCGTCGGACATGTCTCTTCTAGGAAAAGCTTGATAAATGGATATTGAGGCTGTACAAGCAAGGTAATTATGACTGACGCTGTGGATATCACGAGTGCGTGCGAGTACCAGGGATGGATTAATATATTAGTGAACATCCCAAAAGTGGATGCTTTTCTTTCGCAGATAGGGCTACTAGGTGGAAGCGAAGCCTGCCGGGAGCTCCCAAGTGGGAATGTTCCGAGTGGGAGAAGCTCCAATTGGAAACTTCCAGGGCCAGATAGGACATTTCGTAGGATCAGGACGTTGTAGGCATTATGGATACGGAGTTTTTTTTTACTGGTTCAGGCTGCCAATATGCGCTTGGCAAGGCTCCGGATGACGTCACTGCATTCCTTCCGAAATTAGGCCATTCTATGCGAGTGCTTGTTTTGGCCTCTGCGCGATGATGGAGACAGTGCCAGCGAACGAATCCAGCAAGGCCGCTACGACGTACAGAGTGACCCTGCCCCTGTCGCTACCATGAGCTGCCCCGTTCGCAGGCTGTCGCTACAGCCGAGATTTTTGGCCGAGCAGGCTTCGGACCGCCAGCCAGTGTGGGCATTGCTGCCGGCCAGGCGACTGATAGGGTCTACAGGCACGAGAGGACGCCCGAATCCGTCTGGCAACGATGGCAACGGCCAGGCGGCCAGAAAACGGCAGCAGGAGGTGCGCCGGTCATGGAGTCGAGAAGGGAGAGACCGTTCAGCCACTGTCAGGCCGTCGTCAGCGAGCAAAGAGGTAGTGGTAGCAGCCCAGAAAGGTCGGTAGAGTGGCCATTAGCCGTTGCTAGAGAAGCGAGAGGCTGACTAGTGGGAATGTCCCATTCTCGCAGGAAAGCTATTGACGACACCCACACGGCTTCTCAAGTTCGTTCTCCCACTGCCGCTAGGCTGGCAGAAGGACACGGCTGTAGATGGACCGGACATGCGCATGGAGCCGTTGGCACTGCTAGTGCACCCGCAACAGCCGATGTCCTACGTGGAGCGGCTGATCCTGGCAGAATTGCCGGGCGAGGACGCGACCAACGTGTATTTCCGGGCCGAGAACACGCCAGACGAGGAGGGCCAGAGCAAGGACGGGGGAGGTTCGCACGTGGCGTGGTACTCGGGGCTGGGCCACGAGGCGGCCGAACGACGGGATCCAGACAAGAAGTGGGTGCGATGGAGCAGCAGCACAGAGATTGGCGACTTCATCCGGGAGGCGGCACGAGGACGCGAGTTTGCGATTGAGATCGAGGGGCCGTCAACGGTCGAGGTGCGGGTCAGCGTGCCCTCGTTCAGCGACCGGACGTACTACCAGCGGATGCGGTTGCGGCGGCTGTCGCGAGCGGTGGAGCGGCTGTCGACCGTGAAGCGGGAGTGTGACGAGCTGGCACATCGGGGGGCAAGGCGGCTGGCCAAAGGGGGCTTTGCCACGCTGATGGGCTGGTGGGCGGTGGTGTATTACACGACGTACCAGACGGCGTATGGCTGGTCGGTGATCGAGCCGGTGACGTACCTGGCCGGGCTGGGCGTGATCATGGGCGGCTATCTCTGGTTTCTCTTCATCAGTCGTGACCTGAGCTATCGGGCTGCGATGAACGTGACGGTGCTGCGGCGACAGGCGGCGCTGTACGAGAGTCGTGGCTTTGATGTACGGCGGTGGGACCGGCTGGTGGAGGAGACAAACGGTCTGCGAGCCGAGATCCGGCGGGCAGCAGCTGATTATGATATCGAGTGGGACGAGGAGGCCGATCTGGGTGGAGGGAAGGTGAAGGAGGTCTTGGAGAAAGAGAAGCGGAAGAAGAAGGAGAAGGAGAAGGAGGGCGAGGACGAGGATGAGGATGAGGAGGGCGAGGAGAAAGAAGGCGAGGAGAAAGAAGACGAGGAGAAGGATGGGGAGAAGGAGACGGGAGGTGACAAGGGAAAGGAGTAGAGGAGGTAGGAGAGAAGAGGAGAAGGCGGAGAGAAGGGGAGGACTATGGGGGAGAGAAAGCACGCGGGAGGGCTAGTACGATGGGCAGGAGAACAGACGAGCAGGAGTAGGAGCAGACGCACATAGAATAAGGTAGAACGAGATCAGACATGAGGATAGCTGTCCTGAGACAAGATGCCGATAGATTCAGACGCAAGCATGATTACATAAGCATTGACTTACGATGTTTTTGAACGGCAGGCGCAGTGTGGCGTAGATCGTGACACACGCGTGATGGCAGCACGTGAAGGCAGTCGCCAAACGCGTGAGGATCGTATTCACGTGCAGCAGGCTGGACGTGCCTGCAACCCCTCATCCCCGCCAGGCTCACCCCACCAAGGGGAAGGAAACAGCGCGTCATGTCCCCACTTTCACCCGCTGCGAGGTGATGGTGGAGAGAGGGCCATAGCTTTATTTTTCTGCCTTTTTCCTCTTTATCTATTAGAGGGGATCTGCTTCAGCGCCGAGGTGCGTGGCAATTCCGATCTCGGCCAAAGTGTTGAGAAGCGGTGGTGACTCTGAACGTTGACTGTCAGCGAGGTTCTCTATCTGCGAAGTTCTGCACCCCCGAGCAAAGAGACATCTCACACACCAACGCTGCGATGCCCATCAGCACGATCAATCTGCCAGACGGGCAGATAATCACAGCCAAGCCGGTGTTTGCAGGGCTTTTTTTCAAGTCCAACGAGCTCAATGTGCACCGCACGCCCTTCCCCATCGGCTGGACGACGGTGCTGCACACGGAAGATGACGAGACAGGTGAGACTCCAGGCGAGGTGAGCGGCAGTCCAGGTGGTCGTGGCAGTGTTGGCAGCCAGCCTGGCAGTCCTGGAAGCGCAACGGGCGAGACGGCCGGGCCGGCTCACTCGCACTCGTTCCGGCGGCCGACGTTGCAGAACGACAGCCTGTTTATCTCGAGCATCAGCAACCCGAGCAGCAGCGAGTTCAGGCCGGCAGCGAGCCCGACAAGGCAGATCGCCATGATGCTGTGGATCACGTTATACTGGTACTTCCACCAGCCGGCGCCGGAAGTGCGGCTGCCGCCAACCGCAGCCTCGCGCGGCACCGTTCCAGCCGGCCGGCCTCACGGCGAGTGGCGCATCAGCATCAAGCGTGACGGCGTGCTGCGCGGGCGCAATCTGATCCCCAAGCTCGAGCGCATGGGTCTGATCGCGACGCTCGAGACGGCGGTCCAGGCCACGCCGGCCACGGGCGACAACGACGGCTGGGATCGCATGTACGTGTCCCAGGCCATGTTCTGGCAGATCCCGGCCCACCAGTTCCTCTTCACCCTGCAGCCAATCGTGTCGGCCATCGGTGGCAGCGGAAGCAGCAGCAGCAGCAGCGGCGTTAGGGGCGGCACGTCGTCGTTTCCGGGCTCGCCCACGGCCAGCCGGCCCAGCTCGCCGACCCGGGATGCAGCCCGGACCAGCGGCCTGACGCTGGACGAGGTGGTCGTCCCGGCGTCTGGCGCGATGGTGGTGGTGGCTGCGGGCGGTAGCAGCGAAACGGCAGCAGCAGGCGGCACCGACGAGCTCAAGCCGAGCCTCCCGATCGGCCCCTTCTTTGCGTCGTCGCACCTGCCGGCATACTACCCGCCCAGCCCGCTACGGTACACGATGACGGACGGCGTGCGGCATCCGGCACGACCAAAGCCACCGCGCATGGGCGAGGTGTTCTACACGCGCTTTGTCCCGTCGGTCGGCCAGTACCTGTCGCTGCGCGTGGCGTCGTCGTCGCCGCGGCCGGTGCCGTATGCTGGTCCTGTGGGCCCGCGGCCGCCCTCAGCCGGGGCCCATCTGACGACGCTGAGCGACATGGGCCTGCTGCAGATGTGGCTGTCGAACCCGCGGGTCAGCGCGTTCTGGGGCGACTACGTGCCCGACTTTCTGTCCAGCGCCCTGGCCAGCCGCCACAGCTTCCCGGTCATCGCGCTGTGGGACGGCGTGCCGTTTGGCTATTTTGAGATCTACTGGGTCAAAGAGGACGTGCTGGGCCGCCATGTCGGTGGCGCTGCCATCGACGACTTTGACCGCGGCCTGCACGTCTTCATCGGCGAGGAGTGGGCACGCAGCCGCGTCCAGCAGTGGCTCAGCAGCGTCGTGCACTGGATCCTCACGGCCGATTATCGTACCATGAGCGTGTGCATCGAGCCGCGGGTCGACAACTTGAGGTGCGTTGCGTGTTTGCGTGTTGCCGGTCGTGTTTTCGTTGCTGACAATGCCAGGTTCATCCAACATCTCCAGCTCGGCGGCTTCAACAAGCAGCGCGAGGTCACCTTCCCGCACAAGCAGTCCTGGTTCGGCCGACTGGACCGTGACGGCTGGACCGGGCCAGCTCTTTGAGGCAGCATGGTGAGGCAGTGCCGACCATAAGAACCTCTTGCTGTCCTGCTTGTCTGGTCAAGACCGACGTGAGGACCCTGTTGCTTACCCTGGAAGACAAGCAACTATGTACAAGTAGAAACAAACACACTAAATACTGCAGACACTCAACTCTAGGCGTCATTTTGGCGTCATTTCCATTCTTAGTCATTTCCTTTTGTAGATTATGTTCTCTCCTTACCGGCTGCACCCGCTACTCCTCCGCCTTTCCGACGACGTCGAAGCCCTCTTCTTCCTCTTCTTCCCCGTCTTCCATGTCTTCGTCTTCGTCCTCCTCGTCGCCGTCGCCGTCGTCTTCGTCCTCGTCAACAGACCCGTCGCTGCTACCGGAGCCCCCGCTGTCGTCGTCGCTGCCGGGATCGTAGTCCTCTTCCATCTCGTCTTCTTCGTCTTGTAGCTCCTGTTCCGTCTTGGGCCGTGCTGCTGTCCCCTCCTGCTTGACCCCGTCGGTCGTTTCGGTACCTCCGCCCTCGGCCTCATCTTCAGCCTCGGCCTCGCCTTCGTCGCCATCGCCGTCGCCGTCTTTTGCGTTCTCGGCCAGCTCGCGCTTGGCCTTGCGCCGTTCGGCCATGCTGCGGTCCTGCAGGCCGTGTCGCCGCACGTACGCCTCGTCGATGCTGCCGTAGTCCTCCTGGTCCAGCATGCCGAACTCGACCTCCTCGGTGCGGCCGCCGCCAACATCGACCTCGACGACGACATTAAAGGTGCGCTGCAGCACGTTGGTGTAGCTGACCGCCTCGACACGGTCCAGCGGAAGGAAGAGCAGCGGCTTCTTGAAGCCCCAGAGGATGCCTGTCGGCAGGAAGAAGAGGAAGCCGTCCTTGCTGCCGCGGAAGGCCCGCACGTGCACTGCCTTCTCGCTCGGCCGGTATGCCTGGCGCGCCATGCTGTGAAACACCTTGGCGTCGGTCCTGACGATCTGGCTGCTGCTGGGAAGCCGGCCCTCCAGCGCCCAGTGCAGCAGCGTGTTGTACGCGTCCGCCACTGTCGCCGCCTCGCCCGCTGCCGTGCCGCCCACAGACCCCGGCTTGGGCGCCGCGGCCGGCACGGTGAAGACGAGCGGCTCCGGCAGGCCGGCCGTGCCATTCGGCGTCGTCGTCGTCTTGGAGAGCGATGCCAGCGCCTGGCCGCGCGGCAGGAGCACATAGCTGTGCTGCACCTGCGCCTTGTCGGGCACCGGCACGCAAAAGACGTGTTCTGTCCTGTCAGCTGCCACACAAGACTGCTGGAAAGCGGAGCAGCCGCCATGGACACGTACCAATGTCCGTCCAGGCATAGACGATGCCCTGCACCGGGGCCGTCGTGCCTGCTGCCCGGGCATACAGGTAGTGCTGCGTGAAGCAGAGGTCGAGCTTCTTGCGCTGCGGCATCGACAGCGAGATGTCCTTGATCTCTAGGATGGGTGTCTCGGCCGCCGCCGCTGTCGCCAGCCCGGCTGCCGATACTCCTCCGCCATCTGCCCCTGTTGCCGGGCGTCCAGGCAGGCCTCCGTTTGTGTGTGTGTTGCTGGCTGCGGCCGCGTTGGCCTGCACCCGCCTGCGCTTGACGGCCGGCTCGTCGTCGCCCTGCAGCCGGTCGCACACAAAGCTGGCAATGCTGTTGAAGAGGGCCACACGCGCCGGCGAGTCTGCTGCCTTCTGGATGCCGGTCACGAGGTCTGGTCGCGTCTCAAACGCGAGTCGCAGCCGCTCGGTGTCGAGGCCGGTCGCCATGGCGGAAACGGGACCGAAAAGGAGGATGGGGCGATGTCAGTTGGGCAGGCAGGCAGACCTCGAGCGTTGTCTGCTGTCTCGGCGTCCTGGTTGAACGCGTTCAGGAAGCTAATTAGCGACTTTGGGGCGTCGGCGTTTCATGCTATAATTCTACGGCCTGGTCATGTGACTTCTGCGTATTTGTCACTTCTTTGTCTTGATGTCTTCTCTTTCCTCTTTCCTTTCTTCTCTTGCTTCGCCGTCTTCTTCTGCCTTTTACAAGTCCGTCATCCAGATCTGCGCATGCCATCTGCTCCAGCATCGGCTCGACGCTCTCCTGCAGGTCCTTGTTGTACGTGCTGGCAGACCCTTGAGCGTCATCATGAAGCCGGCCATGTGAGCAACGTCATTGGCCGAATTGGCTGTCGTTAAAGTCACTGGGTTGCCTTATCTGGCAGCAATCAAACGTCCTTGGCAACAGTCGCTCTTTCCGTCACCTGAGCATTACATAGCACAACGAATTAGCCAAAACGATCACATCGAAATCTGTCTATTTTCTCATCCTCCTGGCCTGTTTGTTTCATCTCTTTTCGTCGCCTGAGTCGCGGTTGTCTCGCTGTCTGCTGTCTGCGCCCCGTTCAGCGCAGTGGGGCAGCGGTTGCTGCCGCAAGTCAGCGACCCCTGACAAGCGCTGGCAGCTGAGAGCCAATCGGCCACGGCCAAGGCGTATCAACCCAGACGAGAGCTGACCATGTTCTATTTACTGGCGGTTATCTGCTTGTTTCTAACTTGTTTGCTCACCTGCTTCTGCTTCTTACCAGTGGACGCGTTGACCATTGCGACTGCTTGCACCACGTCGGTGAGAGAGCGCGCACGACAGCCTACGAAAGGTGAGCTGCGCTTTCACGTCTGACAGTCTGTCGCTGTCCAGTGTGCTCATCGTCCTGTCTGTTACTCTTCGGAGCTGCCGACGGCTGTACATTCCGACCAGTCATTCAATTTCGGGAGTCTCGTGTTCTCCGTCCATGTGAGAGGATCATCTTTGCAGTCTCGACCAAACAGTTGGCCCGGTCGAAGTCTCGGAACGCCTGCTATTTCGTGTCAAACGGATCTCTGCCACAGTGAAGGCGATTTCCAAAGCATACAGCTTCGATTGCCATGTGGACAGCAAGGCAGGGAAATGTCACGGTCGTCGATTTGGCGGTGAAACAGCATGCTGACTCGTCACCATGCAGACAAGCACTGACTGTTTGCTTTCAATTCTCGCTTAGCAGCACCGCCCCGAGCTGCTTTCACGAAACACCCAGGCCAGTAGATGGTGATGGACCAGGACCGTGGTCCCGAAATAGCAATTCATGGAAGTTTGGGCTGGACTGCGGCTAAACGCTGGTGCGATTTCTGATTGGCCAGACGTGTCGCTTACAACTCCGCTTTGGGGCAGCCCCACTACAAAGGCCCTTTGACTGCGATTGTCCTCCCATTCACGACCTCAAAACAGACGCCCTCCTGGCCTCACAGGGCGCTGTGAGGCCCTCCGGCCCAGACAGATGGCCCAGAGGCCCGCATGAATCCCTACTGCACATTCCTTTGGTGTCAAACTGCAGTTATTGAGAATGTCGTCCGGTTGCCGCCGTCGCTGTTCATGCGTTCAAATATCAATGAAAGACGACCCGTTTCAATGACCAGCGACCGGATGATTCACTTCCACATTCTCCAATTCGTGCTCACCGTCTTTGTATAGTGATTTTCTTCTCGTCTCTCTTCTTTTCATTTCTTCCCCTTCTTTCTCCATCTTCCTTTTCTCTTTCTCTCGGTTTGACACCGAACTAACTTGTTCGTCTTTGCTACCTACACCTTTTTACCCGCAATACTTAATACGTTGAGGGCCTAGATAGAGCAGTGCTCTTGCTCTCACAATCTTGCGTTTTTTTTCTTTCTATTTCTTCCGAAATTTACATCTTGAACGATAAGATACCGACCACCACACAACCATACAACCATACAAACATCCCGGCACATATTCGGACCAATCTTCATCCAACATGGGGTTCCAACGAGAGAACGACATGGACTCGCACTATCCAGAGGTACCAGACACGCTTAGCATCGACTCTTATGAGATGCAGAATATCAATCTGGCCGCACAGGCACCACCGCCTAAGTACGACTCTGCGGGCAACGTGACCCCGTACCTGGGGCTGCGGGCGCGGCTGTCGCAGGTCTGGCTCAACAGGTGGACGGTGCTCTTGCTGATAATGCTGGTGCGGCTGCTGATGCTTCTGGGCAACCTGCGGAACGACATTGACAACGCTAAGGCAGAGGCGCTGTCGGCGTGCACCAAGGTGGAGGACGCAGGCAGTGCGATGGCGTCGATGCCGCACTACATGTCGGCGGGAGTCAACTCGCTGGCAGCAGACTCGATCTCCAAGGCGGTGCAGGGTGGAGTGGAGCTGTTGATGATGGTGCTGACGGGGGTGCAGCAGCTGATCCTGTTTGTGATCAATATGTACATCGGCACGTACGTGTGTCTGTCGACTGCTCTGATCCACGGAGCGCTGGACGTGGGGATCGGGGCGGCGGACGAAGTGACGAGCGCGATGAACAAGGCGATCAGCGCTGTCACGGGCACGCTGGCCGACGATGTGACGAGCGTGCAGTCGACGATCAACAGCGTGTTCTCGGAAATAGCAAGTTCGGCAAGCGTGTTTGGTAGCTCGCTTACAGCGCCGACGATCAACTTCACGACGCAGCTGGACGAGCTGAAGAACATCCAGGTGTCCGACACGGCGTTTGTCAAGACGCTGGAGACCCTGAACACGTCGATTCCGACGTACGACCAGGCAGAACAGCTGGCGAGTAGCGCGCTCTCGATCCCGTTCGACGCAGTCAAGACGCTGCTCAACAACACTTACGGCAACTACACGTTTGAGGGGTCAGCCTTCCCGGTGGCGAAGAAGCAGGCGCTGACGTTCTGCTCGGACAACGACGTTGTGGCCGACTTCTTTGCGGCGCTGTACGAAGTGGCAAAGCAGGCGCAGACGGCGTTTGTGGCAGTGATAGTGGTGCTGGCGGTATTGGCGTGCGTGCCGATGGCCTGGCAAGAGCTGCGGCGGTTCCGCCAGCAGCAGCGCCGACCACGTCTGCTGACCGAGCAGGGCTTCGACCCGATGGACGTGGTCTACATCGCGTCGAGGCCGTTCACAGCGGGTGTGGGGATCTGGCTGGCGAATCGGCGATGGCTGTCGGGGTCGCCCAAGCGACAGCTGCTGGTGCGATGGACGACGGCATACGCGACGACGATGCCGGCGCTGTTTGTGCTCTCGCTGGCGGTCGTCGGCTTTGTCTCGTGTCTGTGCCAGGCACTGCTGCTGCGGGCAGTTCAGCGGGAGACGCCGGCTCTGGCGGCCGAGGTGGGCGACTTTGCCGGGTCGGTGGTGCAGACGCTGCAGAACGTGTCGACAGCCTGGGCGGATGACGGGAACGCGGTGCTGCTGGAGTTCCAGAACCACATCAACGACGACCTGCTGGGCTACGTGACCAACGCGACGACGGCAATCAACGACACGCTCAACGTCTTCACGGACGAAATCAACAGCGCGATTACGGCGGCCTTTAATGGCACGGTGCTCTACACCACGGTGCAGCAGGTAGTCTATTGCCTGATCGGCATCAAGATCAACACGGTCGAGGAGGGTCTGACGTGGGTGCACGACCACGCACGTGTGACGATGCCGCAGTTCCCGACTGACGTCTTTTCCGTCGGCGCCAACGAGTCGCTCACGACTGACGGCGGCCAGACGACCTTTCTGGCAACGGGCAGCAGCGTCACGTCGGACGAGATCACCGCGGCCGTGGCCAAGGTGGTAGCCTTTCTGCACAGCGGACTGGTGCAGGAGGCGCTGCTTTCGACCGCGCTGTTGCTGGTCTACGTCATCGTCGTGTTGATCGGCGTGGTGCGAGCAACCGCAGCCCTGGCGATGCGTGATCGCTCGCGTGCCGAAGGTGGCCAGCGCTGGTTCGCCGAAGGCGTCTCGGGGCCGCAGCAGCCCTCCGGCCGGATGTCGGGTCGAATGCCGAGAGGGATGTCGAGAGCGAGAGGACCGTCTAGGGGATCGATTGTTTTTCCTCGCTTTGACACGGCCGAGAGCGCAGCGACCGACGACCAGATGGCGGCTTCGGTGCGCGACGAGAAGCTGAGGCTCAAGCTGGGACCAGTGCTGCCAGTGCGCGTGGCTACCAGCCGACAGGTCGAGACCAAGACGGGCCAATGGCGCAGCAGCAGCTATGGTGATGTGGAGGACGTCGAGGACGTGGACGACGTCGAGTACAGCCTCGGCCCCGACGACACTAAGCTGGTCACATACGCGGCGAAGCGCCACTAGAACCGGCTGCCGCCACCGCAGTATGAGGAGCGATGGATGTGAGGGATTCGAGGGATTTGAAGGGTCTTGTGTTTTATTTAATACCCGGCGTTACATGGTTGGATTTCTTGGAGATTTCTTGGAACTTTTACACCTCGGTTGGTATGTCTTTCTGGTGGCATCGCATTAGAACAAGACGGCTGCATGTATTTGTATGATATTAAAAGCATCTGAACACGACTGACGCCTGATCCGACCAGAGAATAGAAAGAAGCAAAAACAAGACGCCCAAAGAGTTACATGTGAAATTGTATCCGTGTCGCCGTAGTCCTGTCGTGGTTGCCGTCATTCCTCGTCCCTTCTTCTCTACCTGTGCCCGCTTCATATCCTCATATCCTTCCGGCTCGTCGTTTCGGTGCCGGCGTGCCGTTCCCGCTGATTCCCATGCTCAGTATGTTTGTCCGCCGTGTTGCCATCCGCGGCATAGCCAACTTGCTCTGGCCAGCAGCATCCGCAGCTGCTGTCGCTGCAGTCGTCGCCTTTGCTGCCGTTCCCTTGGCCGCCATCGCCTTGACCGCCGTCGCCTTGACAGCTGTCGCCTTGACTGCCGTTCCCTTGACTGCCAAAGTCTTGGCTGCTGTTGGCTTCACAGCCGACGATTTCGCTGCCGCGGCCGCAGCCGATAGAAGAGCCTTGCGGGGCGTTGGTAGCTGCAGCCGAGACGTCCGCGTCGTCCGCCGCGGTATGGCCTTTTTCTTCGCCGGCTCGGCCGTCGCTGTTGCTGTTGCTGTTGCTATTGCAGAATCCACCACGGTCGCTTCCTCCGTCGGTTCAGCCACAGACACTACAGCTCCGACGTCCACAGCCACATCAACAGCCACCTCATCAGCCACAGCAGCCGTTGCTGGCGCCTCGTTCGGCTGCTTCTCCTGGACGTCTGCACAGGACTCGGCTTCCGCGACCTTCTCCACGTGTTCGACCCTTTCCGCCACCTGCTCCTTCTCTTCCTTTGACCCCTTTGCTCCCTTGTCGGTCTTGTCCTTCTTTCCTTTGCCCTTGTCCTTCTTGCTCTTGCCTTCGCGGCCTTGTACCCGGACTAGCTCTTCAGCCCAGCGAACAGTCTTTGCTTTGCAACTTTTCGAGTCTTTGTTCTCGTCGTTTTCTTCGTCCTTGTTGTCGTCCTTGATCTCGCCCTCAACCTCACCCTGGTCTCCGCTCTCTTTGTCCTTGTCTTCGCTTTCACTCCCCCCTTCTGCCGTGTCAGTGACCGACTTCTGATTCTTCTGGCCCTTCTGGCTCTTCTCACCCTTTGTCTTTCTCCCCTTTCCTCCCTTCCCCCCCTTCTTCCCCTTTAACTCCTGCGCCTGTCGTGCCAACACGGCCGACGGATGTTCTGCGCCGGCCCTGTTCTTGCGCGTGTTTACTCGCGTGATCGCTGCCACGTCCTTCTCGCCTGTGCGCCTCAACACCAACCCCGTCACGTGACCTTCATCGCCGTGGAGGTTCAACGAACCCGGCAGCCGTACCGGCAGCAGAGACAGCGCACCGCTACTTCCAGCCAACACCGCCGCTGCTGCTGCCGACTTGGCTGTCTGGCTGCTGCGTGTTGTCCGCTTCGACCGTCGCAGCCCTGCCTCCTCTGCCGTGGCCGCTTCCGTCGTCGTTTCCACAGTTTCCGCAGTTGTCGCAGCATCGGCACTTCCAACATCCACATTCTCACCAGCCGGCAGAAACTCTGGGTTGAAGATGCCTCCTGTATCCGCCTCCATCTTCTTGCGCCGTCTCTTCGGCCGCGGCGGCGACGCGTCTTCCAGCGACGGCGCACTCAGCAGGTCACGCAATCGATGTGTCTTTCCGGCCTTGGCCTCCTTGTCGCCGCTGCTGCTATTGCTGCTGCCGCCATCGAGGAGGCTCTTCCGCTTCTTCCGCGGACTTGGACTCGCGTTAAGGTCCTTCTTCGCAAATGGCATCCGGTTCTTCATCAGCGACGAAGACGGCGACGAAGACGCCTCGTCTGCCTTCTTCGATACCGGCGAACCCGACGACGATGCGGTCGACCCGATTGACCCCGACTTCCGCTTCGGCCGCAGGTGCGTCCTCTGCTTCAATATCGCTGCCGGCATTTCGGCTGTCCCTGGTGCTGCTATTGCGGCTCTTGCTGCGGCTGCTGCTGCTGCGGCTGCTTTCGCTGTCTTGTCGGCCTTCACTCGCGTCACAAACTTGCGCAGCATCTCTGTCTCCGAGTCGTCCTGAGCTGAGAGGCTGTCTTCGCTCAGGTCCTGCAGCTCAGTCGTCATCGTCGCTGTTGCGTCCTCGTAGCCTTCGTAGTCGTCTTCCTCTTCTTCCTCCTCTTCGTCTGCGTTAGCGATGCCGGAACAGCCCGCAGCTCTGCCTGCTGGCGAAAGACAGCCCGGTGAGCGCAGATGCGTGCTCACAAACGGCTCAGGTGTGTTGGGCACGTCGTCGTCGTTGCCGGCATCGTCGCTCTGCTGCTGCTGCTCGAGGACAGAGTCGTCCCCCTCAGTCTCCTCGGCATCCGAGTCGATCTCCATTGCCAGCGGCGGTATCGCAGAACCCCCAACGAACCGAGCTGTGCCATATTCCAACGTGTCGTCGGGCACCAACGGTGCCAACAGTGCCAAATTCTGACCAGTAGCATCACGAGACCCTGCAGCAGTCATGTTCGGCGATTGCGGCAGTTCCTCGTCATCAAATTGTCCGCTTCTGCTAGCGGTGTCAGGAGACGACATTAACTTCGGCCGAACATCGGAATCAGCAGCTGACGTTTCGGCCAGGTCAAAGTGCAGCGTCTCGTCCGTCACGACCTCATTCTCTGATGTCAGTCCGCTGTCGGGTGGAGAGGCTGCCCTGTTTGGCTCCGCGTTGCCAGCTGTCAGTGGATAGATGGGAGGATTAGCACCGAAAATGTCCAGATTTTCGCGCACGTCCACGACGACGGGTTCTTCGCGCATCACGCTGCTTTCCTCTTCCAGCACCATTAACAGGCCACTGCTAGCGCTTGCCGTCTCTTCCTGCAGCTGCAACGCTGCGTCCTCGTGCACAAGCCGGTCCGCCTCGCAATCGCTACTGCGCCGCCCTGCCCAACTCTCTGCGCCCGTTCCTGGATGGGCGCTGTGGCGGCGAGCCGACTTCTTGGACTTTGGCACCAGCAGCTCGGCACCCATGCTTCTGCGTGCATGTCTTGCTCTCCCGGCACTCAGTCTTTTCTCCACCGCGGCTTCCGTCCATTTCTCGCTGTGTCTGCCGCTGTGCAGAGATCTGCGCCGTCGTCTCTCATGCGCCGGCTCCGTGACTGTCTCGGGAACGGCCTGGTCGAAGATTATAAGCGGAGCGGGCGCGTCGTCTGGAGGCGCCACCGCATCGTGCTCCTTGAGGATGATCGATTCGCGGACTGTGCTGACCGGTGCCAACAGAGTGTCGCTCATCTTAAAAGGCTTTAGCGGCGACGATGCTGGGGCGTTGAGGGTAGATGCTTTCGCCGGGCGAAGAGGACTGTCCATGTCTATAGCCTCCATCTGGTCAAATCTTTGTCTGGCCGGCATGCTGTACCTGCGACTTGCCCGACGCTTCCGCCGCGTTGCGATGTGTGACATGTCCGTCTCGTCCACGTGAATCTCAATTTCCAGCTGAGGCTTTTCTTCGACAATCACGCTCTCAGGCAGAGGCTGAGGCTTGGACGTTTTTGTCGCAGCTTTCGCCCACATAGGCTGTAGTGGTTTACGGTTGCTGCTCCTCTTTCTCGGGACCACCTTGAGACTGTCCTCGGCAAAAGTTGCTGTCCGGCGTGTAGGTCGCAGATGGATGGTGTTCGTCGCGTCCGTGATGCCCACGGCTGTCGCAGTTGCCACGGCTTCTGTTGGCAATGGTGTCAGCATCTCCGTTCCTCGCGGTCTCCGGGCCAAGCGCTGCCACATACCTCTAGCTTCTGAAAGCACCATCTCTACATCTGCATACTGCACGTCCTGTGGGTGCCACTGCGCCTCCGCCCACACGGGCACGTGTCGAAGCTCACGTCTGCGCTTCCTCGGGCTGCGGCTGTCGGACTGCAGCTCACGCACTGCCGCCAAGTATCGGTCGTCGTCTTGTGAGGGCGCCATACCGCCGACCCGCTTCCATATTTTGCGCAGGCCAAGACTGCTGGTCGTCGCAGACACGGCCACGCGCTGCCACGCTCGGGGGTGTGGGAGTGGAGGTGCGGCAAAGTTGGCCGCTGTGATAGTGCTCGCGAGGTCTGCCTTGAATCCAGGCATGCTTTTGCAACTTAGTACAATCGCGTGCTTCGACATCCGATCGGGCTTTCATCGCCGTCTGCTGTGGCGGGTCTTGCTTCATACCTGGCACCTTGGTGGCAATCGTCACTACCCGACTGGACTCGCTTTGCTTCTCGCAAGCTCGCGCGACTCGCCATCGTGTCTCGTGATGGCGGCTTTGTTTAATACTGGTGTTGTAGATGCATACAAAAATGGTTCTTTTCAGTAGTCTTGTGGGCTAGCAGATGTCTGGGTGAAAGGATGTAGCGATTTGCATGTCTTAACTGTGTTGTTGGTGGAGAGGAGGGGGGTGGGAGAACGCGTCAAGCACGCTCTGATCTGCCGGGAAACTCTAATATTATGCAGAGCATTTCCCTGAATATGGGGTCAATTCTGCTTTGTTTACGCTGCACCGCCGACCAATCAGCAGCAGCCTGGCAGAGTTGCTCTTTAACTGCATGCCAGATGCGGCATAGCTCAATCGAGATGGCATATCATCACGTGACAGTCAAAGTTTGTCGCATGCCTTTCCTCATCTGCATCCCGTCTTGACCACTTTCTCAATCTTCCGGCCTGCCCGATCGAATCCATCTCATCGCGCCCGTCTACAGCAACAATGTCAGCCGGCAAGATGCACATGCGTCTCCCTCCCTTGCGCGTCTTGCGTGTGCGCGAGGTGAAGCGTGAAGAATCAAACCCCTGCATTACCGTAATGTCGTCCGTCCTCGGTATGATCACACCTACCCCCCTCCCCTTCACCCTGGTCATGGTCGCCTGGCAAGGGTTACCGCTGACACCCGGCGACAGCATGCTGGGCATCTTCCGGCTACAGTGCAGCCGGCTGCGCCACCGTCGAGCAAGCTCTGCGCGCATGCATGGACGGCCCCAAGCCAACTCCTCGGCCGCCCAACAACATTAACTTCCACCTGGCGCGCATGGCCAAGAAAGTTAACGGTCCGCGCAAGCAGAACGGCCTCAAGGACTAGATGGCTGAGGGCATCGTGGAGAAGGCCGCCCATGGCTCTCCTTCATCGTCCAGACGGCAGAAAACGGACGTGTGACGGACAAGGCTGAAGGCTGACGCATACGAGCAATACGATTCGTGCGCAACACGCGATTTCTACCTGCATTTTGCCGAATCGAAGAGGCCCACCACTTGGCAGGCCAGCCCAATGCAAACGTCAAGGTATTGTGGGCACTCCGTATGGATGTCATGTCCGTTGAGGACTGAAGGATACGCTGTTTCTGGCAAGCAACTGTTCATGGTAGTAAAACATACTAGCAAGCCCGAAAACAACGTTATGCAACCAGAATTATGAAAGCATGAACCTCACTCTCTGCAAATGCCCATTTACCGTATATGTTCCATCGTTGAAAAAGAAACATTTGAATTTGCTTATATACACCTAGCCTAGAATCAAACTGGAAGACTTCAAAATGTATAGCGAAAGGAACTATCAAAAAAGGAAGGGAATGAGCCTGACATGAGTCCGATGTGTAAAATACGTATAATATGCACCGTCAATAAATCGATCCCCTTGCGCCACCGGTAAGTAAAGCCTCATTATGATAAAATGCAAGCGCCTTCGATGGCGAGTGTGATATAGCACTGATTCGACCATCTCCTGCTCGCCTCTTGCCCCATCGAAAAGAACAAAGTGCAAAACGTCTCTCATACGCAGAAAAGCTCAATCTCGCTAACCCCTGCGTTGTACTGGTTCTTCAAGCCGTCGCACCATTCCATAAACGCTATCTGGATGTCGTCATCGCTGCCGATACTCACAAAGTCGCCGTCCTCGTCTTGGTACCGGAGCTTCAGCATGCCCTTACCAATGCTGCTGTCGGTGAACCGCGCCAGCTTCGCGTCTATGCGGTCGATCAGAGACTGGTACGTGATATTGAAAGCCACCACCAGTGTCATGTAGTTCGACGAGTCGTAGTTCACCTTCACCTTGAGCTGGGTGGGTGCCAACATGTCCGAGTCCATCATCCCGAGCGACATTCCTGTTCCCAGCGGTGGTGATGCAGGTGCCCAAACCGGCTCGTTCAGCGATAATGGGGTCGGCACATGCTGTGGGTTTGTCCCGTTCTGCTGCGACGCGCCGGACGGACCGGGAGTCGTCTGTCGTGGGTAGATGGGCTGCGTTGGGAATTGGGCCATCGTTGCCCCGTACGAGACTCCTGGCTGTGGCTGCAACCGATTTTGCTGTACGCTTGGGCTCTGTGTACTGGACCGCATCGGCAAATCGATTCGAGGGCTGCCAGTGTTCGATCTGGGGATCGTCGAATCGTGTCTCTCGTGCGTCGCATGGAGATGCTGCGGTATGCCGGGAACGGCCGGGATATTCCCTTGGCTGCCGCCAGGTGTCCGCCGAGCCTGCTGGCCGTTGATGTCTGGGGTGCTGTAGCTGCGGCTGCGTTGTAGCTGCGTCAGTGTCTGTGGCTCCTTTGGCATTGCAGGCATGGATGGCCCACGAGGATTCCGTCCGTTGACCATGCCGTACGCATTAGATGGAGACGGGCCGTCTCGAGAAGAGGCCCGTGGCATTGCTGGTGCCGTGTACCGGTTGACGTCGCCTTCCCATCCACCCGGCTGTGGGGTGCCCGATTTGGAAAACATGTAGCCTGCGCTGGGAGGAAACATGCCTGACGTGGTGCTTGTTCTGGACGACACCGGCGATTCTGCAACAGGCGAGAAGTAGGATTCTCCGCCGCGGAAGTTTGGCGACGAAGCTAGGGCCTGTTGAGATGTCATCTGTGTCTGCAAACTCAGTGGTGTCGGGGGAGCTGGTAGCGGGAATCGGGGAGGAGGCTGCCGCATCAAGCCGACAATCGACTGTGTGCCGTCAGAGGTTGCAGACCGCGCCCGGAGAATCGATGTGTTAAACTGTGGGGGGATGAGTTGCTGCGCCAAGTCCTCCTCCTCTTCCTCTTCCTCCTCCTCCTGCGCGTACGGGTTCTGGAGCGCATTGACGCCGCCATCCTGTGTCTTCATCCACGCGAAGTCGGGCGGCGCTGCCTGCTCGGGACTCTGGTCTGGCCGAGGAGCATTCACCTTCCGTTGAGCGTCCAACCTAGCTGCCCACTTTTTCATCGGCTCCTCCGTTTGGAACTTGACGACAAAGTTCTCGACACCTGGATCGCCCTTCCACCAGATCTGCACAGTGTACGAGCCTGTATGCTTGTCAGTGTCCTGCAACACGCAAACCTCGTGTCCTGGCGCTGCCGTGAGAACCTACCAGGTTTGGAAAGTGACACAATCTCCGTCACGTTGCTCATGAAGATGCGTCCCTTAAGCTGCAACTTCGCGCTCTTGTTCCTGAGCTTCGGACCGGTCGATTTGGTCCGGTCTCTCTTCTCCTTGCTCTTGTTTGGCGCGATTTCTTTGCAGCACAGGAGGATGTTCTCAAACAGGTAGATTTCGTAGTCCTTCTCCTGGTCACTCTTTCCAGTCACAACCGTATGGACGCCGTGCAGCAGAAGCTTTCCAAAGTGCTCGACCCGGTGGCTCTTCCAGTCGTCCACACGGTCCATAAGATCATCCAGCGCTTCGTCCAGTAAATCACGATCGACCGCCTTGTTGGCATTATGTAAGACCCTTTCGGCAGCAGCAATGCCCGCTTCTAGGTCGGCCCTCTCCTCATCATCCTCGCTCTTCTTCAGAAGATCCTTCAGCAGCAGAGGGTATTTTACCAATCTCTGCATGGGCTTCAGAAGGAAGCCGTCTAGTGTGTTAAAATCCACGGCAACAGGATGCTCTGCCGACTGTATTTTTTCAAAGAGGGACTGTGCAATTTGCGCAGCCTTCCGTTGGTTGGCAATAAATGGCTGGTAAATAACAAAAGCTTCTTCCGTTATTACAAACGTCTGACCCCATCGCTGTTGCAGCTGTGGCACTGAATTCGTCGTCTCGACTCGAATAAGGAAGCGCCGCTGGAAATCGAGGATGGCGTTGATGTTCAGGAAAATCTGGTGGACAATGTCGCCATTAATGATGCCTCTTTGTTCGAGCGTCTTTTTCAAGTCATGCAAGTTTTCTAGGTCCTGAACATATTTGCGCTCTGTGTCGACCAGCTCCCGAACAACGTAATCGCGGTAACTGAGCTTGCCACCCGGCTCTACCGCGCCCTCATCCTCGGGATACGGCTGTACTTGAAGAAGGAGGCCGCGCTCTTTTGCCAAATCCAGCACATGGTTTACCACGGTAGTAACCTATTGCATGTCAGACAGAGGACAAAACGTGCGGCGCAAGTGCAAGAAAATCTTCAACGCACCTTTACAAACCCGGTCGTGTCGGTTCTGGTCACATCGCCTACAACAAAGCATTCGGACGGGGGGATGTGCAGATCGCTCATGCAAGCCTTGATAAACTTGAAGATGGCAATCTTGGACTTCTTCTTGTCGTCGCCCTTCTCGTCGTCCACAGTCAAGGGCTGCTCTGGCTGCAATGCGTTGTATATGGCAAGCAGAGCATAGCCGCTTCGGAACATCTGCCATAATGCCTCCACGGGATCGCCACCGGCCTCGCCGGTTTCTAGCTGCTCAAGCTGTTGCATATGATCTTCGAAGCTGGGTACTTGGGCGAGCCGCTGTTTCAGAGCCACGCATATCTGGTATAACGACCTGGACGCGTCGGCTTTTTGATTGATAATGTTACTGGTAGCAACAACCTGGCCGCTGATAGGCGGGGTTACTGTTGCGGTGCTTGCTAGAGACGATAGTGACGCGGTTGAGGCGAAGGCGGTCATCGTGGTCGTCTGGCTCTGGCGGGGAGGGGCAGCCATGCTCATAGCGTTCGGGTTCCGCGACCCACTAACGGCAGGTGTGCCGGATGCAAAGAGAGGCGCAGTGCTTGTTCTCAGTAGAGGCGCGTGTGCCATATTCCCGTTTGGCCGTCAGATGATGGCCGTCGGGAAAGGTTCGCCGGTGTTGTGTGGCTGCTGAAGAGCCAAGCCGGCCAAGTGCGGAAGAAGAGAACGATTGGGGCTTGCCGCAGATCCGGGAGCAGGGTAGAAGCAATGGGCGGGAGAGCGTTCTCGTCAGGAAGTCGCCAGCGGAGACCCGGGGTGAACAGGCTGCTTTTGGGGCAGTCGAAGTCCGGTGTCGTCACGCTATCAGAATGTCGAAGTCGGGCGACGCCCGTTTCAGGATCCTAACGCTGCTGGGGGTTCGATAATTGCAAATTGCCGAAAAGACTCAAAGAGTCAAGGGTGTCCGAGGGGGGAAGTGCGGCGTTTAAACCGCTCCTAAGTCGAAGAAGAGAGGGCAGAAAGTCGCATCACATTCGTTGCAGATAAGCGCTGGCGAGGAAACGTATCTGAAGTCAGGTGGGCGGTGTCGGCGGTGTCACGTCAGCCAGCAAACCGGGCGCTGGACGAATGAGGCTGAGAGGCGAAGTCGAAGCGAGAGCAGGCAGACGGCCGAAGCTGAAAGATGCAGATGTGTGGTCGGACTTTTGGCTGTCGTGACGCCCGTCTTATTTGGGTCAGTTCAAGAAGCAGGTGTGAAATGGGCAGGTGTGACAGTTAATTGGGGGAAAGAGGGGACAGTTGGTAGGGAATTATCTGGACTGATCAAGAGAGCGGAATGCATTTGGGAGGGGGGCACTCGATTGCTACTGGCTGGCGCCTCGATGCAAGTTCCCTATTATGTGACAAGGGAAAAGGGGAGCACACCAGAGACCAGGAAAGGGTGAAATGCGGGTCCAAACACCAGTTGAAGGAACAACCCCCCTCCAAACGCCCGGGCATGTTTTTTTATCGCAATAGCACACGGTGCTCAGGACACCGTGTACAACGCTTGCGGTGCTTTGCGCCATTGCGGTCGGCACGCGCTTGTGCTACAGCCCCTATAATGCACTGTATGTCAGGCTGCTTGGGCACCGAACTGGCTAGTGTGTACCGTTTCAAATTGCGAACGCCGGCACTAGGCCTTGCAGGGACTAACATTGTCGCCAGGGAATATTCCATCCGCTATCGCGCTGTACCCAAATGGATGAGCAGCCAATTTCCCACGAGGTATCCTGGACCACTGCGAAACAAAAGAAGCCTTCTTTTCTTGATGAAGAAAAGCGTCGTGTTGGAAGCACGATGTAACTGCGGAGCTCTGTGTGTAATAACGATGCACCTTTCCAGCCCGCCAAGCACTCTGGGAGTGCCTGCTCGGTATACTTGAGATACGACTATATGGCGCTTGGCCCATCGCCGACGGTGTGCCTTGTTAGTACACTGTTTGATTTTCCTCCGCCCGCAGCAGGGTCGTCGCGTATAGCGGCCACCGATATCGTAACCTTTAAAGAGCGTGGAGCAAAAGGCAACCTGCTGAAACTGGGCATTTATGCAAACTCGGCCCGCTGTATCACAGTTCAAACTTTCCAACAAAGTGCATGAAGCCAAAATGTCGTCACGTGAATGTATCTGGAGGTTTCCGGCGGCCGTCAGGAACAAAGAAGCAAAGTCCATACTACGAGCATTACTACGCGTAGCTTTGTTTGCAGCCCGTTGGCTGTTGGTTTGCCGCGACTACAACGTAACTGAGGCCGTCAGGTTCGTGCCTTATAGATAAGGCACTCCGCCGGTCGAGGATTGGAAGGGACGATGGGGAGACAGCAGCAGAAGGAAATGAGTAATTTGTAGCCATAGAATAGTACGAGCACTGGGAAATTAAGGAAGACAGCTCTGCAGCCCGAGCTTGGAAATGACACCCAAGATAAGATATCTTCCTATGTATATTGTGAAGAAGAGTTGACGAGAAAGAGCATCCGCGACAGAACAGGCACACGAGGCAACGGCTTTCCTGGTTTGCCCCCACAGATAATAGTAGAAGCTAGACTTTTGGCGTCACATCTATTCTCCTTTCCGGCAGCCTTCCTTATTAATCCATTTCCTCGATCTCTGCTGTTTTTTTCTTAGCCATCTGACTTTTGCGCTCCACGACACCCTGCATCAAAGCACTATACGCCTTTGGATACACGTTGCCGTGCTGTGTCTTTACAGAGACAACGGGGGCTCGGTTGCACCGCAGGACTAATCAAAGCGGTGGGCAACCCACGAAAACAAACACAAGGCAACCTTCCGAGCTCATTTCCATCTTACCAGACCAACCACCGACGACACAAACAACACACCCGTAACCGCCGCTTTTTGTCTGATCATCCGCGTCACCCGGTTCTTCCTGCCATTTCCCTGCTCTGACTACTGCTCACCTCGAGCTCTCTGTCCTGGCATGGATTCCTATCAGCCTCAACAGCCTGACGAGGGCTACTCGGAGGACCCGCTCACGGGGCCCGCCTCGTTGTCAATCTCGGCCAAGTCCGTCAGTCTCGCCGAAGGAATAGCGCTTCTTCAAGCTCACTTCGGCAGCGAGTTGTCTCCGCTGCTCGCGCAGCACATCTCGTCACTGTCGCTGCCTTCTAAAATACGTGAGCTGTCTGACCCCATCGCTGACAGGCTCTAGTCGCATGCAGCTACTAACGTCACTGTGCGCTTCCACAGAGCTCACAGAGTCTCTATTGGAAGGTCTGCCGACATGCGTTGTCGCAGAACTTGTCCAGAAATTGAACCCTCGTCTTTACATCGACTTTATTCGATTTCTTCCGGCCGAGATCTGCCTGAAGATCCTCGAATACCTCGATCCCTTGTCTCTGATATCGGCGGCCAAGTCGTGCCGCGCGTGGTATAGCCTTGCCCTTGATCGCAAACTTTGGGAACGTTTGTACTATCTGGAGGGATGGAAGATTGCAGCTTTGGAACTACAGGCATGGGAGGAGAACATCAACAGAGACAGGCCCATTCCGTCTGCTGGGGGGCATGCGCTTAAGAAGCGGGCCATCTCGGCTTCCCGACGGGCGGACAACGACCTGGACCATGTCATGGTAGATGCTGATCGGCCGGTGAGGGCAGATGGCGCCGATCTTGCCGAACAAGACCGGTTGGATATATTTGGCAACCCGGTGCGAGAAGCGATATCAAAGGGCAAGGGCAAAGAGCGCGCCGTTCCCTCTTTTTCCTCACCCTACCTCACACCTTCTACCATGGACGCTTGGGAGGCAGTTTCCACTCCGGATCGCTTGCCCAAGTCGTCGCTTTGGTTGTGGGACTCGTCGGCCGACCGATACCGAGTCAACTGGAGGTGTCTCTACTCCTTGCGGCGGAGACTGGAGGAGAATTGGGATCAGGGGAAGTTTGTCAACTTCCAATTTCCTCACCCGGACCACCCCGAAGATGCGCACAACGAGGGGATCTACATCATTCAGTTCACATCGGACTATCTGGTGAGCGGAAGCCGAGACTGCACGATCAGGATCTGGAACATGCAAACTCGCCGCCTAGTTCGTGCGCCTCTGACCGGGCACCGCGGCTCTGTGCTCTGTCTGCAGTTTGACGCCGACCCGGAAGAGGATATGATTATTTCCGGTAGCAGTGACACGGACGTAATCCTGTGGCGCTTCTCTACCGGCAAGATACTCCAGCGGCTCAACCATGCACACCAGGAGCCGGTCCTCAACGTCAAGTTTGACAAGCGCATTCTGGTGACATGCTCCAAGGACAGGACGATCAAGATTTTCAACCGCAGGGAGCTTCGGCCGGGCGACCTGGGCTACGGAAACACGCCCCCAGTCCACCCTGTTCCCATCCATCTCAAAGACTACGGCAATGACGGTCTTGACCAGCTCCCGATCATTCCTCCCTACAGTCTTATCGGCAGCCTTGAGGGCCACAGCGCTGCCGTCAACGCGGTGCAGATACACGACCGTGAAGTGGTCTCTGCTTCGGGCGACCGCAATGTGAAGATCTGGGACTGGCCGAACCAGACATGCACCCGTACTTTCCTCGGTCATAACAAGGGCATCGCCTGCGTGCAGTATGACGGCAGGAGAATTGTGTCTGGCAGCAGCGACAACGTGATCAAGGTTTTTGACAGCCATTCGGGTGTCGAGGTGGCCAGCCTTCGGTCGCACTCCCATCTGGTCAGGACCGTGCAGGCGGGCTTTGGCGACCTGCCTTACAGCGTCACCGAAGACGCACAGGCAGCGGCCAAGGTTGACGAGCAGTATTACAAGGCCGTGCAGGACGGCACCCTGACGACGAACGCATACCGGCGCCGACACAGAAACAACGATGGCAGTGGAGACCCGCGTCCGGAGAATCTGCTGTTCGCCGGTGCAAAGCTGCCGCCGGGGGGAGGAGGTGGGAAATACGGCCGGATTGTGTCCGGCTCCTACGACACGACCGTCATCATTTGGCGTCGCGACAAAGAAGGCATGTGGAGGGCCCAGCACCATTTCAAGCAGGAAGAAGCGGCTGTGGCGGCAGCAGCTGCTGCTGCTGCTGTACGCGCAGCCAGACAGCGTGCAAGTGAAGCTGCGACAATCCAAAACCTTCGGCCAGTCCAGGCGGCTTCTGTGGCAATGGCCGAAGCCGGTTCTTCGACGGCCGTCCCGACAGCGGCGCCATCTGAAGCGCAGGGAAGCACGGCTGAGGGACTAGCATCAGCAGCACCTCAGATCCAGCAAGAGACCATAGACGGGCTTATCGCGCAGGGCGCACCGGCACTCCAGCACGCGTTGGTGACGACACCGGCTCTGCTTGCGTACCACAACCTCCTGCACGCATCGATTGATCGGCAGCCAAGCCCGTTTGTGCGCTCGCAGCTGCGTCAGGCCGTCAGCACCGCCATTGTGCGGGCGCAATATGCACAACACAACCGGCCGGGCCGTCGTCGGGCAGCCTCTGATGCCCCTGGAACCGTGGCCACCGGAACTATCGCAGGACCGTCTGGAACAGCAGCCCACTTCACGCCGGGAATCGCTTCGAGTGTCGGTGGTCCTGTTCTGCCGTCGCCTTTCGATGCAGCTCCGACTGCAGTGGCACCGGCAGCGTTGGCCATGGCTGTGGCTGAGAATGTGCCTCTTCCAACGGTCCAGAGCGCGGTCGAGACAGCTGTCGGTCAGGGCGCTCCTCATCTGACAGCAGAGGCCGCAGCAGCAGCAGCAGCAGTACCAGTCGGCGGTCCCTTTGGCGCAGGAGCAGAGGCGCTGGCAGCAGCCAGACCACATCACCCTCACATACCGCACGTAGATGCGTCCAATTCGCCGCGGGTGTACAAGCTGCAATTTGACGCACGCCGCATCATCTGCTGCTGTCAGACGTCTGTGATTGTGGGCTGGGACTTTTGCAACGGAGACGCCGAGCTCGAAGAGGCGGCGCGGTTCTTTGGCACGGTGGACTAAGCCACTGTGTGATGTAGTTAGGAAAGGTAGCTGTGCATCTGTGCTACTATATACGGCTAGTACTTGGCTGAGAGAGCATTACATGGCTTAGGACACGATGATAACGAACGAGTGAATCTAAGAGCAGCATTATAGAGTCTCGTGGTCTGTGTTGTGTGTTGCTGTAGACAGTAGAGGACCTTCTCTGCCGGTTCCTGCAGCCTAGCCGGCAGCTTCCTTGACCTTGCCTTCTGTCTGTGGCGGTTCGTCGATGAAGTCGGGGACCTCGTCCTGCATAAAGCTGGGGACGCCGACGGCACCGGGGCCGAGGCCGAGGGCGCCGTCGAGCTCTGCGTCCTGACCGAGGGCCTCGAGCTCGGCGTCGAGCTCGGCCTCATCGACGTCCTCGGGGATATCGTAGCTGCGGGAGAGCGACTCCTGGATCTCGTTGCTGACGTCGAGCAGGTCGGCCATCTCGTCTTGGAGGCGCTCGATCTTGTCGAGGTCGACCTTGCCGTACTGGCGACGCAGCTCCTTGTTGGTCGTCTTGAGTGCGTCGACAGTCGTCATCACGTTCTTGAGGTTGTCCTGCATCGTCTGGGCCTGTTCCATGTTCCAGACCTGTGACTCGAGCTGGTCGCGCTGGGCCTCGTACTGCTTTCGCCGCTGCAGCACCTTGAGCGCCTTCTGCTTGAGGGCCGTCTTGCCGGGCCCGTCGCGCATGCGCGCCAGCTTGGCTTGGTACGTGCCCAGCTCCGCGTTGATGGTCGCGAGCTTGGCGTCGAGCGACTCGATCCGCCCGTTGACGCTGGTCACGGCTGAGCCGAGCGTCGGCTTGGGCGCGGCATTCTTGCCGCCGGAGCCAAAGAGGCGGTTCATCGAAGCGGGCGCAGCGGGGGTCAATGAAAACAAGAAAGTTCTGGTGGTCCAGTGATCCGGTGATCGGGTGTTGGTGTGCTGTCCCTCTTGTCTTCTCGGCCGATGCAAAGTCGAATTGTCGGTAGCAGTTGTGGAGGCAGCCACGATGGACGATCACAGGCACCTGTTTGCCCCGCTTCGTCATCAGCGCCACCAGCAAGGCTGGGGCTAGCGCCACATGTAAGGCTGTGGCAGGCAGCTGGATACCTGTTTGCACTGTAGTCTCGCGACTTTGTCGTGATGTAGTTTCTGTTCATTCGGCAAATTGTTTACGTAGAAGCGATTTGATGGGGGGGTCTAAAGTCTATTACTGTGGTAGATGTATGATTTGTACAACTATTGATTCAAATTGGAAATACCAAGCTTATTTGAAGATAATTACTGTTGATATTTGTCTGATATCGAAGCTATGATTACATGAACATACGTAAGAGTCATTAAATACATAACCTTCAGACAAAGTATTACTTTAGACTTCTCCTTTGTTACGGCAAGGCTTTCTGAGGCCAAACAAGTCTTTTCCAACCGATGTACACCACGGCTTCTATGGGCTGCTTGAATCTGATTATGACTAACCCACAAATGCATGGCTAATGCAAGGTACGAGCATACAACGGCAATAACCAGCTCTTATATACTGGAACGTCCAGTCTGCGTCAGTGTTGAGACCAGCCGATTTCAGTGACAGGAAATCTACCAACACTTCCCACCAAAATATTGCGAAATCCCAACAAATAGCGGACGGAACTGACGGTCGAGTATTACGAATTGGAGTTGGAAGGAGCCGTGCCGTGTCTAACTATACTTGCTCCTTCTGAAGAGAGCCAACAAACCAAGGCATCTCGACAGAGCTTGCCAGAAGCTCGACCAAGTCAGGAACGTGCTTCACTGTATCGTACACATAGAACATGTATGGAAATTAGCTCTGCCATCTCATAGAATTGAGTGCAGCTCCAGAAGCAGAACATATAAGGAGATGGCTCCGTGTCTCGACGTCGCACACCGGTAGCACCTCATCTGCTGTGGGGGGGGAAGAGCGGTCGAGCTGCCATCCACCCCGCACTAGGCTGAAAATAGCATAGACATCGAGACGATGTCCCAACAACAGAGACCACTGAAATTGGACTAGAATTAATTTCACGACAGAGAAGACTAACGGGAACTGTTTTTGAGGCAGCTTTCCCCTAATCCCAGCTCTACGACCAGTGGTCCATCTCGTCGTCGCCGTCTTGCAGCACGTCCACCGAACCGACGCCGAAGCGGTCATCCAATCGCCAATCGCCATGGCGGACACAAAAGTATACCGCGCGAGCACGACTGCTCCGGTCAACATTGCCGTTGTCAAGTATGTGTGCCCTGTTGGGTCCAAGGCCGGCTCCTGCTGACGTGCTTGTCTGTCGACAGATACTGGGGCAAGCGGGATGCCAAGCTCAACCTGCCGACCAACTCGTCGCTGTCGGTGACGCTCTCACAGTCGGACCTGCGCACGCTCACGACAGCATCGACGTCGAGCCTGTTTGCCGGCCAGGACGGCGACACGCTGCTGCTCAACGGCGAGCAGTCGGACGTGTCCGGGGCGCGCACGCAGGCATGTTTCCGTGCGCTGCGGTCGCGCCGTGCAGCCCTCGAGGCAGCCGATCCATCGCTGCCGAAGCTTTCGACATATCCACTGCGCGTAGTGAGCGAAAACAACTTCCCTACGGCAGCCGGGCTGGCATCATCGGCAGCCGGGTTTGCGGCGCTGGTGCGGGCCATTGCGGACCTCTACGAGCTCCCGGACACGCCGTCGCAGCTCAGCCTGATTGCGCGCCAGGGCTCCGGCTCGGCTTGTCGCAGCGTCTTTGGCGGCTACGTGGCCTGGCGCATGGGCGAGGCGGTCGACGGCAGCGACTCGCTGGCCGAACAGGTGGCACCGGCCTCGGCCTGGCCGGATATGCGTGCCCTCATCCTGGTCGTATCGGCGGCCAAGAAGGGCGTCTCGTCGTCGTCGGGCATGCAGCAGACCGTCGCCACGTCCGGCCTGTTCAAGCAGCGCGTCGCCGAGGTCGTGTCCGGTCACATGGCCAAGATGGAACAGGCCATTGCTGACCGCGATTTTGCTGCCTTTGCCGAAGTCACCATGCGCGACTCCAACTCGTTCCACGCCACCTGCGCCGACACGTACCCGCCCATCTTCTACATGAACGACGTCTCGCGCGCGGCCGTGCGCGCGGTCGAGGCCATCAACGCCAAGGCCGGCCGCGTCGTGGCTGCCTACACCTTTGACGCTGGCCCGAACGCTGTCGTCTACTACCTCGAGCAGGATGCCGACGTCGTGCTGGCCACGTTTGCCGGCATCCTCGGCGCCGTCGACGGCTGGAAGAACGGGCTGCCCAGCACGGCTCAGGCCACCGAGCTCGATGCCACCGTGGCCAGCACCCTGAAGACGGGCGTCAGCAGGGTCATCTCGACCGGCGTTGGCGAGGGCCCGATGAAGACGGACCAGTACCTCGTCGGCGAAGACGGGCAGCCGGTGAAGCTCTAAGGACAGGCGTGGCTCACTCGACTGTGTTCTTTGTGCTGTTCTATATTTTCTCGATAAAGAGGCCTTGCGTGCGAATTGTCCACACCACGTGTGCATAGCGTTTCACGTCTGCTATAAGATATCTCCAATGCAATTGTGTCGACCGACGAATATCATTAGTCAGACGTGCGCTAGCCTCTAATGTAAGGCGGTGTAGCTTTAGCACATACAGTGCGGATACGCAATGCCGACAGTACGAGTAGTTATGTACTCAGCTTTTGAGCTTGAGGATCGATGTTGCAAGGAAGAACCAGCCTGACCACATGTTTCTGTGTCCTGTCAGATTGCACACGGCAGCTGTCCTCCAACAGTACCCTGCCTGGTCGCTAATAGCAGGTGTTCAGAGGGGTCCTGACCCCCACGCAATCGGCTTCTCCGCGACGCGTCTTTGCGACGCAGCACGATCGAGAAGCACGCACGGCATCCCGCGACCGAGAGAGGCGACGATGGTCCAGCAGACCAAGAAGGCGGCAGCCTCGACGGGGTCGTCGTCCAAGCGGCCGGTCGATGAGCACGACCCGTCCATCTCGCCACCGCCGACAAAGCGCAAGATCCAGAGCAGAACGTCTAGTGAGGCCAGCTACCCCCACGTGATCTTGTAGAGCTTGCGCTCTGGCTGACCAGCTTTTGGCCGGCGCAGAAAGTGCCGTAGCCAGCTTCTTCACGCCGGCGTCGCAGAAGCCCAAAGACCGCGTCGTGTGGGCCGAGCGGGCGCCTCGCCGCGGTGCCGCCACAACGCTCCTCGTTGCTCGCTACGAGCCTGTTGCCAAGACTGGTAGCGAGTCGACGTCGGTCCCGACAAAGACGAAGATTGCCGCGTTTGATCTGGTATAGCCGTCGGCCGGCCCCCCGCAGCGACGGCACATGCTCACACAACACCGCAGGACGACACGCTCATCACGACGGCCTCGGGCAAGAAGCACGGCGGCGACGCAGCCGACTGGAAGTGGTGGCACAGCTCCATTCCCGAGCGCCTGAGAGCACTGCACCAAGAGGGGTATGGTCCGGTGTAGCTTCCTCTCTTTGTTTTCCCAGTCCACAAGCTCACCATCCACAGCTACCGGCTCGCCATCTTCTCCAACCAGGGCGGCATCGTGCTGCACCCCGACGAGGCCGCCGCCAAGAAGACGGGCAAGAACAACGCGGCCACGGCGCGGGCTCGGCTGGCTGACTTTCGCCAAAAGTGCGGCGCCGTGCTCGCCCAGCTGGACCTGCCCGTGCTGCTGTACGCCGCCACCGGCAAGGACCACTTCCGCAAGCCGCGAGCCGGCATGTGGCGCGAGATGACAGACGACCTGGGGGGTTCTGGGAAGGGCCATGCTGGTGACAGCGACAGCAACAGCGTCTCCTTCATTACCATCGATCTCGACGCTAGCTTCTATGTCGGCGATGCAGCTGGTCGTCCGGCCGTTGCCAAAGATGCCAGCCCAAACGGTCGGGCCATTGCCAAGGACTTCAGTTGCAGCGACCGCAATTTTGCCAGCAACGTCAGCATCGCTTTCCACACGCCCGACGAGTACTTCAACGGCGAGGCCCCGCGCCCGTTTGCCCGCTCCTTTGACCCCAAGGCACACCCGTTTGCCGCTGACGGCACCGCTGGCACCAACGGCTTCGCCCAAGCCGCTGCCCGAGAGCTCCTCGTCTTCTGCGGTCCACCTGCCGCCGGCAAGAGCTCCTTCTTTCGCGACTGTCTGGATCCTTTGGGCTACCAGCGCGTCAACCAGGATACGCTCAAGACGTGAGTCGAGGCAGCCTACCGAGTTGCTACCAGATCCTCTGTCATGCACTCCGGACGTTTGTGCTGACTAAGCATCACAGAAAGGAAAAGTGCCTCAAGGCAGCCACCTCTTTGCTCCAGGACGGCTCTTCTGTCGCTATAGGTATTCTTTCTCTTCTTTTCCTTCTGACCACCAGTCCTCCCCCCTGCTGACACTCTAGACAACACCAACGCCGACCCGGCCACACGTGCGATCTGGGTCGCCCTCGCGGCCAAGCACAATGTCCCTGTCCGCTGCCTTTGGTTCCGCACCGACATGGCTATATGCGAGCACAATGACGCTGTCAGGGCACTGAACGACACTGTGAGTCGCCCGTGTCCCTGCGGCCTCGGCAAGACGCTCTGCTGACACTCCCAGATGAACCCCGAACGCCGCGAGGCCCTGCCGCGCATCGCCTTCAACGGCTTCTCTGCCCGCTTCCGGGAGCCAAGCACTACCGAAGGCTTCGCCGAGATCGTCGAGCTGCCCTTCAGCTTCCGCGGCTCTGCCGATCAGTACACCGTCTGGGGACGCTACTGGACATGAGCAGACCGATGGATCTTGGCCAAAGAGCCCCTCTTCGAAGACAGCTCTACGAAATACGGAATACATTCGCAAACACCAAACACAGAACGTCATGATAGCTTGATTAGTTTTGTTTATTCCTCTTCTATATATTTCATTAATTTTAGGTTATAAGTCTTTCCTCTGCGGCTTCGTGCAGAATAATCCATGGCTGTCAGGGGGTATCATTGACAAGACGCGAATAGCAAAAGGCAAGCAAATGAGCGTCATCAACAAATGCTGCAATCGATATCATCAGGCTGTCATAAAGAGTGTCGTCGGCCATGGCCGGTCGTCGTAAAAGAGTGTCGTTAAAAGAATGTCGTTTGGGCGTCGGAAAAGGAGTGTTGGTGCAAAAGCCAGCAAGTGTCCAGGTGATTGTGGCATCAACGCTCGTATATCTGGTTCTGGGCGTCCAGTCTCGAACACATAGTCAGTGTGCCCGCACTTGTCGTCTCATCGAATCGAGTCCCGCCCCTGGGTCTCGTCTTCACTTCCGCAGCCCGACCTTTCCAGCTAGGTTGCGCCAGAACTGTCTCGACCCATGTCGATCCTCCGAGAAGCAGTTCACTGCCGCTGCCCGTTCCATCGGGCCCACGATGTCCTCGTCTCCGAGGTTCGGGAACTTGCCCTCCGCATCCAGAATCCGCGGCACCACCGATGACACGTTGTCCGGCAGCGGCAGCACCGACACGTCCGAGCCGAGTCCTGCGCATTCGGCAACCAGGCTTTCATGCACTGCTCGCCAGGCTCGCTCTGTCTCGGCCCACTTCTCCTCCGTCAGCAAGTACGTGTTGGACGTCGTCCCGTAGTGCTCGCCAACCCGCATCAGGTGCTTCGTGTAGTTCACACGTGCCAGGCTCCAGTCCGCCCGGACCGCCAGCAGCACCTCTACCTGCTCGCCACCTCCGTCGGCCGGTACGGTCGCGGCAGAATCGTGTAGTTGGCGTGGCCCAGCCGGTCTGACCACTCGTCATGCGACTCGAGCGGGGTTGGGGCCGTGACCGACTGCGGAGACATTGGTGTTGGTGCCAACAGGCTGCCGTTGGACGACGTGCCCGAGATGCTGAGGTGCGGCACGTGCGGTGGCCGGAAGGATGAGACCGACTGCTTCGTGCTCAGCGGTGGCGATGGGAGCACCTCCGCGGGAGATCTCGTCGCAGTCGTCGTGTTGATTCGGCTCAGCATCGCGGGCTGGCCAGGAAAGAAGATCGTGTCCGAGAACACAGGCGACGTCGTCGTCGACGCCACCCGAGTGATCGCGTCAGGGAACATTCCACCGGTGGGGGATGCAATAATTGGGGATGTCTGCAGCGAGGGAGGTTGCGAGTGCATGGATGTCGCTGCCGGCGAAGGCGGCAGGCGGTCCAGAAACAGCGGTGGGAGCAGCGGCGTCGTCGCCTTGGCCCGGTCGCGTTCCATGCTGCGCCACACCTCTTCTTCCTGCACGTCCAAAATGTCGATCGTCAGGCCGACTCCGGACGAGACTGTCGCCCCGTTCGTCGCGGCCGCAGAGGGGAGGCTGTCGGTGCTGCCGTAGTAAGACACAGATGTGCTCCGGGTAAGCTCTCCTAGAGAGAAAGGCTGCCGAGAAACGGACCGGGAAACCGAAAGAGAGGACCGGCTGGAAGGTGTCCGGGAGGGTGCGCGAGATAGAGACGGTAGCAGGGCCGGTTCAGAGGCTGGTGCTCCAATGAGATTGGCATATGTGTTGCTGCCCGACCGAGGGCTGCCGGAGCTGCCACTACGCCATCGCGAGAGGGCGTGAATGCGGGAGCCGACACGCAGTGTCAGGTTCGTGAACGGCGAGCCCATCCGATCGGTTTCGGAGCCCATGCCGAACGAGCTGCCGGATACGCTGCCGTTGCGGCTGCCGTTTCGGCGGGTTCCATAGCGCTTCCGTCGCGTGTCTGAGCGCATGGTGGTCCGGGCATTGTCGCCGTCGCTGGCAAAGCCAAAGTCAGAGCCGGCCTCATCTTCGCGGCCGTGGAAGCAAGGTTCGTCGCCTGTTTTTTGGAGAATTAGCTGCCGTCGATATGGGGTTGGGTAGGTAGGCAATAGTTCTTACATAAACAATCGTATAGGTTGGGCTCGTCCTCGGGAAAAGCGAGACTGTCTGCATCATCGTCCTCGTACAGGCTGCACTCGTCATCCCTCCCAAGCGGGTCCTCCTCCTGTACATCTGGCAGCAGTCGCTTGGGGGCGGTGTTGGTGGAGTGCGCAGTTGGTGCCGGAGATACGCTGTTGGTAATGGGACCCAGACATATCGGGAGCAACGCACAGTCAGGAACGATTGGAGCTGGTGCGGCGAGATCGAATGACGAGGAAGAGCTGGAGGACCGCAGGTGGCCAAGAGCGCTGCGGTGGGAGAATGCGGGAGTAGCAGGCGAGTAGAGGTCAGAGGATGACGTATTGTCGGTCAGGAAGACAAACGAGCCATCTACTGCCTCGGGAGGCGTCTGGACATCATCAAGCTTGCGTCGCTCCACCAGCCGTGGCAGAAGGAGCGGCTTCAATCCGAGAGACATGCCTGATCGCAGTATTGATCGTCGGTCTTGACGGTGAGACTAGGCGGTCGATGAAGAGAGTGGGAACAGCGTGATGTATCGTGGGGTGTCGATATGTGATAGAATTGGGCGACGCGTATTGTTGCTGCTGGTCGTCGTCATGGGCTGCGAGTCGGTGTTTCTTTCTTTATACTTCTGTGGCTTGTTGTGTCGTAATCGTGCAAACAATCTTCTGCTGGGGTTGGGGGGGGGGGGGGGAGCTTTCTGTCTCTCAGGTCACTAGTGGAGGTGTCTCGTTGGGTACCACGAAGATGGGCGGTCGTTTAAGTTGGCGGCGTGGGAGGGTGGGAAGGTTCACGGAGCTCACGCGCCAGCAGTCGCCGAGAAGGAAGATGGACAAAGCGAGCAGAGAATCGACTGGCAGGTGCAGGGTCGTTGAAATCGCTTGGTGCGTAGTGGTTTGGTCGGTCAAATGGTCGGGCCAGAAAAGAGATAGTAATTGGTGGGAGTAGGTAGCTACGTGTAAGGCAGTCCTGGCAATCGGCCGTCGTCGTCCTCGGCTGTACAGAGCAAACCGGGCGTCCTTCCGTTTGACGGCCAGTCGTGTGGCCAGTCGTGTGGCCAGTCGTGTGGCTGCTGAGTTGTCCGAAATGCCACCCCAGTTTGCCTAAGCGATGCCGGTTGGCTGGCTTTCGACAGTCGCTCCAAATTCCTTCGTCCGAACCCACTGAAAGCACGACAAGTTGACTGGCGCGCTGGACTAAGCAAGGCGAGAGCCCGGGGACCGGTGAGCACGAGTAGTAGCAGCAGGTTTTGGCAAGGAACAAGGATGCGGATGAGGACGCGGGAGAGGGCGCGGATGGGATGTGGACAGGATGAAGGACGTTATTGGTGCAGGAATGAGCTGCCAAGCAATGTGCGGCACGCAGGTGGCACCGAGCAAAAACGACAAGAGAGGAAGGAGCAGAGGAGATAAAATATCAAAACCAAAGGGAAGGAGGAATGGAAAATTAAACTCCAAACGAACAATAACAAGAAAGGCAATCAGTCACAGCCCAGCGAGCGGTCTACGAGCAGAATTATGGGGGGGGGGCTGGCGGAGGGTTCTCGCGCTCTCTTGTCCACAGTTCGTCTCTGGACAAAACGGAGCTAAAACGGACCAGAGAAGCGGTTTGGGCTTTGCCCCCCCTCGTGGGCGGGCGGTGGCGCCTCGTGGAAGGTTCCGGTTTGCTGGCCATGGCCCAGATAGCGTTCTTCCTAGCGCCGAAGGGTTTTTCTTCTTTTCTCTCTACCCTTCTGGCGGCTGCCTGGGGGAGTAAAATAATAAGATACTATTAGAGGTGATCTCTTCCACTCTCCCCGGCGCCTCTGTTAGCGCCACCCACCGGGAGGGAAAAAGCGGAGAGGAAGCCTGTTAGCGCCTCCTTCTGAGGCTTGTGAAGTCCCTTGGCCAAACGGCCGGACAGTGTGGAAAACAGCCTGTGGGAGATTTTTTCCATTCCCCCTGCAATTATGCCTCACCGACAGCGCTCCCTGCAAGCTGCTGAACGGTGCACACCGCAACGCGCACGGTACCGCTCTAGGCCCAATCCGGCCAGAACGGAAGTAGACGGACACCGTATCCAGAAACGGAGCCCGTCGAGAACTATCCAGGCTAATTAGTGGAAAATGTGGACGGTCTGCCCTCCTCGTCCTCTCCACCGGTAGCACCACCGATGGTAAAGGACCCTCTGCCCCGCCGCCACGAAGCTGCCGCTGCCTGCCATACAGTGTACTCCGTAGCTGGAGAGAGAGCAGCGTGAAGCGTGCGGGCTGCAGGAGGGTCGCAGGACTGGCTCCAGACCGGTCGGCGGTGCTTGCGAGAAGGAACAGGGGCCCCGATCCTGCTCTTATTTTATTGTCAGATGCGGAGGTCGAGGGCAGACAAAAGTTTGTTGAGATATATTACGTGGGCTGTTGGTGGTCGCCGACCACGTTTTAGGATTTTGGCATGTGCGCTTAACCAGTAATGACGAAAACGGTTTGCGGTCGCATGGACTGTTGGTGATGTAATAGACGCAACGGCCTTTTGCGCTGCAGAGGCGGCGGGTACTTTGGTACTTCCGATGCAGCTCTGCATGCGAGAGAGGGCACACCGCATCGCGGGGAACACTTCCGCTGGTGGACGGACGACCGTATTTTGTATCTTACGGAGTTGCCGCTGTTGCATCCACGAGCGACGGTCCGTTTTGCAAGGACTGTCCTACACACCGTCCTCTGCTCATCTCTTTTTCATTTCTCCGTCTTTCTTCGGCGGCAACCATTGCCGCATTCGGCCATACACCACGTGGCTTGTGGACGACTGTGTCTCCTTCCACCGCCTCGTCTGTCTCCCGATGCTGCTCTTGCTGCAGCCGACAGACGTCGTCGTGCACGAGGACTGGATGTGTTGCACGATTTGCGGAGAAGCGTCATTTCAGCAGGGCAGATCGGGGCACTCGCCAGGCTCAATCCGGGGTGAGCCCGGCCTGCTTCTGGATGTCTGGTCTGTTGGGCACCACTTTCGGCCTGGCCATCCCGTGCCAGCTCAGAGACAATGGCTTGTTCAAGACATCCTCCAATCCTCCGTCCTCCTCCCCCCCCCCCTCTTGACGAGCCGCTCACGTCAGTTGTGCTCCTGTTTGTCCGCAGGCTCGTGTGCATTCGCCTGTGCGTTGGTGCCTGTGCCCGTGTGTCTGTGTGCCTTGTGCAGGTGTTTGTGTATGTGTTCATCTTGACAACTTTACCACGCGCCGTTCCAGGTCGCACTCTTGGCGGGCCGCAGCCAAAATTAGACATCTGATCCCAGAGCGCTGGCAGTCGGTCTGCCCAATGGGCGGTGGCCAGCCCAGCCAATCGCCAGCCGTCCAAGGCCGTTATCTCGAGATGACATTTCCAGCCGCCAGAACCCAACCGGTTCTCGCAGCTACGACTAGACGATGTCGCTCGTCTTGGCCCAAAGGCGTCAATTGACGTTGGGCGCCGTCCCGCTTGCGTCTTTTTTCTCTCCTCTGATTCCTCTCTTTTTTTTTTCTCTTCCTTTTTTTCTGCCGCTTTTTAGACGCTTGCTCGTGGCTGTACTCCAAATGCAGTCCTGTAATCTGCCGGTGTGACGGAAATAAAAGGTATCGTATATACTATGTACAGACGGACGGAAGAAAAAATTTCGCATCCTTTTCTGTCGCCCCCCACCACTCTCTCCTCGGCTCGTCAGTTCTATATCTTACGGAATACGGAGTACGGAGCACTCTGTACGAAATACAGTACGGAGTATCTTACAAAGTACAGTGCCCTCTTCCTCACCCCTTTCTCCGCTCGCGCCTCCGCCGCATGAACGTGGAGAATGGAGAGAAAAGGCGGACTACAGCGAAAGAGGCGGAGAACGGGAATTATCAGATACATACGGAGTACGGATCCCAGTATCTTACTAATGGCTGACTACGGAGTACTCCGTACATGGTATCTTACCATGACTCGTAAAAGGCAGCCCACTTCGTGCTAGAGTAAAGGAAGCGATGGTGGCTGGCGTACGGAGTTCTCGCAGACGGTGCGTAACGCAAAGAACAAGCACTGCCGGATGCAACGGCTTTCCACCTCTGACTGGAACGCCGGCCGATCGTCGAGGAAGGCGTCCAGTGCACAAGCCCGACCCCGGCGTCTTGACTGTGCCTGTCCTTCCTGCTCCTCGCTCGACGTGCGGCGGTGTAGACTTCCTTGGCTGAAATACCATACGACTTCACCGCACACGTCACGGAAATGTCCAAGTCGGCTCTTGTCAGCCCGTCCCTTGCATTAGTCTGGTCTGATGGAGGTGGGTAGGGCAGCGGGAGCCCGGCAAGATGGGCCGCCTGTACACCCACAGACATCACAAATTCGGTGTAGAAGCGCGAGAGCGAGGATCTGAAGGACAACCGCCGCTCGGTTCTGCTCGGGAAATTAATCTCTGATGGACACTTTTGGTCTTGGCCCGGTTCTTTTTTTCTTCTCTTTTCTCTTCTCTCTCCATCTTTCCTACTCGATTCTCGAGATGCAGCTTGGACGTTGGGCGATCTGCCAACGCAGGGCCGAAGCCGGACTGCGAGTATTATGTACGGAGCATCGTCATGCGAGTCAGTCTCGCATCGTGCAACGCCGGTGGCGGCAATCCTCGCGCAGTTGAGTCCGCAGACGAGTCAGGGCTACGGACTCGTACTCGTACTACATAGTATGTACTCGTACATCGTGTGTAGGAGAGTCTGGAAAGATCGGACATCAGTGGAGTGTTATTCTTTCGGCGCCCCCATGGATTGAGGTTTTCTGCGTCCAATCGTTGCGGAAACAGAGGCAAAAGCCCCTGTTCGACCGAGCGGCCAGTTGGGGCAAACGAGGCTGAGCGGAGAAGTCGGCAGAATTCTCCTATTCCAGGCTCGTATTCCCCTGAAAGTAATTTTACAGTGACGATTTTGCTAATATGGACCCATCTACTCCGTACGAGGGCAAAGGTAAGATACGTCAACTCCTCGTACGAGGGGGCTAGTTTTTTCTTTAGGCAGTTTCTAGGTCCACCTACAGCAGGCACGAGCGACTGATTCGCTGTCCGTCTTCATCATGTCAGCGGCCATCTTCCCTGGATGCACACTAGTCGGGCTGGTGGTTTCAGGGCAAGTAGCTACGAAATGAAAGAAACCGGGGCATCGTCAGCCAAAAAAGCAAAAATAGAGCAAAAAAATAGTAATGGCATGAAAAAAAGCACGGACGAGGCTGGTGACGCACAATTGCGCAGTTATGGCGGCAGTGCTTTAAAAAGGGTGGCGAGACCCCTGGGAAATAAAGGAGGCATATGTATCTACATCCTGTAGTACTCCGTAGGAGTCATCTCTTTTCCTGTCGGTACAGCTTGGCAAGCACGCCCAGCAGCCTCGCTCGACATGCGTATTCAAACCTGTTATGCATGGGCGCTGGCCCTCACAGCTGCCGCTGGTGGTGTTGAAGCCGTAGAGCAAAAGGAGGCCGAGTTCAGCAAGGCGCTGACTAAGGTGAGTCTACAGGCCGCTCAGGAAAAAGATTACGCACGGAGCTGGCTTGACTGACACGGCTCGCAGGAATACACGGCTCCGGCTTCTCTCGGGCCGGCGATAACGCAACCGGCAGTCCTTCCTCCGAGGCTAGATCTACGGTCCGACAAGGACAAGGATGTCGACGACACAAAGTCGACCGCGTCGACAAAGGAGACCACCTCGGACAAAGACAAGGACAAGAAAACGACGACGAGCAGTGAGACGCCATCGACTGCAAAGACCAAGACTACGACGACATCTACGACCACGTCGTCTACTTCAACGACCCCTTCGAGCACGCCGGCCACCACCTCGACCTCGTCCTCTTCTTCTTCTTCCCCTTCAGCATCCTCTACCTCTCCCACGACAGAGTCCACCCAGGCAGCGGCAACTTCGGCAGCATCGACGACAGCATCGTCAGCAGCAACGTCAGCAGCAGCAACAACAGCGTCGTCCAGTCCGATCACTTCTGACGCCGCATCGACGGCCGTAGCCAGCACCATTGGCTCCACAGCTAGCAGCACTGCCACGACGGAATCGACGTCCAAAACCAGCACCACTGCTGCCTCCACGGCTGCTGCGACCAATGGCAGCACCAACACCAGCAAGCACCACAAAAAGCACCTCAGCACTGGGGGCATTATCGGCATCGTCATAGGCTGTGTGGTGGCCATTGGCGTCGTCGCCTTTACGGCTGTGCGTATGGCCCGGCACGCCCGTGCATCCCGGGAAGAGCGACACGGCATCTTGGGCGGCGAGGACTCGTTTGCCTTTGAGGGCGGTGGTCTGCCACCGGCCGCGACAGCCGTGGCCGGAGCAACAGGCGTCCGCACGTCGACTTTTTCGCTGGCTGGCGTGGGTGTGGGGGCGAACTCCATTTCCAGCACACAAGCCGGGATGAGGGGGTCGACCTATTCCAGCCGGCCGGTACAGATGAGCGAGATGCGGCCTGGCACGTCCTCGTCCTTCACCCCCTCCTTGAGTGCGCAGCAGCAGCTCGCCCGATACTCGGTGCGGTCATCCACGATACCGGCCTGGCAGAATCAGGCACGAGGCAACGGTCCAGCAAGTCCTACGAGCCCGACGAACCCGATGAACCCGATGGGTCTGATGGGCCCAATGGGTCCAGTGAGCCCGACGAGCCCGATGTATGCCGGTATGTCGGCGCCGGGACTGCCACAACAACCTGTGCGAGCGTATGTGCACGAAAATGGCAGTCTGGCCAGCGTGCAGAGCTCAAACAGCGATGGTGGTGGGCTGTTGGCGACGGCAAGACCGCTGTCGATGACAAGACCGCTGTCGATGGCAAGACCGCTGTCGATGGCAAGACCGCCGTCGATGGCAAGACCACCGTCGTCCCTGCGGTTGAGCCATGTCGCCAATGCACCGCCATCGCCTGGCATTGCTCCGGGCTCAGCGCCTGCCATGTACAACATGAACGAACAGAATGGGGGACAGATATGATGCCGGCCTCTGCGGCTCGTGTAGTTTCCATAAATCCTAATATCTTTGTTATGAGCGCCCAAAAGCGATGGTCCCATGGTATTTACCTTTGTTGACCCTATGTTGTCCTGTTTCCCCTCTTTCTGTTTACTTCTTACACATGTCAGCCCAAGGAACTAAATCTGCCCCATAGAGAGCCGCATGGTGCGATATGCGGCCGACAACGGCAAGAAAGTAGACTGCGAATCTCACGGCTGCGGACGACGCCGGGAGCCTGCAACGGCCGACGGCCGAAGGACAACATGCAGACGGACATGACCAGTCAAGTCGAGTCGCGTCTCATCGCTTTGGGGAACATGCGAGAGCCATGTATTGCACATGTGACTCCCATCAAGCGTCTGTACGCCAGAAGACTTGTCCGTCTCCCGGACAGACGTTGATAAGCAGTCCGGTCGTACGATATTATGTACGAGTAGGGCAGCTGCGACGGACCACGGACCAGTGCCGTCGGTGGACCTCCGCCGACCCAAACCAGCAGCGATAAGATCTCACAATGCAGCAGGAGATCGGCCCTGGACCGTGGCGGCGCGGGGATTCGCGAAGGGTTGGATATACGACCAAGATACGGAACATATGATTTCCCTCGCACTCGCCAGCACTTGTCTCCTGTCCGCCGACTTCCGCCAGACAACTCTCCTTTCAGGCGGGGTTGCGCTTCCAGCTGCCCACTGGCAGCCCACCACAGCGCCTCCATCTCGCCGAAAGCACGGACAACAGGGACTTGATGGGGGGAACAGGAGGGGTTTGGTGGCCTGTTATGCTCACTGGAACCAAGAGAGTGAGTGGGTGGGAGTGGGTGGGAGCGGGTGGGCGACAGCCATGCGATGGCGGCACCGAGCGCTGGCACATGTTTGCTGCGATTGTCGGAGGGGTCTGGCCAATCATAGCTGTTTTCCAGAAGACCCGCCCATATCCGCCGCGCATTACTCTCGTTTCGTAGTAAGACGTTCATAAGATTATTTTTTCGGAAGCGATTAGAGAAAAAAAGCGAGAACTCCGTAAAGAGGAAAGAAGCTGCGAGCCCGGGCAGTTGACCCCAACCTGCCCAACTGGACTTGGAACTATCGCACAAGTAATTATATACACCAAGTGACTCCCTCTCTCACTACCTCGTTCAAAACTGCCAATCCCCCATCGTAACACTTTTTGCTCAAAAACTACAAAGCCGACCTACGAATAGAGATAGCGCCAAATCGAGCCCCAGCCGCCCAATTTTGTCCGAAAGCTCCCGGTCTAGAGTCTCAGCCGATAATCGTGTCGCGTCTTGCAAATTCCCGTATTCACAGCATCCTTCTCGGAGACAGCCGAGCACGTACAACTGTCACAACCGTTCGTCAGAGAATAGTCCGGCAACTGCCTCAGCCCAAGCTGTATTCCAGGACATACACCCTACACTCCCCTCCTCCCCCACTCCGTCATCCGCTCTCACTCCAAGATGTTTGCCACCAAAGTTCTTCGCCAGGCTGCTCAGCACGCCGAGCGCACTCCTCTGATCAAGTTCACGGGCAGGCGCACAATTCCTAGTGAGTTTCTAATGCTCTGCCGTCCTACCTATCCCTCCCACTTTACGCTCTGCTGACCAGCTGTCTTTCCAGCCATTGACCACGCTGCCCGCAACCCGCACCCGGCCAGCCCAACCGGAAGCCTGCCATCCGACTTCGCCGCTGCCTCATCCCACTCTAGCTTCAGCTCCTACCGCGACCATGTCCAGCAGTTCGGTCCGTTGCGCAAGACCATTCGCAGCCTTGAGGAGCGCGGCATAGGCGGCTCCAGCGGCCACGAGCTCGGCACTGTCGCCCCTTCTGTCGGCGAGGTTTTTGACCGCAACGACCTGCCTGCTCGCTTCCGGAGGGCACCCCTCTCGGCTGCGGAGATCGAGGCTGTCGAGACCGGCGGCGCCACGCTGTTCGCATGAACAGGCTGACAGCTCCCGACCCGTTATTTTGCTGTTTCTTAGACTATCCAGTTGCCTACTTATTTTGCTTTCCCCTATTTGTCAGTAGACAGACTTTATGCATTTTTCGACAATATCCGCCCACAGCTTGGTTCCGGCTTTCCGCCACGACGGACGGTCAGGAATTGCCCTGACGACCCTCTTACGCATCAGCATATAGCGAAAGTGACAAAACAGCACTTCGGCACAGGGTTGGTTATCTGTGTCTACAGGACACGTGAAAAGACGGGAGAGAGGGGCGGAAGGAGACGGGGACGAGGACCAGCGGAGGTCAGAGCCTGCGGTTCCGCCGGGGCTGAAATTGCCCACCCCAAAACTGTATATTCGCATCGGGATTGTTCTCCCGCCTCAGCTTTGTTGCGCTGCATCACTGGTTTCCGGTTCGCTTTGGAGACACTCTGCTTCAGTTTGCTTTAGTTGGCGGCCACATCCATTTCTTCCAAAGGTCAGGGGTGAATAAAAGAAGGCGGCTGATGCGACGGACGACCGTTGTCCCGACTATTTCGGTGGCAGCGCACAGGGTTGGGTGGTGTATGATAGTCAATTCAAAATGCAAATCTCTACAATGCTGTCCTCGAGCGGACATGACTGCTCGACTGCTGGCTATGCGCCAATTGCAACTGCCACTCTGTTGATGAGGTCTTTCTGAGCCTTACGTTATGTGGGTCTGCCTCTTGCATCCTGGCCAATCAGAGAAGTCTTACCAGTAGGAGCCCTGTAATTTGTCAACGGGTTCTTACCAACATTTTTTCGATTTCACACCTACTGTTATGCCGGGTTCATCCGTCTGCCAGTCGTCGCCGACCTCCGGGGTTTCTCTCCTGGGTCATTGTGCTTTGCAGCCGCAGGCTCCTTGAACTTGCTAACCACTCGATCCTAATCTTTGTGTCCGCTTCGACTCACGCACTTCCTATGGCCGGCGGCGAGAACGGCCGGTCTAACGACGCGGCAGCAGTTGCTGTCTGTCCGGTTGACCACAAGACGCGAGACCTCTGGCTAGCACAAGCCAGGGAACAGGCAGAAGCACAGGCACAGGCATTGGCACAGGATAGCCAAAATGGACTACCGCAAACATCACCACAAGCAACAGCAGCTGCAGCAGCACATCTGCCCTCGCCATCACAAGCCTCACAAACGCAACCGACAACAGCACCAGCCAGAAAAAACAGCAGCTGGTGGCCCTCGTCCTTCTTCTCCTCCTCTTTTGCGGCTCCTGCCAACGCCGGCTCATCCATACCTCATGCGCCCCCGCAGCCCTCGTCCAAGCCCGATGCCTCTCTCGACAACCACCGGGTCGTCTCGTCGATTCCTCGAACGGCCGTGACCCAAGAGGGCGTCTGTCCGGTGCCAGCAGCCTCTGCGGTCCCGGCGGCCGACTGTCCCGTCAACCACGAAGTTGAGACCGGCGCCGATCCCGTCTCCGGAAACTGGGTCTACCCCTCCGAGAAGATGTTCTTTGATGCGATGCGCCGCAAGGGAAACGACAACGCCCGCGCGGCTGACATGCGCGTCGTCGTGCCCATCCACAACGCCGTCAACGAGCGCGCCTGGAAGGAGATCCTTGAGTGGGAGGCGCCCTACGCTGGCACTGGTCGTGCCTGTGGCGGTCCCCGGCTGCACTCGTTCGCCGGGCTCAGCACCCACATGACGCCGCGCGCCCGTCTCTACACGCTGCTGGGCTACAGCGCACCCTTTGACCGCCACGACTGGGTGGTCGATCGCTGCGGCACTCGTGTCGATTACGTCATCGACTTCTACGCCGGCCGGCCGACCGCAGCTGGCACCAGCAGCAAACTTTCGCCTTCTGTGCCAGCCGGCAAGCCCCAGATCAGTTTCTACCTCGATGTACGGCCAAAACTGAACACATGGGAGGGTGTGCGGATGCGAGCTCTACGCGCCGTCGGCCTGGCATAGAGGATGAAGATCACTTCAGATAGGCAGCAGTTGTATTGTTACAGAGAGGTATATGAAATCCCATGTCATAATAACCATTTCCCGCTACATGATACAAACTCTGGCGAGGGTCTGGGGTATGCCGTGGTGAATAAAATGCAAAAGAGAGCCCAGGACGAGCTGCATTGAGGCCGCTGCCAAATAAAGATTTGAAGAGAAGAACCTATACCGTCGTTTGACAGAAGGAGCAGACGCGATGCAGCAACCAGGCTGGACTTGTCCTTTAGTCTGTCTTCGACAACTCCTGGGTTGGGTAGTGAAAGCCACCCGAATTCTTCTCCCCCATTGTCGCAGGCGCTAATCTCATGTCCTGTCAGCTTATATCCTAAAGAGAGACATTTCATCAGAGCATTGCAGAAAAGACGCCGACTCACACTTGTTTGCGCCAGTTCCGGCGCGCACTCGAATCGGACTGGCGGTCTCGAGCTGCGCGTCGTTCACATCCCATCCTACGGCCGTCAATGCACGCAGTATCGACAACTTTGTCTCCGGCGACACGTAACCGAACGGGCCCTCGTTCTCATAATGGCTTCCGAGCCCATCTTTCAGCGCCGAGTCGAAGTGGAAGGCATGCGTCACAGCGTCCAGCCAGGCGAGCAGCGGCGCCGTGCTGGGATCGGTGCCGTCCTTCATGGCGATGCGGATGAAAAACTTGGGGCCCCAATGCCAGATAGCCATGAAGTAGTTTTCGTTCTCGAATCCGTACCGCTGGTAGCCCCATGGCCACCATGTCATCACCGAGGCGTAGTTGCCAAATTCGCAGAAGCCGTGGTAGACTCCACTCTTGCTCCACATGCTGCCCCGGCCGCCCAGAAGCACGCTCTCCCGCTCGGCCACCTCGCCCGGCGAGAGGATCTTGCCCGTCTCCAGGTACTCGCGGAAGACAATGGTGGCACGCTGTCGGTTCAGCGTCAGCATCTTCACGCAACGCACGCCCCGGTAGTTCATCACAAGGTGCACCATCAACAGCATGACCATCCAGTACAGCACGGCTGTCTTGTCCTGTACGACGTGAACGACAGCCGTCCCTGCAAGCATGCCTAGCAGGCTGATCACCGTCTCCTGGGATGCCTCCTTGGCATTCAACTCTGCGAGATTGCCCGTCCGCGCGAAATGCGCCGACAGGCTGGCCTTGCTTGCGCTGGCTGCAATGCCGCACAGTGATCGTAGGATGCTCGAGGCCACCATGATGCAGACTTTGGGGTAGAGCGGCAGAACAGGTGTGAGCAGGTCCAGCATTAAAGCGCTGTCGTTAAAGAGGTCAGCCATAAAGCGGTATGTCTTGCATTCTGGTTCAATCGCTTGGCCCATGCGGTGGGCGAAAAGAATGGTGGCCATCCGTGAGAAGGTGTCCTGTATGATCTTCAGCACCAGAGCCGCAGTGGGCGATTGCGAGGCATCGCCGACGCCAAGACCCTCGAGTACGGCACGGTTTGCGAGTAGTGACGCAATCGAGGATGAAAATGCCTGGAGTGAGTCGTACGTCTGGTAGGCGAGGTAGTCATCAGTCACGCTTTGGGGGTAGCCTGCCGGGAGGAAGGCATAAAAGATTGCCTTCCCTAGGGGAACTTTTGTCTTCTCCTATGGCAGATTTGTCAGATAGAGAGACCATGAACGGGGATCCGACCGGAAAGCATGGGGTCGAGACGCGGCTGCAGGAGGCACACTCACAACTCGAAGATCCTTTCCACCGGCCGCTACATTCCCGGCCCCGTGGTAGGTACACAGCACATTGCCGGCTTGGTCGACATCTCGGACCACGCTCATGATCACGTTCGGGGATGTTTATGAAGTATTGGGCCAGCCATGCGGTTTGTAATGTGCAAGCAACAAGAATAATAGTGGGGGCAGACGAATGCACGAACAGTGCTAAGCGGCAACAACAGAGATCTGCACAAGGTACTCTGCAGAAGTGTTGGGGAGCTGTGAGGACTTGTGAAGCTAAAAGATATCACAGCTTGGAGGCAAAAGAAAAGGGGAGCCAGGTCAGCGCCAGGTGAGACATGGGGTCTACGCGAAGCAAATAGGCAGCTGCATAGGGAAAGAATCAAGTCGCGTGCAGTCGTGCCTTCCTTGGGAGGTCGCAAATACGCGGTGTGCCGGACTATTTTTGTTCTCGTGTTCCGGGGCAAGCCAGCAACGAAAAATAAAGTGGAGATTCGCGGATTTAGCGGGGGTAGACGCCTGTGATATCGTGGGGTGCTAGCAGTTTGCATCTAAATATCCCCTCAATTACTTTACTACTAAACAGTGTACGGATTATTACGCGATCAACGGGCTATTAATATACGGATCTTACTTATCCGGTGGGGGATTGAGAATGGATTGTTGAGTGTATGGTATTACGAGGCTTCGTATTCAAATGGCTTAAGTGGACCTACGTTCGTCTATCCAGAGGTTCCTTTTAAACCGCACTTTCTTTGTCTATTTTTGCTCATTATGGCGTCTACCATAGCAGCACAGCTCTCGACGATATAGAGAATAGCATGACAGTAGTCCTGACGCTCGCCAAACGGATGCCAAGCCTTGAGAAGGTGGTCTTCTTGATGGCGGGGAAGTTCTAGCCAACAAGATATTCGAGGTATCCGACCCAACCATATACTGTAAATGTATCGATAATGCCTGGCGGTCGCAATTGCCATTGGCTGCGATCCGGATCGCACGCAGGGTCTGGGCGTGGAACTGGTAGTGCAAATTAAGCGTCGCTAGTATGACCGCGGTAACATGGGCGAAATCCCACCCCTGATCGAGACGGTCAGGTTCAGACGCACCGATACAAGCGGTCGATTCAACTGGTTTCATGATAAAGCAATGATGCTCTCATGGCTAGACCTTGTTGGGATCGATGCAAGTACAGCGGAAAAAGACGCCCACTGCTTCATATTAGGCGTAAAGCTCTTACCCAGACAATGGCAAGCTTGGCGCACGCAGTGGTTGCAGTGAAAGCAGTGGTATTTTATCAATTATTACTTGATAATAAAGAAAGAGGCACGATTGCATGAATGCAATACTCTTAAAGAGTCCAAGAGTCTCCCAACAAAGCAAGAATCAGAAGTGACCCAGGTTTGATTCCTCTTTTACAGTGACTACTCTGGAGTGTATTAGTGAAGGTTTAATTCAAAAGGAAGAATACCTATAAAAGTGCATGGCTCTTTACAACCGTTTTCATTAAGACAGGATACGACCCTGTACTGAGTTACGTCTCTAAAAACCCCACCCCAGTAAACCAATTACAATGAAGATAACCGTAGAAATTCACGACGCTCGGATTTCCCCGAGTCTCAGGCGATGCTGCTCTTTCATCTCCCTTTCTCCTCCCATCCTTTCCTTCTTTGGACTTTCAATCAATAGCGTACGCCAAAACACGACTAAAGCCAAGCGTCGTCCATTTGTGCTCATTGTCCACAGATTGGCTGGACTGGCTATTGAAGAGGCTACCTACTATAAGTATGGCGAGGACAAACTTCAGAGCTAATGCATATATGGGCATGTCTGCTTTGGAGTTCCGCACGACGGCGCCAGATTTCTTTAGGATTCGGAAGCAAGCGTGGCCGACATCAGCGCCAACTTACAACATGTCCCCCTTCGGTCATTCCATACTTAGGACGAGCCTCTGCTTAAGCTGAGCCATATTTTCTCCTACGTTGACTCGGATTATCACCACAAAATCACCTTCATCTATGAAATTCTAAAAAAAGTGCAAGCCATGCATGGCCAGTAGTGCTCGTTTGCACAGATCATCATGGGCAGCCATTTCACCCGGATCATACACCTCGCCGACTACTAAATCCATACAATGACTACGCCGCATAATGTTCCTAACGCCAGACTCGGAACATATTAAACCCTATCCTCAGCATGGTAGTCGACAAACAGCCTTAGGGTGTGCCTTGCGATGTGTCTGCACCACAACTGCATAAAATAGTAAGACCAGACGGCGATTCAAAGGACAGTATTGCACCTGTTGCACAACTTCGTACACTTGATGTATTCAGGCATTTTGCAAGCGGTTATATTGGCAATTTTGACATGCAGCATCCACCTGCGTAAAGCAGTGGCCAACAGGAGCAAGCCGCCCACTTCCGGAAACGTTGATGGACATCCTTACGAGATGTCGACAACTACCACGTATGCGACGATAAACTGTATCCAGACGTTGGTGTTTGAGCGGGAAGGTCAGCCTGGCGCATCAGGGTGTCGAAGAAGGCCATGTCAACGCCCTGAAAGGCCCATTGGTCCGTGCCGGCAGTGGGGCCGGGACAGGGGGTCTGGAGGGGGATTGAGGGTGCGCGGGAGGTGGAGGAAAGGAGTGGGAAGAAGATGAAGAGGACGAAGAGGAGCTAGGATCGAACGGACAGACGGGAGAGGACGAGGCCGAGGCTGGGCGCGAGGCCATGCTGGGAAGGCGCATCAGCTGGGCGAGCGAGATGCCACGACGCCATGTCAGCCAGGATCGACGCAGCTGGCCCGAGTTGCCGCGGTACATGGCCTCGAGGATGATACACTCGAGGCCTTCGAGCCCGTCGGGCGAGCTGTCGACCGAGTTGTCGAGTGTGTCGAGCAGCTCGTCGTTGCGTGTGACCAGTCCGATGGCCGTGCTGCCGAGTCGAGCTGCGATGGTCGAGGCCGGTTCTGAGAGTCCGCCGAGGCCTTTGCGGGCCCGTGAGTCCGACAGCTGCAGAACCACGGCCAGTAAGAGCATCTGGCGGGCGATGATGACGGGGTGTGGAAGCGGTGACTCTGACAGCTGCATCGGGCGGGCCCGCAGACCGGTGGTTGGCCAGAAGCCGGAGTCACGGATGTCACGCTGTGACCGAAACAGCACTTGACAGTGGTTGTAGGCTTCGGCCGTGCAGGAGGCGATGAGGTCGAGATCGGGACCGGACGGGAAGGCCGCCAAGAGAGCGCCGGCGAGCTCTTCATGACTGGCACCGGGAAGGATAGTAAGGATGGTGGGAGTGGAGGCAAAAATGGAGGCGGACGCGTCTCTAGTCTCAAGCGGCAGCGATGAGAGCGACTCACAGCAGACGGAAGATGCTGGGGTCGTGCTGTTGGCCGGCGTCGGCATGCTGTTGGGGACGAGAGCCGGCGGCGTCGATGATGACGACGACGACAGAGGCTCTGCCTGGGGGGTCCTCATGCCATGTCGTGCCAGATGCCGCACCATCTCCTCGACCTGCACGAGCCGATCGCCCACCAGCCGGCTCTGCAGCTCGGCCGGCGTTGTTTCTTCGGGAAACTCTTGGCTGACACAGCGCAGACAGCGTCGGGCACAGACCTGAAACGTGGCATCGCCCGGCGCTGAAAATGTGCAGCGCACCTTGCGCCTCTTGCACTCCCAGCACGTGTGCGTGCCCTTGCGGACCTTGCGCCGCCGTGGCTGCACGTCGTCGCCGTCTTCGGGACGTGCATGCAGATCCGGCCGGTGGAAGAACTGTGGCGCAGCTGACTGTGGCGCAGCTGACGGCAGGCCAGATGTCGACTCGTCGATGGAACCGGACATGACGGCCGAATGCTTGTCTTTCGTTCTCTTCTTGTGTTATGGAATGACATGAAGAAACAGCGTTTTGCGTCCGTCCGGCTCTGCTGCCTGGTCGGAGTTATATCTCACATGTGCTGCGCCAAGACGCCTTCCCCCGGACGATCTGAGCTTATTTGTCAGCCTGGCTGCTGCTCGCCCGAACTTGCGGCGGTCTTGGCCAAGGCAGCCAAGGCCTAGACCGCTAGCGGACCCACCCGCGTCATAGTGACCCTGCATATTAGCAGGTTGTTTCGGCCGGGTCTAGCGGCTCTCAAGGTCTTACAGCCCTATCGCCGGCGTTCTTGGATCATCGCCGGACCTCTATTGCACCGAATTGCAGCCATGGCTTGCCTGTGCTCTGCATCATTGGCTGTGCTCAGCACCGAAAGGGGCAACGGGGCGTGTATATATGTCGGGCTTGTCGTTCCTCTGGCTCGTCTCGTCGGTCCGACAGTTCAGACTCCATGTACATTCTTCCACAGAGAGGACAGGACGACAAACAGGGCAAAAGTCAAGCCAAACTCTCCCGCCATTCATAATGTCCACCGCGGCTAGTACACTGGCAGCTCCCAGGCAGCCAGAGGGCCTGACCTCGTCGCAGGCGTCGTACACGTCTAACTCGGTCGACATCGAGAAGAAGGAGGCCGTCGAGGCCGAGGACGAGGAACACGGCACTGTCGATGGCGAGTCCACAGCTGACGACAATGACGACTATCCCAAGGGCGCCAAGCTGGCCATCATTGTGCTGGCCTTATGCCTGTGCGTCTTCCTGATGTCGCTCGACTTTGTGAGTCCCGGTCTGCTGCCTTTGGAGCCCCCCCACTCTCTAACAGGTCAGACCATCGTGGCCACGGCCATCCCCAAGATCACAGACGAGTTCCACGGCCTCAGCGACGTCGCCTGGTACGGCTCAGCCTTTTTTCTCACCGTCGGCGGCTTTCAGTCGTCCTGGGGCAAGGCTTACAAGTACTTCTCCCTCAAGTACACCTACCTGACCTCTATTGTCATCTTTGAAATTGGAAGTCTCGTCTGCGGCGTCGCCCCGAGCTCGCGTGCTCTCATTGTCGGTCGTGCCATTGCTGGCATCGGTGCTGCCGGCATCGGCTCCGGCTCCTACACCGTCATCGTTGTCACCGCCAAGCCTAAGAACCGGCCGCTGTTCACCGGTATCATCGGTGGTGCCTACGGCATCGCCTCCGTCATCGGTCCCCTGATCGGTGGTGCCTTCACCGACAAAGTCTCCTGGCGCTGGTGCTTCTACATCAACCTCCCCATCGGTGGTGTTTCCGGCTTGATCATCCTGCTCTTCTTCACCACCCCCAGCCGCGCCAAGCCGGCCGTCGCTCCCCTTCGCGAGAAACTCCTCATGATGGATCCCGTCGGCATGGTCCTCGTCATGGGTGGCGTCATCTCCTACGTCCTCGCCCTGCAGTACGGCGGCCAGACCGACCCTTGGCACTCCGCCAAGGTCATTGGCCTCCTCATCGCCTTCGTCCTGCTCTTCGTCATCTTCGCTGTTTGGGAGTACTTCAATGGCGAGCGCGCCATGATCGTGCCCCGGCTCATCGTCAAGCGCACCGTCTGGGTCAATTCCCTGTTCTCCTTTTTCTTTGCCAGCTCCTACTTCACTATCATCTACTACCTGCCCATCTACTTCCAGAGCATCGACAACGTCAACCCAACACAGTCCGGCGTCCGCAACCTGCCGCTCATCATCGCCGTCACCATTGGCACCGTCCTCTCCGGCATCATAATCACAAAGACCGGCCATGCCACCGCCTTCCTCCCACCCCTTACCGCCCTTGCTACCGTCGGCACCGGCTTGCTCTATACCCTCAACGTCGGCACGTCTAGCGGCCGCTGGATCGGCTTTCAGATTCTCGCCGGCTTCGGCTTCGGCTTCGTCTTCCAGATTCCCATGATCCACGGTCAAGGAAATGCTGCGCCCGAGGACCTAGCTACCACCACAGCTGTGCTAATGTGTACGTGTTTGATCTTCGATATATGCACTTGACTTCACCCACTAACAGTCGCAGTCTTTCAAACTATTGGTGGTGCCTTTATGTTGTCCGCCGCCCAGTCCGCCTTTGTCAACCACATGATCTCCGTCCTGCCGAAATATGCCCCCTCTGTCAATCCGGTAGTTGTCATATCTACCGGCGCCACCGAGCTCTGGAAAACCTTCCCCCCTGATGTCCTCCCAGGCATCTTGCAGGCTTACATGGCCGGCCTCCGCGTCACCTTTGCTATTGCCATTGGTAGCGTCGGAATGGCCTTCATCATCAGCCTTTTCAGTTCCTGGAAACCGCTGAATCCGGAGGCATTAAAAAATGCTGGCGGCGCTGCTTGAATTTCGTTCATCGTGTTTTTCTACGTGACTGCATTGATTTATACCTTGCCATTGATTTTTGCTCATATTTTTTCTCTCCTCTCTGCTCAGTGGCCTTTGTCATTTGGCTTTCACGTTTAGACGGCGGATCCGACAGGTTAGGCTGGGGGAAAAGAATCATTCTCTCCAGCTTAAGCGAAGACTAAATTGCTTGGCTTTGGGATCCAGTGTGAAACGAGATTATAAATCATGCTGGCGTTACAACTGCTTACGGAGTACACAGAATGCTGTATTCTCAGAATGCACCTACGATGTAAGATAAACGAGAAGAAATAAAGGAACCAATTACAGGGTTACAATATTATTCCCACAATGGACAATTCATTGGCTGTTCTGCTAGCTGGACCATGACGTAAGATTTGTTACGTTACTGGCCAGTACAACTTATAATTGGCATAAAATTCGACTATTTGATATGTGACATCGTGTAGGGCGTAAACCTCATGCCAAAAAGAAGAAGGCCTCACTTATGCCGCGGCTAGAATATAGACATAATCGGTATTTCCACGCCCCATATATCTTCCGTTCACTTATAATACGGCCTGAGGACATCTAGAGCCCCACCGAGACTGCCCCTTGAATGGCGAAGTTGAAACGAATAAAAAATATCCGAGAAAATTGCATTACGTGCCCCCACGCAAATTTTAATAGCCCAGGGTAGGGACAGATCCGTAAACGGCTGGCATTGACCCAAATTTCGTGTGCCTCGGGCACTCGTTTTGTTTACAAACACAAAATACAATTTGCCGCCATAGAGCCGCTCGGTGCCCAACGTGCCTTACCTATTTGCACACGTAGCATCTCATACGATGGAAGCTCTCAGAGGCGCAATGATTGGGATATAACACGGTCAGAAATCCCACTGAGAACTGACCAGTCAAATGCGTCTCTGTGAGACCCGACTTCGGCGCTATGCCAGTATTGCATACTACCAGTATTTACCAATGAGGAGAGTTAAAGTTATCCCCATGAGCAATCTTATCTATACGAGCAATCTATTTCTGAAGATGAAATAAAAATAGACATTAGGCTTAAGAGACTGCGATTGGGCTTTTGTTCTTTTCAAAAGCCTCTCTTCGTGTGTGCTATCCTTGCCTTTATTGTGGTGCCAAGTCATCTTTGCCTGCCGTCTTAGAAGAAGATAGCAACGTACGTGGCCAGTGATCGACGACTAAGCATTGAGCTGATCGCTCGCTTTGGAGGTGAACTGGCGAAGACGGCAAGGATTTAAGGTATTCGATGTGTATTCCCAATTGCTGCGTACACGTGTAAAGGATGTTGGGCACAAGCTTCTCCCGTTGCATGATGCGACGATATCAGTGCGACTGACTGGAGACAGCTGTCAAGTCCGACAACTTGGCAAAAGCAAGAGACGCATGGCCAAAACAACTGATTGAATTCCCATTTTATTCTTTTTGGTTTTATTCTGATCACATCTTTGACGAGAAATCGTAGATGTGCACGTATTTAATACCACCACCGACGGCTGTCTTTCATGGCGCTTGACTTTCCGTCTCAAGCTCGCCAAACAGATTCCCTGCTCATTAACCATATCCTACTTCTCGCTTATCCTTTTGTCCAAACATCTCTACAAAAGTATACTTCCCCATACTACGTCATGACTCAATGCACGCAACAATGCAAGATTAAGCCCGGCGGTCCAAACGTGTCTCTAGAATTAAAGGGATGTGATATAACATCTAAAACAATTTCCACTTTGTTTCCAAGCTTAAGGGTCCGCCCTCGTCCTATGCCTACAGACTCTGCTGAAAGCAGTTTGACTGCTTGGGAGGCTGAATATGAGCAGTGGAGTGGCATTCGCTGTCAATGTGGCCTTGGCTATTTCTGCAAGGAGCACGGCGACTGGATTTCTGGCGACGATGTCAGAACTGGCACCGCTTGTGTTGCCGACGAGCAGAAAATCGGCAATTGCCCAAAGAACCACTATGAGGGTAAGATCGCTTCTTTACTTGGCGTTTGTGGAATGCGAATACGATGCGATTTGGAAAAAAAAAACCATATACCTATAGCTCACATATATTCGCAGATCCTGCCGGACGGATGTCGTACGTGGGCAGCAGAGATGCCTTTGATCTTTCGTAGGCACACTCTGGAACCGAGGCAGACAGGCTCGCGAACTAGGCTCTTTACTACTGTCAAATCAGGTCGATAGTTACAATATACCTTACAATCGTGTTGTTACGCAATTTATTTTAGGCTGCACATTGGGCTAGTACTCAAGTAAGAGATATAGAGAGTAGAACGAAGGCCGTTTCGGCTACCCTTACCTATATTGGCGATGCTATACGCCCAGGCAAGAACTGCCGCAACGGTTTAGCAACGGCGACTTTGACGATCTACGAGCTGTGCGCCCAGGCACCACGATTTAGCGAGGTGGGGGCGCCTGAGGGGGATTTGCCACGCCGTTCTCGCCGGCATACAGCGCCTATTTCAATGTGCTCAATTAGTGGATCTCCTATCAGTGGACCATGCGGCTCTACTCCATACATGGCTTCGTTTTAAAAATAGAGACAGATAAACGCTGTAAAATGCGCATGATAGACAACCTGCCTGGACGGAGATGAGACTTCATGAGGGCTAGACGGTGGTCAATGCGGTCGTTTGCTGGGCCGATTGCGAACGCGGAGTGCCAATTCATATTTGCCGTAGTAAAATGGCGCAAGCCGTCGAAAGCAGAGAGGATGTCTGCGCCCGGTGGTCCTCATTGAATGGTGGGCTGGGTCGGCCCTTTTTCTTCGCCAGTTTCGATTCGTGCAAGGTGTACTCACCGTGTATGCACACCATAAGCCCAATTCTTAGCGCCACAAATGAATAGGAAGGTAAACAATTGAAAGCCGTGGCCATGCTTTCACGGTCAATCCCGCCGTTGCATGTTTCAACGCGTTGACAGGACGCTAATGCCAGCCCCTTCTGTCAGAAAGTAGCTTGTACGCTACTCCTGTTTCAGTGCTCGGTCGCTGATGCGATGTAGATGCAAGTTTGTTAAATCCAGTCAGTAGTTATACCAGGAAGGTGTCGTGTAAGAGGTCTGTAGGCAGTTTTGTGTTACTCTTCAATTTGAGGCCTTGTCTTTTCTGCTGCCACGCTGTTCTTTGCACAATGACTTCTTCCCAACGGCCAGCAAGCAGGGCAGACTTCCGAGTTGCGATCATCTGTGCTCTGCCGCGGGAGGCTGATGCTATATGCCTACTTTTTGACCAGTTCTATGACGAAGACGAGGAGGATGAAGAGTATGAGGATGAGTGCGGAGAGACTGATGATAGTTATGGACCCTACGGGCGGGCCGAAGGGGACTTGAACACCTACACAACAGGTCGCATCGGGAAGCACAACGTCGTGCTCACCGTCCTCCCCAACATGGGCACGACCGGGGCGACCGGATCGGCGGCCAGTATGCGGTCGAGCTACTGTGGCATCCGGCTGATGATCATAGTCGGCATATGTGGAGGCGTTCCGCGAATTGCGGGCCAGGACGCCTTCCTCGGCGACGTGGTGGTGAGCAAGAGCATTGTCCAGTACGACTATGGCCGGCAGTACCCAGGCAGCTTCGTCGTCAAGAACACGGTCGACGACAGTCTGGGCAGGGCTCACAAGGACATCCGGGGGCTGCTGGCCTCTCTGGAGACCGAGATCGGGAGAGAGAGGCTGCGGCAAAAGGCCGGGATGCATCTCCGACGATTGCAGGGCGCAGCTGCACAGAAGCACCGGCGGGCAGACTATCGGTATCCCGGTGCCGTGGAGGACCGGCTTTTCCCGCCAAACTATGCCCACGTGCACAGGATGTCGCTGTGCTATGGCTGCGTCGGTGCTGAGACGGCCGCCGGTTTCTGTGAAGAGGCCTCGACGGCGTCTTGCGACGAGATGGGCTGCAACCCGGCACATCTGGTGGCAAGGAAGCGTCGTGACGAAGACGACGGCAGCTACACGCCCGAGATCTTCATTGGCTGTGTGGCCTCAGGGAACACGGTGATGAAGTCGGGCACAGACCGCGATCGGATCGCGGCGGCACACAACATCATCGCGTTCGAGATGGAGGGTGCCGGCGTGTGGGACGAGCTGCCGTGCATCGTGGTGAAGGGCATCTGTGACTACGCCGACAGCCACAAGAACAAGCGGTGGCAGGACTTTGCCGCAGCCACGGCCGCGTCTGTGACCAAGGCCATCCTGGGGCGATACAGCGCGGACGATGCAGCTCGAGCGCGCACTCGGGCCTTGGCCCGGGCTCGGGCTCAGTTTCAGCTCCAGACGGTCGTCGGTAAGGAGGAGCGAGATCTGCCGCTGTGCATCTCCGACGTGCCTCGGACACTGCTAACCCACAACAGGCCGTGATCGAGAGATCAGCGAGAGGACAATTGCAAACAGCAGCTTTGGAGGAAACGCAATGATCAATCTAGGCGACATCCGGGCGGATGCAGTGTTCTAAAACGGCCGAAAAATGTATATAGACAAATGAGATAAAAAAAGGCCCTCAACCACAGCGTCGACCAGCTCACACTATCGACCCGGCCACTCTGCCCACACAGTCAGTCTTGTTCCTACGCTGCCAGGCGTACCACAGGCCACACGTAAGCGCGGTCAGCGGCAGGGCAAAGGCCCAGTAGACCCAGAAGTGGCTGGACATGGCCCAGGCATCGCCATTGTACGTGAAGAAGGAGGTGCTGAAGATGGCCGACATGAAGGTGGCCGGTAAAAAGGCCGCGGTGAGAAAGGCAATCGTCCGCATGGCCCGGCTGTCCGACTTGGCGGCATAGCCAATCTGCAGCGACAGGTTGGCGTCGTACTGGGTGACGACGTTGAAGCTCAGCTGGATCTCGTTCTGCAGACGCTCCTTATTGGACAAGGATCGGCAGCGGAGGCTCGCGAGCATGTGCTCGAAGAAGAGCAGCCTTTCGTGGACGGTCTGCGATATCGGCCTCGGACTCGCCGGGCGGCTAACCTGCCTGGCCTCCAAGAAGAGTGTGTGGTGCCGCAGCATGCTCGCCATGGTGGTCATGGCCACGTCTAGCGTCTCGGAGACGTGGGTTGCGTGCCTGGCCAGATCGTGAAGGGAAGAGAATTTTGGTCTCGGTGGCTCGGCCGACCACTGGTCCACTTCCCTCTTCTTCTCGATCTTCCGGATGTGCGTGCGAGCGGTCCAGACGGCCTTGTCCTGGAGGCTGACAATCTCCCCTACCAGCGTCGAATAGACCCAGAACGGGTCCTCCATCTTGTTCCGGGGCTCCTGCTCCAGCAGCAGTTTCGTCCACCTGTCTCTCTGATCTAGCGGCGGGTCAAAGAGGACGACCATGGTCTGCTGCGTGGCAGCGAGCCATCGCACATAGACGTTCATCTTGCACCAGGTATGTTGCGCCTTGGTATCCAGCACCTTGATGAGGAAGCGGGCCCAACTAACTGCACCAGGTCAGCGATGGGGGTCCATTGAGTCCGCGGAGAAAAAGCTCACTGATCTCTGCAATGTTGCCATTCTCATCGGGCGTAGCTTCGTAGCCAAAGTGGCCATTCGACCTCCTACAATACGGAGCCCACCACAGCTCCGGCATCCGAAAGCTGCTCGAAAAGGCGTTCCGACAGACGTTGCATTCGCGCACTCCGTCTGCATTTGCTAGTCTGCCCCTGTGTTAATTTATGGCCGACAGCTGCTCCGTATGGGGGTGTCCTTGCATTAGAATCAAATCCGCGTCCACGGCTGGCGGCAGGCCGGGGCATGTCGTCAGCTCTGCTGCCGGCTGTCCACCCGTTTCGTCTGATTGCAGGCGATTAGCGTCGCGAAAGCGTCGCCAAGGCCGCCAAGATCGCCAGGCTTAGCTAGCTTCACCGCACAGAAGACACACACACCTTTCATCCGACAGTAGACTGTCGTTTTTGCGCCGCATCGCTCGTGTCCCGTCCGCATCGTCAAATTCGCCGATGGATGCTCTATCACCAGAAGAGAAGCTCGGTGTCGACGAGATCAGGCGTGGACGGCGCGCCCTCTTGGATCCAAATGCCATGTCGGGCAAAGTGCACTGCCACGTATCTCGTTCGCTTCGAACCAATGTGAAATGTCGAAAACAGCTCGCAGCGGCCTAATGTACGGAGCATTGCTCAGAGGGCCGTCATAGGCCCGAATTGAATCAGAATATATGAGTGGCACGCTGAAAGCTGGTGGGCACTCCAGCATACTATCCATTTAGTGGCAGTGCCCCCTATTACCTACCTCTCTGGAACCACTTACAGGCTACGTTACAGGCTACGTTGCAGGGTGGCATACCCCACTTACAGGCTAGCGAACAGGCTTTTAAAGCCCCGCCTCCTACTGACTGAATAAGGCGGCCGAGAATGACAGGCAGCCCAGAAAGTGCAAAGGCGTCTGTCTTCACCATGAGTGGCCAGAAGGGAGAAAGCCCAGAGGACCGCCTTATTTACGGAAGTACCTTTGGGCCCAATTCGCTCGCCAACCTCGGCAACATCCACTTCCACACCACGCCCAATACGCATGTACAAGGGCAAAACCCTGTCCGGGCCATTCCGTATCCACAAAACGAGGAAGCCGTCGACCGAACGGAGCTTGTCGGCCGGCTTAACGAGCTCCTCCCGGCTTCGTCCCGGGACTGCAGTGCGGCGCTATGGGGCCTCGGCGGGTCAGGGTAGGTTTTATTTTTTAGTATTATTGTCGGAGCGAGCTGTGGCTGATTGTCACCACAGAAAGACTCAGATTGCGTTGGAATATGCGTACAGACGAAGCCGTGATCACGGCTGCTCCGTCTTCTGGGTACATGCCGACAGCAAGGCAACTTTTGTACAGGACTACCAGACGATAGCAGTGAAGCTTGGCATAGAAAAGAGCTTTCAGGGTAGTGATCTGCTTGTCGAAGTGCGCAACCGCATCGAAGCTCTGCCGAGATGGGTGCTTGTGCTCGACAACGCTGACGACCTCACTATCTTCGGCGTCGGGCCGGGAGCAGCGTCGACGGCAGGCAGCCTGTTCGACTACGTCCCTCGTGGGACGGTTCTGTGGACGAGCCGCGACGAGCAGATCGTCGGCACGCTGGTTGGACCAGGCCGCGGTATTCGGGTAGGCCACATGACAGCTGTCGAGGCTGAGATGCTCTTGCAGACGGTCAGGCGCCAGGATGCAGGCGATGAGGCGGACGAGGTCGCCGAGCTGCTGAGAGAGCTGCTGCAGTTTCCGCTCGCCATCTACCAGGCAGGATCATACATGCGGCGAACGGGAACTCTCGCCCGGGAGTACCTCCAGCTGCTGGCACAGAGCAAGGAGCGACACAAGGCTCTCAAGGCCACGGCGTACGACCGTCACCGGAGAACTGGCACGCCCAACAGCATCTTGGAGACCTGGAGGGTCTCTGTTGACCGCGTCCGACGCGAGAGTGAGATGGCATACCGGATCCTGCACACCATTGCTTTCCTCGACAACCAGAACATCCCGCACGAGATCCTGGTGGCTGCCTGCAAGCTCCACAGCCGCGACGCTGTCGAACAGCCAGACAGCTTCGACGTCATCCAGGACATTACCCGCCTGAAGGAGTTGTCCTTGATCGACGTTCGCCGGACAGACGACCGTAGCCGTCGCTACGAGATGCACAAGCTTGTCCAAGAAGCGACGAGATACATGCTCGATGTAAGGAAGCCGGCCTGGGTCTTGGCAGAGAAAGCAGAAACTAACAGTCTACCGCGTCAAAGAAAGAGATGAAGGCCGTCTTTGCAGGCGCCGCTCTCGACATCATGGTGGGTCTCTTTGTAGAGCCGAGCCAGGCGACCTGGCCGCAGTGCGACAAATACCTTGCACATGCCGTCCAGGCAGGAGAATGGACCGACCTGCACGGAAACAAGGCCGGGGCAGCCTCGCTCTTTGCCAGGATCTCGGCCTACCTGGGCGGTCGAGGCCGCTGGAACGAAAAAGAAGCTGTAGATCGGCGAACATGGGATCTTCGACGGGAGGTGCTTGGAGAGATGCATGTAGACACCCTCCAGAGCATGGCATCTCTCGCACTGACGTACCATGAGCAGGGCCGCTACAGCGAAGCGGAAAGCCTGAATTTCCGGATTCTACATCTTAGGCGGGAGCTGCTCGGCGAGAACCACCTGGATACGATCAGCACCATGTCCGATCTTGCAGGAACGTTTTCCGATCAGGGCCGGAACGACGAGGCCGAGAAGATCCTGGTCATCGTGTGCAGTCGTCGGCGGAAGTTTCTTGGCGATAGGCACGAGGAGACTCTGCAGGGGATGTCGTATCTCGCGTCGACGTACCATGAGCAAGGTCGATACGACGAGGCAGAGCGGCTCAAGATCCAGGTCTGTCGACTCAGGCAAGAGGCGCTGGGCGAAAAGCATATGGCTACGATCTTTAGCCTGAGCTCTCTCGCCGTGACATATCAAGAGCAGGGCCGCTATGACGAAGCCGAACCTATCCGGGTCAAGGTCCTCAAGCTCCGGCGTGAGATGCTCGGCGAGACGCACCCGGACACGGTCAGGAGCATGTCCTCGCTCGCAGTGACGTACCGAGAACAGGGTCGTTACAGCGAGGCCGAAGCTCTGGCTGTCCGAGTGGTCGACATCCGGCGGGAGTTCCATGGCGAGATGCATCCGCGCACGATCAAGAGCAAGATTCACCTGGCAGCGATATACCATGCACAAGGACACTACGAAAAAGCTGAGTGCATGTACGCCGAGACTTGCAATATTCTGCGGAGGCTGTTTGGCACGACGTACCCGGAAACACTCCTGTCTATGTATGGCTTGGCTGTAACCTGGCACAGCTGTGGTCGTCGTTGTGAAGCACTTTCCCTTATGCAACGGTGCTTCAATCTGCGATGCTCCGTCCTTGGGCCGCGACATCCTTTCACAGAGCGGTCTGCACAGATCTTAAGAGAGTGGACAGAAAGCATGGACTTGTCACCATAGGCATGGGGATTGCTAGATGAGCGCCCCGAAATTCTACATAAGCGCCCTGCACACAATACACGTGACTTTGCGAACGTCCCTAACTGCGCCGAAAATTTTGCGATTCAATAACTAGAAATGCATTACTAAACTAACAATAGGCCTATACTTGTCAAATTATGGGTGCCCAGTGAGCGTGTGTATATTGTTTATGGTTGGCTACTTCCGAGCTATGCCAACGTGCTGAAATCCCATACTACGAGCGTAAATAGCGCCCTGCGCCACACGGAGGACATGTATTCTTCCATCAAGGTGGATGGGATATTATTCGGACTCGCCACAGGTGCACTCACCAGATCTAAACGGTGGCAACATCTCGCTCGACTTTGGCAGCCTTACTTAACAGGGCTTTCAGGCGTGCAATAGCGACCGTTTCCACCGTTAGAAGTACTGCTCGGTTGTTTACAGTGGCAAAGATCTGAAGACGCGCCTGAAAATACCTCTTTAGCAGTAAAGCTGCCTGTGTTTACATACAACTCTACAGACCTATAAACATGTCTCTCGGTGTCCTACGCAAGGTTCCACGCAGGCAACTTGGACCAGCAATGATTATCTCACTGTGCCAAAAGCGATTTGTCGACCACGCATCGAATGAAGGGATATCTGCCTACTTCGGCCAGACAGCTCGCATCGCTGTCTGGCAGCAACAACGCGGTCCTACCACCAAGCTTCTCGTTCCAGGTCTACGTTACGTATGGCCCGACTCTGGCAGACACACCCTCTTTGCTTGCACAAGACTTTGTTAAGCGAGTAATGGCCGTAATGAACAACAATGGCCAATACGATTACCCTATCCGGTTTGACTTCCACTTTCTCCCCGGCAAGGCCGTCAACGAGATTATACAGCACTACCGCGCTGAAGGCAAGGCGGAGCCTGATTACTCGAAGCGACCGGATGATGACTACCGCGGCGTTGCAATCGCGCTGTCTAAGGAGAGCTGGGAGCGAGAGGGCGCGGACTTGATCCTGTTCGACCCGCCTGCGGAGTATCTGCAGACAACAGGAGAGGAACGGGATGCTATTCTAGGTAAGGGCGTCGGGGCTAATGGCGTCCTAGTCTTGTACGGGATGTCGGTGTAGCCGGAAGAGATAAACGGCCTTAGTGCCATGCTTATGAATTTGGCGGAGAACAACCGGAGATGGTGCGATCTCAAAGACCAGTATAACGAAGCGGTAGATCAAGAAAGGTAGAGTAGTAAGAGGCAGGCTCGTCGCCGTGACGAGCTAATATTTATTCAGTGCAAGGCCTTTTATATAGGCATCCACAGGCGATTGCTATTTGTACAGGTACCCGCACAAATGACAGTCGCCGCGTCTATGGAGTATGTGGTTATAATCCTACTACTCGTCGGAGAAGACTAGTACAGCGAGCTCGAAAAATGCAATGCCCTTTTTATGGCTACGAGATCGTTTCATAAGGAAACCGATACGTCTTTTCAGGGCGACCTAAACTCGGAATACTATATCGATTTTCTAATGGCGGAATTAAGGGACGATCAAAAGGCTGGACTGGTCAGCTGCACCTGGAGGATGACAGGGTAATAGAAGAGAACAAAGGGCCTGCTTGAAATATTTGTGCCATTAGTCAGAGACATCTTGCAACTCATTAGGGAGCAAGTTGAAAAAGTCCAAGCTAAGAGTGAGAAAAGGGGCGTCACTGTACGTGGAGTCCAACTTGTCTTCCGTTTTCTGGTCGCATTCTGATTTTGGTTTGCGCAGGGAATTATTCCGGTGGACGGGCTTGGCAGCAGTCAGTTCCTCAATTCCTCTGTGGAAAATGCTTTCCCCGAAATCCAGGTGCTGCAACCGACAGACGCATGGTCTTATACTGTCAGGCAAATGGCTGAAACGATATTAACAGTCAGAGTGAGTTTTTGCCACTAAGAATCCCGCCATAGAGGTGCCAAGTTAGGTCGAATCCCTACAGAGGCGCGGGTTTCGTCCACCCAGGCAACAAAGCATTCTAAAATCGTACATTCGTTTGCAGTCGAACCTATGCTTAACCGGGACCAACCTACAGAGACTTTATCTGGTGGTTCCATCATGTGTTGCAGGTAAACCAGGAGTTCGTTGTATTGCTGTGGTATTGATTCCTAGAAACTAACTTCTCCGGATGCAGTGGTACATCCATTAAGGAGATGACATACGGCGTGACCAGAAGATACAGTTTCCATACGTCAGACAGCACAAAAACATCCCCACCGTCGATATAGTTGACTTCGAGGACGCTTTGTTTGAATGCTCAGACCCATACGATCTCTCTGAACCCCCTTATCTCTCCCTACTACTAGTCAATAACAGCTAACAACGTACACAGGAGGGCACCGAGATATCTTCCTGGGGGACAAAGAACAAAGAAAATTTGTACTTTGGTCGTGGATTCTCGAAGCTTCGATAGATGGCGATTCGTGAGGAAAAGAAGTCTGTACGGACAAACCTAGTAAGTTGATACACCAAAAATTGCGATACTTTGGTTACAAGTACTGATAACTTGTAGCTATAAAATTAGTTTCTCCTAATAATTACGTTTAAGTCTGCCGTCATGAAACTAACTTGTGAAATTGATGGCATGGATATGGGTTCTGTAGTGGTAAATTATGACGATTAGCGGAAAATCCAGAGCCAGTCTGAGTTCTTGTGGAAACCTTACGATCTCATAACAGGTCAAAGCTGTTCGCTTTCACTTGCATACTGGCAGACGTGGGAAGTACAAGACAGAAGGTCTTTAGATAATAGGGGCTTAACACATATGTGTTATTTTGTAAGATATACGTCTTTTGATGGTCGGACGTGTCCACAATATGGGTCTAGGTAGCCTTCGCTACATAGTACGGGTATGCGATTCTTATGTGGATTGAACTATAAATATGTGAGTTGTTGGGACAAATATACAGCATGATTAGCAGCTTTCCTACGGAGTAAATCAGTGATGTAGCATGTACCACAAACAAACCAGAAAAAGCAACGGTATAAATCTAACTAGCCTCTTTATGGACAGGGTTGACAATATTTACTTCGCTTAACGTGCTGAAAGCCGTCTAGCTGTAATTAAAAAGATGCATACGGAGTCTTGTGGGCGGGGTTTACCCGAGCACTTATACCAGAGCTCTGGGAAAAGCTTATAGCTCCTTCACCTGTTGAGCTATGATGCACTTTACAACTATCTGAAGCAAGGCCTCGTTATTGTTCGTATACATTTCTAGAATTAAGGTCCACTGACTGAAGCATTTCTGAAACAGTATATATACCTCCACGTATTGTGTCTTTCTGGCGGACTGTTATCAGCTAGCCCACGTCCCAGAGAATATATGAGGGGCCTAATGCATTGATGCGGCTCTTAGACAGATGCATCCTGAATACAACTCTGCACACCTACGGGCTAGTGCCTGAGTCCTGCCTACTCGTACTAGGAAAGGCCCGACTGTGGGTGGATCACGATTCCGGCCCATTTTTGAAGATGAATATTGTCGGAGACTATCTGGTTATTACGTAGCATTCTTCGTTAAATAGCTCTACTGAAAAGACACACTCGGCCCCTATTATTTCAAGTTTCATGACATCCAGTCAAAACATTGGCCTGTTGATGCAATATCCCCATCTAATCCAGTGCATTTCTCCTAGCGCTATTATATGCAATCTGTGCAGCTGATCCAGTTGAAGAAAAAGGGCTCAAATAAAGCTTTTAAGAGTTAGAAAGGATGAAGTCGAGAATGGTGAGGTTCGGGCCCTTCCAGTTCTTCCGAGCCCAGCCGAACCAGAGAGCCACAGTGACGGCGAGGACAAAAACCATGACCGGCCCACCATAGTTCATGTTGGCCGCAGTCACGGGGATGGCCTCGGGGAAAGGTAGGAAGATGATGATATAGAGGGTATAGACGAGCGCGAATGCGTTGACGTAGACACCGTAGCGTCCGAGGTTCCACTCGCCGAGGGTTAGAGTATTGGTAGTGCAGCGAGCGTAGAGAATGCTGCCAATAGCAATGGCATAGCTCAGGTACAGAGCCAAGGATGACAGAGCGGTGATTCCACCAAAAGCGATATAGCTGCCGCTGCCAATATTGAGCAGGCACAGCGCACAAGCGAGAAAAACGGTCATGATGATGGAACGGGTGGGGACGTGGCGCTGCTTGTTGACGTGAGCAAAGTACGAAGGCATGCCGCCGTCTCGGGCCCAGGCCCAGGTAAGACGCGAGACGGAAGCGATGTTGGCTAAGTTGACGCTGAAGGAAATGATGAAAAGGCCGGTGATCATGGCCGTCGTTCCAGCCTTGGAGCCGGTAACGCTGAGCAGGATGGCTAGAATCGGGCTGGACGAGTTGATCGCGTCGTCGACAGAGCCCATGGTGAGGAGGATGATGTTAACCATGACGAAGCCGAGGCAGCCATTCATGAAGATGGACCAGAACATGGCACGAGGCACCGCGGACTTGGCCTTACGGGTCTCCTCGCTCATGTGGATGGCACTGTCGAAGCCTGCGAAAGTAAACAGTTAGGAGGGCGAAAGAAAAGAGGGAGAAAAAAAACAACGTACCGGTGAAGCTCCAAACACAGGTGAGCATGCCCAAGTTCCAGGCAATAAAGGTGTTCTTCCAGCCTGAGGCAATATCGCGTTCCAACCAAAAGCTGGAGTCGTGCCGGGTTCCAAGGACACAGAGGACGACCACAAAAATGACAAACAGGCACACATGCAGGATGCCAGCGATGAGCTCAACCCAGGGGATCAGCCAGAAGGTGTACATGTTCATCAGGCCCTGCAGGACGCACATGGCGATGACTATGACAGATGTGTGCCAGCCGCCAGGGACATAGCTGTCATTGTTGAGCTGGATCATGGACTCGAGCAGGATGACCGTGACGTTGGCAATGCCCGCTAGCAGCGAAATGTACCCGAACCAAGTCGACCAGCCCTGGACATATGTAGCAAAGCGTCTGAGCCGCACCGGGGCCATATGGTAGGTCCAGTGGTATTGAGCACCAGCAACCGGTTGAATGGAAGCCATCTCGCCCAGCGAGGCAGCCTGTGCCATTGCGCCAACGAAGACAATGATGAAGCTAAAGATGAAGGTCTGCGGGCCCCCATTGTAGAGGGCAAAGTACATATTCCTAGAGGGTTTGTCAGGAGACACTAGCCTGACAGGTGGCTGTAGGTCGGACTCGGAACTCACGTGCACATGCCTTCCCAGAGGGACATGTAGGTCAGGGAGAAGGCAAAGAGCTGGGAGAAGGAGAACAGCTTCCGCGTCCGCGTCTGGCTGTAGACCCCAGTGTTATCCCCATCTTTGCCGGACGAGACATCGATGTTGGACTCTATCTTGCTGGCGTTCTCCGGACGGAGATGGCTGCCCTCCTTTGTCATGGTGGGCGGATTGTAGAGAGCGCAGGGGAAGAGGAGAAGCAGAATCAGGATCAAAAACCCCTGAAAAGCAAGAGAGTGACTGAAAGCAAGGGACGGGTTGAATTCGGTGCTCGCGATCGAGTCAGAAAATAAAATGAATGACGATAGACGCCAGGCACAGCTGACAGACAAACAACATAGAACCCCTCCACCTTGTTTTCCAGCAGGAAGATGGGTGCATGCACGTATTTATCACGTCGTATTTCGTCCGCATGGCATGGGAGGTGTGCTCGTATTGTTGCTAAGATACAATAGGGAATTTCTGTCGGAAGTTGACGAATGCGCGTGCTGGAGAAGCAATGGTGGAGTCTACATGTAGCATAGCGGAAACCAGCACCTGTCTTTCGGCCAACCCACTGCTGATGGCGACACTCGGACCCAGGCAGAAACGCCAGTTGCCTCCCTCTGCACACTAGTGTATGAACCCCAGTTCGGCTCCGATCAAATTGCAAATTGCATTGGATCTCATACAGGAGGTGGTCCCACACAGCAAAGCAGTAGTTGTGGATCTTTAAAATATTGGAAGCTGTCAGACGACAAAAGAAGGACGGAGAAAGTAGGAGCTAGGGCGAAAGAGACCATGTAGGAAAGACAGACAAAACAGAAAACGATTGCGGCGAAGCAAAAGCAGAAATTGCGAAATTTACTCCGTGAGCATCCTGATCAGACAAGCACAGCAAATCAGGAAGTACGAAGTACGATGACCTAAGAAATATGGGGGTTTCCGGTCATAAACCACGCGAAATGCTGCAGAATGTGGACGCATAGTTGTATGTGGAGTGGATGTGGAGCTGATCATTTCTGTAAAAAGGCCGGCCTGGCCCCGAGATTGGGCAGGAGAAAAAGGTTAATTCTTTTCCTTTTTCCGAGAGACAGGTGGGTTTCCAGGTGGAGCTTCGGGTCTGGCAGCAGCCCGTGACCAGCCTCACTAGAAGCAAGATGAAGAATCTTTTGTACGGAGTAATACTGAATGGATCTGTTCATGCGACTCCTTTTGGCGGCCTGTGCTTGTGTCTGCACCCAGTCCCGATCAAGGGCCCAGATCGTACTTACGTCCCTGCTCAATAAAACGTGCTCTCATCGGTTGGGGGCCTATGATCCCCTGTAGCGTTCCATCATCCCGTTTCTGCCTGCGAGGGTGGGACGGGGCTGGTCCCCCAGGCTAAAGGGTCTCAGCAGGCAATGCAACCCCGACTTGGACAAACTGACAGTCTACAGAGCACCTGTGAGGTGCATAACTCGTATGCGTTCTCGTAAGACAATTTTCCGCATAGCTCTTGTCCGGTCCTTTGGCCTTCCTGTAACAGGGGGGGGGGGATTATCACCAGGCCCATAGTCACAGCTACGAGTAGATTACAGCGGGTAGAGACTGCACGTGTCTAACCTGACAACGGGACCGAGCTGCTTACGTGGCTCTTGGCCCTAAAACGGTTTGAGAAGTCGGTACCAAAAGCCTACCATGGTCGCGGTTTAAGGCTCCACGCGTGGTATAGTCAAGTATTCAATACGTAAAACTATCTAGACATGTTGATGGTACTCTGAGACGGCCGATTCAATCGAACCGTCGTGCGAGGCCGATGTGCGCTTGTTGTCTTCGAACTGCACATCGATCTCGTCATACACGTGAACGACGCCGTCTGTCAGTCCGCGGACGCTCTCTGCTCCACTTGCGGGGCCGGACCTGCCTCTCTGTGTGCTTGACACGTCGCGGGCAGCAGCCCAGGTTGAGCTGTGCTTGGTGCTACCGGGCTCGCGAAGTGATGTCAGCTCGATGCCGGTGGTCTTGTTGTTGGTGCGCAGATTGTAAGGCGCCTGCACAGCTGACACAGCAGTTGCACCCAGCAGACTGTCGGCGATGCCCTTCAGGCTGGGGATGCAGGCTGTCAGGATGGAGAGGCCGAGCGAGATTTGAAGCCAGATGAGGCTGGGGACGATGTGCCAAGTAGAGTCGGCATAATTGTCGTACAGATATGCAGCAGTGGAGAGACTGGGGATCGTCACGGCGGGGACACTGAGGCGCAGTGTTAGCTTGCTGAAATACAGGCGTGTAGTGGTGCCAGGTACAGGGGCACTGACATGATACGGGTGCCAAATAGGGCGACAACGACGATCTTGCGCTTCGGCGTCGTGTGCACCCCCCACATCATTCCGATGGGCAGGATGCAGAGCGCAATATCAGTCAGAATGTTGATGATGCCGTTGTACATGTAGATTGGACCGCGACTCGGGCACTGCTCTTTGCTCAGGGCCAGCCAGGGCCTGGGCAGGTGGCATTGAAAGATGGTGGCGATGGAGCCGCTGACGGCCCAGACAGCGATGAAGGCGCCCAGAATATGGTTAGCCGTCTTCAAGAGGCCCGTATGGTTAATTTGGCGGACCAGAAGGCAGAGCGAGATTTTTGTGCAGGCCTCAATGATGATGGCCAGGATGCGAGAGCAGTAAATAAGCTGGAACCGGTTAGAGAAACGAAAAGCAGGAAAGAAGCAGAAGAAGCAGAAGAAGCAGACATACCTTTCCGACTTGATTGTAGTCATGGGCAGAAACGGTATCCTGGTGCAGACCGATACCTCTGTTGCAGGCGACAATGATGCAGACCGTTTGGACAAAATACAGCAGTGCTCCCACCAACAGGATAACGTCGTGGGACTTGATCGAGGTGATGTTGAAGCGGATGATTAGCTTTGCGCCGACACCGAGAACGGCGTAAATGAGGAAGATAACGGCTGCCAACACAACGAGTCCTGAGTGGTTGACGTCCGACAAGGGGTAAAATGGCGCCGCTGCCGTCGTTGTGGTGGCAAGAGACGACATGTTGGCGATGTGGTGTTAGAGGTCGGCAGAAAAGGGCAAAGAGGGCCTGAAGAGAAGGAACAAAAGGCATGCATGTACGGCTGGAGGAAGAAGAAAGAGAAGTGATCGGCAAGGTTTTATCTGAGAGCATACACATCTGATGTCGTCAGACATCGGTTCCTCCTGTCTTGTTCAAAGACTCCGCGTCTTGACGTGCTCTTGTTCCCATTGCTTATTGCCCATTTGCCTATTTTGCCAATCATTCTTGTCTTTGCTCTGCCACTCTCACAGTCTTTCAGCCCCCCCTCTCGGCACCGGGATTTCGGATTCTTGGTATGAACTCGCACGTTCGCACCGGTTACACTGCTGCCACTGTAGATTTTCCACTCCGTACTTCGTACACGCGTGAGCAATAGGTCACCTCTGCCGTCTGACAAGACAATGCCCACTATCCGCGTACTGAGTGTGCACAAAGTGCATCCATGTCCGCACGAGCGCATCTCCCGTGCCAGGCCGCCCGTTGTTGTTCCTCGGAAACGGTCCCCCCTCTCATTTTGCAACAGGGGGGGGCATCGTATCCCGAAGTCTGTCAAGACGCTATGGCTCCACTTGTGGCCGTCAAAGCGCGCGCGCCATGCCTGCTAAAAGTGGACTGCCGAGCGTAGCGCCAAGAGTGGGTCCGGTACGCTTTCCGGAGGGTTTTTCCGAAGGAGCTTCCATCTTGGGAAAGATGACTTTGCGTCTTCCCATATACGAGAGCTCACTTTCGCTTTTACCCTCTATAGCGCCAGTAAGCAGTCGCCGTACCGTGGTTGAGGACAGCGCTAGTGGCCAGTCTCCGTACTCTGTCTCGTACCATGAAGTTGCGAGTGCGAGTGCAGGGCCAATAACAAGTACCCATTGGGCATTCGGTATTTGCTCTGCACATTGAGCGACAGATTTTCCAATTTGACAGCTATGGATACGAGCGATCAGCAGGACGAGACAACGAGGCCGTTGCTGGGTCATGAAAGCAGGGACATCAGATGCCGGAGCAGGAACGAGAGCAGGAACACGAGCAGAAGCAGAAGCAGTGGCCAGGCCCTGAAGCGCAGTGGATGGCGGGCTGAGCTGGGCCTGCTGGCCAAGTACTCGCTGCCGCTAATCGGCACGTACCTGCTGCAGTACTCCTTCACGGTGATCACGACCATGGTGGCCGGCCGGCTGAGCGCCGACGACCTGGCAGCTGCGAGCATCGGCGTGACGACGATGAACATCTTTGGTCTGGCCGTGGTCGAGGGCATGGCCACGGCACTGGACACGCTGTGCGCGCAGGCCTACGGGGCGGGCCAGCTGACGGGCGTCGGCCTGCATGTGCAGCGGATGCTGCTACTGATGCTGCTGGCCATGGTGCCGGTCGGCGGTCTCTGGCTGGCTTCGCCGTTGATTCTGCCGCGTCTTGTCCGCCAGCACGAGCTCGCCGTCAAAGCCGGCTCCTTTTTGCAGCTCAGCCTCGTCGGTCTGCCCGGCTATGCCGCCTTTGAGGCTGGCAAGCGCTTCCTGCAGGCCCAGGGCGGTTTCCGCGCCGCCATGATCGTCCTCCTCGTCTGCGCCCCCGTCAATGCCGTCCTCAGCTGGCTGTTCGCCTTTCACCTCGGCATGGGCCTCGACGGCGCTGCGCTCGGTGCCGCCATTGCAAACGATCTCCGCCCCCTTCTCCTGCTCGGCTATGTCCTCTTCTTCGGCCGCTGGTCCCATACTTGCTGGCCCGGCTTCTCACCCGCTGCCCTCTGCCGCGACTGGGCTCCGATGGTCCGTCTCGCGCTTGCCGGATCGGCCGTCACTCTCGCTGAATGGGCGGCCTTTGAGATCCTCACATTTAGCACCTCTTACGTCAGCTCCACCCATCTCGCCGCACAAACCGTGCTCACCACCACCTCTGTCGTCATGTGGCACATCCCCTTCTCCGTCAGCGTCGCTGTCTCCACTCGCATTGGCCACCTCGTCGGAGCCGGCCTCATTCCGGCGGCTCGTCGCGCGGCTGCCCTCTATTCCGTCGTGTTTGTCGTCATCGGCCTCTTCGACGGCATCTTCCTCGTCTCCCTGCGCCATCACCTCGGACTGGTCTTCTCAGACGATGGCCCAGTGCGCGAGCTGGCTGCCCAGGCTATGCTTGCTGTCGGCGCCTTCCAGATCGTCGATGCCATCAATTGCGGTTGCAACGGGGTTCTGCGCGGACTCGGCCGTCAGTCTCTTGCTGCTTGGCTCGTTTTTTTCGTCAACTATTTCGCTGCCGTGCCCCTTGCCATCTGGCTGGAGCTTGGCCCCTGGCATCTGGAGCTCAACGGGGTTTGGATTGGTCTGGGTCTCGGCATGATCGTCATTGTTGTTGCCGAATGTGGCTACATCAAGTATACCGATTGGAGCAGCTACATTTCACGTGAGCAGGGCGCATGAGGACTGCGCGTCACCAACATCACGTGTTAGAAAGGATGCCGGTGTCTATCTGGTGTAAAATGAAACCTTTGCCTCATACTCCGTACAATGAATGTCTTGCATTCGGGCGCCTAAAGAGGCAACTAGTGCGGGGAACTAAGAAAAAGTTGAGTAGAAGAGGAACTGCTGTCAAGCTAAAAGGTCTTAGACATATCCGGTGTGTCTAAACGATCCGTAACTCCATTATCAATCTAATCTTTATCTCCGGCCGCTATGAATATAAAGACGGGTGATTGCGGCTATGCGGCTGCAATAGCTGCCACCCCATTCGGCTATTCGGTTATGCTGAGGCTGGACTTTAACATGACTGCACTCGGTTACATTCCGGTCTTGGTGTTGGTGGTATCGCTGATGACGGCTCTTGTCCAAGCGTCCTTACCTGATGAGATCACCCCGAGCATGGAAATGGCCCGTGAACGGGCTCCAGCCATCTTCAACGCGTTGAACAATGCCATGCGCCAGTGGGGGTCTTCGCTGCACCACAACGGCATGTCCGTCTTTCTGGCCACTGTTCCGGAGAACGTGTTGCTGCATCACGGAAACGTTCGAGAGACGTCGCCGACAGAACCCGAATGGCTTGCTTACGAGATCGAACATGCCGAGCTGTTTGCCCGAACATGGCTGCAACAGAAACCAGTGCCCGCCGTCTTGGCGCAGTCTGAGCCGGTCCCGTCTGCACAGAAGCAAGTCAGGCGTACGGCCGACCAGAAATTCCGTGGCTGGATGCACGTCTACCGCTCGACCCGGCCGCTGCATTACCTCTACATTGACGGCATGGCCGGCGCCAAGACAGCCATGGGCACGCTGGACTCGCAGGACCTTCTTCTGCGCAAGAACGGGACTGGCGGCAATGCTGGCTCTATTCTGGGCGAGCGGCAACGCGCGGCTGATCTCTGTGCTCTGGTTCGGCCGTGGGGACTGCAAGGAGTCATTCGCATGGAGGCCGGCTTCGAGATCATCCAGTGCGACTTCTCCGATGGCCTCGAGCAGGTCCAGGCGCTGCGCCGGGCCAAGGATGACGCTGCGGGCGACATCGGCGACGGTCGCGGCCTTCGTGGCCTCGAATTCCTGCGCGGCCTTGCTGAACGCTACCAGGACATCGGTGCCCAGAGAACCGTTGTCGACTACTCCTCCATGGTCTCGGCCTTCTTCTTTCCCCTCAACCTGACGAACCCAGACGGCGATCGGCCGGACCTGCCCCGGCTGCTGTCTGTCGGTGCAGCCGGCCTGACAGCCATTCGGCACTATCTCGAGACCACCATCGAGCGTCGTCACCACGGCAATGACTGCTTCAAACCCGACTGGCAGGGTGTCACTGATCTCATCGTCGGCCGGTACGCTGACCGCTTGAAGTTCATGGCCACCGAGATCGACTCGCCCGAGTCCATGGCCATTGAGGCTGCCTTCCTGCTCGACATCTACATCGACTACCCCGATGAGGATGATGGCAACGACATTGATAGAGCTGCAGCCATCGACCGCTGCACCCACTACTATCTGCACAATCCGGTTCCATTGTCCGCCACATATCCTGCCAACGTTACGAATCAGCTCATACACACCGCCCTGGCTACCGTCACCGACGAGATCTGCACCGCTCTCTTCCACGTGCGGGACCTTGTATCCGGGTACGGAATGCTGAGCCATTCCGAGCGAGAGACCGCTCTCGCCGCCTCGGTTAAGACGTTGCAGTCACTAATTGCATACCTCGGCTGGGCCCGTTTCAAGCGCTGTCCGGCCTGTGGCATCGGAGAGATCTGCATGATTCCCATGTGGCCCATGGGAACGGTTGAGCTGTACGAGAAACCGAGCTGTTGCAACGGTACTGACTCGCTTGACGGAGAGAACTATTGGGGTGAATGGAGCTGGTCGGCTGCTGGTGAGGGAAAAGCATGAAGAACTCAACCAGATGGCTGAGTCTACTCTCATAGCAGATGGACGCAAAACCACATCTGTCAATTGCATTTTGTACTTTGGACTTGCATACTCATTCGCTCATAAGCTCATACATAGCAGAAACACAAGCACAGAAACTGCCTACATTTTGTATCTTACTTGAAGTTGTTTTTAACGTATCGAATATACCACCGATTTGCTGATTTGACAAGGCAGCCTGCTTGGAGTATTACACTTTCAGAAACGGTGACTTTTGCTCCGTCTTCTGGCTCAAGACAACACATTCCTCCCCGTGGACAATCCCCGTGGACAACAGTACGGGCGATCTGCGATCAACAGCAACGGGACCAATCGCGGTTGGCTGGATGTCAAAGTCAAAAAATCTGCGTCGGCAGTCTGACCTTTACGTTGGCGGTAGGTATGTCTGGCACGGCAAGGACCATTGCCTCGACGGGAGCGGCCAAATGATAGGAGCTTCACGGAAAGATGACAAGGAGAAGGGGTAGAGAGATATTTGGACAGAGATTGCGAGCAAAAGAGAGTGGTGGGTTGATATTGAACAAATACACAGGGGATACAAAGAGCAGATACGACAGACCCTCAATACAGGTGTCATTATGCCTTTATCATGACGCGCGTTGACAACTTGCACAACAACGAAGATTGTGCTCGGCCAAGGACAACTCGGCTCCGACTTTGCCCTCACTCGGCCTTGATTCGGCCCATCTGCTGCAAGTCCGACTTAGTTCGTGGATAACTGGTGCGGAATATTATGTCATCACAGACTTTGTATAAAGCAGCAGTCTGGGTTAATATGACTCACTGTGGCAGAACTCTCTGCTTCCATTCCACTTCCAGCAAGTGTATCGCAGGTCGCCGTTGTACATGAATCCCAAGAAGCCCTCCTTGAGCTGACTTCATCAACGACCGTCGGCGAGACCTTTTCCGAGGTCGAGCAGCTGGCCTACTCGACTATTACGGCGGGTAAATAATTGACCAATGAATACGTGATTCAATCTCAAAGTATCTCGAGTTGATACGGTTCGTCGTCTGAAAATTAAAAACCCAGTGCCAGCTAAGTGCCTGGAGCTAGGCTGGGAAGCGATTGAGAGCATTAACACGGATTCACGGCGCACTCTGACACCGCTCAAACCTCTGATACGCCGTCCATTTCATGTATTTAAAAAGCCCTCCTGTCATCCGTACAAGTAACTTCTTTTGTCCTCCCTTAGTAAAATCAAAATATAAAATGATAGATATCTTCAGCCTTTCTTGCCTGCCTTCGCTAATGTGGATTTCCAGGGGTATCAAAAGTCGTCCTGTTGGCGTCTTTGAAATTCTTCGCTCTGTACTTGTATCGCGCTCAAGATCTTTACCTCCTAAAGAGATCGTCCTCGCCAGTTATCAGGACCCGGCTATTTCAGTCATAGATCTGCCTCATCAAGGGACGGGCTGAGTTTTGACAACTACCGGACTGCCTGTAAGGGAGATTGCACGGACGCGTAGGCGAATAAAAAAAATCTCGTCTCAGTCCTGCATGGTTCAGACTCTCAGTATTTCCTATTGTAAGATTGAAGACAACTGCACACTGAGCTACAACTTTGGACGCATTGTATTTCTGTTCTTTGCTCTGCAGACTACGGAGTACATTACGCCATAACGACAAAATATTCTACACTCAAGAACGATTTCGAAACAATGATTTAAAACTAAAGTGAAGTTGCAAGCTAGACTCAATTAATTGGACAACAGCGATGTCTCCTACTTCCGAGGGTTTCCTTACTGCACCCCTTGCTTTGATTCTTATGCATCTCAGAGTTTGTTCTCGCGCTGAACTCCTTCACAGCACTTTGCCAGCGCTGTCTGAATAGCTGCTTTGATATCCTCCGCACTCTCCAGCCCAACACTGATCCTTATGATATGCTGAGGAAGACCATGGGCAGCTACTCTATCTCTATTGTAATAATGGACCAGCAGTGAAAACGGCACGGCAATGGTGAAATTTGTACCGAAGCTGGATCCTTTAGGTACGTTCAGCATGTCGTAAAAGCGATGTGCAACTTCCTCATCATGGAAAACTACGCCCATCACAGGACCGTAGCCTCCGCCTTTGCGCATAAGGCTGCTGTAAACAGGTAGTGACTCGTCAAATTTGGGATAGTTGAGTCGCTCGATCAGTGGATGGCCGTATAGCATTTCAGCGATAGCGAGCGCATTCTGGTTGCACCTCTGGGCACGCCAACGCACATGTCGACTGTTCCGTTCGAGAACTTTTGTGTCCAGGGGAAAGATGAAAGCTGGCTCATACCGATCTTGTAGAGCCGCTTGGACAGTGTCATGGTAGCGTGACGCTGGGTTGATTATGACGCTGAAATTTGTCAGACTGCAATTCCAATGGTTGCTCTTCCGCTACTTTAAAAGGACTTGCCTCCCGCCTGTGACATCAGATGCACCGCTGAACATTTTGGTTAAGCTGGTCAACATGACATCCGCATATGGCATCAAGTCGAGGTTGATGAAGCTGGACACTGTATCATCGCAGGCGAGGATAAAGCCGTATTCATCTGCCAGAGCTCGTAGGCGTTGCAATGGGACAGACGACAGAAATATGTTGCTGGGGAGCTCGCAGATCAATGCACCGATGCACTCTCCAGCTTTCAGCCGAGCCGTGAGGTCCTCTAGATCCTGTTCTGTTCCCCGTTTGTATCCGATAAATTTCTCCCATGGGCCGTGCTTCAGAAGATGAATTGTCTCGTCGTATATCCATCTAGTTGTACATTAGGAAGATGTGTACGGTACAGGCAAATATGGGGAACATACCCGAATGCAACCACTGTGGACGTCGTTGCCACTGCCTGCATGGCTTGGGAGGCATGGTAGATGGCGCTCATTCCAGTCGAATATAGGGTGACATTTTCTGCAGTTATTGCGGGGAGCGAGGAACACTCGGGAGTAAACAAATTGGCAATTGTTGACCTGACATGCATCGCAGTGGTAGAAATATCGCCTACCCAGGACGGAGTCGGTAGTGTAGTTATAGGCTGTGGTGGCTGGCAGTTTATCTTCTCATTGCTGGAAACAACTTCCAGGTAATCGATGTAGTCTTTCGCAAAGACAGCATGTCTCGTTGTCAGTCCTCCTCCAGCAGTCATCCAGAACATCATCGCTGGCTGCTTGGCTTCTTTCGGGAATATCGCCATGGAAAAGCTGGCAATTTCTAAGACCCGGACAGCGCTCCCATTGTAATCACCGGGGACTCGAAATTGTATAATCTCAGGAGCGATGTCCGGGCTCTCTTTCGTAATGTGGGTTGCGCAATCCTGAGCGAAAGTTGCGGTAGGAAAAAGAAAGCATGTAGTATCTCCATTTATAGCAATGTTGAGCCTCTCAAAGGCTGCGTCTGCAAGTTCTCGAATTGGCTTATTGATGAAGAATCTAAGTATGGGTGTGACCTCACGTTAGCCGTAATATCGCAATAGATGGGCTTTCCTTGTAAATGAGTGCTGCTTTTTACGGACCTCGGATAACACCACTCTATGTGCTCGTTTTTCCATTCTTCGGGTTCTTCGCAATACGCAATTGTAGAGTTCCATGTCGGCAATGAGATACTGACGCCCTATGCGAGAAAAAGTATTGGCAAGTATTCGAAAATAGTTTCACAAGACATCCACCATCTCAGACGTGATACTCACGTGTTTGGAATCTAGGGGATAGACATAAGCGGTGCCAAACGGTTGTTCCTCGAGTCTGTTTGGGGGGAGCATGGGGAGCATGTCCTGAACTTGACGTGAGAAGTCCATTTTAGAATAAGCTTGGCGTTTGTATGTACTAGTTGAAATGTCACGGTTGGAATTGAACGTAACTATCAAAATGTTATAGACAGATATAGTTTTTTGATTTGTGACATGTCTGGACTTTAATACTTCTGGGGCAGAAGCCTTACACGCAGGAATTATTACTGGATTGGCTTCAATCCTAGGAGCTTACATACACCGAACCGCGTTCCCTTCCTATGGAGGTGGGCAGATTAGCTTACGACGTACTCCCTACCGAACTCGACTGCATGCAACTACAATCCGAATACGATTTGAAAAGTACAGTAGAAAAGGTGGCCCGGTCATTTGATGATTCAGAAACATCCATACAGTCATACGACTAAAAACGTAGATTTTCTTCTTCAAGACGATATATTGGAGGGGACGTATGGACACCCTTCCGACCTGACAATTCTGTAAAAAGGCTGCAGCCAAAACGAAGGGCACAACATCTTGACTGAAGCGGTCAAGCATTGCATCTAGGCCCGCTGGCGCATTACACCACAGGGGAATGAAATTTTAAAACCCTCGCTAGCAGAGTGCAGCAGTAGATTTGCGTTAGGTAAGAGCAATCGTTCTACCTGTACTGAGAATGGCGTCTGCCGTAATCAGGGAAGTGCAAACCGATCATAAAAACAACACGAGGTTACTAATAGCGTACGCCGGAAGATAGCATACAACTCACCATCCCTGCCGCCTGTAGCCATCTTCACAAAATCGTAGTCTAGTAAAAGCTCTTTCCTTCTCTTCTGTGAGGGTAGCTACTGTGTAATACGGAGTACTCGTGACACCCCCACTTAAAAGGTCAAGCGAAAGCGCGCCCCTACTCCGTACTCCACGCAAATTATATAGTGGGACAAGGCACGGGCAACGCGGAAGGTTAAACGGACCGCACCGTGAAGATCCGTAGCTGTATTGGGTAAGATCGGCACAGTGTAATAAGGAACAGATACGAGTCCGAATTTTTGCACATCGGGCTTCTTCCACTTCGTAGTCTTTTTGCATACTACGAGTAACGGCTCCTTGCACTTTTGGGCCGTTCGGCCAATCACAAGCTGCATGACCATGTTCCTCCACAGTGTGGCGAATTCCTTCACCTCCCCCTTTTCCATTCTACCCTAACCGTAAATCAGCTGGCGGCGCTAACGAGTACCGAGTTTCTCGTACGAGTAATCGTGCCATGGTACTCTATTTCATGGCCCACTGTAACGCGGACATACGGAGTAAGATACTACCCCGTACCATGCAACAAGTTACGAGTATACAGAGCACAGCCGGCTATTTTGTTTCTTAGCGTACATTTGGTAATTTTCTGTGCCATTCGCTTGCAGACGGTAGCACTTGTTCCCGTTCTCCCCTGGCCAACGCTAGACTGGTTCTTACGTCGTACGGGGTAGTAGAGTACGACGGTGACAATGGTAAGTTTCTACAGAGTGGGATGCGCAATTGTATTGCGCACTGTTTTCGATACTCACCGGCTTGCCATAAGTCCCCGGTCAGTACGGAGTACGGGGCATGAGTAAGACACATAGAAGTACGGAGTACCCTAGTTCCATTCGCCTATGAATACGAGCACATTAGCATGGGCCATGAAATACGGAGTACTATCTAGAATGGGGTGTGGCACAGTTACATAGTAGATCTCTTTTTACGTCAACACGCCTAGCGCGTAGTCTTCTCTATAGCTAGGTACCATGAGACAATATTTATACGCCAGAGTACTTTACTATGCACTCCATAGAGATAAAGTGTTACGCTAGACATCGCTTTGGCCATCTTGTCCGTGCGGCTGCTGAGCGTAATTAATTCGTCTGTGTGCATATTGAGTTGCATATCAACGTTAGTATACGACGCAGATATTCTGTACCTTTGGCACTACGGAGTATACCATTCGTGATACAGAGCACTTCACAGCTGCAGCCTAGATTTATATTTGTCCTTTCCAACTGCTTGCAGGGTGTAATGAAATTGTTTAGGCTAAATACACAGTCTGGGCCTAAACCTGATCGTCTTAGTCCTCCTTTCTATACATGGAGTCCTCCCACACCTCTGGAGCCTTTCCGTCCTTGTGCGACTTAGCAATTCGGTCCGCTATGTGTTTACCAGCCCATACACCTTCAAAGCACTTGGGGGTTTCTTCAGTGATACAGGAGCTGAGGGGCTCAATCCAGGCATTTCTGTTAGGGTTACCAAACCACGCGAGCGCATACCGCGAAGGCAGTTTCCCTGCAGCATCCAACTTAGATACGTCAGGTGGCGGACTGACTACTCTGTGTTCGGTAGATTTGAGCTTGCCGTTAAACCATCGGGAAAGAAGGTCACCAACTGATCGTTTCATCAGATGTTGTGCAAAACGCGTCAAGGTAGGTCCCCAAAGAAGGCTGTATACTTACCGTTGATGATTGCGCAGCCTGAAATGGGAGGTACATTCAACCACTGACCATCTTTTCCACGAACCTGTAAGCCGCCATTGCTGTCATTGAATAACAATGTCAAAGTGCCGTAATCTGTGTGGGGGCTAGCTCGTAAACGGACCCCTATCGACTCTGGTGTAGAAGGTGGGTAGTGTAGGAGGCGGAAGAAATGGTCCTTTTCATTCACAAGAGGATTAAAGTGATCCTTAGACAACCCATGGGCCGCTGCGAATGCGCCCAATAAAACAAGATGGATCTCATGGCATTTATGAAAAAAGTAATTCATGTCGGTCCTGAACTCAGGTCGGTTCTCAGGCCACTGATTAGGCCGATTCAGGTTGTTGTCATCGCCAATGTCATAGCCTTCCCTCTGATCGGCGGCTTCTGATTTCGATATACGCTCTGATGAAAACCAGCCGTGGAAGAACACTTTTTCACTGGACTCGATCTTTTCTTTTTCTGCGATGGGTAATTCGAAGAACTCCTTTGCATGTGCAAAGAGCTGGTTTGTTTTCTCGTCGGTGATGCCATGGTTCTTTAGATACAAAAAACCGAAATCGTTGACAGCCCTGAGCAGCTTCTCGTTCTCTGCCACATTCTCGGTTGTTTTATCGGAAAAGAAGGCCTCGATTCTGGAGTAGTCTATGATAGGGAGATTGGCCGCGTCAAAGACTGTAACTCCTGCTAGATTGTCCATGTTTGTTTGTTGGTGTCCTTTAATCTGTTTTCTGTAAAAGATTTCTGAAGACTAAGAATGCTCGTTTTAGATGAGGTTGAACTTAGTCATTTATAACTCTTTATGATAAGGTTGCTTGCATAGTGCTCATGATACTTATTCATTTGCTGTTTAAATCGGTTTGCACAAGCGGAAGTTCCTTGCTTTAACCGAGAGATAACGTCTACTTCAGACGGAGTAGTGCTTCGCACCCCTACTCCATATATTTCGCCACACGCCTCGAACATGGCCACGCGGCCCTCTGATCAGCTAAAGAGCACCACAGTGGGTCTTAGCACTAGTAACGCACTCCTACGTCGTAGAGGGAGAGCGATGTATCTTTTTTTCCCCAGTACAACCCCAGTACAACACGCTCAGCAATTACGGAGTACACCTTGCCTGTTCCATCTTTCTGCTCCTTACAGCGCATCACCTCCGTGGACCCTTCGTACGAGGTGGATGGGGTATTATTCGCGCCCCTTGTTAGGTATTTTTAGGCGTGTCTTCAGATCTTTGCCATTGTAAACAATGGAGCAGTACTTCTAACGGTGGAAACAATCGTTTTCGCACGCCTAAAATCCCCTATCAAGTAAGGCTGCCAAAGTCGAGCGAGATTTTGCCACCGTTCAGATCTGGTGAGTGCACCTGTGGTGAGTCCGAATAATATCCCATCCACCTAGTACGAGTACTCGTATTAGCCTTTTTTTTTCACAGTTGCTCACGAACATCCCCACTAACACGATAGCGACGCTTTCTGTCAATGCCGCTTTCTCATCGGAGATTCATGCTTGAAAAACCCCCCCCCTCCCGTAGAGCGTACATCATCTGCCGTCTCTGTACTGCGTAAGAACATTTACAAAATCCGTGCTGGTTCAAACGGGCAATATTAGCTGATGCAAATCCAATAACTGCACGTTGCGTTACCGTTGCGAACATGCGTCAGATTGCGATAGTTTGGTAAAGCATGCAAAGCTAGCATCACAGCAGACTAACTTGGATGGTCCAGTACGCTAAATGTCGGTTCACCGCAGGATTGTTTGATTCTCCACGGGCAAATAATTAGGCGAAGGTAGTAGCAACCGTGCGTATGTATAACTTACTCGTATCTTACAAGGACGTGTTGTGCTATCGTAAGTTGCTGACCCAATAAGACCTTTAGAGCCCCCTTATACGGAGTACTGTGGCACTGATTGCAGCATACATGAGTATAAACGAAGCTTGTGATACGACACGAAAAAAAGTCTAGAATCAACAAGCACATTGACCGGGGTGCGTATATTTACTGAAACTGAGGTAACTATTCACACCAATATTCCCCACAGTGTATCGACTATTTCACTGGCTTAGGTACAGTTGAATCTAGCACTAAACGTCCTGTAGCATTGTAGGACTTGAGTATTTAAAAAGCCATCCTTATCTACACCGGCCCCCAACGCTTTTCCATATACTGCTCTCAAATGTCCACTCCGACTATCTTGAAATTCGTGTTCTTATCTACCAAATAAATTGACATGTCTTCCAGTGTTCCAGTACAGGCCCAGACCAGTATTTCTGGCAATGGGAGCAAGCCCCGAGCAAAAATCGGTGTCTTCTGTGGCTCAAGCAGCGGCACCAACCCAGCATATGTGGAAGCTGCCCAAGCTCTGGGAAGGGCATTGGCAGAGCACGACATTGATTTAGGTATGTTTTCGGCCAATGTTACTTACTCTTTCCAATAAGGACAAGCATTTACTCACCTTGCGAAATTGTAGTCTATGGGGGCGGTACCGTCGGCCTGATGGGCGAAGTAGCAAAGGTTGTTTGTTCGATCAGAGGACCTTCAGCTGTCCACGGCATAATCCCTCAAGTTCTAGCCGAGCACGAACGCACCGACGCATACCAAATCGCCCAAGGCGACCTTTACCTGCCTGACGAGTCCAAGTATGGCCGCACAACCGTGGTCCAGGACATGCACACTCGCAAGAAAATGATAATGCGGGAAGTTCTTAGCGGTGGCCCTGGTAGCGGCTTCATTGGCCTTCCCGGCGGATATGGCACCATGGAAGAGCTTTTTGAGGTCATTACGTGGAACCAGTTGGGCATTCACCAGGTGGGCGTTTGCTTGGTCAACACAGATGGATTTTGGGACCCGATCGTTCAATGGGTAAACAGTGCTAGCATGAATGGATTTGTAAAACCGGAAAACAAGCACATTGTGGTGACGGCTAGCGAGCCCGCGAGAGCGATTGAAGCGCTACGAGATTACAAGGTATCTCCAGAGGTATTTAAGCTGGGATGGGCGAATTTATGATCTCCTATAGCCAGACTGTTTTTTTTTAAAACAAAAGCAGTGCAAAAACCACCGTCACGGCATACGATGCAACCTCCACTTGACTAATCTTGTACACAGCAATTGCTCCTACTACCCCGTGCCCTGTAGTCCGTGTTCCTCGTTAAATTAGCCTTTGTAAAGTCGGGCTTAGCGTACGATCTAAACGCATTACTATTTCATAAAATGCCTTATGTAGCATTGGAGAATTACTGATTCTTTACGGAGTACTACTCTACGATACCTGCCTCTTACGGAAGTAGGCCAGTTAGGTATGCACGGGAACGGGTCCCGGTTATAGGCGGATCTTTATCATGTACGGAGTACTCCGTACTAACTTGCTCTACGGGGATGGCGTGCGATTGCTAGTACTACTCCGTATGTAAGCAAGTAGGCCCCGCACTAGTCCGTCACAAATAGATCAGTTCGCCCACTTCTAAGGCGGTAGCTAATTTTTAGTCGTAGTGTTTCCAACCCTCAAGCTCTTAATGTCAAATGAGTCATCCTCCCAAATAATACATTTGTACACTCGACTTCGCCTTTTACTCTCAACCTCTCATCTCACGGAGTACAAGACTGCTCGTCTGCCAACCATAGAGCGGACATAATGGCGTCGTCAATACCAGGCTCCACGGGTCAGCCCAACAATTCAGCGGCCAACGTCATAAACCAAACTGATATGCAAGACGACTCCCAACAAATAAAAACTTCCCCCACAAATGCCAACAGCAGTCAGACAAGTACACAAGATCTAGACGAGAAGCCGGATCCCATCAGCTTGCCCGAAGCTGGCAGGACCAAGTTTCAGACGGCAGTTATCATGGGAGCTCTCATCATGTCCCTCTTCCTTTCCGCTCTCGACAGTACTATCGTTACTACCGCCGTTCCCACCATTGTTAGTCATTTTAACGCCCCTTCCGGCTACATTTGGATAGGTAGCGCCTATCTGCTAGGAAACGCTTCCGTTGTACCAGTCTGGGGAAAATTGTCCGACATTTTTGGTCGCAAGCAGACCTTGCTCCTCGCAGTTGGCATATTCCTGTTGGGATCACTGCTCTGTGCAATCAGCCGCAGCATGGGAATGCTGATTGCTGCGAGGGCTATCCAGGGTGTTGGCGGTGGTGGCGCCGTTGTGCTACCCAACATTTGCGTTTCCGATCTCTTCTCCCTGAAAGAGCGCGGTATGTATTTCGCTCTACTTAGCAGCGTCTGGGCTTTGGCATCGGCCTTGGGTCCTGTTATGGGCGGTGTTTTCACAAGCAGGGTGTCTTGGCGTTGGTGCTTTTACATCAACCTTCCCTTTGGCGGCTTGGCTCTTGGCGTTTTGGTCTTCTTCCTGCATCTGCACAATCCTCGCACGCCTCTTAGACAAGGTCTTGCTGCCATTGACTGGGTTGGTAACCTGCTTATCATGGGTGGCACGCTCATGATTCTCATGGGTCTTCAGTTTGGCGGGGATAAATTCCCCTGGAAATCCGCGACTGTTATCTGTCTCATCGTCTTTGGCGCTGTTGTCATTGCGCTCTTCTGCATCTACGAGTCTAGGTTTGCCGTCTATCCCGTCATGCCTCCACGCATCTTCCAGTATCGAAACACAATTGCCGCGTACAGTTTGAGCATCACGCATGCTATGGGATTTCTCGGCGGTAGCTACTGGTTGCCCTTGTATTTCCAGGCTGTTCTCGGCGCCAACTCGCTCTTGTCTGGAGTGTATTTGCTACCATACGTCGTTTCGTCATCGTTCGCTTCAATAGGCTGTGGTTTTTTCATCAAGAAGACTGGGAACTTCCGGTGGCCTATCAGTGTTGGTCTATTCGTTATGACCATCGGATTTGGCCTCCTAACATACCTCGGCGATAAGCCTCATTGGGACCGCATCATCATCTTTCAAATCATCGCCGGACTAGGATCTAGCACCAACTTCCAGGCGCCTCTCATTGCTGTCCTAGCCAATGTCGAGCCCCAAGACAGTGGTGCCGCCACTGCTGCCTACTCTTTTGCTCGTCAAATTGGCACGTCTGTGTCAGTCGTTATTGGCGGAGTTGTATTCAGCAACGCAATGAACTCACAGCAAGGTCATCTGAGATCCGTTCTGGGCGCACAAATTGCGTCGGAATTCAATGGACGGGACGCTTCCGCCAGTGTTCAGAAGGTTGCGGGACTTTCTACAGATCAAAGGAAGATCGTCAGAGCTGCCTATTGGGATGCGCTGCAGAAGATGTTCATCCTGTATGCCTGCGTCGTTTTTGTCGGCCTGTTGATTAGCCTGTTCATTCGGCAAGTCAAGCTGTCTCAGGAACATGTAGAATACAAAACTGGTCTGCAATCTTTGAAAAAGGAAGACTATGGAAAGACTAAGGAGACCGACAAGGAAACTCCACCGGACGAGAAGAGTGCCACGGATAGAACCTAGAATCACCTTATGTAGCAACCCAAAAATAAGTTGTAGTAATTAAAGAAGTCATCCTATGGGATTTACACGAATGAACAATGTAAACGATGCAAGAGTGGTAATACCAGATTAGAACATATCAATCGGACTTTTGTATCAATCCATCGTTTATTGATATGGCATTCGAATACTATCCTGGCCATATATAGTTCAATGAGCTTCGTCTACTTTAAAGAAGTAAGGGTGCATGGTCTAGGGGTATGATTTTCCCTTCGCATGGGAAAGGTCCCCGGTTCGAATCCGGGTGTATCCACAATTTTTGCTGCTGTTGCTTGCCAGTGGCAAGGCTCCCAAATTATGATGTTGCGGTATGATACATTTTGCCACAGAATTTTCATAATTCGTATAGGCAACTGTTATTGTATAGCACTTTGTTAAGCAACATGGCCCTATGTCTACGCAGAGTTTGGCCCGTTCTACAGGCGTTCTATAGGACCGGAAAAAAGCGCAGCCTCGCCTCTTTCCCCTAGCATTGTACCGTTTTCTTTCCTAGTCGGTTTTTGATTGAGTAGGTAAGCCTACAGTGCTTCTAAAGAAGAATGTTCTTGTCACAGCTCTAACACGCGGACTTGTGATTGGATACGAAGGCGTGAGACACGCATAACACAAATATATATCGCCGCCGTATGCTTTATACCAACGGTCTCAAAAACGATGCCGGGAGCGTCGGATGCGAAAGCGTAGGAACATTGAAAGCGATTTTGGCTATGAGATGGAAATAGCAAGGAATGCTGCGTTGATGACCGATCTGACAAGAGATGCCGCGTAGGGCGCCCACACAAAATCAATCTATACCCGATGCTATGATAGAGATGTAAGCCAACGATAGGATTTATCTTGGACAAGTGGTCAAAATATGACGTTAGAGATAAACGGTTCCACACAGCAGTCCTCTACCAATCACATCTAATACGTTCTATCGGGTAGTATTTCCATTTCACATTTGCTGGAAGGTAAACTGGCCATTGACAACTTAACGGGGCGATATCTCACATATCACCAGTCCAACTGGCATACGACGGACGCCAAGCCTTGCACCACGGATAGGCAAGATATATATCGCGTACGCGTACGGCCGTTGCGTCGTCCTTGTCTGGGCTTCAATCGGGTCTGCGACAAATCTGCACTCTACATGCTATAAGGCATATTGGAGCACTTTAAGCCAAGGCGATCACCCACGTAAGCCAAATGGAGGCCTCTGGCAAGATCTACCGATTGCTTTATCCTTAACAGGAAAATGTTCAGCACTCCCAGACGGCTGAAGTTGTGCTTTCGCTAAAGAAAGTATGGCGCACAAAAATTGTTGAGCTGAAAGTGGGTTTAGTTTCGTTACATGCAGGATACTACGGCTTTTACGTTGGCTGTGTTATCTCAAGCCCGAATACTTCGTACGATACCTCCTACGCTTCTAGGTAGGCACCTAATTGCGTTATCAGCACCTCAATCAAATAGCTTCATTTCGTGAGGATTCGTGGCCTCTCTTGAGCCTATATTAGCTAGTTCTTTCGGGTATATAAAGAGAACCTCTTGCCCAGATTAGCTGGCTGGTTTCCTCTCCTCTTCAGTTCGATTACTTTCATCTTTACGACAGAGATCTTCAGGTTCATTCACCCATATCTGTTTGTGGAGGACCTGGTAAATTTATCCGTCTTGTCTGATTGTGTCGCACACCAAGGCAGATAGCGTTACAAACAAGTCAACCACAGTTCACTCAGGAGGTGTTGAAGTCAAGATGGATGGCCACTTTGATGGCAAGTTTCAGGACTTTCAGAGACTGCAGAGGGGCTATGGCTGACTGGGCAGGATCCAATTTCACCGAAAGTCGCCACACGGATACGTATCTTACGATCGACCCTAGCAAGCTCGATTTTGGTGGGCGCTACGTCTTCATTACCCGCGCGTCCAAAGGTATAGGCCGGGACATAGCTCTGTCGTATGCAAGTGCCGGAGCCGCCGGTATTGGCATTGGGGCGCGGTCGGACACGGCGGACCTGCCGGGGCTGTTAGCAGAGGCAGCGCGCATGGCCGGCCACACAGAACCCAAAGTTGTAGCTGTGTCCGTTGACGTGACCGACAAGGATAGTGTCGCAGCGGCGGCCGTAGCCGTGGGCGACGTCTTTCCTCGTCTGGACGTGCTGGTCAACAATGCCGGGTACATGGAGATTCACCAAAAAAAAATGGCGAAGGCGACCCGGCTGAGTGGTGGAAGACGATATCAGTGAACGTACTGGGGCCTCTTCTTGTGACACGTGCCTTTTTACCACTGATGATTGGCCGTGGTCCCGGTGGCTTGCGCACAGTCGTTAATCTGAGCAGCATCGCCAGCCATGTTCTGTGGACTGGTGCGGTTGCTTACCATACGAGCAAGCTGGCGGTTCTGCGTCTGGCCGAGCTTCTTAACGTCGATTACAGCAAATCTGACGGCCTATTGGCCTACTCGGTACACCCAGGCATCTCGCCTACTGATATGGGCAACCGCCTTCCGGAGTATCTTACCTCGAAAGTTACTGATACGCCAAAGCTGGGCGCCGACACTGTCGTGTTCCTTACCGAAAAGCGCCGTGACTGGCTTGCTGGTCGCTACATTGCGGCCAACTGGGATATGGACGAGCTTCTCTCCCGGGAGAAAATAATTGTGGAGGGAAACAAACTCAAGGTGCGGATGATTGCATAGGGGCCCGAAGAGAGAGTACAATAACTGCATAATCGAAATCGTACATGAACAATAAGACGTCCATCAGATTCATCCGCCACTTCCGTGTGATTTCGCTATCATTTCTCGCTCACAAAGCAATCGGTGCATGGGAATACTTGCCAAGAGTTGAGTCGAACTTGGCACAGTCAGCAACAGACTCGGTCCATAAGGCATCAATGAATTTCTGGCCGTCGGCGGTGTTCAGGAACTTTGCGCCAGGGTGGATTTTGTTCTGCTGCAGAAATGTGCCGTTGGTTTCGGGGCCGCCAACGACAGCGGCATACACGAGAGTCCGGGCGCCTTGCTGGACAGAACGGCCGGCGACCAGACGTGCTAAGGCGGTGGGATAGCGCAGATAGAACGGCAAGCTGTCGTCGAGGTGGGTGGCGTGAAGAAGGCCCGGACAGACGTTGTTGACGATCACGAGGTCAGGGGAGTCCGTGAGGGCCGCGAGCTTGCGGACGTGGGCGTTGATGCAGAGCTTGGTGTCGGCGTAGCGGTTCAGGCGAGAGAAGTGTGTGGGATCGTCAAAGTGGCCGATGACGGTCTCGCCGGCATCAAAACGGACGGGGTCATTTGTGAGCGTCTCCTGTAAGACGTGGGTGGCGGAGCCGGTGAAGGTGATGCGTGCCGGGCGACCTTGGACTCCGCGAGCGCGAGCGGTGGCGACCAGCAGCGGCAGAAGCTCGAGACAGATGAGCAGATGCGTGTAGCAGTTGACCTGCATGTTGCGTTCGTGGCCGCCAGCCGCCGACTGCACATTCTCGCGCCGCGTCACAAACTGGCCGGCATTGGCCAGCAACACGTCGAGCTCAGGCACCTCTGCGCGGACGCGATCGACAAAGCGCTGTCCTGAGCGGTAATCGGCTAGCTCGAGCTCATACGCCTCAATCACGGCTTTTCCGTTGGCCAGCTGCACCTCTGGATCGGCCTTGAGGGCTGCCACGGCTGTGGCGCCCCGGGAGGCCGAGCGCGACGTGATGATGAGGCGTGCGGCTCCCAGCACCAGGAACTGGCGCGCAGCCTCGAATCCCACGCCGCTGTTTCCACCCGTGACGATGATGGTTTGGCCGGCCAGCGAAATGCCAGACGGCGTGGGAGGAATCGAAGGCTGAAACATAGCAGGCGATTGAAACTGGACAATTCAATATCAGGACTGGGAAGGTATGGATACGATGAGAAATATCGATTTTGTATTGTCAGAATGTATGTGACTGTCACTATGTATCTGATAAAAGACCGGGAGACGGCTACAGCTAATTACGCATGGACGAGTCTGGTCACTCAGACTGCAACGTCATCTCGCACACCAGAAGCCGAGATGGAAGCGGGCTGATATTCTGTCCGCCGGCTCAATGCTAACGATCCTGTTCCGGGAAATTTGCTCTAGCATGTGCTAACGGTTAACGTAGTTGATTAGTGTTCCACATGGCTTAAGGCCTAAGGGACTTTGTCTCTAACGTTCAACATGTATTCAAGGTCTTGCTTACTAGTGTATGAATGGTGAATTCTAGGTAATGCGTAGGTAAGGCAGATGTAAGGGGTCTAAAGGTAATAGTTCAAATACTTGAACACGAAAAGTACTCGTACAGCGTTGTTTTAACTCTCCCTCGAAATTTTTTTACCACGCTAGCTACTGTTAGTGTTTTGGTGCTCCTACCACCATGTCACTAACAGTCGGCTTTTAGGGTAGAAAACCCTCACTTTCAAGCCGCCAAAAGCTAGGTATTTTAAGAGTTGGCTGGCTTTTACAATGGCGCCTTTCGTCGACTTGATTGTTTTGTTGCATACCTACCGGCGGCTTACTACGACGATTGATTGCTGTCACGTGGGCATGCCCCACACTCGCCACCTAGTCATAGTGTGGATTTCCCTGAGGTCACCTGACTTGACCTCGGCCGCCGAAATTACTAGATAAGACGAAGCCCTGATCTGCGCGCATACTGCGCACAGTCTGGTCTTCGATCAGTCAACCACCGAACGAAATATCATCACTAGATCTTCTGAAGGCCTTAGAGCTTACTACGATACGTGCAACTGGTCCGGACGAATATCCCACAAGGATTACCGTACAGGTCTTACACGGGTGATCACGCAGAACGTGCGTGACAGACTGACTAGTGGTGCACGGAGTAGAAGCCACAAAAAATCGATTTTTTGTACCAGTATCTACTGGATACAAGATCTACTGCTTTAATTAGCAAGGGACGAATTTGCTGCTTCTTTTCCAGCAAATCCGATAATTATACGATTTTTCTGCATTTTAAACAATATTTTTTTTAAAAAAAAACCCCCCTTCTGCCGTTATGCCGCCAAAGAGAGCCGCCGCTGCCGCCGAGCCTAGGACTCCCGGACTTAGCAACGAAAGTAACAGCGACGTTATAATTAGAGTCTCTACTAGGTCCTCTAGTCCCTAGCTCTTAGGCCGGCTTTCAGAGCACCTTGGCCAACTATTAGACTAGGAAGCTTGTCTTTAGTCTCTAGAGGACGAAATGCGCGCTTAAAACGCTACTGCCAACAATCGTTACGCGCACTAAGAAGCTCTCCTATAGCAGCTTCTAACTCTAGTAACGGCACAAGCTGCACCGGCGCCGTGTTAAAGGTGTACTTGGGTAGGCCAGGTAAGTCAGGCAGGCAAGGAGGTATCTTCTTAACAGGAGGAAGCAGCCGTATATTCAATAGCTAATTCTTGCCTTCTGCACTCTAAGGGAGTGCGGGAGGCGCTCTTTATCGTAGGCGCACCTCTGGCGCACCAAGTGCGCAGGACAGGCGCGACCCCGTTTCTACTTGGCCCGTGCGCTAGCACGTGCTGTGGCCTGTGCGCAGACTGCGCCACGCAGCCTGCGCCACCAGCACTGCTTCTAGTTCACGATGTGCATCTAATACGCTGTGCGCATACTGCGTACGGCTTGCGCGTAGCCTGCGTCGGTCCCCTTCCTGGGGCGGCGTTACACATTACTATAATGCTAAACACTAACCTTACTTTCTTCTATATAGGCAACTACATTCTTCTTTAACTTTACAAAGGTTACTCTCTGCCCGCTTTAGCTGCACTAAGAAAGTTTAGGCTAACATTTGCTAGCCCCTTCTAAATCGTCGCCTACGTTAGTCAATCGAGTATCTCACGAGGAAGAGGGGCCTGAATGGGAAGCATACTAGCTATGGCTTCCTACTAACTAGAAAATCTACAATGTTATCGCTCTAGAACACCTAGAACCTGCCCCCTACAACGTTTTCAGCCGCTGTTTTCCCGCAGTCACTCCCGTCGTAGCAGACGCGCCTTTCCGCATCGCTACCCACCAAGACCCGCCCACCGGCCGACAGTATTTGTTTGCAAGGCAGGGCTATAGACAGGAGATGGATAAATGGGTGCCTAAAGATAAGCTGAACGACAAGCAACGCAAGGCCGCGGAAGACTATGACAAGACCTTTGGAGGTATCAAGGCCGTCTTGTAACCACCTGCTCTGCGAGGGCGCAGAGCATCGCGGAAGCCCGGCATGTTGTCACGTGGGCATGCCCCACACTCGCCACCTAGTCATAGCATAGCCAGCCTGCATCGTTAGATAGCTGCAGGTAGCATATTCATCCAGATTCACCACACCATCACAATTGCCTCGTCTACTAGGACTTAAAGGCGCTTTACAAGAACGCTAGCCAGCCCGTTAACCCTCTCCCGCGTAGGCATCACTACGTTTGGACTGCGACTTTGGGATCAGGAACCCAAGATAGGAATATACTGGGAAGCTGGGCACGGTATACAATAATCTGACATTTCGAGCTGAGCGCTTACTCACCTGGAGGAGTAAGAATGCAGACCCGAACGGTTACGACCCCCCTTTCTCTTCGAATATACAGCTGGATAGTTAGACAGGGCACCTTCTACGTGGGAGGCAGGAGGGGCAGTCTAGAATATCGCACGCTGTACGTCGCATGCCCCTTGGGAGGCGCGAGGGACGATTCACTTGAGTAATCAGTGTTGTTGGCACAACCTGCCTTCTGTCCTGCTTCGACGATAAAACGTATAAATAAATAAATAAATAAATAGTACAGCGTTGTATGTGGTTCTAATTGCACTGTACTACGGAGTATGGATTCAGGGTTAAATCGGAAACGGATTGCACTATAACTTTACTTGCACTACAGCGCCTTTTAGCTTTGTAAATACAGCCAATAGAGCTAATCACCAAGTATCCACGTGTGCACAAATATGGGACCTAACCCTAGTCAAATTCTGCGCCACAGAATTTGCCCAATCTATTTGTTATCCACCTCGCATCGATACTGCAGATTTACTCCACACCCCGTACTTCAAATCCACACATACCTTTTAGCTACATCCCCCCAGTTTGCTAATGTCTGACCAGCAGAATTGGGTCGGCCCTGCCGTCCAAGCATTCACAGCGGCAGTTCCAGGTCCAGCAGCGCCTTTCTTGCGGGGGCTGCGCAACTACCTCACCGTTCCTCTCCCAGCATTACACTCTGTGCAATGGATTCCGGCATTACAAGAAGTTGAGATCCGGCTGGACCTCGCCCGCAAACTCCGTCAAAATCTGCGCAGCTATGGGCTGGCGCTACACTTTGAGTTTACTGCTCTGGAATTGTCGGCGCTTCTGCTTATGCCTATTGAGTCTCTGCGTCAGCTGACGAGTAATACTTTGGCTGAGACCCGAAGCTTCTATTATCTGACGCTGGCCGGAATCAAAGACAATTTAAAATATTGTGAGTCCCCTCCTCTCATTTTACTACTTCTCGTGTCTTTCTGACGTCTGTAGTCCTCGAGGGACACCATCCGCATTCGAAAGATCTTAAGCGCAAGACTCCCGGAGGAGGGGCTGAGAGCATCGAGGGCACACTAGGAGCCAAAAGCGTTGGCCGCTCGGAGGCTGAGAAACAAAAAGTATGTACGAAGTTTAGCCCTTCCACAGTGTACCGAAACGGCTACGTCGGTACTAACCCCAGTAGTGCCGGCAACGAGACGGGAATGTGTGCATTTTCACAGGCGCAGCGCACCCCGACGTTTGCCATATAGTGCCATTCGCGACGAGCTCTACCGAGAGAAACATCGAGCTGACGAATGGACGATTTGCAAATATCTGCAGTATGTTTTTGCCCGCTGCTGATGAGGAATACACCCCAGTTATCGGGAATGGCCTTGGTTGTTCCGACAAAGCGTGGAACATGCTCTGCATCAGCACGGAGCTTCACCGCTACTGGGCAAAGCCCTATTGGGCTGTCAAATTTGTCGGTATCACGCCTGCGGAACACGTTCCGAAGCAGAGACTCACCATGAGATTTGAGTGGTTACGCATCAAGAATGGAGACCCGAGCCGCACAATCAGCGTGGGCGACTCTACGGCCTGCCACGCAATGCTCGCTGGCTTAACAACCTCTTCCACCGGCGAAGAGGATGCTTGTCCTTGTCTAGGAGTCGAGGGGATTGTGGCAGCCAACTGCCGCAGAACTAACCGTCCACTAGCGTCTGGCCAGGACTTTGACGTTGTCCTTGACACGTTAGGTGATGCCCTCAATATGAAAAAAATGCTGGAGATCCAGTGGAGCCTTGTCACACTCGCAGCCATGAGCGGCGCAGCCGGCCCTGACGACACAGGCGATGACTTGTCTGAGTTTGAATTTGAGAGGGAGGCCTACGAAAGTGCCAACAGTGCAGTATACGATGATGACCGTTAGCAACTGCATGTAACCTCTACTCCACCAGGTCCATCTCAAGTGGCCGGTTCTGCTGACAATGTCGGCACTTCCGAAACCGAGATAGCTCCAGGCGGCGATGGCGAACATAGGTTGCAACCAGAAACCCCCCAGGAGTCCTCTCAAGAGCCCTCACAGCCACAACAAGCATCCCTGGAGTCCGACGAGGTTGAATCCGACAGAAACTGGTGGAGTGACTTGCGCCGGCGCCCCCCTTGAAAAAACGAGGATTCGGTTCTCGCGAGCTTGCGTTGATAGCAGCAGGTGCTGACGATGTGGCGGAAGTGGAGCTCACGGCTGCTCTCACAACAGGGACTCTTCGTAGAGTCAAACAGAAAGTCGAGGACAAGCTGACTAAGACGGCAAAGGAGATGGAAAAGGCCTTTGCGAGGATGAAGCTCGGCACAGTTGGACGCAAGAGTACAGCTGAGGCGATTTAGTTCCCCTCGTGGGCGAGATCGTATACTGCCAAGAGGGCAATCTGCCGCGGCAACATGTTTGGGGCACCATTGGGGATTCGATTTGTTATTTCTGCTGTAAGGTATTCAATGTGCTCGCAGCCATAATCGTCACGACAGTCATCGAATCGTGTGAAACGCTCTATTTGGCAACAATCCAGGTCTACAGAGGCACAGATACAGGCCTGGACTAGTTCACCGTCCGAACGACATCGTCAAACGCCTTGGCAACGTGTGCGACATTCTCGGTTGTGACTGCATAGTGTCGTGTCAGTACATAGATGAGTGGTTGGCCGTGGAAGGGAAAAATAGGCTGTGCTTACGTCCAGATATGGATATCCGGCCAGAGCTGATCAGGTAGACGTGATACTTTGTCCGTACGGCCGCGACCTGAGCCTCGGTGAGACCTGTGTAGGAGAACATGCCGATCTTTACTGTCAGTTCCGACAAGCCACCGGTCTCTTTCTTCTGGGGGGGCAACTCACCTGGTTGACGATGTGAACCCACGAGCCAGGCGTGCCCAAGCGCACGAGCTCCTCGTAGAGTGCCTTGCGCATGGCCTTGATGCGACCGCTCATGGTGACGAGGTCGGCCTTCCACTGGCGGCGCAGAGCAGGCACCTGGAGGACGGAGCGGACGAGATCGGAGCCGGCGCGCGGAGCCATGGAATACTCGCCGCGGATGAGCTGGCAGGCGTTGGCGAGAACGACACCGTGGGCTGTAGGGTCGGCATCAGCGCGCAGGACGATGTGCAGGGCGCCGGCGCGCTGGCCGTAAAGGCCGAAGTTCTTGGAGAAGGACTGGGCGAGGAGGAACTCGAGCTGGGGCCGGCCGTAAAAGTGACGGACAGCCCAGGCGTCAGTGGCCACATCGCCTGACGCGAAGCCCTGGTACGCGAGGTCGAAAAAGGGCACGAGCTTGCGTCGCTCGCAGAGGTCGGCCACCTGGCGCCACTGCTGCGGCGTCGGATCGGCTCCGGTCGGGTTGTGAGCACAGGCGTGCAGCAGCACCACGTCGCCCTCGTCGGCCTGCTCGAGTGCCTGCAGCATGCCAGCAAAGTCGACACCACGCGTCACCGGGTCAAAGTACGGGTACATGCGCGCCTCGAGGCCCTCCAGCTCCCAGATGGCGTAGTGGTTCGCCCAGGTCGGAGCCGGCAGCCAGACGTGGCCCGGCTGCACGTAGGCTGCCAGGTACTTGGCCCCCATGTGGTTCGCCCCTGTGCCCGAGACCGTCTGCACCGAGACGATCCGTCCGGGCTGCTCGCGCACGTGGGTGGCCGTGTCTGGGACTGCGTCATCGGCCGGCTGGGCCGCCTGCTTCTCCGCCGCGTCCTCCTCATCCACGTCAAAGGCGAGGTCCCGCGCCAGGCCCAGAAAGGCCACGTCGCCCTGGATCGTCAGGTACTCGTGCCGGAACGGGCTCGGCTTCGCCTGCCCCTCGTGCTCAACTGCCTCGATCGTCGGCAGCGGCCATGGCTGTCCGTCGTTGGTCCGATAGACGCCCACGCTAAGGTTGACCTTGGTCGCGTCCGTGTCGGCCACGTATGCGCCGTTCACTGCAAAGATCTCGTCCAGAGGCGGGGCCGTTGCCGGAACCAACCCGCGACGAGTACGTGGCGTCGCCATGGTCAGAAAGCTATAGTGATGATGGCTGAAGACAGACTGACTCAAGACACAAAGACAGATGCAGTGGAAGGGGAGAAAACGAGTGTCTGTCGCGAATCAATGTCGGGCAGTCATACACCGCATCTGGCCACCAGCACCATATCCAGTTTTTTATCACGCCGTCACCGGAGCTTGTCGGTCTCTCCGCCACCTTTTCGCTATAATTGCGATTTTTTCTCCTTTTTTTCTAGCGTGCGGATCCCTAAATCACGCTATAACTAACCGTCCCGGAAACGACCAATCAGCGGTGTTGCGTCTTTGTTCGAGAGCGAACAAAAGGCTTCCATGCTAAGTCATGCCTGCGCGACGTGGAGTTCCCCCGCGTCGAGAATCCTCATTCCAGGCTGAGCCAGCCGTCTACGCTCCAGTTGATCGTGTTCCAGCCAAACAGCGATTGGGAGTAGTCTAGGCCTATCGACGTGTTCACTGCAACAGTGTCAGCGGAGGAAGGAGGGGTCAGAGCACGTGACCGCATATACGCACAATAGTGGTAGTAGAACACATCACCGTAGGTCGGGTCGTTGAACACGCCCTCGCCACCGGGCGCGTACACATCGTCGTGCCCTGCCAGAATGGTCGTTCCGCCGCCACCGAGACAGGCGGTGCCGTTTTTGTCGATGTAAGGCCCAGAGGCGCTTGTGCTGCGGCACACGTTGACATGGTACGGCGTGCCTGTGGCTGGCGGCGTTGTGGGAGTGCCATACGTACAGCACTCGCCGACGCTGAGGAAGAGGTAGTAGTAGCCGCCGCGTGGGTAGATAAACGAGCCCTCCATGTAGCTTCCCGCGTCTGGGGTGTTGTACGCGATCTGCGTCGGACTGTCCGACAGGCCGATATGTGCGTCGTTGCCATCGACTGTGACAGCGCATTGGTAAATGTCCTGCCAATAGGAGCCCCACGACAGAAAAAACTGGCCCGCCTGATCGCCGAGACCTCGGGCTAGGGTCGGGTCGATAGCATTGTAGGGGGTGCTGCTTGATGAGCTTATCAAGGCCCCGTGATCCGTCCAGCTGCCAGGGTCCAGGGTTGTAGATGTGGCGTAGCCGATGGCCGAATCCTGGGAGCCAGACGTGGATACTGCGTAGAGAAGGTAATACAGGTCACCGACCAGCGAGACATCAGGGGCCTATAGCTTTAGCAGGAACATCACAGGCGATGAGAAGGTACCGAAGTGGCTGACTAAGACTCACCCAGAGCACGTCATTGCCTGTCATGTTAGCGACGCTGGCATACTCTAGGACACTGCCGATTTCGGTCCACGGGCCGCCCAAGGACGTGGCAGTGCGGATGCTGATCAGATCCAGCGTCGAGAAGAGAAAGTACGTGCCGTCGGCGCGCTTGGTCACAAATGGGTCATGGGTGAAGCAGTCGCCCGCGCAGCCCAACGGGTCTGGGTACGTCTGGGCGAGAGCCGGACCGGCCAGCAAGGCGACGGCGGCGACAACTGAAGAAAGGATCGAACAATACATTGTTATGTGATTGTCATTTGTGGAATCTGGCACGAGCAGAGGTGCCGATGGCCGCCATTAAGGACCTGCATTGCAGCATTGTGCCGTGCCGGTAGTCAATTCAAACGGGCTGTACCCGATCCAGAACGCAACGCCACGTCACACTGCAAATCCCGGAGGATTGTGCTGACATGATGACTTCGGAGACGGTCATCCTGCCTGCATGTGAGACGATAAAATACCGCGTAGTGACTCGCATCGATTCCGATTTATGGAGGTCCGATGTGGCGAAATCCTGCAGGGGACGAACGGAGTAGTGTATGCATTATATGGAAACACGCGCATGAAGGATACATCGGGTGGTTTCTAGCCAATGAAACTCGCTATAAGCCGTTGCCAGCTGGCCGTGAGCAATTGGGTTACGCAACGGCCGCCCTTAACGGGACCTTTGGTCTAATTGGCTTGCGTGATTTTCCACCACCACATCAATGACCAACCATATTAGGAAGAAGATAGCAAATCAGACGTCTCTTGCAAGTAGGGCGCAGTGCAAGATTGAGTATCTGACGTTTGGTGCCGACTTCTGGACTGTATTGGATAGAGGCTATATTCTAGCTTGCGCTATGTCAACGCGTCTTTTCCAAGGCTTCTGCTGACACGTTTGTTCAAGTAACGATCATGCCAAAATCCGGCGTGTCATGATCACGTATCATTCTGTGCATTCTGTGGCATCAAGTCGTCATATCTATGTGGCTGTCGTCGATCGTGCATGCGCCCAGCTAAGGCCCTGACGCTGACGACGTAGCGAAGAGTTGGCAGCCGACAATATAATCGACGCGCCTACTGGAATTCATGTCCGGTCCGGGCTAACTCTCCGGTCAAGGCGAGCCAGCCACAAGGACTGTGGCGTAATATAGTCATAAAAATGAAAGGCTGTGGCTGGAGCACATGCCTACTGTCGAAAAAGGGCTTCAAAAGTCAAACTGGCCGAAAGGGTCCACTGGCATGCCAAACACGGACCTCAACTCGTGAAACTGACTGAGGAGCCTCTGGCAAGAAGCCTCGCGATGTTGCCACATTGCCGCATCGCGTGGCGACAAAGACTTGTCCGATCCCGTATCCATGACCGGGAGCAGGCCGCCGACAATCATAGGCGCGGTGATGGGAGTAGCAAGCCCGCCCGTCAGGATAGTAGCGCCAAGCGCAGCCATGCTGAGACCAAAGGCGTCGTTGCGGCGGGGAATGAGGGCCTGATCAATGCGCATTTGAGAAAAGTGAGAGAAGAGGGCCTTGCACGTGGTAGTGGCCTGTGGCCCGGTCACGAGGAAGCCTAGGATGATGGCAAAGTCGACATCGTTCCAAGAGATCTTGCGATAGTCCCAGTTTTGTCGGAGGACAGCAAAGTCTGATTTGTCAGCAAAACAAAATAACAAAAAAAGAAGTCAAAATCGGTGTTTGACGGAGGGAACGTACACTCTTGACAGGTGCTGACAGCTTTCGCTTTCCTGGAGAGCAGCCCGAGTACTTGGATGGCTTGGATGGACCGCACCCGCCGCGATGACCAGGCCGTACCGTCTTCTGAGCCTCTACCGCCGCCGATTTCCCAGTATCGCCCGGCTTTAAATTTGTCCACGAGTCGGATCTCTTTGCTTTCCCAAACTTCGCGGGAAATCAGGCAGAAGGACATATGGACGCGGAAGGTCGACAGAGTGGCGATGGAGGGCAATGAGGTCACGACCTTGCAGCTCTCCCAGGCAATGGGCTGTGGCGGGGACGATCCGTTTTCGAGCAGGCCCGCACTGGACGTGTTGATGCGACCGTAATCGTGTTCTGGAGGCGTGGCCACCAGCAGGCTGACCCACTGTTCCAGGCCCGAAGCCGGCTCGGGCTCCAGAGATTTTTTGGAGTCTTTTTTGTCAGACAGGGGAGCTTAGTGAAAAAGCGGAGATCGGACAGCTCACCTTGGCTCAGAAACCAGTCGAGCAGGCCGACGAGGACGGCCAGCAGCCCCTCGAGGCCGTACTTGGCCACCGGAGCCAGCCGGTGGAGTTTGAGGCGCGCAGTCGCCAGGGAATTGTGACCGGCACTCTTGATGCAGTCAAAGGGCGCAGGGATCTGGATATTGGGGTCGACGGGAACCAGCATCTTGACCCAATACGGCACGTTCTCCCAAGTGCCGTCGAGAAAGGCGACCATGTCAAAGACCCTGCTGGTGACCCAGACCATGAAGAGCGCGATAATCGCGTCGCGCACGAGAATAAAACGCGTCGGCCAGAGCGAAAAGGCGACCGTGACGAGTCCGACGAGGAACATGGACTGTCGCTTGGCCGTCTCCAGCTCGTCGCGGCGGCTGAGCCCCCCTGGAGACGCGCAGGGAGGCATGGTTGTAGTGGGGCGGACGTGCTTCAAAAGGAAGAAGGATCAGAGAAAAGACGGGAAGAAAGCAAGAATGGGCAGCGGGCAGAAATCGAGGCAAGTCGGGCAAGAACGGGCCAATATGGGACGAGTGGGTTTTATATCGCCGCCAGAGGGGAAAGCCTCCATTCGAGCAGAGCCACATGTAGCCTTCCGACTGGCGGTGTATCATTTCATGACGTCGGGCAGAAAGGATGTGGCCCACAAGTGACAAACGTGTGGGTGCCCAAGGGTGAGCTTTGGCCTTTTTCGCCGATTCCATCCCTCCACCCCCGCAGCACACGCTGTCCCCTCGTCTGGGACCTGGAGACAGGTCCGACAGAGATGCCAATGCACGGGACGCTCTTTTTATCGCGGCGCCGCATCGGTGCCAATCTTTGGTGCCCAACCGGGTTCGGCTGACTTTGCCGGCGCCGTTGGCTGACGAAATGTGGATCGGCTAATCTTTGCCAGTTGGACGTCAGGCAGTAGCAAACGGTCTCCGGGTGGCGGCGCACGGCAAAACAGACGGCATCCCGGACACAACGGTCGAGGGCTCCAATAGCAACGCGTTTTCAGATGAGAAAAGCGTTTGGTGCAATGGTAGCGTCATTGGGCAGAAAGAAAACATGTTGGGCATAGCACCCTGAATGCACAGAGCAAGTCACCATCATGCCTCGACACCGTGGTAGCAGCAGTAACAAAATGCCGACATGCTGTTGTTACCACGTTGAGATCTTGTTCTCTTGCCCCTCACATGATGTCTTTTGTCGTGGATGGTCGGATCGGAGAATTGTGATTCCACATCCATAGTTTCGCTGATGAAACAGCGGTCTCCATATCAACTCCAGGCTCCACCCCGATCACCGCCATTCCTCGGTGTGTATTCTCCGGCGCACGTGAGTCGTAGTTTCAACGAACCAATAGCGTCTCTGAACTTCAACTCTCTCTCTCTCCCACGATGGAGGCATTGGCAAAAAATGTATACGAGGCGCTTAGGTTATTTCGGGCCTGCAGTTCAAAGTCGGACAACATTTCGAGTTCAATTGCCCCGCCGCGACGTCCTGTATTGTAACAGAACCTTTCCGTGATAGGACAGACGGGGTTTTATCGGCTCGACTATCCTCTATCGTCAAATGGGCCGTGGACGAGCGCAACAAAGCACAACGAAAAAGTGACCACACGTATCACGGTATGGTCCATCTTGAGACTCTGAGTTCAAAGTCTTCTTTCATTGTGATCAACTAGAGTCCCGGTTCATAAAGAGATTAACATTGCTTCGTCCAAAATCATTACAAATCACAAGCTTTTCCGTTTCCAGGGCTCAAACTGCAAAGCACCGCCGTAGTCAAGTTTGCTTCCGTCTGTGTCTGTGTTCCAGTGTGAAGTACACCGTCGTAATAAAAGCAAAAATTCCGGTAGTCAGGACTCCCCAAATGAGAAAGAATCTGTCTCTGGGGTTCAGGGAATTCCAGCCAGTGTATCTTTGGCTTATCTGCACGGCACGGAGCGTGCTGGAGAGCTGAAGAAACACGCTGGCAGCGTAGGTTGTCCAGACACAGGACAAATCGTCTAGGATGAGTCAGTGGCCATTGACAGTATTGTGTAATGAAGAAGAACGGACGTGTAACTTCGCTTTCTTGCTTGCTGCCTGCATGGCAGTGAATTGGCCGCGCGCTCGATTCTGCGAATCTGTTAGACACAAGCGACAATGAAGAATTGCTGGCACTGGTCTCACCGTCTGCGTGAGTCCCCTTCATGCTGCGGGCAGATTCCATTCCGTACTCCATGTTTTCGCTTGGCACACTATGAAAAGTTGAGACAAAGAATGGGCGTTACTGTGTATAATGTTGGCATTGAAAGGTAGCCCTACAACCTATGTTGCGGTTGGAGATTCGCCGTCCTTATATAAGTATTGCTGTGTCATGTAAAAGCAAAGCTCAATAACTTGCTCGTAGATTGTGGAATAAGGCTAAATACCCAAGCCGGCTAGCCGCCAACATTGAAGCCGCTGTGGTCCCTTATCCAGGCCTTTTTATACGTTCTAATGTACCAATACTTAAGCGACCATCCTGGTTTTCACGGTTTATCATGCCACACTGCCCCACTGAGTTAGCGGAAGTACGGGTGTCGTGAGGCAGGAACAAGGTATCAACAGTAAGAAAATGGATTGTACTGCCGATATCGCCTATCCGGAACTGTACTGTATTAACAACATTAAAGCAACAACGTGAGAAGCCGTTGCTAATTGTGTGAAGCACCACACACTGTGGTCTTGAGGTACAAGGTCGGGCTGTCTTCTCCAGGTAAGATGCAACATTATGGGCTGACACGACAATAGTGACAGGGGACGCAGCCCTGAACAGACCAGTAGAATTTAATACCGCAATAACTTATGTGAGACGGGACGTCGTACTCCGTAATTGTCCCGCCCCGAAACTTGAAGAAAATGGAATAACGTGTTTTATTTTTATACGAGCTTGGGCCTTTCTGGCTCAGTCGTTCTTCTAAGGCTAGCTGCCGTGATTAACTCAACTTATAAACTCTGGTTCCGATTCAGTCCTTGACTCGCACAGACCAAACCCTTTAGGCGTTGGTCCGAGTATCCATCACCCGCTAAGCAAGTGCTCCATATCTCACGCCAAGCCAGCATAGTGCGTGATGGTCAAGAGGTTGACCAATCAATAGGTCCAGTGGCCAAATGGCAAGGCGCTTGGCTACGAACCAAGAGATTGCAGGTTCGATCCCTGCCTGGATCGGAGTCGACATTTTTCTGCATCCTCTTCTTCGTCCTCTTCTCTAGGTGCACAATTTTTTTTGGAGGCGGTGAGCAAGAGCCCATGTTGTGCTACAAATACGTTGAGAGGCATACTGTCGCAAGGAGAGGGCGCAGCTGTTTTCAACACCTACAGCCTTCGACAAATTGCATGTTAATCTACGTTCTTCTAAGCTCCATTCCAGCACACTCTTCACTCCCAGCCGAGTCAAAGCGGCTCAGGGCGAAACTCGCCAGATCTGGGTCCTCCTTCCCATCAACGATGAGATCCGCTATCGATTGCCCAACGATGGCTGCCAGCGTGACTCCCGAGTGCATGACCGCCAGCGTCAGCCCGGCGCGGCCGCTGGCACCGAGGATAGGCAGCCCGTCCTCCGGGTCTGGCCTGTATCCGATGGTGTAGTAGTCGAGCTCGAGATCTGGCAGGGTAGTATCCCCAAGTGCAGGCCGGAACGTGGTCTTAACCCGGGAAAACAAGGCATCCGCTCTGGCTTGCGGGTCGGTGCCTGTGTCGGTGCCAGCAAAATCGGTGCCCGATAAGATGCGACCGTCGACGGTCTGGCGCATGTGGGGCCCATTGGAGATGACAATGCCGTCAAGCAGTCGCTGAGTGACGGGTTTCGAGTGGACCAGCAAGCCCGGCCGGCCGTGAACGGGCACAGTGACGCCTGCGGTAGCCGCCAGTGGAACGGTACCAAGGCCAGCCGCCAGCACCACATGGTCAGCAGCGATGGTGTCGCCCGACGCAGTGACGATGCCCTGCACGGCACCAGTGCTGACGTCTACCAGCAGCCGCGTCACTTCTGCCGACAGCAGCTTGGCCCCGTGTGCCGTCTGTGCGTGAGCAATGATCAGCCGGGCTGCGTCAGCCGCCTCCACGGAGCCTTCGCCACCGATACACAGGCCCCAACCAGTCTCGGGCAGCTGTGCGTCGGCCAGCCAGGGCTCGTGCGCGGCCAGCTCGGCGTTTTTTGCGCCCCGGACATCGTAGCCCCAGCTGGCGTACTTTTCACAGTCGGCAGCGAGCTTATCGGCCGGGCCGCTCCACTGAATGGTAGTGGTCCAGCGGATAAGGTTCTGCAAGCCCGGGATGGCTTCGTGGCCCTCGGCGAGCTCGTGCCAGTGTGCCATGGAGCGACGGCGGAAGTCGTGGTAGAAGTGCGGGTTGCCAAAGTTGGCGTTGATCCAAGCAAACGAGTTGGGCGTGGCGATGCCGCCAATGTCGGTTGCGACAATAGTGACGGTCGCGCCATGCTGCGCTGCCAGGTGCCAGGCGATGGAGGCGCCGATGATGCCGGCGCCGACGACAACAATGTGCGGAGGCGCCTTTGCAGCCGTTTTCTTGGCCATGAGCGATGGGAAGAGAGAGAGGTCGAGGATGCTTTCTAACATTGGCTTCTTTGAGAACAGCAACAACGGCAGCCAGTTGCACCTTCCTCCCCAGAAATGCGAAGCGCCCCGCTGACAGCTGCGATTGCGGAGACTTCTGATTTGTGGTAGCGCAATCGCAAAACGCCATCGCCCAGCGACGGAGTTTTCCACATGGAGCAGCGTTTAAGGTGTGGAGGATATGGCTTCTAAAGTACGGAAGATAGAGACTAGCGACTTGGTGTGATCTTGGCCTTTCAGTTTTCTGCTTGTTACGACTGTTTTTAAAACGGCACAACGGACAGGGACTAATCAGATCTGTTCGGCTCTAAAACTGATAGTAGGCGGCAGTTTAGCGACCTCTCGCCTACAAGGAGCCCTGTACACCACCAACTAAAGCACAAGCGTCCCAACAACGAAGAAACAGCCATCCCGTTTTAACAGCGGCGTTATGGCCTTCTCATTCCTCTTTCTTGGTGCCCCATGTTTCTCACTACGGCATCGGCCAGCTTTAGCTTGACCAATACATCTTCCTGCGACAATCCATCGCGTTGTCCGGCACACCAGGCAGTTCTGTCGACGCCAGAGCAGATCGGGCTTGTAATAATTGGTGGAGACACCGGTGGAGATGGTCTTGGCTTTCTCAAGGCTTGGTAGAACATGCACGTCTTAAGGGACTTGCTAGCCGATTTTTCAGGATAGAGCTCTTTCGAGCCTGGCTTCCTGCAGCACCGGTATTTCCGTCAAACAGGATGTGTCTGGCTACGTAATCCTGGCCTTGATTGTAGGATGGGCTGAGTAGTGCAGGAGAGGTCATCGCCTGTCTCTTTATTTAATATGCCCCCTACATCAGTTTCTGCTACGTATCAAAATATTTTTCGATTGTCAGTTCTATCTCAGCCTACCCCAACTTAACAATCTAAACATCATCAACATCATGGACGCCCACGATATTGACTCAGCTAAAGCTCCAGGTCCAGCACTGGTGTAGCTACGCCCAAGACCGACGTTGACGAAACCTATTCGGCGATCGAAGAATGGCTACACCCCTCCAACGGCTAATGGCGAAATGTCAGTGCCACTGCGCCAGTGGGAAAATCCGAATACCGTCCCTACCATTGTGGTAGGCGGTGTTAAATAGCTGGTTTCGGATTCAGCAGCTTACTAATCTTTTCAGATAAACACATTTGCGCGGTTTGGGCTAGCACGACGGGCTGATCCCATCCCCGGCAACGAATATCTAATCCTTGACAAATCTCGAGATCGTGTGCTAAAATGCGACGGCGGCGATCTGCGCTTCCACGACATTAATGCAATCGGCCTTGATTCGCCCGTCGAAACCTGCTGAAAGTGGCTGTGTAAGGAAAAGGATGGCTTCAAAGGGTTCAAAAACATTGGATCGGGCGGATTTCTGGGCCATGATATCTGGTGGGACTTCTATGCCAAAGTCCCCAACCATGAAGGATGGGAGTGTTTCAATTGTTGTAGGCATGAGGACGGTCTATACGCGTTTCAGGCCCTGAATTGGTGGACGCAGTGGCAGCTGTGCGCTCGCTCGCGAAGATGGATACGGCCTGTACTCACAGCAAAACGGGGGTACGCCGTGGAAATTTGTGAAGATTTTGAAATAGGCAATTTGGAGTGTGCCTTCTTGTTAATAACGTCACATCCAAGTAAGCTATCTGATGAAAATGGAGGGTTTAAATAACAATCGAGGTTGTTGATGCCAACATCTCAGTTCTCACTCAGTTGCAGAAGCCCCTGCCAGCTCAGCTCCCACAACCTCTCCGCCCCTTCCTCGGTGTACGCATGCGGTGCGAACTGATGTCCATTGGGCTTGTCATGTACTGTGCTGGTCACACGATGCTGCAGTCGGGCCTGCCATAACCATCCCACGCTGCTGCCATCGCTTCCCACACCGACGTTAGCTTCATCCTTACAATTGTGCAAAGTGTCTTTATATTTGATTTGCTATTCCAGTGTATAGAGTCGATAGGATTGCAACAGAAGACCATGCTTGTGACAAATCCTGCACTATTTCGGAACTAGATACTACCTGAAAGCTAGACACAAGGATCTCCATTTACTGCAAGCTACCACGCTAATGCGTCTGCGACTTGGCGAAGTCCACAATGATCGGCAGATGTTCCAACAGCGGCGGGCTGGTGGGAGTCCATCCCAGCGCCTCCCTCGTCTTGGCGCTGGAAACGACATTCTTCATTGTCATGATAACCTGGAACCAGCCAAAGTGTTCGGCAGCCCAGTCTGGCTGAATGCCAGTAACGGGGAGGTCTAGAGGTTTGCCTACACTCTGTGCGATGTCTTTGAGGTGCACAGACTGCTGGCTGACCGCGTTGAAAATGGAGGGACCGCCTGACTGGCCCGCCTTCTCCATGGCGAGTCGGTAGAGCGTCGCCGCATCGTCTCTGTGACAGGCGCTCCAGCTGTACTTGTCCTCCTCCTCGCCGCTAATGTAACCAGAGACGCCTTTCTGAAGCGCCGTCCCGATGAGCAGAGACATGAAGCCCGACGTTCCAGGGCCATACGTTGTTGGCGGCAGGCGCACGACGCTCGCGCGCACCCCCTGCTTAGCAAAGTCAAGGCAGACTGTCTCAGATGGGTTACGAGCCACCGAGATGGGGTTTGTCAGGCTGCCTTGGTCGTCCTCTGTGGCTGGCTCGCCGGGCGTCTTCGGGGCTAGCCCGCTGGTGCCCGAGGTGATGACCAGCGCGCGGTCGGCGCTGGCACCTGTCACCTTGGCTGCAGCGACAGAAGCGGCTAGTGCTGAGCCCAGGGCCTTGATGGCTGCTCTGTCTGTCTCGCAGGCGCTAAGAAAGTTGGCCAAGTCGTGGATAAAGGCTAGATGGATGACGGCGTCACTCTCAAAGGCTGTCTTCTTGAACAGCTCCAGATCTTCAATGGCGCCACGCAGAGGTTTGGCTCCCTGGCTTTTGAGCTGTTCCTGTCCCTTGTCCGAGCGGGTCAGACCGACGACGCTGTGTCCGGCCGATACAAGTTCTTTCACAACGGCCGTGCCGATGAAGCCAGTAGATCCAGTGACAAAGACACGCACTGTGAGAATACAACGAGATACGAACCGAGGGTGGAATAAGTATGGCAAATAAGCAGGATATGAAACTAATAAAACCATGTCGATGGGATCATTCGCCGTGGTCGTGGCTCTAGGTCTTGTCTTATACGTATTCTATTTCAGTCCTGTCCAGCGGGAGATAAAGACTATTTTACCTAAATCCCAGCACATCTAATTTTGGCTACGGAGTTTCGGCGATCATTTGGTGTCAAGTAGTTGCAGACTGTAAGACTGCCGCCAACCAATCAGGCGCGTCAAAGTCTCAGTTGAGGTTGATAGCCAGGAATCCAGATCTGATGACAGACCTGCGAAGAGGCCGGAGATAATCTGTATCGGCCGCAACGCGAGTAAGTTCCTTAACGCCGGGCATTGTATTTGACGACGTCAACCTGGACACAACCCTCCTCTGATGTGTGCATCACGACAACTTCAAGAGAGGTGTGCGCCGCCACCTCGCGGCTGCTGCAGGATAACATCCGTATTTCCAGCGGACCAACTCGTGCTCTCCATCCGCCTACTTTACCATCCCAGGAAGGGAGCAATAAAAAAGATAGAGACGACCCACAAGCGCAAGAAATAAATAGTCCGTTTTGTTTCTTATTTGATTACCTGCACATGCCCGCTTGCTCCCTGCTCTGTGTGCATAGTGCGCCGAAACCAAACCGTACTGTGCAAGATGTTTTTGGTACTCCGACAACCGGTTCATGGTCAGCCTGGAAAGAAAAGGCCCTGTCGCGTTCTGACTGTGGTTTCTTTGGTAAGACACTCTAGAACTCGTGCGCAGTACAAGCTCCTAGCATTTTGCACATGCCTGCGGGTGCACCATGGAGCTAACGACTTCCTTCACACACTGATTCAGAACTGCATCGTCACAGATGTACTGTATGCAACGATGAAGAATGCAGTCTTGAAGTCAGACCAGAGCCGCTCCAGCTTTACGCTACAATAATTGGTTGGACATTGACTGCTTTGCTAGACACAACGATCACTTTTAGCTTACGAATAAAGCATGCAAATAGAAACCGCGTTGATTTTTCAGACCAGATTCGGGCCGGGTTGATCACTGCTGAGAGTTACTTATGCAGAGTGGAGCCTAGCTAGACTTATACGTAATAATGCTCACTCGTCCGTAGAGCTTGAGCAAGCGCATGCGCTAGGCTAGATTAGAACAAATACTTGCGCTGCGACGTCTGTTTGGCTGCTAGCAGAGATCGGAAAGCAGCAGCTGTTGGGCAGATGCAGGCTGTCAAAAGACGAAGCCTGGTTTCACCGGAAAATTGCTGCCATCCGGTCTGTTTTTTCTGCCATGTTAGGCGTCTCTGACTTAGCTTTCGCACCTGGTCGCGTTCTTCATCCGATTAGAGAGTGGGTAAGAAGTCCAGCTGCAAGTGCGGCTGCGTGCTTCCGCAGGTCTGTGTGCTCCTGCACAAGCCAGTAGGGTTGCAGGCTTCCAAGCATGGTGGGTCAGTCTTGTCGGAGCTCACGGCCGCTATCAGTCCTGTGGGAGGTGGATCGATTCAGTATGAAGGGATCGAGTCGTTTGTTTGCTTGCTGCGTTCCACCATGTCTGCATTTACGTCTAGCCTGTCTTTTTTGTTCCTAGCTATTATTCCCGTCCTTCTCACGTCTCCCAGCATTCTCTCCAGTACCAAAAGCCATCGTGATGCCTGTGCCTTCTCGCTCACTGGACATCCTCGTCGTGGGTGCCGGCCTGGGCGGTCTTGCTGCCGGTTTGGCCCTCCAGACTGACGGCCACAAAGTCACCATCCTCGACGCAGTCACAGAGTTTGCCGAAGTAAGTGTCTCGTCTGTGCTGTCTCGTGTCCTAGCCCCTGCCAACAGTGATTCCAGGTTGGCGCCGGGATTCGCATTCCGCCGAACTCGTCTCGCCTGCTCATCCGTTGGGGTGTCGACCTCGACCGCATAAAGAAGTCGACTGCCAGTCGCTACCACTTTATCCGCTGGAAGGACGGCGCCACCATCTTCAACCTACCCTTTGTCGACAGCGTCCAGGACCACGGCGCGCCCTACTGGCTGGTCCATCGTGCTGACCTTCACGCTGCTCTGCTCGATGCCGCCCGTCGTGCCGGTGCCACCATTGTAACGAGCAGTCGTGTCGTCGTCTACGACATGGATGCCCCCAGTGTCACTACCGCCGACGGGACGGCATACACGGCCGATCTCGTCATCGGTGCCGACGGCATCAAGTCCACCTGCCGTCCCTTGTTGACCGGTCGGCCCGACGTTCCTCGCGACACTGGCGACGTGGCCTATCGCATCCTCATCCCTGCCGAGAAGCTGCTGGCCGACCCGGACCTCGCTCCCCTCATAACGCAGCCGTGCTCAACGTCGTGGTGTGGCCCAGATGCCCACCTCGTCGGCTATCCCATCCGTGCCGGCGAGCTGTACAACGTCGTCGTCTGCGCTACCTCTCGCAACGAGACGACATCCAACACCTGGGTCGTTCGCGGCGACAATTCTGAGCTGCGCCTCCGCTTCGCCTCCTGGACCACCCAGGTCCGCAAGCTCTGTGCCCTCACCGGCGACTTCCTCAAGTGGCGGCTATGCGACCTGCCCAATCTCACTCGCTGGGTCCATCCCTCCGGCAAGGTTGTCCTGCTCGGCGACAGCTGCCACCCCATGCTGCCCTACCTCGCCCAGGGGGCTGCCCAGGCTTTTGAGGATGCCAGTGTTCTGCGTCAGGTCTTGCGTGTGGCCTTGTCTTCGGCCGACTTGTCAATGGGATCTGATGGCGCCACATCATCGCTGCCGCCGCCCGACCTCCATGCTGCCCTCTTGCGCTACGAGAGGATCCGCATGCCGCGTGCCAGCCTCGTGCAGTCCACCACCCGTGAGCACCAGCACCTGCTGCACATTGACGATGGGCTGGAACAAGAAGAGCGCGACCACAGGCTGTCCCGTGACCATCCCGACAGTCCCGTCTTCTGGGGATATGTGGAGCGTAAGAACTGGCTGTTCGGCCACGATGCCGACGTCATCATCAAGGAGGGCGACAACTGGCGCGAGGGTGCCGGTCTGCATGTTGTCCAGGCGAGCCATGTCGTTGACGGCGTCCAGGGCGCAGGCACAAATGGTGTTGGGGGCATCAACGGTGTTGCCGTACATTAAAATGGACCCAACATGCTGTATAGCGGGCAGACTTGAAGCCCCTACGACGTAGTTAGAACATCATCCGGATCCATTAGTGTACGGGATCCTGGTCATTGTCGTTGCCTGGATGTTGCTCGCTTCGTCTCCTGTCCGGTGAGAAAGTTGGAGCGAGAGGTGGACTGTTTGCAGGCCACCAAAAGTCGGCTCTGTGTCGCTTCCATGATTCGTATCTTACGGAGTATCCTGCAGCCCACTTGAGTATTGGTACCCATTTCTACGGAGTAGATTGCCGACTGTTACCCCTGGCTCCTATTTGGACTAATTGTCCACCGTCATGAAGAGCCCCGTCATATTCTAGCGTCCTTACTCCGTAAATAGGTGCTGGGAGAAAACGCGGTGAGCAAATGAGACTTGCCGATCATGAATCCACAAGTGTTACATTGCATTATCCCCTGCAGGGCTTCAAAAGCTGGGGATGGGCAACGGCGCCGAGGCAGGTCAAGAGAAGCGATGTACCATGCAGCGTTGAGGCTGCTCTCTAATATCGTTAGCTTGATCGTGCTCTCCTTTTTCGACGTACGGAGTGTACCCCGTAGGGAGATAAATTACATTAGCCCATTGATTTATGAGGCCTGCTTGCCGCCCATCCTGCTTCTTTAATCGGATTGCTGTCATGCCAAATCCCTGTTTGTCCCTCGAGCTGCTTTTTTCACTACCAAATCACCTCTTCTTTGTTTTAGTACGAGCACTCCGTAATGCCTGAAATTTTGCCGAAGATTTGCCGTCGTTGATGCCTACTCGGGGGGTTACCTTATCGGTTACGAGCTCTGAGCATATCGTGTACTCGTAGAATATAGCGGAACGAACTAGAAAGGGTTCGTTATATCAACTACGACGTGGCGATCGATACCATCCGTCCGTGTATCCGCGGACCATCGATACAAATAGAATACTGCAGACGAAATGTTGAGAGGGCCATCTAAAAAGCATTCTCGATATCACAATGTACGAAGTAAAACAATTCAACCTCGACAGGTCAGCGATTACGTAATCCATATACCGCCTCAAGAGGGCCATGTTGCCGAGATAGCAGGATGCGCTCTTGTTCGAGAAAACGGCCTGTGCTACCACAAGCGAAGTCCGATATGTTTATTGGGCCCAGGACCGGTATTCCGAACCGTACAGCTGCGGAGGGTTCGCCTGCAGAGCAGCGGCAATCTTGCTCACACAACTCGTCAATAAGGTTAAACGTGCCAAGACCTGGATAAGTAGATTATTTCTTTTAATGGGTGTTGGCACGGACTACTCCGTGGTTGCATCGATAGAGCGCCGGGCGAAAATGGAACCCTACTTCGTGCATATAGCGTACACACGCGTACCAAATCTTACACGTATCTTGCACAAGTACAATGTACTTTGACGATACGCGGGAATGGCGTCTTGCGCTTAAGTCCGACTAACGGCATCTTGCAAATTTCATCCGAGCCCTACCACGTTAATGTACGCGTAATCATCGATAGACGACCAACTAGCAGGTCTTTTTTGACAACTATTATGTTTGTCTTGTGCTTCTACACGACACACTTCTATCTTGATTAGATCATACGGAGCAGTCGTGCCTGGAATGCTTTAATTACCTTCTTTCTTTGGATGGAGATGCAGGAGTGGGCGACATCGTGGCCGAGAAAATTAGGGGGTAGTGCCTCAAAAGGGGACACGCCAGAGTGGGATCCTCGAGTCGTGGTCGCTGCTATGAGGCCATTTGTGAGCGCAAGATGTATGGCAGGCAGGCTTCCTCCCACGATCTTAGCGTAATGGCCGTCCATATCCGGTCGGATATCCAGCCCTGCTGCAGTTCTCTGTCTTGGCGTCTTGGCGTCTAAACAGTCGGGTTCCTGGCTGTCTACTCCGTAGGGCCTCCTAGAATGCTTCGACTGTTGCCGAGCGGCTTCGCCACAGGGGCAACGACTGCTGCTTGCGTAGGCAAAACGATTGCGCCCCGCCAAAACGGAGATGCATCCCCACTTGGATGAAGCACTTCCGCTCTCTGGACCCTCTAATCGCCTATTTGGGACCGCTAGCGGCACGGCTTTCTGGCTGCAGACATGAACGGATGGGGCCGTGGCACCTCTGGGCTTCTCGGAGTCGTCGTAAGAGGGATCGGCTGCCCATATTATTCGCAATTGCATTCGTACTCCTCGTCCCCTCTTGCAATCGACCATCCGTCCACCTTGTCATCTTCCACTCATCCGCTAATCTGCCCGTCTCCTGGAGAGTTTGGCACTACTTTTGCTTCTTTTCTTCCGTATATATTGTTTTCATCCTTCCTATTCCAGTACACCGGCTATCCTTCTCTACCAGGTTCTTCTGTCATTTCGCTCTCTCTTCTTTCTGTATCTTGTCATAATGGCCATGTCTCTCGTTAAAACCTCTCTCCTTGCCCTTCTTCTTGCTTCTCCCATTTTGGCACAGACCTCGACGGACTGTAGCCCCCTGAACAGTGAGTGCGGTTCCAGCCGTATACCTGACTCCGAGACCGCAATGCTGACCTTGATGTCTTTCCCCCTCCGCTAGCGACATGTGACCCCGACCCTGCTCTTTATACGAGCACGTACACGGTGGACTTCACCAAGGGTGCCGACGATGACGCGTGGGCGAAGGTTGCGGGCACCGTCAACTACACATCAGCGGGTGCCGAGTTCACCGTCAACAAGCAGGGCGACTCGCCTACGATTCAGACGTCCTGGTACTTCTTCTTCGGCCGTGTTGAGGTCCACATGCAGGCTGCTCCAGGCCAAGGCATCGTCAGCAGCGCTGTGCTCGAGTCTGACGACCTTGACGAGGTCGACTGGGAATGGCTCGGCGGCATCGACAACCAGGTCCAGACTGACTACTTTGGCAAGGGCAACACGACCTCGTATGACCGTGGCGGCACCACCAACTTGACCGATGTCCAATCTATCACGCACAACTACACCATCGACTGGTCGTCCGAGCGGATCATTTGGTACATTGACGGCTCTGCCATCCGCACGCTGAATTATGCCGACGCCCTCGACGGCGCGAACTACCCCCAGACGCCCATGCGGGTCAAGCTCGGCATCTGGGCCGGTGGCGACCCGGACAACTCGAAGGGCACCATCGAGTGGGCTGGCGGCGAGACGGATTACACTGCTGGCCCCTACACCATGACCGTTCACAATCTGACCGTCTACAATGCCAATCCGGGCGGCTCTTACATCTATGGTGACAAGACCGGCTCCTACAGCAGCATCGAGATCTCCAAGGACAACGTCACCTCTACCACCTCGTCGGCCACTGCTAGCAGTACCAGCAAGTCCAACAAGTCCACCAAAAGCTCCTCTTCAACCAGCTCTACGTCCAGCTCTACGTCCAGCTCATCGGGCGTCACTACCTCGGCTGGTAACTCAGTCTTGTCTCAGCTCACCCTTCTCCCCGGCATGCTTGTTGCTCTGGTGGCTTTCTACATTTTGTGATTCTTGTGTCCGCTGTAATTTGTTTTATAATATATTGTATATCTGATAGATTTGATTAACTTGGCACGTGGATATTCGTGCGAGCGCTGAAATCCAAGTTTATATAGCATGCACCCAATTTAAGACTTTGCGGGTGAAAGTCGGCTTTGTCTGAGATGTCTTTCAATGCTGTATATGTTGAGTCCATTGTCGGGTATTCATCTGTTGACATTTTGGCAGCGAAGGAGATGCCCTTAAAGAGACCGCTGCTACTCCGTACATGGTTTTCGTACCTTACTTAACGCAATTTTGCTATGCAACCATACGATTATATACGAGAATAGGTACATCTGGGCAGCTGGGTAGTCATCTTTTCACCGCTATGGTTTCTTGTTTTGTCTTATATTGTACTAGGATACGCCGTAAGTCTTGCTTAAAATTGTTGGTCGGATTATTGCTGTAATTAATATGCCATTGTGAACGTTGTACAGAGTAAAACTTGAGAGTTACTTCAAACCAATAGCTTTGTATCATGATGATGTATCTTTCCTCTTATCAGCAAGATAATGTACAGATACATAGCAAAAAGCCCAACGGATAGATACCAACGGTTCAAAATCAGACAGCGTTCGCTACCAACAGTAGCTCGAGGTTAGTGCGCCCATGGGGATTCATAGCACTTCAATCCCACCCGAGCCACATCGTACCCATTTGTCTGACTTAGAGTACCACACGCTGCGGTCTGTATCTCTGGCAGGTAAAGAGGCGGGTTAACCACTGACACTCGTACAGAACCTGCAATTTACAAAACGCACTATACCAAGGGATGCGCTGGTGCTTAGTCATCGATTTTGGACAGATACATTTTCCTGTTTTGATATTGTAACGCAGGATTGACGAATCCAGCCTTTTAGTACCCGAGACGGACTGAGGTCGTATGCCATATCGAATAACACATAGCTGTCTAGCGAGACGGAAGGAGATGATTGCCAGTTGAGCCCGCGAGCATTCATGTACCAACACATATAACACGTAGGACAAATCGGGGACGAGGGCATTAATAGCCGATCAGTCAGCTGTAGCACGATACAGAACAGGGCATAGCCGAGATAGGCCTGTCTACTTCAGCCAGCGGCTTGTACAGACAAGCTACCAAAAACAAACAAATAAACTGACGGGCACAGGTGAGAAGACGAAAGTCAGTGGTATTACTTTTTTCTATAATTCCCAACTATTTAAGAGAACAGCCCAGACCAGATACCACAACTCAATTGTCAATCAACAATGGTGATGTTGTCTCGCCGCCTCCTTCACCTGGTGCTGGCCGTTTTCTCGGCGGCAACGCTGGCAGTGACAGCACCTACCCTCGAACAGGCCGGCCCACCCGACCCGGCCTTTCCGTTCACAGACCTCTGCGATAACTGGTGGCTGGAACGTCTTTCGGGGAGCGGAGAGTTCGTACTATGGACGCTGTGCCCGAAGGGAGAGAACCGGACCGGCGTGGTGTCCGTACTACAAATGGATAGATCGCTGGTGGCAGACAGCCAGAGGATCACACCGGCGTCTCCGTCGTGCGTATCACTCGTCTCTACATTCAAAGAATGGTCGCTGACCGGCCAGAAATGCCGCCCCGAAATGCTTCTCCGACATTTGTCCTTATTGCAGCCTCGCTGCCACAACATCAACCATGCAGTGCAACTGTTCGACAGATGCGACGAAACTGCTTTCGGTGGACCTAGGTGCCGTCTTTTCCCATTCGTGTTTGTTTTCTTGCTCTCAGTCACGTTTGCTGATTCAACTATCTTCTTCAGCCGAATGGATTACGGCAGTTGACGGCAACACGTGCTTCACGGACGGCGTCGTGTGTGGAACAGTGCAGTCTGAGGCGTCGGAGCAAATGATTTGAGAATGGGCGCGAGAGTCGACTAATGGAAGGGGAAAGACAGTCTGGCTGGCCATAGGATACAACTTGAATTGGGTGGACAATTTCTGTTGGTTCACTCCTCATTGCGCACATGTTTCTGCACCAGGTCCCAGCATCGCCGCATTCCAGTACCCATCGTGTAGGCCTCGCTGTCTTCCACATCCTCTGCGGTAGCCCAACAGCAGCCATCTGGGGTCGGTAAGGATTCAATGTGGTCGCTACCCCCGGCCTCGAAAAGGAAGACCTGCATTGTCTGGCGAATATGCGAGAAAAGCCAAGGAACAGTGCCAAGATGGACAGGTTTGCGCAGTTTTGCGGTGTTCTTAGTATCTGCGTCATCCCCCGCCAGCCACCGTTCGACAAAGGCAGTCGCTCCCTTCTGGAGGGCCGCCTTGCTTCCTGGTAACTTACCTGACAAGTCGTGACTCGGAAGCTGCCACAGGCCAGCCAGCAGACCGCGTTCTGGGCGGCGGTGCAGCAGGTAGCGGCCGTCGGGGGTTCGGATGGCGCACACGAACGTGTCCATCGCTCGGACGGCTTTCTTGGGGCGTCGTAGGGGGAAAAGTCGGGCATGTTCGATGGCGGAGGTAAGGCTACGCCTGTCGTGGTAGTCCGGTGGCGATGTAAAGAACGGTGATGCCGTCGCTTCCCCCTCTTTGCCCTTCTTCTTCTCGTCCTTCTTCATCTTCGTGTCCGACTGAACAGCAGCTGCTCCATCCTCCGGAAATGGTTCACATAGTTGGCATATGTCTTCTAGATCACACAGTTCGGCCGGCTCGGCCTTGTCCTTGACCAGAATGGCTCCCTCAGCAAAGGCGCGACAGGTGCTGCGAATGGGACAGGCGGCACAGTCCGGCTTTGGCGTGCACACGGTACTGCCCAGTTCCATCAGGGCCTGACCCCAGCGACCAGGCCGATCACTGGGGAGGATCTCAAGGGAGTTGCTGTTGTTGCCGTCAACCTCTTGCTTCACCTCACGCGTGTGGTCGTCCCCGTCTCCGTCTGCAGCGACAGCCCGCACGAGCGCCTCAGCGGCCGCCCAGAGCAGGTCGACAGTGGCCTTGTCGGTCTTGGAATCGGCATAGAGGCCGAGCTGGCGGCTGAGCACGCGGACGACGTTGCCGTCAACCATGGCAGCCGGGCAGCCAAACACAATCGCGGCTATGGCGCCGGCCGTGTATCGACCGACGCCGGGCACCCGAGCCACGAGGTCAGCCGGGTCGGTGGGCAGCAGGCCGCGCAAATCGGGCGCTGCGACGACGGCACGCGCAGCGGCATGCAGCCGATTTGCGCGACTGTAGTAGCCGAGGCCGCGCCAGGCAGCCATGACGTCGTCTGGCGGCGCCGCAGCGAGATCCTCAACGGCCGGCCAACGGGCCATCCAGCGCGTCCAGTAGGCCACTACCACGGGAATGCGTGTCTGCTGTGCCATGATCTCGCTGATCCACACCTCGTATGCCCGCACCGCCAGCTCCTCACGACTGCAGTGCCGTGGGTCCAGCCACGGCTTGCGCCAAGGCATGCCGCGCGTCGAGCTCTCGGCATCGTACCAGGCCAAAAGGGCCGCTCGTGCTGTCCGGCCGCTAGCTCCATCCAGAAGCAGTGGCCGGTGGTATGTGGTTGCGTGGTGTCGGTGCGGCGGGCGACATGGCGTGGCGGCAGTCATCGTCGTCGTCGTTGTCGTCGCCAGTGGCTTACTGTCTGGAGCTCCTGCTGCTCCTGTCGGCGAGAAAAGACGGTCGTAGAGCTCTTTGTTAGCAGCCGTGGCTGTTGGACCAGTTTTGCGTCGTTTGGTCGGGGGCACGCTCAGCTGGTCGAGGTCAGGGAGAATACGAGGGCGACTGCGTTTGGGCTCCATGCCCTTCTTCTGTCCGCCGGCTTCGCTCTCGTCATCCTCGTCCGTATCCCCGGCCACATCCTCAGAGATATCCTCCTCCACATCTCCGGTGTCCTCGTCGTAGTCCGATGCATTGTCCTCGATTGAACGCTGTCTTTTCCTGTCGCGACGAACCCCCGCCGGGGTTTTTTCAGCCACATCTGTATCCTCTTTGGAATACGCGGAAATCTTTTTTGCTGCGGCCGCAGCGCTGGCTCGCTGGGCTCTTGCCATCGTAACGAGTATTTGGATTGGGAGATGCAGCTTTTGACCCGCGTTGCCAATTCAATTGGATACGCGTAAACATATCCGGCTTAGTCACCCCACGACGCGACAAAGACGCCTGTGCACGTGACATACCAATTTGGGGTCCTACATAATATTACTACGCTCTCTAACTCCGTCCATCTTCTTGTTTTTCAGGTGAAATGTGACGAAATGAGGGCTAATCCAATGTTTGATATACCGGTGTTCTCGATCGGTTGACGGGGAGCTTGAGGGCCGTTTGCACAGCGGTTGCTGTTACTGAAAACGATGTTTCAACTGGCAATTGCATTTGCTGCAGACCGTTCATAAATAAAGTCTCGTCTTAGGTGTCTACTTTACAATTCCTAAAATCGGTCACTGCACTTGTCTTAATCGCTCTTGCCGTTTGCGCTTGTTTCGTATCTTCCATGTTTTTTTATCATTGCAGTAATACAGTTGCTCCAGGGTCGCGCTCCCATCTTCAGTAAAATTTGCTTCCAAACAACCCCTCTACGGTGTTCATTGTGAATTTTGACACGCGTTATTTAAATTCATCAATTTGAAGGCTGCTGTATTGGCTGGACAGGGCTTTATCTATCGTCTCCAACAAATCCAATTATTATTTTAACATCAAAGTCTCCAGAGTCTGCCTCTTTCATTACCGAACCATGGCGCCAAAGAGGGAGCTGTCCGAATCCAGAGCAGAAAGGTCTGACGATGCTAAGTCCACAGCGAGCAGTCCAGAGAGATTTCCATCTCCCGCGCCGGCCAACCCGCCTATTCCCTCAACTTCGTTTATCCAGCAACTCGCATATGCGGAGCGCTCATATCGCTCAAGCGACGCAACATTCGAGACCGCAGATAGCATGCCCCCGTGCATCAATTGCATCGCCGAGTTCCATTATGACATCCTGGAAATGTCGTGCGATGTGACACCAGATCATTCAGGGAAATGGATGTGTAGGACATGTGAGAGCAGGAACCATGTCTGTCGACCGGTAAGTTGCAGTCGGTCTGCATTGACTTGACAAGATTTAACGAAACAGATTCCTCGCCCGCTACTAGGCATCGCTGCAAAGCTTTGGGCTGCAAACCTTCGGATTCGTGCCTTTGTCAAAGCCAACCATCTGGCCGGAGTCAAGACCCAACGTCGAGCGGACGCCCTCAGAGATAAATACGGGAAACTGCGCACGTCTCTGGACCACATCAGTGACATGAATACTAGGTTCGGGAAGCTCGCCAACCGCGCCTATGAAAACACTGCATCCGAAGACAAGGACGGCGTGTCGTCTGTCCTGTACGAGCTGCGGTTACAAACGCGCATATTAGCTACCAATACGGCGCTTCTGGCCAAAATGGTGCCAAGAAAGGTACTAAGACTCTCCTTTCTGCGTTTTGAGTTTGCTAACCTGAAGAGAGGGGCATGAATGATGATGAATCCAGTAGAAAACTGAAAACTGCCACGAGTGCGCTTGTGAAGATCTTCGAAAAAGAGATATTTCCGCCCCCGATTGAATTGGTTGAGCTAGTGGATCGCATAAACACAATTGTCAGTCAAATGACGAGTCCCAATATTCATATTTCATACTAACGAGATTCTAGCCTAGCATGGTATGGGAAAACGAACTCTCAGACCATGTCTTGCTGGCCTATCTCATTTGCGTCCGTCGCGGCGAGCAGTTCCCCAACCGCCCAAAAGACCTGGCTGCTGTTTAAAAGGCGCCTCTACAGCTACATAGCCAGTGTTTGCCATGAAACTGGTATTGCGGTGGGCAGCAAAAAATATTGTTTGAATTGCTCTATCGCCTAGTCACAGACGGTATAAGGTTTGCTTCTGCCGCATCGGGTCGACAGATTGACTGCTTCGTTTATACTGACAACGGTGGCTGGAGGAAGTAAACCAAGCACAGTTACTGCTTTATCTTCCAGTTCTACAATAAAATCATTGTAATATTGAGAAGGTTCACTTCGTACTTGATTTTACTGTCACATACATCCACCTGTTCCCGCCATCCGATTCTGTTCTATACACTCGCTTTCAGCAATAACTCCATTTACCACCTACTTCACGTGGAATAGGTGGCCTTTAGGGGTCAAAGATAATGTAAACTCGAATGCCGGTTAATTATCGCAGGTATTCGCTTCTTCCTGCATGCTCGAATTCCAAATGCGAGCACTAGTAAAATCCACCGATTTGAGTTGTACAAATTTGGTTCTGTGAATCAGCTTGCAGCCAACAGACAGGATGATAAATAGCAGTACTACGACGTAGTTCATAAAGAACGATTGCACGTCCCAAGGGTCGAACGATGTCCAGCCCTGGAAGAATATGAAAAAGAGATTACCGATAAGACCAAAGCCAGCACAGAACTTCCAGGCCGGAGCTCCAAAGGGGAGGACAGAGTGACTGATGTTCTGAGCCGTCAATGCCTGGCGAAGTCGGATGTGGCACAAAGAAATTAGACCCCCTGGCGGTCAGCAACAAGATAGGAAGAAGGAAGGTTGATACCAGCAGCTACTTACAAGTGATGAACGTGGCAATACCGGTCATGGAGACGATCCAGGTATACAAGTGTCCGGCACCACTGGACAAGTTGAGAAGCGAAAGGAAGCCAATGAGGTTCATAAACACGAGCGAATACACTGGAACACCACGACTGTTGCACCAGCCAAAGATCTTGGGTGCTAGGCCCTCAGCTGCGAGGCCGTAGAGAGTGCGCGATCCGACGTAGAGGGCGCTGTTGATAGCCGAGAACATGGTGACGACGATAACGGCATTAACAACGTGGGCGCCGGCATCAGCACCCACCCGGGTAAAGGCGATCACAAAGGGCGAGCGGGCCGTCTTGCTCCTGGCCGAAAGCAGGTCGGGGTCATTGCAGGGAACAGTCAGGGTGAGAAAGAAAATACCGAAAAGAAAGATGCCGACGATGCGCCACAACACGCTCTTGACGGCCTTGGGAACGTCCCGGCCGGGATTCGAAGATTCTCCAGCCGTCAGGCCAATCATCTCCGTACCACTGTACTGCAGGGCCGCAAAGACAAAGATTTTGAAGACGCCTTTGACACCATCAGCAAAGGGGCCTGGATCGTGGTAGAAGCGGAAGCCGATCTTGTGCCCGCCCAGGACGCCAGTCGTGATGAGAATAGCACAGAGAAAAAAGGCCAGGATAGCGACGATCTTAGTTAGGGCCAGCCAGAACTCGGCCTCGCCAAATGATTTGACGCCCAGGAGAGTAAAGGCGAGGAAGAAACCCCTGATCACATATTAGTCAGCTGACACTCTTACGACGGAGCTGATCGACAAACGAACCAAAAAATCAGAACCCAGCCCCATCTGGGGATGGGTGTGTCCCAAAAGGTGAGCACGAGGCCAAGATTGTCTGTCATTTGATCAGCATGACCAGGGTGCAAAGCCAAGAGTTGGGAGAAGGAAGCCTACTGTATTCAGCCATAATGATGCCAGCCCAGAGAAACCAGTAGTTCCAGCCGAGAGCGAAGCCTAGTGCTGGATCGATCAACATGGATGTATAGTGTGTAAATGAACCTGATAGAGCGTGTTAGATTAAACTGTCCACATGACTTCTGCGTCTCAAGACCAACCGGGTAGCGGAATGAAGGCTCCCAGCTCGCCCAAGGACTGCATCACAGCCCATAGCAGAGTACCGACGATGCCGAAGCAAATGAGGAGTCCTGCAGGTCCGGCAGATGAGAGGCCATTGCCCATGCCAACAAAGTAGCCCGGACCGATAACTCCGCCAATGGCCAGCATCATCTATAGAAGTACGGAGAGATGCGGTTAGAGTATAGGGTCCTGAGATGGCACCAATCACGCATAGAGAGGGAGAGAGGGGGAAGACATACCAGATGGCGATTGGCAAGGCCTCGCTGTAGGCCGGTCCCAATGGCCTCAACCTCGCCATCGGTGGCAGAGACCGTCTTTTGCAGGGTGTTAACTTTTGTCGTGTCGTCTTTCATTGTTTTTTTTTCTTGTGCTGATGCGGCCGGGTCTCTTTTCCCGTCTTTGGACACGGCTCAGTCTCCATGTCTTATACAGGCCGACCGTGGTGACCGAAGATGGGCTCCAGGCCGAGTCATATCAACCAGTGGCGACAGTCTGGCCGATAGTAGACCATCTTTGAGAGTAGAAGGCTCCCAGATTAGATTGTTCCTGCATGAAGGAGTCGCAGATTGGCCTGCTTAATGTGTTTGGATGCACCAAGCGACTATGTTCGAGGCCCCACTGAGCCGAGTCATATCAGAGGAGCAAGCAGCCAATGGCGGCTAGCGATGGCTGAGCTGAGACTTCCGTACATTAAAGCCATGTATATTAGAACAGATGGACTAATATTGTAATCTGACGCAATACGAAGCTTCTTTATATTTATTATCTAGCACGATACTCTATTGCCCCACTTATGCCTATGGTTCCTTTGGGGGCTCTTCACGCCGTGCTTCTGCCTCCGAGGGCAGAAATGGAAGAAAGGCATCTGGCTTTGCGATATGGTAGTGGTAGTGATGGTGTACATGGACTATCTGGTGTATTGGGTTGGACGAGTTTGTATGTTGTCCAGCACTGAAGTTTTCGTGCAAATTTGGCAGGGCTGCCGTAGAGTCGGGCGAGAGTAGTGGCGGCCCCATCCATGCCGAATGGTTACCATGATGCATGTGTGAAGGCCGGGTCAAACAGGCAGACCAGTCGGGCCTTGACGCTGCAAACGAGGTCTGTTCTGGGCTTGTCTGTGCCTCCATACCACCAAGGAGCAGGGGCTGGTGGTCGGTTAGGTCAATGGCCGACTGAGACTCCGTGCCAGCCGAGAAGGGTGTGTCGTAGAGAGCAGAGGCGATGAATCCGTGGCTGTCGTGTTCTCGATCAGCCAGTTGGTCGTCCAGCTCGCTAAAGAGACTGGAGAATTCGGCAGAGGCCTGCTTCTCGCTGCTGGTCTCGTGGCACAGGTCGGCGGGACTCTGGATGGAGGCCAACAGCTCCTGGCTCCGCCGCATTGACGCCGACCTGGAGAGCGTGCGCCAACGGTTGCGACATGTCAATGGCGGCCGGCCGGGGATCCGTGATGAGATGGCGGACCAGCGATGGCCGAGGGCGTGGACGCCTTGGCGGAGAAGGTCGTCTTCCCGGGCGGTCCAGTCGGTCAGCCGGTTGCTAACCAGTGGATTGAGGATCTCGTTGTATCGCTTAGAGCACTGGTCATCTTTCCGACCGGGGATCAGGGCAGCTGTCGTGGTTAGAGAGAAGTATCGAAGTAGAGGACAAGGGAATAGTAGGGAAGATGGAGGATCTCACCAATATCATGCCAGACTGGTCCCAGTCGAGTATATGCCGCGAGGAGAGTCTGGTCTTCTTCTGCCGTCCACCGTCCCTTGCGGAGAGATGGATCGAGAGAGTGAAACCAGCGTTTGCGACAGTCCTGGGTCGATACTTAGACTTCATCCCTTTCCCGGTTTGATCACGGAGCCTTACCTTAGCGGTGCGATTAGAGATAGCAGCTGATATCTCCTTCCAGGCTCCGCTAGATCCACGGGCATCGCCGTAATGGCTGACGAGAGCCTGCAGCACCGCGTCCTCGGCCGGTGCCCACGGTCTCCTTGTCCTGGGACCGCCGGTGGATGCGGACTGTGAAGACGATTCGGAGGCCGACATAGGAGGCGGTACAGAGGCGACAAGACAAAAAAAGGAGGCCGGGTAACGCTGGATGTGTGGGGAAATAATCACAATTGATGGGCTGTGTCTCCGGCTCTTTTAAGCAGACGAGCCCGCAAAGTGATGGATCATGGCCACTCTTGCTTATCAGCGCTCTGGTTGATGGATCCACTTCCCCGCGAACTATGTGGACCCCTGACTCGGCTCAGCTGCACGATACACGGGAAAGCCTTGGGCCCTGTGAGATGGCATGGCTCAGTCCTTGCGGCATCGGGATGGCTGGTCGTCTATATGAGTGGTAGAAATGTCTGTTGTTGGGTGACACGGTCGGTATTGGATGGCCGCTTATCATCACCCTCACCTTCAAACTTAACACGCCCGCTGACGTAATCACACGCATCGCTATGACTGCTCCTGCCGACTATTCCCATCCTCTGGACCCGGCTACGGCCGAAGAGATCCAGCTGGCCATAGATCTGGTGAAAAAATCGTTCGCTCCCACGGCGCTGCACTTCAAGGCGGCTGGTCTCGATGAGCCGCCGAAGAAACAACTACGTGCGTATCTGGAGGCCGAGCACGGCGGCCTGCCGCTGCCGAAAGTCCCGCGCTGCGTCTTTCTCATCTGGTACATCAAGCGCAGTCCCCGTCTGTTTGAGGCGGTTGTGGATGTGACCAGCGGGAAGCTGGTCTACCAGAAGGAGTTGTCTCGCGACTTCCACGGGCCTGTCGACCGCACAGAGCTCAACGAGGCCGCACAGGTCGTGCTAGATAGCCTAGACGTCGAGAAGGAGTTTGTGCGCCTTGGCATCGAGAAGTCCTCGGTTGTCCTTGATCCCTGGGACTATGGCGTTGACGGACTGGAGACGCAAGAGCGCAGGACACAGGCATGTCTCTCCTAGGGAAACTGAACAATTTGGGGCTCTGCTGACTCTTTAGGTCTTCCTCTACCGCAAGAACCCCAAGAACAACGACGTCGACTCGTCGCACTACTCCTTTCCGCTCGACTTCATGGTCATTGTCAACCTGTGCTCGATGACGGTCGAGAAGATCACCCGACTGCCTCTCGGCGCTGACGAGAGCACGACAGAAGGTGCCGGCGTGCCGCTGCGCGAGACCGATCCGGTCGAGCCCGAGTACGACCACCGACTGCAGAAAAAGCTGCCGCGGACGACCCTGAAGCCGTACAATGTGGTGCAGCCCGAAGGTGCCTCCTTCACGGTCAAGGGCCACCTGATCGAGTGGGAGAAATGGCGGTTCCGTGTCGGCTTCAACTGGCGCGAGGGTGAGTTCTTTTTGGCGTGGAACATCGAGCTCCTCTTCTCGTTTCTGATCGGTTGCAGGCCTGACCATCCACGACGTCCACTTTATGGGCCGCAGCACGTTCTACCGTCTGTCTCTGTCGGAGATGTTTGTTCCGTACGGCGATCCCCGCAGTCCGATCTACCGCAAGGGTGCCTTTGACCTAGGAAATGTCGGTGCCGGCATGACGGCCAACAACCTTCAGCGTGGGTTTTGTCATCTCTCCTACTGTCTTCTTCTGACTAATCCGCCTCCAGTCGGCTGTGACTGTCTCGGCACGATCAAGTACGTCAGTGGCCATGTGGTCGACGCCGACGGCACGCCGTCTGAGCGGCCCAACGCCATCTGCATCCACGAGATCGACAGCGGGATCCAGTGGAAGCACACGAACCATCGCACCGGCAAGGCGACGGTGGTGCGCAAACGCCAGCTGGTGCTGCAGATGATCATCACGGTGGCCAACTACGAGTACATATTTGCCTGGATCTTTGACCAATCGGGCGAGATCTCATTCGAGACCCGGGCCACCGGCATCCTATCGACGCAGCCGGTCGACGCTGACTCGGCCATCCCATTTGGCACCCGCGTGGCCGACGGCGTGATGGCACCCTTCCACCAGCACCTGTTCAACGTGCGAATTGACCCGGCCGTCGACGGCCACGCGAACTCGCTCGTTTACGCCGACTCTGTCGCCATGTCGTGGGACCAGAAACTGAACCCGCTCGGGACCGGCTACGTCTCGGTTGAGACAACGGTGCAACGCGCTGGCCCCGTTCCGGACAGTCTCCCGGACGGCCGCGTCTTCAAGATCGTCAACCCGGCTGTCCGCAACCGGGTCTCGCACACGCCCGTCGGCTACAAGATCGTCCCCATTCGCTCCCAGATGCTTCTCGCTCAGCCCGGCTCCTGGCACTGGAAGCGCTCCGAGTTCGCCGAAGCTGCCCTCTGGGTCACAAAGTACCAGGACCGCCGGCTCTTTCCCGCCGGCGATTACACCAACCAGTCCCTCGGCGGCACCGGGATCAAGTCCTGGGTTCGCGATCCCGACTTCGTCGTGGACGAGGACATTGTCATCTGGCACACCTTTGGCTTCACCCACAACCCCCGCGTTGAGGACTTCCCCATTATGCCGGCCGAGATCGTCCAGATGCACCTGAAGCCCTTCAACTTTTGCGAGTACAACCCGACCAACGACGTTCCTCCGTCCAACCAGGCCTTCAACAAGAGCACCCTCTACGAAGATGTCGCCAAGGGCAGCGCCGGAGCTTGTTCCGGTACCTGTGGACAGTAAGACAGAGAATAGAGGATAAATAGGGAATAGATACTTGCAACTTTGACAAGGAAACTCGTATGCATCGAAAATGTCAAGCGTCGGGAAGCCGACTTCCAAACTAGACTCAACAATGACGAAGCGAGTCACTTCGGCTATCAAGACATTTAGAATGGGGCTAAGTGGCTTTTCTAAGACAGCCCTCCTCTGACTCGGCCCAATGTATCGATAGCGCCCTTTACGCTTTTGTATTAAAATCCAATGGTGCCTATGTCGTGTGGTGAGCTAGACTGTCTTATCACACAACAATATCTGGAAACTGGGTGCACTCTCAACCATGACAACTCAATCGACGACTATTCGTGCAGAGGTACATGTAAACACCCGTACAGGGCTTGGGGAAAGCCCGGTATATCGCCCAGAGGACAATACCCTACATTATATCGATGTGCCAGGCAATGTGATCCACATCCTGCAGTTATCCGAGCCATGGAATCATCGGTCCATATCTACTCCTCAACCGGTGGCCTCTCTCAATTTCTCAGCGGATGGGGGCTATACCGTCTGTTACTATAGAGGAATAGCCCACGTCGGGGAAGACGGAAGGTGGACAGAGCTTTGCGAGGTGGTGAAGGACGACAGGGCGAACCTCGTCCGGATAAACGACAGCGCTGTTGACCAAAAGGGCCGTCTATGGTTTGCCGAGTTTGAACTCGCATTTGAGACTCCGTAAGCTTCAGTGTCGACTCTCGATTGGAATGCGATAGGACAAAATCTAGCTAACAGATATCCGGTCACAGCGGCGATGGCCCTCACCTGTCAAAAGGCCATAAAGCATGCGGAAAGCTATACAGCTACAGTGCAGATGGAACGTTGGTCGAACATGAGTCGTCGGGAATTTCTTGCGGTAATGGGATCGGTTGGACCAGTGACGGGTCCGTAATGCTGTTCACGGATTCGATCCAAAAGGTACGTCGTAAAGCCCCGATGTAACGACACCGGCTCGAAGCACTAACAGTATAGATTATCTGGGGCTATGATTTTGACGCGGAAACTGGCTCATTATCAAATAAGCGGATTGTTGTCGATCTCAGTTCTGGGGATGGGGAGCCCGATGGGCTGCTGGTCGATACCGAGGATAACATATACAGCTTTCTCTGGGAGGGAAGTGGCGTGCATAAATACGACATGTCTGGGAAGCTTGTCCAGCGATGGGACCTGAATGCATGGCGAGTCACACACGGGGCATGGATTGGAGCTGATCTTGACCAGCTGATGGTCGCAAGTGCCCTTACTGATGACAGGTCTGAGAAGTGGCCTGGAGAAGAAGGTGGCAGCCTGTTCAAAATTGTCAACCCAGGCGGCCGAGGGACGCCGAAGAACAAATTTGGACGTGCAGCTTAGTACGCCTTATTGATGAATCAAGATTGACAAACTTGAATGAATGCGCATCGTGATAGCACGTCCGATGTTTTCTTGGTTATTTCTAGCCTCAAAAGAGGGGCTGCTCCGTACTTTCCAATCACGGAAGTCCCACAAATCACTTTCTTACTGTGGAAGCGCCCAGTCGCAGTCGACGGCGCGCCACGTCAACATACAGACACAGACGATTGAGGGTTGCATACGGAGTAGATAAGAAGAGCGCTGTATCATGCATTGAATTTTGGATGCATGTATATAGTCAGCCTTGCCTGCCCCATAGAATAAGAGTACTCCGTAGGAGCTGGAATGAAATCGATTAGGAGTCAGGAAACGTTACATGAGAAACAAGAAGGCTTACGGCGGACGCAAAGGAGCCCATATTTGCAATTGGACAGGCACAACTGCGGAGGGGCTAGGAAAGCAGCTGCCGAGACGTTTGCTCCTGCCTGAATAGGAAGAGCGTCTGAGCTACTGGTGGTGCTCCGCACACGCCAATGCCTATCTCGTGGGGTGACGTGGCAGCAAATCAGCGGTGGGGAGGTGGGGCTGTATGACAGTCTCGACAATTTGAGAAACAGCAGTGGCTGGTTGTCTAATTTAAGAGACCAGCCTCGTTTTTGCTTCTTTCTCTATGTTCTATTTTTGTTCAAGGCATCGCATTATCTGTAGGACCTGTCGTGCCCGAAGATTGGACGCGTCGCGGGCACGAGACCGACGTTTGACTTGCGCAGAGCGATCGGCAGGCGACGATCCACCGGCTTATCGTATCGTAGTTTTTGTACCCGCTCTCGGGATCAACACAGTGCCTTGAAAGAGGCACATCGGCAAGATACAACTGAGGGCACAGTGTCTCAGTCCGTGACCGCTCCTGTCTGTTTTTTTACGAGCATTACTCGTAATCGATGTGGCTTTCTGGTCATCCTGGTCAATCTAACGAAAAACCAGACAACCAGACAACCTGGCCACCTGGACTGCAGGACGGCTCCCGCCACCGCATTGAACTTCAAGATTCCGACAAGACGAGACGAGACCAGCCAGCCGCAGCAACGATCCCACAGAAAAACAATCAACGCGCCACACTAAGGTCTGGGGCTCGGCTTAGGTTATCACATCCAGGGCCTCGCATTTTTGTCACGTCACGTACGGAGTATCTTGCATAGCTTATCGCTGCACGATACGACGATACACAGCATTGGTCTGACTGTTACCTTGCTGCTGCTACCTTGTAACAGAGCTGCAATCGCTCGCCCCCTTGCCTGCATCGCGTGTCGGTCTCCATTTATTAGTTTTGTTCGCCCCAAACTATCTTATTTCCACTTTCTATTTTAACAGCGCCGATCGGTTGCTTTCAATCCTTCAGCTTTCAGTCCTCCCTCATCCGACAGCCTCACGTAAGCATCTGCTTACTGTTGCATCGCATCCAAGAACATATGCCCACAATTGGTGAGTTTTGCTTCCATTTTCGGCGCGGTGTGTACTCCGCCCGCTTTGACCCATTCCACTCCACAATTGGCGTTGCTTCTCCTGTCACTGACAGCGGCTGCCCTCATGAGCGACGCGCCTGTCCTGTTTTTGCTTAAATTATGCCTCCACCCGACTCGTTATCAGCAACCGCTCACAACGGCTAACTATTGCAGCTAACAACCTCAGCGCGCCTCGTACATTGGATCGGGACTCTCGCCATTCCCAGCATCGCCATGTCCGACGATAAGACACCGCCCACCGAGGCTCCGTCCCTGGTCGTCGACGCTGGTCCTCTGGTTCGCCCCCCGGGATGGAAATACAAGGCCATCAAGATTGGCGGCGTTGAGCTGTGGTATGCCTCGCCTAAAGTCCAGCTCTTCATGGTGGCCATGGTGTGCTTCCTGTGCCCTGGCATGTACAACGCCATCACCGGTATGGGCGCTGGAGGGCAGGTCAACGCGCACGCGCAGGATAAGGCCTCCGTCGCACTTTACTCCGTCTTCTCCGTTGTCGGCTTCTTCTCCGGCACCTTTGCCAATCGCCTCGGCCTGCGGCCGACGCTAGCTATCGGTGGCATCGGCTACTGCATCTATGCGTCCAGCTTCCTGTGCTACTCGCACACTTCCAACAGCGGCTTCGTCATCTTCTCGGGTGCCCTCCTCGGCCTCTGCGCCGGCCTGCTCTGGACCGCTCAGGGCACCATCATGATGGCGTACCCGCCTGAGCGGCAGAAGGGCCGCTACATCAGCGTGTTCTGGATCATCTTCAACCTAGGTGCCGTTATTGGCGCACTCATCCCCCTCGGCCAGAACATTCACGCCACAACTGCCAAGCCGGTGACCGATGGCACGTACGCCGGCTTCATCGTCCTCATGTTCCTCGGTGCCCTCCTCGCTCTGACTCTCTGTGACGCTAACGACGTCATCCGGGAAGACGGTACCAAGGTCATCCTGATGAAAAACCCATCCTGGAAGTCCGAGCTCATCGGCCTCAAAGACACATTGACTCAGGACCCGCTCGTGGTGCTGCTCTTCCCCATGATGTTTGCCTCCAACATCTTCTACACCTACCAGACCAACGATATGAACGCGGCTTTCTTCAATACCCGCACGCGCTCGCTCAACAACGTGCTCTACTGGGGCTCGCAGATCTTTGGTGCCATCATCTTTGGTCATGCCCTTGATTACGCCCGAATACGCCGTTCTATCCGCGCCCGTGTTTCGTTTTGCATCCTCTTCGCCCTCACATTTGCCATTTGGGGCGGTGGCTACGCCTGGGAGGAAAAGCAGTTGTCGCGCTCTTTGGCCACTACCGAAAACCCAAACTATGCGCCAATTGACTGGACCGCAGGTGGCAATAAGTACATCGGTCCCATGTTCCTCTACATGTTCTACGGTTTCTACGACGCCTGCTGGCAAACTTGCATTTACTGGTACATGGGTGCCCTTTCCAACTCCGGTCGCAAGGCAGCCAACCTGGCTGGCTTTTACAAGGGCATCCAATCTGCCGGTGCCGCCATCTTCTGGCGTCTGGACGATAACGGAGTTGCCTTTAACAAGATCTACGGCGCTACAGTATGTCCCCCCTAAATTGTTTTGAGGGGTTGTTCTTACTAACGCGTCCTTAGTGGGGCATTCTTGCTGGCTCGCTTCTCATTGCCGCACCACTGATCGTGGCAAGGATCAGAGACACGGTGTCGATCGACGAAGACCTTAAGTTCTCAGACGAGACTATTGAGGATATCGTGGTCCCAGCAGCGCTTCACGAAAAGGGTGAGACTGGTGTGTAGAAGAGAGGCAAAAAGAAGGAATTGTGGAAATTGAAACAGCCCCACTGTGCCAAAAATCAATTCAAGCCAATGCTCTAATACGTGTTAAATTTGAGATGTGAACGAGACCCATGAGCGAATGAGGTAGGGCAGGGGATCCCGGCTGGGATTAAGACATCCAACTGGGAGAGATAGTCTGTTTACCAGAGTTCTGGGAATACTGTTGTCATGCATGCCTTTCAATTTGCGTTTAATGTGATAACTTTTGATAGTTTCTACGGAGTACGATAATTTGATTTAGTGGGAATTGATACATATATGTCATAATATTCAAAAAGCACGACTAAACCTCTCTTTGTCCTAACACTAATATTGCCGACACGTTGGGGTTTACATTGTGTACAGTGAATTCACCGAAGCTCAAAGCGCCGAGCACTTTTTTCTCAGACTGGGCGCTGCGTTCTTTCTGCGACAGAACCAAATTTCTGCTCACTTCAATTTCACTTGTGCCAGCAGGCAGAATTCAGCTTCTGTTTGAGATTTCCTTATCTCCATTTCCCCCCATCTTTCACATCGATTTATTTACCCCTAGATTTATTGTGACCAGTTGAAGCCCCCCAGTCACATTCGGTATTCAGTACTTTTCCATTTCCCGATATTTTGTTTCACTTCATCAAATTTCACCATCACGCTCTCTTGCTCGGCGAAGAGTGAAACTCTCACAGCTTTTCTAAGGTTTTCATGTTTCATCATCAACTGCTTGCCCTTACTACATACAGCCCATCAGTGTCTGACGGATCGATATGCAGTCATCCCCAGAAAGGTCCGAAATGCCTTCTCAGGGCTCGCCCATGCTAGCCAGGTCGGCAACGCAGCCACCGCAAACGCCCATCAATCTCGCCAAGCGAACTCTGCAGGAGGTGCGTGATCTGTGCCTTCATTTCCCAGGTTTTGGTTTTGGGCTGTTGGTTGACTTGAGCAGATGCAACAGAACCCTTCTTCGACCACCAAAACGTCTCCAGCGGTGTCGGTATTGTCGCCCTCTGGCACCGTTTCGCCTTCGACCCCAAATACCACCATAATCCCCCCTTGGAAGCGCCAACGTTTGCGCGACATCGGTTCTAACGATACAATCAGCCGTGTGCATCATGCGTTTTCGCGTGTCTATGCTGGACGTATTGTTCGGGCGGACACAACAGACGTTGAGCTGGCGGTTTAGGATGCCGCCACCAATGCTGTCGTGTTCGAAGAAAAGGTGAAGAATATGTGCCAGAGCAGCAATGAGATACCCGACGGCTCTGCGTGCAAGCCTGAAAGAAACCGTAACCCCCCAACCAAAGTTTGCGAGTTCTCCACCGTGTGGCCATTTCTCAGCAGTCGGCTTGGGCTCGATGACGATACAAGTCTTGATAATAGCAGAGGAAAACGAACAATCTGGCTAGCTCTTCCCCCACCAAGCCACGGGGAGGTAGCGATTCAGCATGCAAGACATCTCACGTCTGTTCTTCGCCAGGTCGATCACTATGGAGGGGTGCCACTCTACAAAAAACAGGCGAACTTGGCACCGCGGCTCTGGTTCACGCTGAGAGACCGCCAATTTGAGCAAGCTGCAGAGAATGAGCAGGAAACTGACCAGGGTCATCCCATCATGCCCTCAATTGAGAGTTCCCTGTCCGACCAACCGGAAATGATTATCCCAAAGACAAATATACCGGTGGCGAATCGGGCTTCCGCTATCTGCGAATCGCCAGTCGCTCTAATTCCTGTTGCACAGAGCCAAGCTGCCCAGAGCCCGGCTGCCGGGGGCTTGGAAAGCAAAGAACCAATCGAGCAAAGAGAGGCAAAATCAGAAACAAATATATCATGTGATGACCTTGCCCCAGAAGAGTCTGAGAACGACTCATTCGGTCCGGTCACTCCACGAGCGCCGTCTACTCCAAAAAAGCGGATCAAGTCTCTCAAGCCAACCAAAGCACCGAAGTCTACCAAATCTCCAAAGCTGCCTAAGCCGACAGTAGCAGTAGGGACGGCAGTCCCTCCATTCACACCTGTTCGCTCGGCACTGACACAGACGGAAACGATCGTGATTGAGGACGATGACGAAGGCAACAGCAGAAAGAACAGCGCTGCCGTGCCGGGGTCGTTGGAAGAGGCTGATGAGCTAAACGAGCTCATGGTGGAGACAGATCAGGCCTTCCCACTGACTGTCAAGGAAGAGCATGAACTGTGGCTCCATGCCTGCCGCTTCTTTGGGCACGACGCCAGAGATTGTGACCCACAGAACCCTGAACATCGGCATCGGGTTGTCGGCTTGAAGCTCACCTTGCGTCCAGACCAGATGTGGTCCGTGTTCCGAATGCTGGCGGCAAGCGAGCTGACCGGCTTGCATGGTACGCTGCTGGCAGATGGCTTCGGGTTGGGCAAGACGCTGCAGGCCACGGCCGTTGCAGTAGTGGCTGCACTGGTCCACATGGCGAAGTTGGAGGTGATGAAGGAATGGGCGGCTGACGATGACCGCCATCCATTTTGTCGCCGGCACTTGCCGCAGCCGAACAAAGGTCGGCCGCAGACTGAAGGCGCGGAGTGTCCCTCCGGCACATACAGGCTTGGCTTTGCCTGTCCATGTGTGAAGCGCCTGCCTACAAATCGCTTGATGGATACTCTTCCGGGGCCTGGAGCACTGTTTATCGTGCCTCCGAGCCTGCTGGCGCACTGGACAACGAAGTTGGCGGCGTATGTGGATCTTGACGCGGTCGACATGTTTCCCCCAGGCGACAAAGATGAGGATGACGAAGACGAAGAAGACGACGAAGACGACGATGGACATGATCAAAATCTGATCGGAAAGACCCCCACGACGAGGCAAAGAAATGACCCTTTCTTCCAACTCGTCTGTGTGCGTGTCGGAGAGTCAATTCACCGCATGACGCCGGACGTGCTCAAGCGATTTCTCATGGTCGATACAATATCTTCCAGGGTGCCGGCATGTGCGCCAATACTCGCAACGGTGGTTCCAGTGGAGGGGAAAAAGAAAAAGGACGATACCAACAGCTACCATCTGTCCAGTCGATGCAGAGTGCCGTGTCCACTGGTGGTTGTGCCATCGTCTGTGGCGCTTGCGAACGCGTTCAAGATCGGCAGCACAATAGGCCAGATCCAGCAAGCGCACGAGCGATACAATCCCGGGTTTCCACAGGCAGAAATGCGAGGTAGCATTTTGAAGACAGACGTGGCGTTTCCCTTCCAGCCATCGATGGTGTTCATTGACGAGGCCCACAAAGTAAAGGGGAAAGACACGCTTCTCTGGAAGACAGTGCGGAAGATGGTCTGCCGGTCGCAGTATCCACTATTCGTGTATCCCTGCAGCGCTACACCGACACCCAAGGATCCCAACGACCTAGAGTGCTTCGTGGACATCCTGGCCAGTCCGTACGGGAGTGGCGAGCTGCGGGCGTCGTTGCTGTCGTCGATTCCGTCATGGCTGCAGCGCCGCACTTTGAACCAAAAGAAGCTGGTAGACGCCTTACAGGCCTGGTACGCCCAGAGCCGGTCACTGGTGTCCCAGGTGGAGGCCATGTCAAGAGAGGCGCATGATGAGTCGGCGACCGGACAACTGGTGCATGAAAAGCGGCGCACTGATCTTCGGAAGCAGGCGGAGGTAGCTACAACTCGACGTCTGGCGCTGTTCAGGCTGGTAGCTGTGGCTCGGGCGGGCGACCACGAGTTCCTGGGCAAGTTTCCCATTCAAAAGCTGCCACCGCTGGAAATTGAGGAGCGATTGTGTCCAACGGACGAGAGCGTTCGTGATCTGGTCTCCGAGCTCAGCCGCAATGTTGCCGGTCAGATCCGAGAGCAGTACCACGAGTACGTGCTGGCGGCACAGCAGAAGAAGCGACGTCACAAGAGGAAAGACAGCCCGGGTGACAACCGAATTCTCACGCTGGAGGAGTTTGCGTCTCGAAGAAGCACCGACCGCGGGCCTCATGCAATCTTCTACGACCTCCAACTCTGTGCTGTATTTCCAGCACTCGCCCGATATATGCAGATGTCGCCACCCCTCGTGGGACGTTACGGTCGAAAGTTTGAGTTCCGGACGCGCGACTTTGAGGGGTTCCAGCAACCGCTGCCAAACGACAGTCAGAGCTGGACCAATACGCCCTACTGGCCACACATTGCGAATTTCTGCGCGTACAGCAGCAAGCTTTACACGTTGTACGGAATCTTGGACAGTATGCGGATCGACACCACACCGCACCGGCTGCTGTCAGGCGCGAAAGTCGTACTGGCCAAGAGTGCAGTGGTGTTCACATCGCGGCCGTTGGTGGCATACACAGTGGCACTGGCGCTGCATCACCACTATGGCGGGCGGCTGCCGGTGTCGCTGGTGCTGGACACAACGAGCCAGCAAATGAGGCGTCAGTTGCTAGCCCCGTTTGAGGGTCCTGTGGTGAAAGAGATGGCCAGCACCGACGATGCAGGCGTAAGCCGCGTGCTGATCGCAACCATTGGGACGTCAGCTGAGGGCCTGGATCTCACGCGAGCCAGCTATGCGTTTATCCTGGAGCCGTACTGGAACCACGACCAGGAGAGGCAGGCGCTTGGTCGGGTGCTGAGAGCAGGTCAGTGCGCGCAAACGCACTTGTACAAGCTTGTATGTCCCGACAACATCGCCGAGCGGCTGATACAATGTCGACAGATGGGTCGGCGGGCGGCAACTCAGGGATGGGACATGCAGGAGGCACTGGGATCGTTTTTGCAGGAGAATTGAGGAAGACGCATGGAGGAAAAAAAATTGAGAGGGGGTAGTTTGACTGTGAGAATTACAGATTGTTATCATGATGAGGGAAGAGATGACGGAAGGACTAGCACAGCAAAAAGGGGGAAGATATAAGGACATGTGTAAGAAACTAGAGACTAGGACATCAGTATTGACCTTACACTTCTAGATGGTTGTTACTTAATGTATAGCCTTCTGCATCCGTATTTATCGAATCAACTAAGACACATATAATTCAACTTCTATAAAGCAACACCGCATTGTAATGCAAACGACCCAGAGTGCAATCACATAATGAGATTACATACGGGTTTTAAATGCAGCGTTCTATCAGAGTCTCACGCAGTTCCTGGGAGCTGGTTCGTAAGCAGCTGGACGAAGCCAAGGTTCGTGATGATAGTGGGCAGGTACTAGGTCGGGGCTTAGCCATCAAATTTGCCTGGCCAGGAGTGTGTTCTCCGGCAGACGAGCTTTGCTGTAGACGAAGCCCCAGGCCAGTGGGCTGCACGGAGCTTGACAAAGCTGGAGGGCTTGGCGCAGGGATGGTATCTGTGATGGGGGATGGGCCACGGTCCTAGTCTTTTCGTGACTGAACTGTTTCTGAGCACTACTCGACGCATCTTCTAGCTTGCCCAGTCCGTCGTGGAAATGCTGTTGAATATCTTGCGCCGACATGCGTTTGTACTTCTCCTGCTCAGGATTCCTGGGGATCAAAGTATCGTGCCCAACTGCTTCTCCAGACTTTTTCTCAGCGGTCGTCGTTTCTGTTTCCTTGCCTTTGCCCTTGGACGAGCTCGGTAGATCTAAATCGTGCTGCAACGGGGGAGATGTCTTGGCAACAGCCGCCTGTCCCCCACCGAGACCCGCATCAGCTGAATTCCCGCCGACATTCAGAGCTTCCATGGCTTGTGTCGCGCCTCTGAGTATGTCGTCTATCGGCCCTTCCGTTGCATTGAAAGCCGTTTTCTGCTGCACGGGCCCCATCTTCGCCGGTGGTTCCACTGGTTCGCCTTTTCCGGCGCCTGTGGAGGATTGCTGATCAACAGCGGCGGCGAGCTTCTGCATATGCTCATACATCACGCTTTGGTGTTCCTGAATAAGCTTCTCGGTTTCCTGCATCTGTCGAATCTGTTTCTGCATTTGCTGCTGTACCTTCTGGTGTTCAGATAAAAGGAAATTTAACCCTCCGCGAGACTCAGCATCTTCATTCTAGGAAGACCCCGTTTTTGTCTCCGGCAGATCAATGCCCAATGAAAGTGCGGCATCAACATGTTCTCTGATGAATGCCTTGCCCCAGAGTTCTGCCTGCTCCTCACTGAGAACACCTTCCAAAACAGCATCATCCAAAAGGACCTGCCAAATCGAAGGCACTTCGACATCGTAGCCGGTCGGGCCCTGGTCATCTGGTGGATCACCGCCGAAGATGATGCGGAGGGCGGCTGCAGCACGGATTCCGGCAAGGATCTTGTGGATCCCAAATTGTAGGCGCAAAAAATACTCGCTGGGAAGCGGGTACTTGTCGGGATCGGTTGTCAGCAGTTCATAAACGTCGCCGTGGTGGATGGGAGGATACTGTTCTCGGCGGTAGTCACTTATACTTCCATATCTCGCATGATCCCAATCTTCTGTGACAAAACTGCTGTTTTTGTCGTCCGCTCCTCTGAGCCAGACCATTTGGATGGAGATCCCAAGCTCCGGCGAAGCGACCGGATGCTGAATGGGTCTTAGGGCGAATCTGAAGCGGTTCCACATGACATGTGCATGGGCATTCAGAGGTAAAATGTTCCTCTTCTCGTTTCCAGGAATAACATGATTCTCAACTTTCTTCTGTGGCTAAAATGAACAGAGAAGATCCCATGCTTCAGCAAGATTTGCCTGTTTGGCCCTTACGGGCACAATATGCGCCCCTTGGGGGTCAATTGTACCAGAAAGAAAGCAACGGCCGCCGTACCACATGGGCACTTGTCTCTGGGCCGCACGATCGGCAGTCTCGCGTGCTTGCTTGCTCTTGGTCAGCCAGCCTTTTAAAGCATTGGTAAGCTGAAAATCCAGAACAGCAAAAACGCTCCTATAGAAGCGTCGCAAATTCTGAAGATTGTCGTCGTGTTCATATAGCATAAAGTCATGCTGCATTTCTGTAACACTAAGTCGTTTGATTCTAGTGCTGGAATCCTCCATTATTTCCAGAAGGAGTGTGATGTTCATTCTCTGTCTGGTATTATAGTCGACTCCGTCATCGTCAGAATGAGGCAGGAGATTGTCGCGCGCCGCTTTGAGAAATTGCTTGAAGCCTTCCCAAACATCAGCATCTGTTCGAGGTGCTCCACTGTCATCGTCATCATTTTCGCCGACTGATTTAGGATTGGGTGCTATGGGCTCTTCGGTCTGGACAGCAGTTGATGGTGGGTCCGTCGTAGTCGTAGGATTCCAGTCCACAGGATGGTTCCCGATGAATCTAACCTGCATGTGCATTGCGAGTGGAACCTTGTCAAGTTAACAACTAGAGTCCGGCAACCCTTCATAATAGGACACGCAAAAGTTGTCAGACGAACTTTGGCGGTAGGGGCTAGCAGGATCTCTTGTAATAAATAGATGATTCTCGTAGGAAGAGCATGTAAAGTTGTCAACTGGCAATTGTCATACCTGTACCTTACAGCATAGTAGGCAGGTTTATATGACTAATCCATGATATATCATCACACACACCCAGGTTATAGCGGAGGGGAAAGCTGCTTATTAATCGGAAAATAAGAATTAGGAGTTTCCAAAAGGTGCTAAGTTTGATTTACATTATGCGGCGTTTGCTGCGGGCTTTGGCAGATGTGTGTTGGTAAACTTTTGATCTAGAGCTGATTCGAATCGTGTGGCTTGCTGTGTGTGATGGCATCTTGTTTTGTGCAAGGAAATGGCAGCTCGACTTATAAAGTTGTGCTGTCGCACCCCCTGCACCATAGTGTAAAAGTAGGGCTCCCATACCATACAGTGTGGTAGGCAGGGTGGTATATGACTTATTCATACAAACGGCCCAACGAGCCGGACGGTGCGCCGACTTCGGATAGGTCCAATGTCATCATCCCAGTCGTAAATGCTCCGATTGATATGGGCACGGCTTTCAACGGCATTGTAATTAGACACGTTTCCTGTGAAAGCAAAATCTGGGAAAGGGAAATGCCACTCTGTTATACCAAAAGTCGTCCCTTGCTTTCGTTTCGTTTTCGCTTTGGTTGTGAAAACATATTTTGTTATGCAAATCCTCGAAATCCGTGGCCATCGTTATGAAAGACCGGCAATAGAGATGATGCTCGTACATAGTAGAAGTCCGTATCCTGCTTTCAACATGATCCCCATAAATATTGTTTTTAATCAGGATCGCCGCCATCGCTTCCAGAAGACTGCAGTTACATTGATGGGATCAGCGTAGTTCGTGACGAATGGTTACAACAATAGTGGCCCCAAGGACGAGGTCTGGTTGTAGAAGTGGGGCACTCGAACTGACACCTGCCAAACGATGTTGGTGGCAGGACGAGTTACATTTTCGGCAGCTACCATGACAGCTGTCAAATATACCAACAGAACGCTATGTTTTAATACTTCAGTATCACAGCATCCCGGTTGCCAATGCGCTGACGAAAGTACCGGCGCCACCAACGAGAGGGAATTTATTGCAACGTCAGGAGGTGCGATATCAACCAGATATATACCAAGTTGATAGCACAGGCACCTGACCAGACTTACATATACAGTTGCGTTTACAAATAAGGCTAGACGTAACAACCCAAAATTTTAACACTGATCGGCATACTTGAAGGTTTCCAACATCGTAGATGCCCAATGGAAGAACTATGCCACTGACAACAGATTAGCGTCGCTACTCCGCACCAAACGGCGGCGAGGCAGCAGGACTACGTTGATATGAGGGAGGCGGTACTTGCAGATTGTCTTGATTGGGAAAGTAAAGCTTGTGATCGCCCAGAACACAGTCTCTTGTGCTGTTGACGGGGCTCGTACAGCGTCGAATGCGTGTGCAGATCCCGACAAAAGACCTGTTGGTCTTGGGGTTATGTTTGTATGGTCAAAAGGAAGGCAGCAGGAGGAGGGGTGCTTGACATCACCGGACAGCAGCCTGCAGATCATAGAGGACAGGGCCCGTCCGTCTATCATGGGTATAAAGCACAGTCCATGGCCCCGCTGTCTGTGCGGTCGGTGTTAGCCATGTGCAGCAGGCCGCGTCTCCCAGACTATACGATCTCGTACACGCACTCAGCCCCAGCTTTTGCACTCCGCTGCCCCTAATTCGTGTACCATGGCCAAGCAAGTCTGTCTGCTCGCGGCGCTGCTGCTGTCGGGCCTGTCGTCGGCGATGCCGGTGACGGAGTCGGTCAACGACCCACGGTCGCTGGCAGAACGGTCGACGATCCTGCCGAGCGAGGACTTGTTCTATAGCGTGCCAGCGAACATCTCGGCGTACGCACCGGGGCAGATCATCGGCTACCGCAAGCCACCAGCGCCGATTGCGGCCTTTTCGATGGACCCGGTCAACCTGGAGGCCAGCTGGCAGATCCACTACCGGACGACGGACAACTTTGGCGAAGCCACAGCGACGGTGCTGACGGTGCTGGTGCCGCACAACGCAGACCTGTCCAAGGTGCTGTCATACCAGGTGGCCGAGGACGCGGCGTCGGTCAACTGCGGGCCGTCGTACGCGCTGCAGCTGGAGTCGGCTACAGGCGAGCTTCTCGGCACGATGGCCACACAGGCTGAGCTGCTGCTGATTGAGGCTGGCCTGGAGCAAGGCTGGGTGGTCATCCTGCCGGACCACGAGGGTCCCGTGGGCGCATACCTGGCCAACCTGTTGTCGGGCCACGCCACGCTGGACGGCATCCGCGCAGCTCTTGCCTCGACTGCCTTTACGGGCATCCAGAGCAGCGCCCGTGTCGGCCTCTGGGGCTACTCGGGCGGCTCGCTCGCGTCGGCCTGGGCGGCTGAGCTGCAGCCGGCCTACGCGCCCGAGCTGGCCACCTCCATCGTCGGCGTGGCCCTTGGCGGCACCGTGCCCAATATCTCCAACGTCATCACCACCATCGACCGCACGCCCTTTGCCGGTCTCCTTCCCGTCGGCATCATGGGCATCTCGCGCCAGTATCCCTTGGTGCAGCAGATCGTCGACACCCGCATCTTGCCGCAGTACCGGGCCAAGTTTGCTCGGGTGCGCGATAACTGCTTCGTGAATGAGATGCTCGACTTCTTGCTCGACACACACATCACCGCCATGGTCGACGACCCGTCCGTCTTCACGTCACCGGCCGTCATGGCCATCCTGAACGAGAACGCGCTCGGCAGCCACGTGCCCACAATCCCGCTCTACGTCTACAAGTCCCGCCGGGACGAGGTCAGCCCGATCGCCGACACTGACGATCTCGTCAGCAAGTACTGTGCTGGCGGCGCCTCCGTCCACTACACGCGCGACCTCGTCTCCGAGCACGCCACGCTGGCTGTGCTCGGCGCTCCCAGGGCACTTGGCTGGCTTATCAACGCGCTCGACGGCAATAGACAGACTGGCTGCAAGACTCGGACCACCATGTCGTCGATGCTCGACATCTCCACCCTCACCATCGTGCCCAAGCTCCTCGTCAACGCCTTGCTAGCGCTCCTAAGCGGTGATGTCGGCCCCGCCTTTATTGGCTGAGTCAGCAAACGCACGGAGCAGTGTGGATAGCAGTACTCCGTAGGCTTCTTTTCGCTTTTTGCTGGCGTGCTCGCTTATTTCTAGGAGCGTCTCTTACTAGTCTACATGTACCTTTCTCGTACGAAATTGTTATTGCAGGCGTCCACAGCTACGTGTTCTAGAATGATGCCACGACTCGTCCGATCCGTTTGTGTGGACGCTCATCAGATGAAATTCAGGGGCAGTCCAAAGAAGCCTGTTTCTCGCGGCTGTTGTCAGATTTTCCGACGCTGGAAAAACGCCAAATCCCGCTTTTTTGCGCAAGCGAGCACCGGTAGCGAGATGGGCATACGAAGGTAGTATGCATTATGAAACCGCTAGCCCCAAGGTGGCCAGCCTGTGGGACTTTCCGGGAAGCTGGCCTGGGGATTTCTCCAGGGGCTTGGCGTAGTGAAACGGCCCGGCACTCCACTCTGTTAATATGACGGCTCTCGTTCTGGATTAGGACGTGGAAAATGTGGAATCCTCGGCCGCGATGCCAGCGTATTTAACACGGCCGCCAGCCCGTCCCGTCGACAGAAAGGCTCGAACCTCCAAGCTTCTGGCTCTTCACACGCTCTTTGTCGTCTTTCGTTCGTTTCTAAACACTTGTGTTTCCACGCTCTTTTATTCAAAACCCCAACTCAGCTTTTAGTTGTCCACTCTTTAACCCCAGCACATACACAATCACCGCTTGTTTTTGGTTCCCAGTTTTCCCATCATGAAGTCTGCCGTTCTCCTCGCTGCCGCTTCCGCCCTGGTGTCTGGCGTCTCTGCGGCCGCTATCGAGAGGCCATCCAAGGTGCTGCAGGCCCGCGCCACCACCATCTGCGGGCAGTGGGATTCCGTCGCCACCGGCGCCTACACCGTCTTCCAGGACCTGTGGGGCGAGGCCCAGGGCACCGGCAGCCAGTGCACCACCATCGACAGCGTTGCCGATGACACCATTGCCTGGTCTACTTCGTGGTCCTGGTCCGGCGGTTCCAACCAGGTCAAGTCGTATGCCAACGCCGTGGCCACCATTGCCAAGAAGCAGATCTCGGCGATCAGCAAGATCCCCACCACCTGGAACTGGAGGTGAGTGCACCCTAGACGACTTCCCGTTCTTCCATTGTCCAATTACGCTAACCGCTTCAGCTACTCTGGGAGCAACATCGTCGCCGATGTCTCTTACGACTTGTTCACCTCCTCCACGGCCTCTGGCTCGAACGAGTACGAAATCATGATCTGGCTCGCTGCCCTCGGTGGTGCTGGTCCCATCTCGTCCACCGGCTCCACCGTTGCCACACCGACCATTGGTGGTGTCAGCTGGAAGCTCTACAGCGGCCCCAACGGCGACACTACCGTCTACAGCTTCGTTGCCGCCACCGAGCAGACTAGCTTCTCCGGTGACCTGCGCGAATTCTTCACCTACCTCATCGCCAACGAGGGATTCCCTAGCACTCAGTTCCTGCTGAGCGTCGGTGCCGGCACCGAGCCCTTCACTGGCTCTGACGCCGTCCTGACCGTCTCGGCCTACAGCCTCAGTGTCACCGACGGCACCGCTACCTCTGCTGTTTCTTCTGTGGCCGCCAGCACCGTCGCTGTCTCGACCAAGGCTGTTACCACCGCCTCAGCCTCGACCAAGCCCTTGACCACCGGCTCCTCCCCGTTCAAGTTTGGCAGCAGCGGCCCGTTTGTCGGCACCAACCACGCCGTCAACTCTTCTGCCGTCTTCTCCAACTTCACCACCGGCGTTGCCTCCTCGGCCGCCCGCACCCAGCCGACTGTCTCTGCGGTTGCTGTCTCGGCTGCTCGCACTAAGCCGACTTCTTCGGCCGTCTCGTCTGCCAGCACGGAGCCGACTGTCGCCGTTGTCACCTCGGCTGCTCGCACCAAGCCGACTTCCTCTGCGGTTGTCTCTTCTGTTAGCACGGAGCCGACTGTTGCCGTCGTCACCTCGGCCGCCCGCACCCAGCCGACTGTTTCTGCTGCTGTCTCGGCTGCCCGCACCCAGCCGACTACCTCTGCTGCCGTTTCGGCTGCCCGCACCCAGGCTACTGCCGTCTCTGCTGAGTCTGACTGCGAGAGTGCCTCTGTCACCGTCACCGTCACGGCTACACGGCCCCTATCCACCGCCGTGGCTACTGGCTTCGCTCAGACCAACGGCACCTTGGTCCCTCACTACTACCAGTGCGGTGGCTCCAACTGGAACGGCTCGACCACCTGTGTCACCCCGTACACCTGCAAGCTGTGGAACCCCTGTAAGTCACCCCCAGAATGGCCTCCCACTACTGATTTCACCTGCTGACCATCCACAGACTACGCCCAGTGCGTGTAAGCAACGACTTGATGTCACCTTCCAATTTTCGTGTATTTAGTTTTGCCTCGATGGCTTGGGCCTGAACCCTTCTTGGATTGCTCGCTGTGTTTGTGATCCTTTATTCTTCTAGAGCCGGTCTTATGACTGCTCGATTTGGCAATGCCACATTTATTCATCCTGTGACAGTGATTGATGAGTTTCGCGTGCAATATTAGTTTTTGATGGAGAAGTGTTATATTTGTGATTAAATTACGTTGTCAACGTTTTACATTACAGATCGCGCTGCTGTGAAAGCTGGCACAGTACATGTGTCACATGCAAATTGTAATCAAAGAATGTAAATTAATTCCTACCCTCTGGAGGTTGGACAAGCCGGGAGGTCCGCGAAAATACAAATGGCTGCGCCGCTGTCAAAGCAGTTTTCTGCATCAGGCGTCTGACGAGGTGCTCTGATCAGTGATAGGGGCACACGTCGGCCACCAGTTGCTGCGGACTCTTGGTTGTGGTGCAAACGTGCATGTCTGACATGTCTGATGGAAGGCGGCCTTGTGCACCATAAAATGAACCGCCTTCTCAAGACCGAATGTTGCGATATTGCGTATCTAGCTTCCTCCTACCACACTGCCGTTTCCTTGCAAAGGACAGACTATTAAAGAAACAGAATATCCACTGCCAGTCCGCTTGTGACAACATGGCCAAGATACTGGGCACCGTAACATCGGTGCTGCAACTCATCGGTACAGTTAAGGTCGCCAGGGACGCTTTTTAATATCCACGACAAGCTCCGAACACGGCCAAACAACACAAAAGGACGACACGTATTTGCGTCATCATTACATCGTTTTCAAGAAAGTCAAATGTTGCCGCGTAGGTTAGCATAATTGTTTTCCTTAAATAAAGTAACTCTTCGATACTAAGACAAGCTGGTTGTTCTTTCCTTCAGTTCGGTTCAATCCATTCCTCAGATGATAATGGTCCTTCATCCTATCACCAGTCATGTCTTGGCGGAGCTCTTGTGATCTCAAAGTAGAATAAGAATGGGGGAAGACGTGTCTAGATGCATGTCACGTGTAAAATGTCACAGAATACAGCGCAGTGCTCTCTACTCCGTAAGCTCCCCACATTGTCGGCAGCTGGGTTCAAACCCACCACTAAGCCTGTCCAGGACTCCTGTAATGTGCCGGGAGGCCGAGCAATCATTCTGGCGAAAACTCCGTAGAGGTCCTTGGATTCTCCAGAGGTCTGCAGTGGTCTTTTTCCATTTAGACCCTCCTTGCAGTCAAAATGCGCGCTTTAAGAGCTACGTCTCATGATTGCCACACGGCTACTTCCGACAACTTAAAATGCACATACTTTTGACCAGCGGCTCGCATCGTTTCGTTCTATTCGACCAACCTAACTTTGCCACCATTTCGTCGCCATCATGTTACTTGTCGCTGTTCGCGCGGTCCTGCTGCTATTGTTGACCGACCAAACGCAGACGGCGTATGCATCTGCCAAGTCTGAATCCGGATCGCAGGTGATCCCAACCCAGCAAGCAGCAGTTTCTCAGAATGTGAAGTTCAACCTTCCCACACAGCGGACCTTTCTCCTCAACATCCCTAGCAGTTATGACAAAGAGACTGCCTATCCCTTGGTGCTGTCGTTTCACGGAGGTGAGTTTCGATTGAAGTTGCAGTCGAGTCTCACGTTACTTCCAGACTCATCTGCCCGTCTGACACTTGCTTTTCGTACCTGTTCCAGCCGGCGGCAACAGCAAAAAGCAGCAGCGTATCACCGAGCTGTCCGATCCATCGCTGCGCATTGCCGGGATGCCATTCCTGACGGCCTACGGCCAGGGCGTCAACAATACGGAATGGGGCATGAAGCACATCTGGAAGGGAGCCCCATACGAGAACAAGACTGTGGATGACGTGAGTCCTCGTCCTGGCCCTCTCTCCGCCCTCTGTTGTCCCGGCTGCTGACGCGGATCTTTGAGGAAGATTGCCTATGTACACGACATGATCGAGACCGTGGCTGCCAGCTACAACGTCGACCGTTCCCGCATCTACGCCTGCGGCAAGTCCAACGGTGGCGGCTTCACGGCGCTGCTGGCCTGCCGACCCGACACGTCAGCTGTCATCGCGGCGTTTGCGCCCATCTCGCCGGCCCTGTACCAGGGCACCTTTGCGTTTTACAACTGCTCGCCGGCCGGGCCGGCTCCCATCCTGCACGCCCACGGGGTCGAGGATCGCATCACCGAGTTCCACGGCCGCACGCCGCTCGGCGGCTCGTTTGGCCCTGAGCCCGACGTCCGCATCTGGCGTCGCGAATGGGCTGAGCGCAATGGCTGCCGCGCCGCGTCTTACCCGGGCGCCTATCCTCTGCCGGCCGTGAGCGAGGTGCATCCGGGCGCCTGGGAGGAGGTTTGGGACTGTCCGGCTAGCGGCGAGGTGCGCGCGCTCACCGTCGAGGGTCTCGGCCATGCTTGGCCATCCACACTCGGCCTCGACCGCGCCGGCAAGCCCAACCAGACGGCCAACTTCAACTTCACCAGCCAGCACCTGGTGCAATTCTTCTCGCGACACCGGCTGGTCGTGTCCAAGGACGTTGAAAAGACGAGGGTAACAGAGAAACAGGAACTGAAATGAGGCATCATTTTAAACTTTACGTGTTAGAGGAGGTCGTCTTCTCAACATACTTGGTTTTATAAAATTTCTCCATTTATAGTCATTGGTAGAAGAGCGTGGACTATGGACTTGAGAGGGCTTAGTTCTATAGCCCTCTATTTTACAACTATCTCGACAAGTCGTGTTGGGGATTTCTCGATGGAGGCCAAAAGTCTGATGGTAGGACGCGCAGAATGAGGGGTGATCCGAGTTATCCCTCCTTGCTGCTTCACCTGAGAGGATGCTTTCTAATGATTTTCGTCTCGATCGAGCAACTTTTAGCCAAAGCCGAGAGGATAGAAGCGTGCATGAAGGTAATGTCGAACTAGCTACATGCAGCGTTTGTGAACATCTGGGCACAGAAGTCAGACGCTGGATATGTCCATCCATATTCTTCGGCTGCTGAACCTGTGTGACTTGCATGGTGCACAAAATCACACATAATTCAGGAACCAGATGGCCCTTCACACTCAGATAATGGAACACAGACGAGATGAAATAACACGTACATCTCAGGCTACACTATCCAGAACCCGTACATATCCTACCTGGGTCTACCTGCCACTCCGTTTGCTCCGAACTACACGCACATCTCCGTCACGGACTGTGAACATGCCAAGAACGGTGTCTTAGAATTTTGATACTTTCTAGGCGTTTGAGTATCTACTAGATACAGCCGTCAGTATACGAATTTAATTGTTAGATAGCCCCATACCTTTAGACTCATCCACATGTGACTCACTTCGGTATGTGGCTATCTGTCCGTCTCTCGTGTTGCCCCCTCTCCAAATTTAGTAGAGTGGCATAGGGATCTTAGAGTTTAGAACTCAAGACAGTTTCACCCCTTCCGCAAAATCAGAGATTTCATTTTGGTAGTTTCCTATACGTCTAGATGCGAAGCTATGTAAGGTCGACGAAACTTGGATGTAATCGCAAACATTGATACAGTAATAGACAATTGGCTTAGGCATCTCGCCACTTCTTACTTTTGTCGCCCACCCAACTACCACAATATACACACCGTCTGAACGATAGTATTTCTGTGAGATGTATTTATTCACCACCTCCCTCATGTTTTTCAGTTTTTCAGTTTTTCCTTTTTCCTGACCATTCCACTCCATACCTCCAGTTTCCGGGATTGCGCCTTTCCCCATTCGCCATTACCCCCATCTCACGATGACGATAACGATGGCATCCTGGGACAGCCTCCCCGCAGAGCTGCGCCTCACAATTCTGGAGTACGTCGCCGGCGCAAACCCAAACTTCACAGACGCTGGACCTAGAGAAAGCTCAGCGCGGCACACGTACTACTGCGCTCCCTATGCGACCGTCTCGCGCGACTGGCAGGTGTTTTTTGAGCGCCGCACCTTTGCGGCCATTGCGCTGTTCAACGACGACGTCCAGCCGTTTTGTGATGCCGTCGGACGCTGTGTCGACCGACTGGAGTATATAGGCCGGCTTCGGCTTACGATTGACCTGCCTGAGTACAGCTGCGGCGAGTGCGAGACCGATGAAGACGCGGCAACCGTGAAGCGGTACGTTTATATTAATCAAGCATCAATCCTGTGTACTGGTGTATCTGTTGCTAACATATCTTGCAGCAGCCATGTCGATTTTACACGTTACCTATGGCTTCTGTTACGCTCGCTTGCAGCGTGGAAGATTCCAGGGCAGGAGGAACGGCAGCTGCTAAAGCGCAGTGACAAAATGTTTGCCCTTGGATCGTTTAACAGCGCCGTGGGAATTCAGCTCGAGCTAGGTGTCCGTTCTATTAGCGATTCGCAGCACGCCTTCCGCGACTATCGCATCTACAATCCATACGGAAACGTCCACCGCACTAGAGAAGACTTTCATCGGTATTACCGCGACGTTAGTGCCCAACAAGACTCCGCTACGCACGGGTGGTTGCGCGGCGTCCGAAAGCTGTTGCCGCCACCTGTGGCTATCCGTCGTGTACTTGGTGCGCGTCTGCTAGAGCTCGACGCAGACGGCCTAGGCGGCGAGACAAGGACAGAGACGGAGCGCAGCAAGCGGTATCTAGTGCGCCACGAACTGCCAGCTGCTGCTATTGTAACCAAGCTCGTGTTTAGCCGCCAGTTTTACCGCGCCGTGCACCCGGCTACGCTGTCATACCTGCTCCGCATCTGCTTTCCGCAAATCATGTATTTGCATCTAGAGCCGTGGAGGCCGGTAGATGCCGCAAACCTTGGCGCTATGGAACGCGGTTATTGTACGGTGCTGGCCAACCTACCACCATCTTTGATTGGTCTCTCTATTTTCTTAGAGACCAACTACATCATCCACCACCGCGACAAATATGCCGTGCATCCTGGCGCCACACTGACCGATCGCCGGCCGAGCCCACAAGTCGGACGCCAGCTAGCAGAGGGCAGCGGCAGTCTTGTCGTGATCAGCGTGGCATTCCTTGCCGAGGCCGACGACTTTTTCGCAGCAGTAGCGCGCATGCCCGCAAAGACCTGGCCGCGGCTCAAAACGATCGTCCTTACATCGTCTACGCTCACACCTGCATCCTCACCTGCCGACGTTGAGCAGCTACTGCTTGCAGCCGCAGCTGCGGCGGTCCGGATGCCGCGACTTCGGCAGGTCGAGCTCTGGTTTGCCCGCGGCCCGCATGCATGCGCCTTTACGGTCACGGGAGCACGCTTAAGACTCCGAGCTACATGGAATGTAACTCGGGCGCTCACGGCCGACGTGGTGCGCGCGTGGCGGGCCGTATGCCAAAATAAGACACATCGACATCTCCATGTAACAACCGAGCTCTGGGCCTGCCCCAATAGCCAGACTAACATGGATGCGCGCATGTTGGTGCTTAATGGCGACGCACTTGTGAGGCTGATGATTCAAAAGGAGTCTCTCCTTGACATGTTGGTGGAAAAGGGTCCTATGTGGCGACATATGTAATAGCTTAATGACTACTCGCTTTGGCCCAAACGGTCTGCCACATACTCGTTGAGATCCAGGAAAGTGCTATGGAGTATGGGATGTTCATGCATTTTCCTGCAGAGCTGGCACCATCAAGGTTCCTTCTTCTTTCGAAACAGGTGCATGCCTGGTACCCCGGCCAACAATGCTGTAGAGGATGCGGAGGCTGGTTACATCCAGTGGGCCATAATGGCGACGGAAGAAGCAGAAAGTTGGGCGAGGGTGGCGGCAGCAGCGAGCCTCGACGCCAGGAACGCTGCTATCTGGGCAGCGACTGTGGCGCCGTTCTCGATGGCGACGACCGACGCAGAAGAGAAGGCGGATGAGGCGGAGGCTTCCTTGGAAAGGGTAGACGAGTTCGTGGCTGTGGCAGGAGAAGCCGTGCAGGTAGCAATGGCGAGGGCGTGGGACAATTGGGCGGAGTCCCAGGACGACTTTTGAGCAAGTTATTCCATCTTCTTTGGCGCATCACTTGCTGACCAGCATCCTAGTCGTGTTATTCTTATCTTCCCAGACTTCTAATGCAAGAAATCTGCTAACTGTTCTTTGCTGATGACTTGTTTTCCTTCTAAGTTTCTGTGCTGACGTTAAAAGAACCTCTTCATCATTCTTAAAACGCTTGGTTTATACGCGTAATGCTTAGCCTTTCAGCCTCCGTAGCTAGTTATGAACTTTCGGTATTAAGTGATGCGTACACGTCCATTCATTCATTGAATAAGAAAGAAAAGACCAGGCTTTTTGCTTTCTTTTCGTGATATAAGCAGAATGTGACACTCATCCAGACTCGATGAGATTTATAACTACAAGGCATGTATTGTATAACGCTTATAGTTATGTACTACACTAACAGCACCAGGAAGTACAAAAGACCCCTTCCTGTAAGAGGGACGTATATCAACTACAAGGAGGAGAAAGATCTAAGTGGAAAATTAAGCAAAACAAAAAGAGAGCGAGACTCGTGAGAGGCTCATAGGCTTCCTTGTAAAAACAGCTTTAAATGCGCCTGACTTCGTCCCAGCATTTGTGGTCGAGTACACCTATCCAGCTCAAACGCCTCCTAATACACCCCGATATCAACGACAGCCGTACTCTTGACGTATCTTCATCTGAAATGGCACAGAGGCGGCAGACTCCACGCCAATAAGGTCCATCAGCTCGCGGAACAACACGTCGCGGGGCGAACGCGATGTCGAGTTGGCCATCCGTCCAGTAGGTAGGACGTCAAAGTTCCAGCTACCAAAACTGCTCGTACGATAGTCCAGCATACGGAGGTCCTCGTAGACGTGCTGTTTTGAAAGTAAATAGTGCACAACGGCACAGAAATGTGTTTGGTGGCCTTTCGTCCCGAGCTCCACGAGCTTCCCGCAAATCTGGAGCCAGCCAAGTATCAGCTCACTCTGCATTGTGCCTTCCAGTACACGGAACTCGACCGTTCGCGGATTCGTGCGTGCCCTCTCGTCTTCTTCCCCGAATGCGCTGAAGTTGAAGCCAAGGCGTCGATATTTTCGCTGCGGTCCCGAAAGAAGGAGACCCAATTCCCGATGCGAAACAGCCTGCCAGATGGCCCGCAGCGCTTCGTTTTGAGCTGCTGAGGGGCCAGCCTCGCCCATGTGCAGGTACCAGTCGTCTTCCCTGTCATCCTTGTGACGGCGCAAGCCGTTCCTAGAACGGACGCGCTGAAGGATTGCTTCAGCAATGTTGAAGCCATCACCAGCGGCCTTTGGACAATCCAGAGCCAGAGCCAACCGGCTGTAGCGCCGCTGCTCGAAGCCCCAGGTATAGCTGTTAGAAAAGTTCGGCGAGTGGGGGTTTCGGACACTGCGGAGGATAGGTTCGGCCAGCCAGAAGATGGTGGCTAGTTTCTTCAACGTCGAGAGGCTGAAAGCTCTTCCATCCTGACGTCCCACGTGGACGTGGAAGTCGCATGTGTAGTTGACAGCCACCGGAAAGGTGGTGATACGTGACACAACCTCCCTGACCAAGAAGGGAGAGTAAGGATCTGTCCATGAGAGAATGGGGGAGTTTAGCTCGACCGGCACGGCAATGCCGTTTGTGCGACCCATATCCGGGCTGGGGTCATCCTTTGTGTGCTCGACCGAGTTGGCCTTTTTGACAATCCAGTGCGTCGGCCAATATTCGCTCTCTTGGTGGCCGGCGTCAAGGATATCGTCCCGGCTCAAGGCACGAGGATGTATTGACGAGCCGCCAATGCCATTGCCACCGAACCCAAAATTGGTTCTGCCAACGACACGGGCAATCGATGTGTATGCCTGTCGATACAGCTGAGCACGGTTCATGATCGGCGCCTCGGACAACCGGTCACGGGGAGTAGCTCCCTCATTGAGAGGCTGTCCTAGCAGAAGAAACTTGAGCTCCAGGCCGAGAGCGAGATTTTCCACCGTGTCTGGTCCGGTTGCAAGAGGCCGTCCAGCACCAATCGATTCGGTGACAGTATCCACAATGCTAGGCATCTTGTGATTGATTGCAATACGCAGGCGTGGTGAGTTTGTGCAATATTAAATCCTCTTCTTGTTTCAAGCCAGGGCCAGGATTGCAACAGGGGAACAGATGATTTGGCAGAAGGCACGGCAGCAGACGGCCTAGATGTCGTACCGGGGTAGTTGATGTTTGTGGTATTTAACTGGTTGCTTTCAGAATCTCTCTGCCGTCATCGCTTCGTTCCGTTGGGTGTGTGGAAGATTACTTGCTCTTCCGGTTGGGCTTCCGATGCCAGCTGTATTTGGGTGGGTAGGTAAGCACGAGCAAGCAAATCGGCATAGAGGACTATATAACACACAGCCAACTCATGGCGGAGAAAGTAGGCTTAGACATCTGCCGAGAGAGGGACAAGATAATATATATAAAATAAATGAACTTAAATTGGGACAGAGTCTGTTGCGGTGTGGCTGTGGATCACCTGGATGTAAGTGGCCCAGGTGAGACTTTCGATGTCATTCGGAACAAATGACGAAATTAACTCTTTGGAGCCAACACAATAGTGGAAGGTCAGGTGTGCAAGGACGAGGCCCGGGATAATAAACAAGCGAAAGAAGCAAAAACAACATAGCCAAAAAAAAAAGAATGCATTCAGGCTCCTGAAACTTCATTGGAACATCGCTGACAGAATGGTATTCCCCGTATCGTCGACACTTGGGGAATGGGTTAAACCGGAATATCGGGGAAGAGATAAGAGATGGGAAGACGGGGAGGGGGGGGGGGGGGGGGGGGGGGGGGCGACGACGACGGAAGAGGATTTGCAAAGGAGGTGGCGGAATAGCGTAACGGCCAGTCAGGACAGGGACGGATGATGCACGACGGGTGTCGGAGTCAGACCGCGACAAGCACCCATGGCTTCCAAGAAACGGAAAGTGAACAGGTCGTATGAGAGAAAGGCGGCACGGACAGATATCACTTTTACTGAAACGAGGTAAGGTGTAAAAAGCTGGCGCAGGCTACAAATGCTTTACGCCGGCTGCGCGCTTAATTTGGGAAGCAGGGCTGGCGCATCTGGAACGACTGTTGTCTGTCTGATTCGGGCCTGTCAGAAAGCGGCAAATAAGAAAGGGGGGAAAGGAGGGGTTGAGAAAGGTGGTCGACAAAGATCAGGATATGAAAATCGGGAGACAGAAAACGGGAGCCGCGCCTGGAACCTGTCAGCGTGGCCGGAGTCGAGGCCGAGATCGAGGTCGAAATCGAGGCAAGCTCTCTCTATCTCTCTGGCGCATCCTGGCGCGTGGGCCGACTGTCAATGGGCAGTTGAATGGTGCCAGAACCCACCAAACATCGCCAGGTACGGAAGAGCAGGGGGCACCAGCGTGACGGAGAAAGATGTCAGAGATAAGGTAAAGGAACAATGAGAACACGACGTAGACCTCGGCCGGCTCACCCTTGTTTCCACGCCTTTCACCTGCGCGGCCCATTGAACAGGCCGCTCAGACCGTGGTTCTACCCGACCGTGGCCCTGTTCGGTAACGGCTTTGTGGGCGCCATTGAGGTAGTATTATCGCCTTCATCCTTGTCCTGTTCATGCTCAGTCCGACTTGGTCGTAGCTCGTGCGCAAAACATGAAACCAAGAGGTCCCGGAAGGATGGCATTGTTTTCTCGAGCCTGAGCCACGACCAGCCAAATGCACTTTCCGGTTCTCACCCGGCGAATGACACCATTTGGGTTGGGCGGCCACAGGGGTCCGTTCGAACGATGACAGGCCAAAAGTCTGCCAGACAGTTCCCATAGCCAATACGAGGAATTAAAAATAAAAACATCGTGGGAGATGCAGGCGGACATTCCGGCAGCTTGGTCGTCGTGCTGGCATGGCGCAATGCAGCGGCAAGGAGACCGTGTCGGGCTGTCGGGTCGCGTGTCGTTTTCTGTCTTTGTTTTTCTTGACTCTATTATTGTGTGTTTTGCTTTGGTCTTTTCGGCTTACGGAGCACCAACCCCTATTGTTATCCTGCTCGCCCCTTATGCAGCTGCATTATTACCGCATGCACGACCCCGCAGACAGGCTTCTGCTGCCCGTCAGGCAGGCGCCATCGACGCCAGCCCACCCACAGTCGCGCCTTCTAGGGAAAATCCGCCGCCCAACGTCCCCGCCGCCCAAACGGCCGAGCCGCTGGAATTGGCTTTGATTTCTGCCTCAATCCACTTGTGCTCCATTTCTTCTGTCTTTTGTGTCCTCTGTCTGATCAACACACCCGACGTCACCTTGCCATGCAACCCTCCCAGTGGACTCGTCTGCCTCTTTTGGCCTCTTGCGCGCCCTACGACTACGACCACTCTTTCTGCCCTCATCGGCCACATCTCTCAGACAAATCACGAGCTTGCCCCCTCCCTAGTGAATGGGCACACAATGCGGTCTGCCAACTCATCACCAACAGCGTAATGCTGTCATCCTGGTAGTGTTCTCGTGCATCCTATCTCGCAGCGTGTCCCGTCCGGCAGCCCGTATACACGACTTGCTCGGTGGCTGACAGCTTTCACCGCCAACTGCGACGGTCCGTATCTCACCACGTTTCCGTTTGCCATTCAGCAAAATCGTCACATCCGTCTCGGTCGATGACTTCACGGCGGTGTGTGACCATGCCAGAGGTGGGAAGAGCGATCTGCTCACACACTACAAGTCACTGATGCCCAACGCATATATCCCTTTGTCCCTCCCACCCTCCTTCTCCCCTTTCACTTGCCTGCTGTCACTCACCCTTCCCCACGGTGGCCAACCAGGGAAACGGAAGTGCCAAACAGGGATCCCATGCTGTGAACTGCAGCATTGCACTGCGCAAGCGCCGCGCAAGGAACATGGTTCAGAGAGCTGGGAGGGCGTGTGGATGTGCCGCACAGCTCCGTACGACACCCTCTGTTGCAATTGCAGCGAGAGCCCACATCTGCCGCCGCTAGGGGTTTCTATCCGAAGGCTAGGCTAGGGCGCAATGCATGTCTGACATGAACGGAAAATTCCAAGGCTATGGGCGCAGTGTGTAGGCCACGGCCAGTGGAGACCGGCCGCAGGACAGAGGCCGGGTTAATGCGTTGCAATTCGACAGAAAACCGGCTTCCGATCTTCTGCTGGACATCGTGACCAGTGGGTCTTGGTCCTGGCCGACCACAAACTGGCACTCAACCGAATGGTTGCTGGCCCCTGCAGGTGGGGTCGTCTCTAGCAGGCCCTCGATAGTTGTGCCGGTTTACAAGCCGAGAGGGACTTCCGCAGGCCAAAAGGCGCATCTTCAGACGAACTGCGAGAGCCAGCGACCAAAGCAGAAACAGTTGTCTGACACCAGAGCAGAGGCCCGCTCGCATTACAGCCATAATGAGCGCAATGCAAACACAGCCTGTTCTTTGAGACAGCCACTGATTTGTGGACCCTCGTGATCTGCAACCGGGGGCTTTTATCCGTATTTGTTTTTTCTCGCCCTGCGCTCTCTAGCTGTCTCGCACCTGCTTCAGTTTCAGCTTCAGCTTGGCAGGCTGCTTCCGTCCGACACAATCTCAAATCAGCCAGATTGCCCCCTGCCCAGCTGCTGATCTACATAACATGCGTCTCACTGCTACATCTGTCTTGTAATCCGTACGCTTGGCTCCGTATCTTGAGCAACTTGCTTTCCCATGCTCACATGGAATTCAGATGAGACAAGTTGAAAACTCTCGCAATACACTAAATGCCTGTTTTTCACCGTAGCAAACTCAGTGAGTTTGTCTTGTGTGCCTAGCCAGTAGGCCTGCCGAAGTGAAATACACACAATCAACACAACATATGATCTCACCCTGGAGGTCGGCATGCGGCTATGCTTGCACTGGCCACCTACCGCTTCTGTTCGACAACTTTGTAGAACCAGCTTCCGGATCTAAAATTGTGCATCGTATATTTTGATCTCGCACAAATCGACCCGCTACAAAGGCTCGCCTCGCTGATGAAGTCCCGTTTCACTGGGCCTCCACTGCTAGCTACAGTGAAAATAAGTGGGATCCATAAGTCCTTGACAGCCTAAGGGACGACTTGGTCCGAAGCATAATATGTCTGGCTTGGAGGCATTGAGGCTTGACTTCAAATGTTCCAATGAGAGGCAGCTATCTCTCCCCACAGGGCGTGGTGTGGCTAGAATCTCCTCCCGCTGAGCACGCACACTAGCAACTTACGCCAACCGCTAGGCTTCCATCTCGTCTTTTATAATTCTGACCGTTGCAGATACTTGCACTGGTTTTTGCCGGGCCGGGCCGTAAAAAGAGACTGGCAAGCGGCATTTCTCTTGGGGTTTTCAAAACGAGTAGCCCGTTACTGATAGACGTTTTTCCATACTTTTACTGAATACGAAACACAACATTCTCGTCAACTTTATAATCTATTCCTCCACATGATTTTCGATGTATCGCTGTAAAAGTACCGACTCATCAAGCATCAGAGATACCGCTGCAGGCGATTTATGCGAGTAGCAGAAACGCCCGACACCTGCCGAGGCACTGCATGTGATAGCTTTAGGACCAACATTTTCTTTCGTTGAGAACTTGTATATATTGCGCGGTTCCAACGAGAATGAGACTATCTACCGCTCGTGCAGCAGGAATGCGGGGTTCAATTTCTGACTTCCTATGAGATCTTCCGGACATTCTAATTACCAGAAAGAAAAAGATGCTGTACGTAAGATGTGCTGGACCATGCAAAGCCTATTAACTGAGACTGTGGGAACATTCTTTTGCGAATTTACAGGCCTCACCCCCTCAGTGCAAGTAGGATGCCACTCTCGACATTTTGTTACAAGTTGACACAACCAAATCACACTTACGACTTGAAAAGACACGGTTGAATGAAGCACGAGAAACAACGCAAGCGATTAATGCTCATCTTGTAGATCAAAAGCAACAACATGGCTGAGAACGTTGACCTCCGTCATCAGGCTGTCTAGGAACAGATAGCCAACTATATCGAGACGGCCAGGGGAACTCGGTTCCCCGAAGCAGCACGTGAAGCAGCTTTCTGAAGTGACGCCTCGATCGAGGACTTCTTCTCTACCATCATCGTCGGTGTATAGGTCGGTGTTACTGTCGCTATAGCGCGCAGAGGCATTACACATACTGAGACCTGGCTTTGCTATGCCGTCGTGGCCGCCGATGCTATGTTGCGTCAGACTTCGGGCGAACAACTGGTTAACGCCTTGGCCATTGCCGGAGACAGCGCACCCAATCACCTTGTCGCCTGTTCTCCGGGACAGATCCGCAGTGATGTCAAAGAAGGCATTTCGTGGTCCGTCGTGACAGGCCTGCTTCTCGCTCGGCTCGCCATTACACATCTGCAGCACCTACGCCAAGTTCTACGCATGCTGTCGCTATGCTCATGCTCCGATTGATTCACTTCTAGAAATCGTCACGAAACACAATATCAATGTGTGTGAGATCGAGGCAATCGAAGTCGAAACCCACGATTCCGCCGCCCGACAAATTTCAAACCAGGTGGCTCCTACAGATCTCTTCGAGGTTTTGTATAGTATTTATTATTGTATCTCCCTCGCTGCTTCTAGTCAGGGAGGAGGCACTGTCCTATGGCGACGAAGTATTTGCACTGTCGAGTAAAGCCAATATTTTTGTCGATCCCGAGCTTAATTTATGATTCCCGGTTGAAACCATATTCCGTGTGAAGGTCACATATGGAGGGCACGTTCTTGTATCTGGTGTGACGGCGCCTCGCAGTGAGGCTACCAATCCGCCGAGTTGGGAAGATCTGGAAGGGAAGCTTATTGCAGCAACTCGATTTGTCGCAACCGGCCCATGAGCAGAGTCAGACTCTTGATGCGATACGTCGCATTAAGGCAGGCGATCTAACCGCCTTAACGAGCGTTCTTGAAGAGATGGTCTTGTGTCGGTCAGGAGAAGGAGAGCCGCCAGTATATGGCCGTCTGCGATGAGTTAGAAGAGTTTGCAAAGGCGCTTCTTAGGACAAAGGACTTGAACTGGAATGCGCACAGGTTGCGTATGTAAAAATAGCAGCCTTCCCTTAAATGCAACTTCATATTTTTGTGGCAATGTGTACAGGTATGCATTCATGGTTGAGATTAGTTCCAGATATAGTCCCTTCGAGAGAACACCGGTCTCTGTTTCAGGTTCAGAGTTTGTGGAAAGGTGCATGTATTCCCATGCACTAGAAGCTAGTGCAGGCTGTACTGCGGGAGTGAAAACTCTGCACACTGACCCACAGGGTCACGTGCAACACAGCCTCTCACTGCCGCAGTGCAAAGACTACGAAAGATACATAATATTAGCCCAGTAAAGGGGTTCACAGGAGGTACTTTTCGCAGAAAAACATAAGCACAATGTGCAGCGATGTGAAGAAGACAGGGCGCAGACGAAGTGCGCTCACAAGGGCCTTTAAAGGCCAGCTTGTGACTGTCAGTAAGCAAGCAAATGAAAACAAATTAACATCGTATATTAAGACGAAGCTGGTGAACGAAATCCAGGTGCTTCTCTTTTTGCAAAGCCTTCGTGAAGCCGTCGGCGGCCATCTTGTCGGTGGTGACGTGCTGTAGACGGAAGCTATCGGCTGTCACCTGTTTAATTATCCACTTGAATCGGACGTCTATATGTCTGGTGCGCCCCTTTTTGTTGGGATTCAGAACAGCAGCGAGGGCATTCAGACTGTCTGTGAATAGGAGCAAAGGCGCCGTAACAGGGGCACCAAGGTTACAGAGAATGCTGTTAACATATTAGAGGGCACGACCAGAGGGCGTGAGGTTAATGAATTCAGCTTCCGTTATTAAGAGGGTAACAAAAGACTGCCTCTTTAACTTCTAGAGGACAGGGCCGCCGGCCACGAAAACAACTAGGCCACTAGTAGATCGTCGTAAAGGGAGATTGTTAGCGAAAGAAGCATTGCTAAAGGCTTGCAAGCCAAGGTTAGCGACGTAATCCTTGCCTCTAAAACAGAGAGCGTAAGCCTTAGTGCCTAATATATATCGGTATAGATGTTTAAGCAAGGCCTAGTGCTATGCAGTTAAACTACAATTACCCTTTAAAAGTCGATTAATAGTAAAAGAAATGTCGGGGCGCGTGCCTATCGAGAGGTAGTTAATTAAGCCTATATTCTAAAGATATTCGGTTAAAACAGTTGCTTGTGTTTTGTTATTATCTTTAGTGGCATCTTTGCTAGTTAAGGGCAGGTTAAGACTTATAGGCTATAGAGTAACAACGCCATTAAGGTTTTAATAGCTAAAACGATTAAGGATCTTTTTAATGTACGTAGTTTGACTAATAAAGATTTAACGATTAAGGCGATTATAAGAGATATTAAGGCCTAGAAAGGACGTAGCAGCACCTAAGTAGCAAAGCTTAAAAACGTTGCCTAGTTGTCGACCTATAGCGCGCGTTATCTTAAGTAATAGTCTAGCAATTAGCAGATCGTCGACGTAGACTAAGATGTAGACGCTAGTATTAGCGTTATAAAAAAGATAAAGGTTAAAGTTAAAGACTTTAAAGCTAAGATCCTATATAGTAGGCGTAAAAGTATTAAACTACTAGTAAGGGCTACAAGTAAGACTATAAAAAGCATAATAAAGATAGCAGACGCGCTTTATACTATTAAAGAAACTAGACGGCTATTAGACGTAGACGTTAACGCCCTTTAGTATTATAGCGTTTAGAAAAGCTATAGCAATATCGTACTATTTAAGCTTTAGATTAGTAGCCGCATAGTAGGCAAGGAATGTTGTAAGGGTATTCTACACACACGTCCCTACGCACCGGTTTGGCAACTAGTCGCTTACTAAGGACGGACTTAACGAACTATCTTAACACGTTGCACAGGACTAGCATAGCCACTTAGCTATGCTACGCCCCACTAGGGTTGCGCTACACCGCATCTTCTAGCCACGTATATATTAGCTAGCAGGCCTTCGCCTACTAGTCTCTTATAGTTTGTTAAGTTAAAGTCTTAATACAATAGTACAAACCGGTTAAGCTTTTGTAACTACGCATTGCACACTACCCTCTTATAAATTATTAGTTAGAAAGAGGGGTGGTTAAAAGAGAGGGTAGCGGACTTATACACATAGCTTAGTAAATGCGCATTATAGTTTAGAAGCAGTGCTTATAGCGTAGGCTACGTAGCGTAGTCTACGCATAGGCTATAGCACATGCTATTGCATAGGCTAAGTAAAAGCAAGGTCGCGCTTGCCTTACGCACCTAGTGCGCAAGAGGTGCGCTATAAGAGGCTAGTATGCAATGCGTAGTCACAAAGGCTTAACTAGTTTGTACTATTGTATTAAGACTTTAACTTAACGAACTATAAGAGATTAGTAGGCAAAGGCCTGCTAGCTAATATATATATAGCTAGAAGATACAGTGTAGCGCAAACCTAGTAGGGCGTAGCGCAGCTAAGTAGCTATGCTAGTCCTATATAACGTATTAAGATAGTTCGTTAAGTCTACCGCTTAGTAAGCGACTAGTTGCCGAACTAGTGCGTAGGAACGCGTGTATAAAATACCCTTACACTATCCCCTCTCTCCCTAAGTAACGCCCCTATTAGCCTAGAGGTATATACGCAGCAGCTACTTACTTATTAAAAAACCTCCCCTTATAGAGTTAAGAAAAAGAGTTAAGCGCTCTAAGTTATTAGCTGTTGCTAAGCAGTTGCAGACTACTTGCTTATGCGACTACATTTAGGTAACATAGAAGCGTATATATACTACTTAGTTTATAGCGGTAATAAACGCTAGATCTTACCTAATGCACGGGTTGTCCTATTTGTTAAAGCTCTTTAAGAGGTGTACAGCTTAGATCCTAGTCGGGGAACGCTTAGGTTGCCGCTAATAAGTATTATAAGAGGGCTAGCCTTAGACACTAGGTGTATAAGGGTGCAGTGTATACTAACTAAAAACGGCGGCGTAAGGCTTACAACTTCTAACTACTAGCAAGGTAGGATAAAGGCAATAGCGGCTGTTTATTGCCTGCTAATTATAGAACTATTGCTTACTAGATAGTAAAGGCAGTCTACTGCTAGAACATCTTTTTATTTAATTTTAGACGTTTCTTACCTTACTATTAAAGTAAGGTTAGGCAAGTTTTTAAGACGTATTTAAACGTTTAAAAACGCGGCTTTTTTATTACCTTATAGTATAAAAGAGTAGGTGCATTCTATAATTTAAGACGAATTTGTCTATACTTATAAGACTGCTCTTGCCTCTTTAGCCCTTTTTTCTTTAATCTTACTTGCGTAGTAAGTTAATGCAATAGTTTGCAACTTTGCGCAGCGGCTAGCTAACGATCGCTTATAGACAATATTTAACTAAAGCTGCTTTTAAGTTCTAATAGACTTTTTTGTAGATGTAAACCCTATAAAACGCCCTTCCTAGGCATACGCACCGTCTCTTAAAAGCGTAGGTCTCTACTAGCATAGCGTCCGCTAAGCGATAGCTAACTTTATAGTAAGCTTTATGTTTAAACTACGTTCTTAAAGCTTATTTAGACGTTTACCATAAATTTTTGTATGTAGCCACGCTAAAGAACCTAGCGCGCTATGTTAGTTATATGGCTAATAACACGTTGTGCTTGCTAGTAAGTACGTTAACTTGTGTACGCTAGTAGCCGATTGCTAACTAATAGCTTCTTAAAGAGATTAAGGGCTTGGCTTAATACATTTAGAAATTTCTAGCTAGCATAAACGAGTTGCTGCTTTAGTGGATAACGGTTAATAATATCGTTGTAGCGCTAGGCGATTACGCGGCAATCGCCTAAAGGTTAATAGCCTTAATAGCGGTAGCTAAGGAACTTGGCTACGCCTTATAGGAAGATAAGTTAGAGCCTTTAGCAACCGACTAGCGCTCTTAGCGCGAACGTTTTAAGACGGCATAATAGGCTGCATTGCGCCTTAGTGTCCTTTACTAATACTAGTAAGAGCTAGAGCTTACCTTAACGCCTGCGTAGCGGTTAGCAGAGGTGGCTTAGCTTTTGCTGCTAACGTTCTTAGATGTAAGCATACTATTGTAAGCGTAGACTTAAGTTGCTACTACCCTTAAAGCAATAGCAAGTCTTTTAATCCTTATTATTAAGTTATTGCTAACCTATTACTTAAGCCAATCCTTATTCTATTGTGCTTAGCCTAGCCTAGCGCGCTACGGCTATTTAAGCTAGCTGTAGCGGCACGCTTTACTATACCGCAAGAGCGGAGGGGCTGCTTAAGCAGATCCTATAGACTATAGCGGCCCTAGTTAAGCTAGCCTAGATTAACTAGGTAGTAGTTTTTCCCTAGCCGCTGCCTTTAGCGGCGCCCGGTAAGCGACGGTCTTACGCTAAGTTGCCAGC